TTTGATTACAGCCGATGTAAAATTCCTTCCCTGATTGGAATGTAACTGAAGAGGCAGTCCGAACCTGGAAATCCAGTGCTGTACCATCACCTGTGCTTACAATGACAGCCTCTTGTTCAGGAATAGGATACGCTTCAGGCCACTTGGTGAAGTAATCAATGAGAACGAGGGTCCATTTGTTGCCATCAGCAGCTCGTGGCAGAGGCCCCAAGATGTCAAAGCCGATACTTTCAAAAGGCGCTCCTACGTTGTAACGTTGTAGCTTAACCCGCTGCGTTTTTTCGGTCCTTTCCGACCCGCACGGGCATCGCAAGATCAGCACCACTTTTGCACGTCATCCGTTGCGTTACTCCAATAGAAGCGCTCTCGAACTCTCTGCAAAGTCTTCATTATTCCGAAGTGGCCTCTTGTAGGACTGCTATGTAGTTCTTTAAGGATGTTCGGGATCCGGGAACTTGGAAGTATCAGATGCCATCGGTATGCCCTTCCATTGTCTGATTCGAATTTCTGATATAAGACGCCGTTTCGAATGTGGAGTGAGTCCCAGATAGCCCAATATTGTTTTGCCGTAGGACTGTAGATAGAAATGACCTGCCAGGTAGGACCTGCCTTCTATATGAAGACTTCATTAAATCAATTATGGTTTTAATGTCGCTATCTCCTAGCTGGTCTTTCCTGACTTCTTTGTCACTCCACGGGTCTCGATCAGTCAATGTTGATGTCGTAATTTGTCGCGCGGCGGGCATAAGCAGCTCTTCGACCCTGATACCATATCGGCAGCTTTCTGCGTAGGGTCATCCAGGCAAAGCGGCAGCGTTTCTAGGTGAGGATCCTTTCTGATGATGGATGGTTATGTTATCTGATGCTGAACGCAGTTTGTTGTTTTTGAAGTCCAAGGAAAAATTCTATCTCCTTAAAAAGTTCAACCCGATTATAAAATGAACTGTAATATCTGCCACATATGCTGTATGATGGTAGGCGGCACTTCCAAACGTGATGTTTACGTTTACCTTCCCATCAATGTCGATTTTATCACCAGATGCAGTCTGGAGGGTAACACAGGATGGCGTCCAAATGAGTTCATCTCCAAACTGTTGATCGAAATCTTTCGCATTGATGGTAACATTCGCGTCCAAGAAATTCCATTGATATGTCTAATGATGAAGAGTCCATTGTTGCCGCCACTTACTTCAGATATCTGAAGTGCTTTGAAATGAGCCTTCTCATTATCTTTCAAATTTCTCTCTGCGGATATGGCCATAAATTTGTTTCTCGACTCGTTGCTGGGGAATTATCTTATTTTCTGTGCCCTGGAATGTTATGCAGCTCTTCCGAACGTGGCCTTCAACACCGCAGTTCCAGCACTTTAGAATTGGTTTCTTTTGACTTCTATTCCGTCTCAAGGAACTGACTTGTTTTGTCAAATCGTCTGTTTTATTTTCTATGCCACATTTCCAAAACTTTTGAGAGTTTGTTTGAGCCAGTTTGTTCTCACTGCGTATCAAAGCATTGACTTGTCTGGATAAATCATCCAAACGAGCCATAACTTGATCAATTGGCTGGTCGACTTACACAGCTCTGCCTGGTTGGCGGTCTCTACGAGTTGCTTGCTGGGCTGCCTCGAATCTGCACTAGAGCACTTTTTAAATCCTTAACATCTGTCATTGTCAGAGCCTTCTGTATTTGTTGATCCCGGATGCCATCTATAAAGTACTGCAGGGACAGGATTTCCCTTGTTTCTGTCGGACACCCCGAAAAGGCGAGGTGAGACATACTTTCAACATCCGTGGCGAGCTCCTGGAGTGTTTCGGTGGGCTTCTGTTGAGGGATTTTAGTTGAAGCTTGCTGTAGTCTTTTAAACATTTCTCGCCAAAGCGCAGCTCCAATGCGCCGGATAGAGCTTCGATGTCTAGTCTCTGGTTTTCTAAAAGAATCGAAAGGATATCCGCTTCGTCTACTCTCAAAGAAGCGGCGAGATGACAGGTCTTAGCTTGGGAATCCCATCCATTCGCTTCCGCCATTATAGAAAATTGTGTCTTATATACTTACCAGGAGGTGTTCCCATCATACGTGAATAGCTTCAAAAAGGAAAGAGCAGGCATGGGTAAAAATTTGAAGCTCCTTGCAGTCGCTACGAACTTTTTTAACCTATCAACGTGTTTCGCAACTGCTGAAACCCTGTCATCAATTTGTTGTTGGATGGCAGAAACTCTTCCTTCTATTTCTTCCTTCACAGAAGCAACTCTTTCTTCAATGTGTCCAACTCTGTTTACAAGAGCGTCTATTCTGGCTACCATAGTTTCAGATTTGTTTTCTATTACGCAGGTAATTTCTCTTTTCATTTCCTTCTGACCTGCTTTCATTTCTGCTTTTAGAGCTTTTATCTCTTCTTTCTTTCAGATTTCTGAACAGATTTCTGAACAGCTTTTCTTTCTCTTTTAACAGATACTATACCAGCTTTCATCTTTCTTGAAACGGTTTCATCTCTTCTTTGACGCATTCTTGGCAGTTTTCATCTCTTCTTTAAATGAAGCAAAGGCTGTAATCAGCTGTCTTAACTGCTCCTCCATTACTCATGCTATTGGCATTTAAATCTCGCTTCTGACACCAAAACGTTTTGCGTGCGTGCGGGTTCGTAATAACCCGCACGTTCGTAATAATGCACAAGTCCGATGATGTTAATGAAATTTATTCATAACAGAAGAAATATGAGAAAACGCTGGATTTTCCTCAGAGATATTCGTACAAAATAAAAATATCATGCAATATGATCAGTACCTATATTTTAAGCTACTAAAACGTTAAAAAGAACGCGATCCACAGCACAGAGAAAGCTAATCCGATCTCACCGCGAATTCGCTACAATCAACAAATAACAGTTATTCAAACAATTGAGATGTTTCTCTCTAGCTTTTATAGCTTTTTAAATCGGCCGCGCGAGACAATTTTAGCAATTTCTGGAAAGGAAAAAGCGTAAAATTACGATCAAAGCTAACACAGCAGTCAATTACATTTATCCAGTTCAAATATAAATGACAAGATATCTAATTCAGAAGTCAAACAACAAAAATCAGCGTTACATTTTCAAAATTTTCACAGGACTAGTTTCGATGGTTTTACCGAACCACCATCGTCAGCTGCAAAACCGCAAATGAACAAGATAGGAAATAATGATTAGATAAGATTCCTATCTTGTTCATTTGCGGTTTTGCAGCTGAGGATGGTGGTTCGGTAAAACTATCGAAACTAGTCCTGTGAAAATTTTGAAAATGTAACGCTGATTTTTGTTGTTTTGAATTCTGAATTAGTATTTATTCGGCGTGTTATTATGTCTTAATTACAAGATATCTATTTATTAAATGCTCGTGCTCCTGTATTTTTACTTTGTCGGCGTATCTTTCTCTTAAAACCCGCCACGCGCTGCATTTGCACGGGGAAATAAAACAATTTTAATTACAGTTATACTAAAAATAGTCAACTGAATACCAAATCCGTAACAATATACTTTTCTGCACTAGTGTACTTCCAAGTCCTCTTTTAGAGTAGATCTGAGCCCCACGAGAACTAAGGGCAGTGATTCCGACCATTTGTCTTTGTAGAAGTTCTTGTTCTAATATTCTATGGAATCATTCGATCCATCTGTTACTTGACGGGATATGTTATAATTTGTCGTACTCTAAATATTTGGCTGAACACTGAGAAGAGGTTGCTTTGGAATTGCTGGCATTGATCTGTTGTTTCAATTATAGTCACACTACATCTTGAAATTCAGTGCACAAGAAAAGCTTTTCCTACAATTTAAGCAGTTTTTTCGGGAACTGAGATTACCTTAGGTTATATCTGGCGTATCTATCGACACAAGTGAGTAGGTTCTGGCATCCCTCTGAAGGTGAAAGGGGGACAGCAATTTCTATATGGATGTCTGTAAAACGTTTTCAGGATTTTGAAGCTTTATATTGGACTGTGGGTATGTTCGTTGATGTTTAAATTTTGACAATCCACACTAGTCCAAGATCAAGAAGTGATATTCTTTAAGAGGGATGGCCACACAAAACGAGACTGAATTAGTTTCTTAGTTTGCACAAATACCTGGATAAGGTAAGCCATGCAACATATTAAACATGCCTTTACGAAAGCGCTTTGGCACGCAAGGTCGAATTTCAATGCTACTGTCAATTGCTATCGCCAGAATTGGTATCAGTTCCATTCGTTGGAGTGAAAGTATTAGGTTTTGAAAAGACAAGACTAGTAAATTCTTGGTGTGTGAGCTAGCGAGGTTAACAAGAATCCGATGTTTTTTTGAAAAAGCATAAGTTAAGAATCGGTGATCGATGTAGATTGTGAAAAATTATCTTTCGAAAATATATCTAAAAGGGCTCAAGGGCGCCCTAAAATGGCACCGCTTTGAAACAGTTTCAAAGGTCCGAGCAGTTGTGTCTGCTACACAGCTAAATAAAGTCTTCTACGCTACTACGAAGAGTAGCATTAGTATTGAAATTGTTGCATTCAGTACCAGATATTCAACTTTGAATAGTATTTATTTTAATTAGACCTATTAATAATAAAAAAATTTTCAAATTAATCTCGTTTCTTTTGGGACATACCCTGGATGCGTAATATAACTTTGTATCAATTGATTCTTTTTTATTGCTAAAAAAGGTTACTTTTTGATTTTGCCTTCTATTTTAAAGGAAGCATTACAAAAAATGCAAATCAAATGAAAAGTATAATTAGGCTAAACTATTCAAAATTTACATAATGCACACATTTATGATTAAAATATTTTATATTAGTTACTTCTATAATAGTTTTTGTTTAGTAGGCCTGAACAAAATTACTATTCAGAGCATTAAAATACAAACTGGTAAAGAATAATTCTCCTTCCTTCAATTTACATTTTAACGTTTTAATAAAAATTGGAAAGTTAAAATACTTGTATAACCATCATGATGCTTCAGAAAGGTTAATTATTTTATTGTATCTTAATATTTTTATTTCAGAATTTCTTTTCTGGTCTAAATGGGTATTTTCACGTATTTATATTGCAAGAAATAAAAAGTCCACTCCAAAGAGAGTCGGAATTTACGACAAGAAAGCTTTTTCTGATCCAGAAAAGATCGGTTTCATTGTACCTGAAGACGAATTCCATTTAGAATCCCCACGCACTGAATCACATCTAAAAACTGTAAGTACACTACTACTGTTTCTCTTTAATACTTTAACGTAACCATATACCCAAAAGTAACTTAAATGGCGACACTGCATACCTACATTTAATTAATTATGAATTGTGTTGCTATATCTTGTTAACTTAGGATTTACCTCGCATTTTTCCTAAGTAAGGTTTCTTAAGTAAATAGGCTTATCTTTGATGTTGATATGTGTGTGTTCCTGCTCTCAACGTCGTGTGAGTACATTCTTACAGCAAACAAAAACTGTGTGGAATTTTTTTCAGTTGAGAAATGTTGCAGATGACACCGTTATTGTACTTCGGCAAACCTTCGAAGTTGATGCTTGGAGTAAATCACAAGTGTTATAAGCAGCTGTTTCCCAGATTCAGAAATGGTGACATATTATATGAAGATGTAGTCATACAGTGGTGAATAGAAATGAGAAACATTATGAGAAAGAGCAACAGGCTATTAAAAAAGATTGTCTAAAGATAATTCATGAGATTCCTGAAGAAACTTTCTGTTCTGAACTGACAGTTCTTGGAAAACAATAAGATGGATTTTGTGATTTATCCACGCTACTCACCAAATCGTTTTACACAGCAGGATTGTTTTTATATTTTTACAAATAAAGAAAGTTCTCAGAAAGGGTAAAGTGAATGAGAAAGCAATTCACTTATGTGGATGATGATCAAGAAAATACATCGCTTACCTTGAACAACAGTCCGTTTCGAAAGTTCCGTATTTTCAGCGGGAATCGAAAGCACTTGCACTAAAATCTGTTTAAACATAGCCTGGTTATTATTGGTACTTCCGCGAAAATTTATATTTTTTGGAGTTGTATTAATATAGTACTTAGAAAGGGACTAAAACTGTTTAAAGATAGGGTGGTTATTTTTGGTACTCAATCGTAAATGTATATTTTCTTGAGTTATATTTCAAAGATCAATATAGATGGTGAAAATTTCTGCATTTGAAGTTACATACGTTCGAAGTAAATTTTTTATTTAATAATCTAAGAGTTCTATTTTAAAGACCGGTTTTTCGGAAACAACTATTTTAATAACAACGGAGTAGTTATAATGTAATAATATAATTATATTTTAATTACATTCTAATATTGTAATAAAGAGTTAGCTGAGAGTAATACCGCTTAACCGAAAGTGGATGAGAATGGTACCGAAGATGAGAATGCTTTATTTAAAGATGCAGAAGAAAATAAACTACACTTACTGTATTCCGGGAAGAATGCATCCTCTGAAAACTCTCTCTAAGTATTTTTATTTTTGAGGGTTAGCTAAGTTACTTCGTTCTAGCTAAGTTGCCATTTTTTTTCTTTCAACCATGCCATCTGATTTCTTTCTGTTTCTATCGCTTGGATTCTCATTTCCCTTTTCTTCTGAATTAGCACATCCTTTGTTCCCTGCCAGATGCTCGCATGACTGCCTGGCCTAGCGTTGTCACAAATGTTTAATTATTGAGTTAAGGATCTTTCTGGGGGATAGTTGAAGCCTATTGAGGCTTCTGAACCTTTAAAGATGCTTTCGCACCACTTATGGAATAAATTTTTGTAAATTTATTTTATTTTACAAATGCCAAACATTAGCGCTTAAGCCATTAGTTCACGGGCTGTCCAGTACTTTTTAACAATGTTCTCATACCGAGAAAGTGCAATACAATTATTTAAATGTTCAAAAATCATAGGCTAATTCGAGTCACGCAAAATACAGTTTGGGGAATTTACAACTCCATTTCTGTAAAGGTGATCTCGCAAACAGTCATGTCTGGCCAGACGTCTAAATAGAACTACCTGTGTCTTTCTTGGAAAAGTGAGAATGAAAGTTGTATCTTTCCTCAGAATGTTGAATCATATCCTGCTTAAGAAATTTCTTAAGAATCAGTTTAACCTACAATTTAGTCGTGTGAAGAGAAGCGATCTATTAATGTGTTGCATTATCAAAGCTCCTTTCTTAGCCAATGTATCAGCTTTTTTGTTTTCCATAATTCCACAGTCGACTGGAATCCATTGGAAAGAAATTCTCTGTGCCATTGCCTTAAGAAAAGGCCTACAGTCTAAGATTCTTTGAGAACTATTTTGATTATTCAAAGAAGGGCTTGAAGCGCGCTTTTGAAAGCTGACAATATGAGTGCCTTTACAAAAATTCTTTTTGCTTGCTGAAGGGCCTGCTACGTATATTTTAAGACTGATATGTTGTATTGATTGTTTTCGTGTAGATATAAAGATCACATGAATTCAAGCTAAGATCCCACTGGTCTAGAAAAAAATCTCGATCTATTGACCTAAAATTAATGCTTTACCTACTGATCTCAGCTAACCACGACATGTACAAGATAAACTGGCATCATATGTATGCTTCAAACGCCCCGTTTTTCTTATGTTCGAAGAAAAAATAGGAGTACCAGAAATTATGGGATGGTTTGAATGCTCCTAAAATTTGAGGTCCTCGGTCTGAGACTTGCGGGCTTAGACGATAATCAGGCTCTTTAGCCAATGCATTTGGACTGATTAATCAGAAGTTTTACCCATATTGGTAATTGAAACGACTGATTAACAACAACCATAGTACTAGCTGTATGTGCATTTAACCACAATTTTCTCATGCGAGCACAGATGCCACGCAGCGCTATAAAATTTGCATAGCCATGTCTATCCCTAATTCAGCGGCACTTCATTGTATTTAGAGGATATTATTTTCAGAAATCACTGATGCATACACTTTTATCACTGCATTAAGTGCCTATTTGTATACAGTTATTTCACAACCATACAAAGTTACGATAAGCACTCAGCCTTTTTCTGTAATTATTTAAATTCGGTAGCTACAATACGCTCTACCCTGCATTAAAGCGCAGGCTGAGATTTCAAGTTTAAGTAAACAGTAAACAGTTTCTCTGATTTGGAACTTTCATTTGCTACTTTCGCAATTTAGTTTTGAATAAGTTACCAATGATTGTTTAAGAATTCCATGGGCACCAATAGTGAATCCCTGCTGTAGAGGCTCTGAAAGTATCTATGTACACATTATTAATTAGTAAATTATGAGAGGAAATTTTTGGCGCGACAGATAATTGCATCTCTTTAGTTGACTTCAATGAGACTTCATTGAAATGAAGAATTGCTAGTTGCCATGTGTATTTTTTGCAAATTGCAGAAAGAAGAACATATCTGCAAAAAATGTTGCAAAAAAGTATAAGAAAGCCAAACGCTAATAATTGAATCATTCAGTTGCCAGTGCAAGACAAAAGAAAACTAAAAGGAAAATAATAAAATTTATCGGAAAATATACGGATCCGGGAGTGCAATCTAGAAAAATGAGATAACCTCGAAGACCTCATAATAAGCATTCAAGGAAACGATATCATTTGTGACGTAGCCACAGATTGTGGATGTATTTCCTCAAACGGCACAACTGCTTTGATAAAGCAGGTTTACTTGTAGATATACAGAAACAAAATTTCAGGCAAAATGCTTGTACTACCCTAAAATGTTTTGTATTGAACTTATATCTACGATCTATACAATGAACCTACTATAAGTTTGTAAGATTTACTAACTCATTATTTTGTTATTTTTATCTATTGTCACCTCTACTTTTCATTGCTCCCATCACAATGCAAATTAATTAATGTATATACGTACAGACTTATTGAAGTTAAGAGAGGGCTTTTGGCATCGGCTGCTGAATTTGTCCGTACTATTTACATTCAGCTCTTAGATTTATTTGAATTGGCTTACCGTTTTGTAGTCATGCTTACTGGCGACTAGAGAGCCTTAGCCAAAGCTTACACTAAGACTTTGCTATATGAATTCCGTAATTTAATTACTTAAATTTTACTTTGAATCTTTTGTTTGGTTTAATCCTGCAAGAAGCGGTGGCTTATTTTTTACCAAACGAATTGTGGTTAAGTTGAAGGTCTGTTGTTAAGCTGAAGAGCTGTTGTTAAGTTAAAAACCTTTTTTAAAACCTAAGCGTTTTTATCAGTTCCTAATTATTTATCCTGGAGACTGGACAGTAAGTCACCTGACTCGACAATAAGTATAACGGAGTCGGAAATAAGCTTTGAGGTATATACAACCAGTTCCATATAGTTTCACATAAGCCATAGAGATAAGTGCGCGTGTGAAGTTTTAGAACTCCAGAACATTACCTGTGTACTTGCCTCCTCACATCATGGCAACATCTTCGTCTTCTCGATATAAATCAAAAGTATATTTTAGATAGCTATCAAAAGAAAAGTCTCTCATAGCTTAAATAATCATGGACATTCCTCTTCAATTGTAAAGATGTGGATGCAGTAATTTACCTTCCGCATACATGTTAATGAATTTCTTTTTAACATCAATAAATAGGTAAATCTAACCGTATTAATATACTGAGTGAAGAATATTATCGTCATAAAAGTGACTTTTTTATATAGAAGTTTACTTAAATATTTATTTATGTGTTTATAAATTCTTTATACATAAATGCCTGGCTTTTGGTACTTAAAACGTTGGACGTCATGCCTCCAGATACCTTATAAGATCTAGCCTATTTAGGCCACATAAACTAAACTAGATCGTAAAAATGAACCTGGCGAATTCTCGCACAGGCGTGAATTAAATACCAGCACAGAAGAAAATCTATATAGAATGGTGCTGAATTAGCACGTTAAGTTACGACTAACTTAGGTTGATTCAAAAAAGAACCTAAGAGGTGTGGCAATTATCCGAAATGGCCAAGGGGCGTACTAGCGTAACAGAGAAATAAGTAACGAAACGCGCGCTAGGTAGCGAAAGCACGCTTTGAATAAACTCAGAGATTCACCCGTTTAAATACTCCCCTCACTTATCTTTAAATTTACATCCTGGCGAGGAAATGTGAGGGGAGTTCAGAAACGATAACAAAAATTTGAATAAAATGTTAGTTAACTAAAGGAAACCCTGTTAATCCCTGTTAACCTTTGGCTTATAGAATTAAAACCATAGAACAGCGCATTTATCTAAATGTTCTTTAACCATGGGCTATCCAGAATCAAAACGAGAATAGCGAAGAATTCCTGACTTTAACGTAAAACATTTCAACCTTGAATCTTGTTAATTTCCCTTTTATCAGTCTCTTAGTAGAATGAAAATGTCATTAAATATGTTTTGGTTTGTGGAGGACAGTCGTCCTTTTTTTTTTCTTTGCTGGTCAGCGCTTTCATTCCTTTTGACTTCACGATGAGTAGGCATCCTCTATAAGGTTGGTAAAAGAATCCAAAAGATGTCGCCCGTCATGACTAAGTTTTGAGTTCTTTGCTAGCAAGAACCTGAAGGAGAGATCTAATCTGAGAGGTAAAGCGTTAGAGAAAGAGATTTTACGACAGTAAAGTCGTTGTAGGGCCATATGAATTCTGTCTAACTCACGATCAATATCAATTGTGTAAGCAGCCTCCTACTGTTTAAAGTGATAAAAGCGTTCGCTGTATGCACCAGGTTCAGTGCCTATTTTCTTGTTCTTCATTGAATCAATTGTATAAATGGGAATATGAAACAAATTTTTATAATTTTCATTCCATGTTTGTTATTTTGCTTTCTTCGTCTTTTCATTGAGTCTGTATACTTCTGTTTTTATTAAAATATATAGTTTATAAAAGCTAAATCAATACGAAATTTAATTTGTTTTCTAGGGAGAGGATGAAGTTTTCTGTTACGGAGTTAATTCTAAGTCGGAATACCTCATCGTCAGTATTTCCAGGCGTAGCGATCAAAAAGCGGATGCTTGCATTTACCTGAAATTAGCATCTGGCAAAACCTACCTTTTGCAGAAGACAGACCATTTCCAACAATCCTGCAGTGACAAGAATGTGTTCTCCTGTGGGGATCTCCAGATGTCCTACACATGCCCGATGAGGAGATGGAGAATATTTTACAGTGGCTACTTAAGGTATGAAAACATTGGATTTTTGGCAGGCAATAATGATATATTTTATGCATTTTTTAAGTGAAAAATACTGCAGGTTTACGAATTTGATCTCTTCTTATTGGTTTAGAAAAATATGTTGCCAAACCGCGATAAATCGGCAAGTTTTGCTTTGCAGATGTTGGCTACTTTTAAAATCTACTTAAATACTATGTTTACCCCCCGAAAACTGTATTCTTTATTAAATAATAAGCGCTACTCGAACAAATAAACGAACTGTCAAATACATATGTTGACAGCTCTAAAATATAAGAACTATTCGATGAATGAACAGGAGTTTTCTGTTGAAAGTCCTGGCTAACTCATAACTACTTCTGCGCATATAATATCTGGCAGTTAATTTGTTATCGATATTATTTGTAATGTTGTTATTGTTATTGATTATTTTATTAAAATTATTTACAGTTATGAAAGAACTAGCGCATGCAAAACTCAAGTAATATGCAAACAAACTTCCAGTCGTCCCAATATTTTAATTAAATGAATGTATCTATGAGGTTCTATAATTTACATATGCAAAGATGTATCAAGGCGATATTAAAATGTATTATAACCAAGACAATTTATTACAGGCTTCATTAAGCTTATGTACTGGTTCTTACAAATATTTTGCTTAATTCTCTACAAAAATATTTCCGCTATAAAAATTTCTCTTCTGTGAATTAAAACATGTATATTTTCTAAATTATTTTATGTATTTATTTCAGGGAAACGAACGATGAAGATTCTGAAACACAGCGAATGGTGTATGTAAAATTTGCTTTCTGGTAAGTTAAAAATTAGCCATTTTAAAACATTTTTTATATTTGAAATACGTGATGTACTTAATTAAGTGTCACAGTTCATTTACTCCTTATTTCTCTGCAAGAAACCCCTGTTCTTTACAGGTGTGTATATGTGAAGAAATGGGAACTGAGAGTCGTTATTTTTTTCTTCCATGCCATCTCAAAGAATTTTCATCTCAAGTTGCTATGAAGTGGTTGGAAATTCTGCGTTAAATACGTAATTAAAACTGCACAGATTACAAAACATTAATGCTGTTACGAAATGATGAAACTGACAGATGCCATGTTTAAATCGTATAATTTATTCAGAGAACGTTTATTAACTTTTCTAGGAACTGTTTCATTTTTGATATAATTGAATTTGAGACTTGTATTAGTGAACTTAAACTACACTCTGTAGCAAAAAGAAAAAAAAATCGACGCACCAAGAAGGAGTTGTCTGATTGCTTTGAAATTTCATATGCATGAATGTTTTAACCATATAAGAAAATGATTAAAATTTGGTATCCAGTGCAAGAATAGCGCGATCTCCAGTGCATCGGAATTGTGCATTCAGAAGATGTATATAAGGAGTTGTTCATGAACTGTTGTTAAAAATTTCTGTTGCATTGATATTTAGGCTACCTTTCAACGACTGAAAATATGCCTCGCCGCAAGATTCGAGCTCATTACGAGCAATTATTAGAGTTTGAAAGAGGCCATATCATTGGATTGAAAGAGGCAGGTTGGGCAAATCGGAGAAGCGATTGTCATATAAGTCGAAGAGATGCGGTGATTAGAAAATTCTGGCAAGAATGGGTGGAAAGTGGCAAATTTCAGCTCCATGATGGTAGCGGTCGACCTAGGGCCACAACAGATCGGTAGGACAGAGTGATTGCTAGATCAGCTGTCACAGCGCCTGATTGATCGCTATCAACCATCAAACGTGAGACACACGAGTGTTCACCATGACCATTCACAGACTACTGATAGAGCGAAATCTACGCTCGTACCGACTGTTATGCCACCTGCCACTCACGCCTGCACACTGTCGAGCAAGATTACTGTGGTGCTTCGCTCGATTAGTTTGAAATGATGCTGACTGGGGACGTAAAGACTTTAGCGACGAATCCCGCATCCAAATGTGTCTTGACGATCATCGAAGATGTGTCTGGAGACGCCCAGAGCGATGTGCCGGGTCCTGCTTTCACTATTGCACACCAGACAGGCCCTCAACCAGGAGTTATAGTTTGGGGTGCTATTTCCCTTCATACCCGGACCCCTTTGGTCGTCATTAGAGGCACACTTACAGCACAGCGGTACATCGACGACTTTCTGAGACCGGTTTTGCTGCCGTTGCTTTTGCAGGACCCTGGCCTTATTTTTCAGCGAGATAATGCCAGACCACATACGGCACATGTTGCTATGAACTGTCTTACAGCTTGTTAAACACTTCCTTGGACAGCCAGATTTCCCTCCCATCGAGCATGTCTGGGATATGATGGGAAGCATCTACCAAGCAATGTTGATGACCTAGCCCGACAATTGGAGCAAATTTGGTAAGGAATACCGCAGACCATCCGGGAGATTCATCAGTCTATGCCAAGCTGTGTGGCAGCTTGCATCCAGGCTAGAGGTGGGTCAACAACACCTTATTGAGCTCGTTACTTTGTAACTATATAACTCTGAAATAAATCATTCAATTGCTCTGAAATTTTAATCATTTTCTATTCTGTACATAATCTTCCTATCCACCAATTTTTGTCTTCATCGGACACCCCTTCTTGGTGCGTCGATTTTTTTGTTATAGAGTGTATTTACTACACTAGTATGCAAAACTTAAAAGCTAGATTGACTTTTTTGTTCCAGTTCTGCAAGAAATCTCATAGAAAAGAGGGAATTTGTACTGAAATGATGAAAGAGGAGGAAGCGCGCCGAAAAGTGTGGAATCGAGCAGAAAATGGTTTTATATAAAGAATGGTGTTGGCACCAATGATTGCTTGCTTAAGAGGAGGAACAACAAATAGCTCTCCTTTAATAAAGGATATGACCTTTCTCAACTGCATCTGGCACCATCTCTTCGTAGTCAACACCAGAGACCCAAATAGTTCTTCAAAGAATTGTATTTCTCGATGATCTCGATTATCTTTCTGATGATGGATGTTCACCGAGGGATGTGTTCGTGTGGAAAGGCGTTTTCTCAAACGATGTCATACATGTTCTGTAGAATTTAAATCAGGGAATCTTAATATTATCCAGTTCTTTCGCATGATTTCCTTCTTTTTTAAGAGCTCTGCCACTGAATAACTCTGATGTCTTCCGACATTCTCATATATAAATAATAAAGTTTTCACCAACAGACCTTGGAATATGCGCACATGAAGAATATCCCTTCTTGACAATAGCTATCTTCGTTATGTTGTGCCCATCGAAAATATGGAAGTTAGTGTGACCATTCAGATGAGTATGCTAAGACCAATGTAACGGTTTCTTTTCTTTTGATGTTTCTTAAAGGAAATCATATTCTTACTCCTCTCCATATCAGGCTGGTATCTAAAATAATTCGTGACATCGAAACGCCCGACCCTTTTCAGCCTGTCGTCTATCAAGGGGGTACCATCCCAGTAGTAATGCATTCCGTCTGTGTGCTTATTACGTTAATCTAAACACAGCTGCCGATGAGTGGTCGCCAACTGGATGCAGTGTTCAGAACGACGGGTGTATAAATCTTCTTATGAAAGGCGTCTGACCACGCTAAACCGCGATACCTGACATCTTGTTACATGTTAATGCTTGCAGAGTGATATACCGGTTATTATCTGACACTGGGTTTATTTGGCCGACCATTACAAATCGTTTTTACATCAGTACTGCTGTTTTGTTTTGGTTTGGTTGATTTGGTTATGGCAAAGCACGCGAGGGCTATCTGTCTAAGGGGAAGGATGCTTTCGTAGAGGATTTTTATAAGGGAATTTTTGTATCCATGTTGCACATAGGGAATACCATATAAACGCCCATGCAGCTAGCCCATTCGCCTGGAATCGAACCCAGGTCGAACTGCCAGTATTCAACAATTTAACCTTTCAGCACTTGTGATGATTTATCGGGGTCTTGGAAGTACATGAAAAGGCAATGTGGCTGAACGAAAAGTCTTGGATTACATTCATCAGGCTACATACACCCTGCATCAAGTTTATCAATCGTTTTTTTCACGCGTGAAAGCATCCATATGGTTTCTTTTAGCATATTACATGTACACAATTCACTTGAACTTGGAGCGAAAGTTTTTGATAATTTCCCTTCCCTTTGTTTATCGTTATGTCATAATAAGTCTTCTCGTGTAACTGCAAATCAAAGGTTGAGTCATCTGTAATCAGCCCACTACCGGAAAAAAATAGCGAAACATTTGTTCCAAATTAAATTGAGCGAAAGTTCCAGAGATATTTATTACTTTGATTCTAAAAATAATCCTGAACATAATATTTATTTTTTAATTCTAGAAATAATCTTAAACATGATATTTATTACTTTAATTCTAAAATCCAAGTGTGTGCACTACAATAAGTATCTGCGTACTTAGAATAAACGTTTTTTAGAGATTAGAGTGCTCACAAAGTCCTTGAAAAACTTTATTATGATATTGTGGGCGATCTGTAAGAGGTAGTTCCGTAAATTACTGTTGCTATTACACGTATATCAAAAGATTTTGTAATAATTTTAGTTTAATATACACATAATGCGGGGATTAGGGAACATGCCACAAACCGCAAGGGAACATGCTTGATGCCACAAGGGAGTTGAAGTGAAACAGCTCAGAAGTGATTGTTTGGAATGGAATGCTGCATGACGAGATTTTAAAGCCATTTCTCATCCTACCCACAGTTGGAGGAGCGTCAGCTAGAGCAGCTAGTGGTGTACATGTCTGGGTTGTGCTTGTGTTACTTAGTTATCACATAATCTTTGATTTTTGCTTGTGAAAGGGCGGAACCAGTACCAAAAAGTATAAGTTGTTCCTTTCCCAAACAAAAAGTTTTTAAAACTGTTCAGAGACTTTGTCGACACCCTGTGTATCTGACATTATAAGAAATTTATGGATGTTCAGTAAACGGCTGTTTAAAAGATGCTGTTCATTTTCATTTTTTTATAAGGTTACAGTAATAATTAGACAAGCAATAGCAACTGTATCTCTGTTACATTTCAGCATACAAAGTGGGTTTACAATGCTTTAGTACTAATGTTTTTAACAAATTTTAGGAAGTCTGTCAAATGACAGCTCATAACCTTTATTACTATGTCATATCAACTTTCTTTTAACAAAATATCTTCTGCTTACGGAGAGAATTTTCTGTGCGTTTAACTGTGTGTTTTATCTAGTAATAATTTGCTGCTATAGATTCGAAAGCAGAGCAAAGTATAGTAGTTGAGATTTGCTGTAAAGTGAAACAGTAACGGAGTCGTTTGAAATATTGGAAAAAGCATACTGCGATAAAGCGTTAACACAATGCAAAATTTTTGAACGATTTTTCGGTGAATATAAAGATGTTTATGATGATTTAAGAGTAGGTTTCCTTTTGCAGTATCGAACGGAAAAGAACATTGGCAAATTTCGACAATTGTTGCCGAGAAAATCGTCACATATACTTTCGAATGATAGCTGACAAGCAAAACGTCAGTAGAGATACTGCTTTCAAAAATGTCGTGGAAGATCTTGAAAAAACGTGTTCTTGTTTTTTTTTTTTTTTTCATTATTTATCATTTTCATTATTCAAGACGTTTCTAGCAAAAAATCTTATGTATCTGCTTTATTTACGAGATCTGGCACTTGCATATTACTGTTTCTTCCCTAAACTGGAATCTTTCCTCTACGGCTATAATTTTAACCCACCGGGCGGCTCGCATTCAAATTTATTTACGTCTCGAAAACTGCAGTAAAAATTAACCATGTTTACAATTTTTTTTTCACTTGGAGTAAACCAAAATTGTCCTGAAAACGGCCTTTGTTAGATTTTCTTCCCCCCTCCTTGTAGGGCGATCAACAAGTCGTTTCACTTAAGTGATGGCTTCCTACTGTCCTTTGATTACCGCCTAGAGGCGATTAAGCAGATGGGCTGCTTTTGCCCTTACGGAGGAAGGAACACGTTTTGTGTCCATGCTTTGGTTAGACGAAAAAAGATATTTTTTTCTGGAAATCCAAAACAGAAAAGGAAGTTTTGTATTGCATTGTTACTAATTTTGTGCATATTTCTAATCTTAATTGCTTATCAGAGCCGTGCCAAGATATTTTTTCACCTGAGGCAGAAAGGTCAATGCGCGTCCACATAAATATAAAAATAGCTACACTTGTATTAAGCAAAAGTAATTGTATTAAATCAAAATGTCATAACTCTTATAGCATAATTATACCATAATTCTTAAAGTATTTTTTAATCGTAGTTTTATAAATTCAGAGAAATAATGTAGCCAATTATTTATAATTTTCAAATGAAAACGTTAAAAAATTCGTTTTTTGATAAATAAGAAATAACACTGAAATGCATATTGCATTAATTTCCAGTTTTCCTTGCAATTTTTTTGGTTTGTTTTATTGATTTAAGTTTGACGAAGCTTATTTCCCCTAATAATTAAAGTAATTTTCGAATTCGCATAGCCAATTTGGCGCCTCTTCTAGTGATTCACATGAGCCCGGCTTTGTTGCTTTTTAAGTATAAATGTTATTAATTTTTATTGCGTTTCGGTATTTTAATGTACGTTTATAGAATGTTAATTTGTTTTTATATGCATATTTCAGTAATATAATCTTACGACTAGTGAGACAGTGTAGTTTAACTAATTTTCTGTTTTTGATTCATGTTATCGAGCTTTAACGCTAAGAAAAAATTTATAAGAGGCTTAAAATACCTAATTCCTATTGAAAGCTACATCTAATTGATAATTAAATTACTATTAAAATAACAAACACATGCTCAGTGTCAGTCATTTCGACATAATGTTTGTAATTTATTTTACCACAAATTTATTTCGTTTATCTTGTTTCATATTTATAAAAGGGGAGTTTACCTTTATCGCATTTATTGGTTTGATAGAAGTTATGAAATATGAATATTTTGAAACAAATTTCAGTCATAATAACCTTATTAAAAATTTTCTACATATAGACAAGATGTCACAGATACCTCTCAGTTTCCGAACTAAATTACATGGTACTGAAATTCGGTGCATTTTCATATGATTATTTTTGACAGAAAGAGTTACCTTACATAAATCACAAAAGAACATTGTTTTAATTCTTAATTAAATATAGCACTTGTATTAAATTGCTAAAATTCATTGTTAGGAAAATCGCGCTCTAAAAAATTAGACACTTTTACCTTTCAAAGTGGAATTTTTGTAGTTTTCTCTGTGCATAATGTGGGCGCGAGTAAGTTTTTCTTAGAATGTCCTCCACGGAGGCATTCCTCCCTTTAGGCAGATAGCTCTCCCTTGCTTTGAAGGAAAATAAAGCAAACCAAAACAAAAGCTTCAAAATTGGTGTTTAAAATTTTTTTGTTTCGCAAATTACTTAGAGATCTCAATTCACATTATCAAATGTTATTATTTAAATAAATAAAAGCAAGCTGAGGATTTCCATTTAAATTGTTTGTTTTAAAATAAAAAATAAGAACAGTAAATTTTTTAATAAATCTTGTCAACATCAAATAGGGAGGGACAGGAACATGCCAATGTAAAATTTAATATTAGGCTAAAAAGAAATGCTTTCATGTAGATTTTGGATAAAACTTAATCAATTTTGCAGGTAGTTAGAGACAGGCACTTCTTCAGTAGAGAGGGGAAAAAAATGCTTCTGAAGTATTTGTGTATTTATTACATAAATGTTTTAATGCTTCCATAGCACTTCTAATTGAAAGAATCTATTTGATGAAAAGTAGAAAGTTTGCTTTTAAAATTCCGATTTTTCAACCGTTTAACCATATGCGGCATTGAAGAACACGCCTGGCTGGGAGGCAGATTTTAATGGCTGAAAAATTCTTAGAAATTAAAGAGGCATCGAACAAGAAAATTTAGGGATGGCGAAATTCTAAGAATTTGGCACTTGACAACACGGCAAAAGTTTTAGAATGTAGAGAGCTACAGAATTTAGGCAGGGCAAAATATTTTAAATTTATAGAACATCGGTCAGTAGAATTAAGATCCCACAGCGATTGCACTGAGAAACAAATCGACCTGCTTCTCGATTATGCGGATGGACGCAGATTAACTTCCGAAAGCTCAGTGAAGCAAGAGCTATACATAATGCAGCTATTTACGATTTCTGCTATAATAAACTGAAATTTAATATAATAATTTAACACTATATATCAGTTTACGAAAACATGATGATACTTTTGAGAAATTTTCTTTGATTCCCCAGTACACTAAAAAAAAAAAAAAATGTACAACAGATTATATAATGATATTACTAACAAAATGATGCCGATGACGCATTTAATTTTTATCTTTTTATTAATCTAAATAAATATGTCATAGAGTTTTCCATAATTTATAGTTTTGCAAATTAAAAATGTTCAATAATATAATATGTGATTATGGTATTATTGGTATGGTACTATTCAAGGCAAAGCACACGAGGGTTATCTGCCTAAATGGAGGGATGCCTTCGTGGAGGCCTTTCTAAGGGAAACTGCCTCGTATACACGTTACACATGGGAAAAACCACGAAAACGACCATGTGAAGAGAATCAGAAAACCGTAATAAAAAATTTAACAATATTTCAAAAGATAGGAAACAAGCGGTGCATTGCAAGGGTTGTGTGGATATTTTAAGAAATAAAAATATCATTTTCTTCAGCTTCCGATTTTATATGAACTCAGCACTGAAACTTTGTTGACGCATAGTATAAACTTTGCAATGTACTGTTATGAAGTTTAAAATTTTTTTAATTCAATTTACAGGTGGAAAGCTTCTTCCAATATCTTTGATGCTACGCTGGATATTAACTCAAAATCACTTGCCGGAGGTCTCTCAAAAGTCGACTGGAAATCATCATATCCTCCATTGGAGAAGTAATAAGATAACATACATTATTTTCATCAAATTCATTCTGTATATACAGAATTATTCGAGAAATTATTTCTTCTAAATCAATATATATTTATGTAGCATACTAGAAACTTACTGAAGTTTATCATTTAACTGTTGTACACTAATGCCACAATTTTAAAGTTTCTTAGAGCCAAGAGCATGGCTGTAAAATAATGTATAATTATTACTAGATGTCGTGTGCCTTATTATTAATAGTATGAATGCAGTTTAAAATATTCTGTAAAAATGTCGAATTAGTATTTTTATCATTATTATTATTTCCTATTATTTTATCGTAATTTCATGTCCTGCCATTTTTATCGTTCATATTATTCTATTAAATGGATGGCTAAGCAAAAAGGTTTCTCATCCACATTCAAATTAAGCTTGTGTTATTAGTAGTTTTGTAAGGATCTTAAGTTTTACTAACGTTTATTTTATATTAAATCTTTACTATCACTTCTTATTTTCTACTTCCGGCCAGAATTAAAAGCTTTAACTTATTTATGCAAATTTGTCTGGTGAACGCCAAGTACTTAAGTTGTGGCTTTTTGCCAAGCGAGAGAGAGGAAGGAGTTAGTAGAAGCAGGCCGCTTGCCTTAGCAGTTTTTACTCGGTTGCTGGTTGCCTTCCAGGCCAGAGGTTTAATCCTCTTAATAATTTTAAACGTATTGTAGTGTTAACAGTTCTCTATACTACATACGGCTTCCTGTTAATATACGGCCAATCTTCCACGTAGGCCCTTGTTTATTATTCCGAAGTTAAGTTAGAGTTTAGTTAATATTTTTATATTCTTACGTTCAGACCACAAGTGGTTGGTCTCTGTATTCCGAAGTCCGGAAATTATTGTAAAGAGTGAAAAATAAAGGGTTTCGTTTACCCTTCCTGTGTATCTTGTCTATTCCCACATTTATTGAACATAGCTTTAGTAAGCTCCCTGTTCCAAGTCAGGTTCTGGAATGTTCCCCAAGCAAGTAAGGAGAAACACTGAACCTGATAGTTTCATTCAAAAAGTGATCGAAATTTTAAACTGTAATATTACTCTCAAAAATTTATATCAAAACTTTAGTAATATTATTTAGTTTTGTAATCAAATGTCGAAATTAAACTGATCTTAGTACATTTTCACTGATCGTCAAAATCGCTATTCATCTTATTCGAAGTTATAAACACCTGGGTATTTTTACTGGGAAATTTCTAGCATTTTCGTATCTTCTGCAACATTTATTTCTTGTCTGGTGCTGTATCATCACATTTTATAGTTAATGAGGATTTAATGCTGCATAAATAGTAAAATATTCAGAAAATAAAATGGAATTTTTTTAATTTGCAGCTTACTCCTATTATATATTATAAGAATGTAAAGATAATTATATTTGTACATCAAAGCAGTGAAACATTAATTTTTTTCTGAATAAGTTTCAAAATGTTTTACGTACTTAATTAAACAACGTATTAATTTTTGGAAATTTGCAGGCTTAAATGTGCGCTGAATTTCTATGTACAATCTGGAACTCTACATGGAACTGTAGCTGTGGATGGGGAACAAGATGAAAAAGAAGTATATTTATTCGGTCAGCGAATCAGGAATTTAGGTATGTCTGCTTAAATTACTTAATTGGAAGATGAATATGTTGTACAGAAAGATAAAAAGAAATTAAAAATATGCGCGGAACAGAAAATTGTTGGAAGTATTTTCTTAAAGGTTCTGAATATATATTTGTGTCCAGTCGAAGATTAAAGTTTGCAGTTATAATTAAAAAATGCTGTTTAACAAGAAAAATTACATCTCTAGACCTCTACTTACAAGGAAGCATCTCCAACTTTCTTTCTGATCTTCTATTTTATTAATTTTGCGAAGATCAAAGAAAATTGACTGATAGCTGACGATCTTTGCACGCAAAAATTAAGAAAGGATTTTAAGAAATCAAAATAAATTATTCTTTGAATGCACTTGAAGTATTTTTATTCTTTGTCCTGCAGAGCCATCTGAAAATGGATCTAAGGCATTACAGATGTTTTCTAATAATTTAAGAAACATCCATCTTGCGTTTGTTTTAGTATGTTTTCTCGAAAAGGTAAGACAATCGAACTAGTGAACTAGCAAAAGGAACAAAACATTAAAACATATCCGGAGGGCATTTGCTATTAGTTACACGATGGCAAGGCATATCTAAGAAATGTAAATGTTTATGCAGCTATATTTATCTTCTTTTGTAAACGTAGTTAATGCAAAAACTATAAATACGTGTGGTTCAATATATTACAGATAAAGTGTAACTATGCGGTTTTTACGTCATTATTTAATAAAAATTCCATAATATGCAAATTAAGTACAAGAAAAACATATTTTAACGTGAAAGCTGATTTGCATAGCATTTGCGAGGTTATTGTACTGTGGTACATACGATATTATGTTTTAATTCACGCAGTTATTCAGATGTTCGTTTGTTATCCTGGATCTGATTTTAAAAAGAAATTTTTAACTTTCCAGAAAGTAGTGTAATCCAAAGCAGGGGTTTAACCTTTAAGAATGGGTACTTTTTTTAATCTAAGCGTATTCAAAAATCTCTTAGTGATTTCCTTGTTTTTAATTATAGATCAGACTGAAAAGGAGATTAAGCATATGTGTAGAATATATGTGAAAATCAATTATATCCATTTCTAGATTAGTAGAATTTTTGTCTAACATATTTGCAATCTGTAGTGATAATTCGAAAATGATGACGCGTATAGTATTGAGAGCAATGTTACCGTGCAACGTCTACTGTAACATAGCGTGTCGGCTGTGCTTTTGAGCGTGTGGCGCAACTGGAATTTGAGTTTTCCCTCTTGCTCAGAAGTATGAGAAGGGAGCAGACGTGCAATGCGAGCCACATAAAAAGACTCGCGAGATACATGTTGGACATCCCTGGCCATAGGTAACCGAAGCTGCCGAAACGAGTAAAATTATGTGTTTTTCCAGTGGTATATTGCGCGGGAATTTGACATAGATTTTCAAAAAAATTTTTTTTCTAAGACCTATTTCTCTTACTCTAAGAAAATATCTTGGCATGACTTGGTGTTTAAAGTATAGAAGAAGAAAAGAATTATACATTATGTGAACAATTTAAATTGCATTATGTGAACAATATTGGAAAAGTTTCTTAAAACAAAATCGAGTTTTATCGAGCAAAATTGCCAATTACTGAGCTATTTATTATTCTTCAGAAGGTTATTCTATGCTACGAAATTCTCGGAGGCATATTGTTTAATTTATTAAGGTTAGCTGCAAGTTTAATAGAAAATGCTGTTTTACAAATTACAGGATCATTAAACGTCAGAACGAACAACTTTTGATTTATTGATGTTCCTTTTTCTAGGATAAGGTTTCCTTTCATTTCTGATATCACAAAATAATCCTATTCATTTTCTAATAATCCGCAAATTTTAAAATCTGAACGCATAACTTTTAACTTAAGAATATGTAACAAACATTTTAGCAACTAGAAATTTTCCTGCAAGGGGTTTACATAAAAGTTTCAAACTTTGTAAAAAAAAGCCTTTCTTTTTCAATTTTGAAATTACTATCAAATTCTCTACTACATTTTGAGAAACTTTGTAATGCCCATTAAGCTTCCATGTAAAATCCTATAATCGCCGGTTTCGAATCTGTATATAGTATGATCACATGCAAGGTTATTTAGTTGATGTTATATGAATAAATTATTGGTGAAAAATTGTAATTTTGGTCGAGAAAAATAGAATGCGCATAAGTGTGATTTGTAATTGTGTGCTAATGAACTGTTCAGCTTTTGAAATGAAACTGGCATCCTTTTCTGCTGATGTGGGATGAAATATTAAAGTAATGTAGTTGTTCTGATGATGTGAGATGAAATATTCATGTAATGTAGTAAATCGGAATACAGAGAACGGAAAAATGAGTGCATTATCACATTATTAAAATGCCATTATTTAGCGAAAACTTGTAAATATCATATTCAATTTATTTAACTGTTAAGAATAACTATCATTAAAAATATAGGTGGAGCATTTTAGATTTTTATATTATCTATGGTTTAATGTTCTTAGTGGTTTGGAATAGTAACTACTGATTGTGTTCTGTCATATTGAAGAGAGCTCTATGAATACTTTTGTAGAAAGTATTAAAACTTTAGCGTTTCTTTTGTGAAAACAAATTTTAATATCGGTTAACTATCATAGATTCTGTGTGAATTCAATCCATTAAAAACCAGTACGCATGTAAGAATATATATGATATTAATAAATAGAATAATGTTGATCTGGAAAAGAATTTAAAAAAAAAGTCTGGCTTAATTTAACGTAAATTCATTCATGCAGTGCAGACTAATATTTCTATCATACTTTTGTTTTCAGGCGACACATTGTTCTTGGAGAATAGTGAAATAGATCACATGTTGGGATATGTTCACCAAGTATATCTTTTTATTTTCTCCATTCTTAAATGATCCTATTTTATATTAATATGTATTGGTTATATTTTAAAGCAAATAATGTGATAATAAATACATGTCTCATTCTTGGAATTTATTTCGTTATTTACAGAATGGAGTTTATATTTACCTAGCGAAAGCTTCTTTAAGTAATGTTGTAAAAGAGTGAGTATATATTCATGCCATATATAAAATATAGTGCATGCTCTTAAATATGGAGTATTTCATATGTTATTGAATGATGTATCTTAAATAAATATGTTATAGTTGACGGTAAATTACGTTATACTGTATTACCTAAATGTGGAAAATGATTGAGATGATACAACTTGTAAGTGGAAAGTTGTTTTAAATAATATACTCGTATATATATTAATGATGAAAAAAATATATATATAAATGATGGAAAATAAAGTAAACTTTTATATTCAAAATCGTGCAATAAGAGCGACATGTAAGGTTATATAGTATTACTATTACAGAATAGCTTTCCTTTGGCATTATTAAAACGAAATTGCATCGTTACTGTAAGATAAATATTTCCGAAGTTCTGATGCGAGTTATTATTTAAAAATTTAAATCATTAAATTTTATCCGAGAGGAAGTGCATTGATTAATGATAAACGCAATATTAATTCTTTAATGTTTTATATATGTATGATAGCTTGTCAGTAAAGAAGGAAACAAAAAAATTACGCTAAGATTCAACATGTACTGTTCAAAGTCCGAAACCCGGGTTTCCGATATCCAGAATGATCCGAAATCCGGACGTCTGGATCACCAGAAACTTTTTTTTTTTTTTAGAAATTTATTAGACAAGAAATTTTATGCTTTACTCTTGGTCATTTGATGTTTATTCATAATTAAAAAATGTGAAGAGTTCCTATTCTTAATTTCACTCCGGTATTGACGCCAACCTGGCGAACTCTGCCCACAATGTGAGATCTCCGTGTGCCTTTACGGGTGGTCCAGTCATCTCACCATCTTTTTTCTCCCACTGGTCCTTGTCTTTAGATTGCTTTATAACTTACTAACAGTGCTTTCTTCCCTTTACTAAGAACGTGGATTTTGGATTCTATGAATATGAAATATCCTGTTTATTGCACCACAACTTGCTGTTTCCCAATATATTGTTCCCCTTCCTCCTCCTACTGTAAAGCAGTTTTCAAAAGAGAGGTATTAACTTGCCATTTTATTGCTCTCTTGTCACAAAACTACTTTTCACTGAGCACAAACTTGCCTTTGAAACCTCAAAAGATTATTAACAAAGAGTATTTCTATTTTTTCTGTTTTTACTCTATTTTAATTTTTAAAGTTTGCTTTCAGTGCCACTTAAATACAGGGCCCCTTACTAAGACATAAATAAATTAAGGTCCCTATTCAACGGAACCAGGATTAATAGAGTTGTCCCTTAAACAGAAGTGTCCTTTATTCGGAAGTGACTCTAACAGGAAGTACTACTGCATATATCTTCGCTTGATAAAAATTTTAATTATCCTTTCTGATGTTAATAATTTTGCTTTCATATTGATGATAAAATTAACTGTAACGGCACAAGAAGCTTAATTCCATTTATACATAATCATGAAACGAAAAAAAATATGTTACTGATACTTGAATTGGTTATGAATTAACTAATTCCGAGCATTGCAACATGCACCATGAATATTTCTAAATTCGACTTCAAAGGGTTTGAAGGTAAAAGTTCTTCTTTAAAGTATTTAGTTAAATGAGTAATATTTTTCTCTCTCCTTTTCCTATGATGGCAGAAGTTATAAACACAATTTAAATCCGTAAAGACTTTTATAACAAAATTGATTTGTAACTCCAGAATTGGCAACACTGGTATGCGCATAGCAAAGTAAGTATCTTGCTGTGTATGTCTAGCGAGTTGTGCAACGTTAGCATTCTAGGGCACAGTGAAAGCAGTTTCTCTAAAGCGTTTGTTACGGAAATGATTAATACATAATTTGAATAGAGAATTATTATTAACTTTTCTGTTAAAGTCAAGCAAAAAGCCATCTGAAAATTGTAACAAATTGCGTGACGTGTAAGGTGAACGTTGAATATCACAGTGTGTGTGAGTGGGCTGATCGTTTCAGAGATGTTTAATATTTTTTTTTATATCCATGGTTTTGTGTGTAAAGAGTTTGTACCACCGAACCAGAATGTTAATGCAAACTTTTTTCATGAAGATTTATAAAGTGGAGAGATCTGTGAGTAAGATCAGACTTGGAGACGAGAGGATAGATCATACAACATAGAAATTCATCAGTTCATTCAGTACTTTTCATGACTAAATTCCCTCTCCCTCCTCCCAGAAAAAGGCACATTTCCTCATCTTGTTAAATAATTCTCTCTTCTTGCGATTTCCTTTTCATAAAGTCTGCAATAAAAGAAAATAAGCTTTATTAGCTTGTAGCTTGAAGACATGGAATACGAAGACGGTTTAGAACTGCGTTGACGTTGGATGACTTTCGCAGATATTTTTTGCATTTGCAGAAAGAGGAGGATGCGGCACAAGGTGTACATTTGCGGGAAGTGTATTGGGATGTAGTGTAAAAATGATTTTCAGTGAATCGCTAATAAAGTTGTTCTAAAAAAAATTCTCATTATTTAATTACCGTACCTCACATCTCAATTTGATCAGTTTGAATAAGCGGTGATTGTACTGAAATATATTCGCAATAATTTAAATAAGTATTCACTCTGTTATCCTGATTCCGTTAACAGTTTAGATTTATTGCCTGCATATATGAAAGAGAAATTACCTTTCCCGTTGACATCTGTTAATCTTGCAACAACTCGTCTTCATTATAATATTATTATATGTTACCCTACTTAAAATCGTATCCTATTTTCCTCGGATGAAAATGTAAAAATCGAGTTTACTTGGAGAACAAATTAAGAAACTCTGGATTAGCAAAGTGGGTTGTATCCCAGTTCAGTTTTATTCAAAATAATTTCTAATTCTAGTTTATGCTTTGGCTGCATCGTACAACCAGACTGCGCCCTGAAATTTGCGAAGAAAACAGAGATAATCGTTACGGAGTCAGAGGATGTGACATCCGTAAAATCAACGTTTCAGAACGGTAAGAATACTTTAAAATAGGTCTTTTATTTCTCTCTCGTTTTTTAATTTCAGTAAAATTAGAGTAACAATTATAAGGTATTTCTCCCTCCTTCTTAGCATGCCTTCGTGGTGTAATAGAGAGCACAGTCGACGCGTATTCGAGATGTCCGAGGTTTGAGTCCCAGTGAGGTCATTGTTCATTTTTCATGTCTCCTGCTTCGAAATAACCTAATGTCTCTACACACATTTATCAACTGTTTGCTTCACGTTCGTTTAGAAAAATGCTATGTAATTTTTTTCTGTTTTCCGTAAAAAAATATTTAATTGTTTTTCGGAATAATTGGTTCCATAATTTTGATTCATTTTGACTACTGGTTCATTAATTTTGATTCAATGATTATTTTCTGCACCATGCGCATTCTTACCTTTACTACACTGTGGCATCCTTAAAAAATGAGGAACCGCTAGGGTATAATATTTGTATGTAATGCTTAATGTGCGCAATGAGAAGGCTGTGCCCGATGACGAATTTATGCAAATCTTTGATTTTATTTTAAGCAAATAGAGATCGCTATGTATATGGAAAGAATTAAATTGTTGTTCACCCCATGTTACATTGCAGTATGTTTTCGTTTTAAAAAAGCAGAAAATTGCAGTAATTTGGCATCGCTTATAGCTTCGGCACTGCGAACATTAAGCATTATAATATATTATATTATATGATACATTGTAGCTATTACTGGTATTACAAGTTTGCCAGTTTTAGTGACTGATCGAAGTAGCTTCTTTAATAATAAAGTACCATTTCCATGGAATAATCCGAACTTTATTAGATCCAGAATAAATGCAAAAAAAAAAAAAAAAATACAAACAAAAGATAGGCTTTACAAGATTCAGATTACATAGGAAGTATAAAATTACCGATTTCATTTAACATTGCGGAGAACATCTGCGTGTTTTCATGCAATCACCGTCAAGTGGATATTTTATTCACATGCATGATCACTATAGAAAGTTTCGAGGCGATTGTTATCGGGAAGTTTGATAGCTTTTCTTGTGAAGGACTTAAAGCGAACCAGTTTAGAGAGTACAGAGGAAATGAAGATGATAGTGAGACATCATACGTGATCAGAATGGAGACAATGAAGTATGTACACAATTTGTTAAATTCAAGAAATTAAAAAAAAAAAGAGCAGAAGGAATAGATGTAAAATAAATATAACGTGCAGAACTATATTTTCGAAAAGCAAACAGAAGGATTTTAATTCAATTGCAAAAGAGAAAATGAGATAAAAAGAACACCAGCAAACACAAACGAAAATTTCAATATATACCTGGTTTTTTTCAATATACGAATGAATTAACATCCTTTATCAACAGAAAAGTTAGTTAGAAGCAGCTAAGAATTAGTTTCTTTGGAGGCTAACGGTAAATAGAAATTAGAATATTTTGATTTCCATTTTTTCTTTCGTTTACAAATAAATAAATAAAAAGCATTATTTCGCGTTCAACATTCCTGTACGATGTCATTGTATTGTATTGTATTATATTTATACTTCTCATTAGACTCACAAGACTGAAGGCAGCCGATTCAGTAGCAGAAATAAGAACATTCTTATTAGATTATTCTTATTATTTATATATGAATTATTTGTAGCACTATGTGTAAAGTTGTCAATATAACAAACCTTGCTACTGTAACTATTTCTTTCTGCTAGCGAACAATATAGATTTGCCTTCCGCTGATCCGTCACTTTTCCGTTTCGTCAATACCTTAGGTTGGAAGCCCGCCCAGCGGTTAAAATAAAATACGAGTAAAAAATATTTTAATGGATATACCTATCAGTTACTTTGAATCAGTAGGAATGTGCATGCAAAATATTTAGTTCAGGCTGCATTAAAATTAAAAAATCTGAGCATTGCCGCATTCAGTGTATTGTTTATAAGTACATACGCATACAATGTATTGTTTATAAGTACATCCGCATACAGTGTATTGTTTATAAGTACATCCGCATTCAGTGTATGGTTGCTGGTTTAATCAAAAATAAATTGCTACTTATTTGGGTTGATTTCAGAATGTTCTTTGGAACTATGACAATATAAATTTTTTGCAGAATGTTCTTATAAACTGAGTGGATCGTTCTCTAGTCCAGTCCTGCAGATCTACAATAAAAGAGACGGTGTTGCAACTTCTTTCAGTCTGTTTAGTTTCAATGCAGATGAGAAGAAAGGAAGCGGAGTTCACATAAAAAGGTTTGATTCGAAATATTTTTTAAATTTTAATGTTTTAGTTTGACATTCTTTCTTTAAACTTTAATCCAATGCAATAATATAAATCATAAATTTTCGAATCAGCCAATTTATTCAGTTCAGAACTGTGGGAGAATAATACTAAAATATGTTTATAACATTTTTTATAACATTCAAAATGTCATTAAAAGTTTTTTTTTTATTTTGTGTCTTTCTTTATAAGCACTTTTATAAGAGCTTCTGCTCACATAGTTTTATATATACTCTGAAGAATATTAATTACATTCTTTGACAAAGTCCTTTCGATTTGTTTATGGACACTCTTCTAACTGATACACCTCGCTGATATTTACAAAAAATGTCTGGTCCATCTGGGGCACTGATCATGTATAGGTAGTTTTGCACTAGAGAAAATGTGAAAAATGGAGCAATTACAGCACTTTCCATTCATGACTCTAACTCCATTTTGAAGTTTGTCAATAAAGACATTCATTAGTGAGCGACATTAACACCGCTATCAAGATATTTTTGTTTTCCCTTCAATTTTCTAACTCTGGAACGGGACTTCTGAATATGACTTATGCGTTCATATTTAGTGACACTACTTAAATATAAATATCTTTTACGTCACAAATCACTTTCAAAAATTTCTCCTGCCGATGAGGAACATTTTAGTTTTAGTTCACTCCATGGGAATTGCTTTATTAATATTATTCTCAATTTCCTTCACAACCCGTTTCATAAATTTGTTCCTTACGGATTTCGTTTACAAACACGCATTTTTTTATCACCCTTTATTATACTTTTATCTCGAATGTTATTAAAAATAATCAAAGACTAAGATAAATCTAATTTCAGTATGCAATGTTTCGAATCAAATCAAACTCATATGCTAGCGAGGACACAACACTTTCAAAAGGTAATTAATAAAAATATTGCATTTTATTGGAAATAATTTCAAGTTGCTGCACAGATTAAAGATAATATTCTATTAATTCACTCTTTTTAAAAGTCTTTACATTACATTTCAAAGGTAAAAAATTATTTATGTCCATTTCTAGCTCTTTTGAACCCTTTGAATGCGCACTTTCTCTGATTTAAATGCCCATTTGCGGTTTTTGTGTCATTATGAAATCCTTAATATCTCGGTTTCTAATTAACGTAGAAACAAAAGCAGACCAGTTCTCGAAAGCTAAATAAACAATCTATCCAATAAACGAATAAAAGATAATTGCCATTTTTTGCCAAAATTGGCCTTTTCAACGTGTTCGGATAAGTTGAATATGAAGTTAAAATTTCAGGAAGTTGTCTAATATATATGTATATTTAATAGCCGTGTTCTTTATTTAATAGCCATAGCCTTGCGCCAGTACAATGATCAGAAGTGGTGGCATTTCATTATGAAAGCACCTAATATGTGGCCTCCTTTGCGCCGAATGAAGGGACGGCCAGTCACAACCATGCCTTCACCGGTATTCGAACCCCGACCCATCGCTACGGCAGTCAGGGTCACTAACCACTTTACCGGCTGGGCGGTTTATAATAATAAATTGTTGCGTTCTGCACGGGTTTGTGAATTTGGAGTTATTAACCACAACACTTGATGAAGCATGAAAACACAATTTATTTGTCAGTATTACTCTGGATAGTTCCAAAAACACGTTTATAGTCGTCGAAAAACTACGGCAAGCACGCTGAAAGAATCAGCAACACAGTTTTCAGGCTATCAGGCTGTAACGGTGAAGAAAGATTCATGGCAAAGCACTAGAGTACAGCTCTCGATTCTGTTCGGTCGTTTTCGCAACTCAACGTACTCTCGAGTTTCTCCATGCTATAACTCTTGATGCACTCGATGATAGCCTTAACGATGCTCACTCTCGATGCACCAACTTGTGATACACTGCCAAGACACACTCACGATGCACTAACTTGTGTTACACTCGACGATCAACTCGAGAGACTACGAGACACTCTCTAGACTACTACTTCGTGTACAGGCAAGGTTTATATAGCTTTTGGCCTGCCTTCAAGACCATTATGAGCCAAACTGGTAAGAATTCGTTCCAGAATGTTCTCCAACTTTCTACAGCATATCTCCGATTATGTCGCGAAATGGGCGATTTCATGCCAAATCTGGCAACCCTGACTTGCTGCGGGAAATCTATCTTACCGCAGTTGGACATTTCGTAAGAATATTGATGTAATGAAAAATTCTTTCTTTTGTCCTGTACTCGCTCGTATCAGAAAACTTCTTTTAAATAAAATAATCCTTCTGGTTTGTCCATAACTTCAATCAACAACTGAGACCAAGTCTTACATGAAGTTGGAATAAGTTTTATGATGCCTACTAAGGCATCATGTGACATACATTTCTCACCATGTACAGTATTTTCACTTGCTATTCTTTGTGTGTTGGTGTGATTTGTCTCTTGCTCGACTGTTTCTTTGCATACAAAATGCAACATAATGGGAAGCTTACTTGCATTACGTACTAGAAATACTACGGCCTTGTCATCACAGAGACTCTTCTGCTGTCCTCGCAATACGTGTTTTGAAGTAATGGTAGAATACGTATTGTAGTAGTTCCTACCTTTATAATATAAGCTGAAGAATTGAGAAAACTTTGGTCCTCCTTCATATTAAGAACCCGTTATTTAAATCGCACGAAAGTTACGATAATTGCCAACGTATATCTCATACCATCGCCAAATTCTATTTTTGTTTTAAACTTCTTTGTATATAAAAAAATCCTTAAATATCTATTTATCTCTCTTTATATATATATATGTATATAGACGATAAAAATACATTAAAATGTGGCCTAATCAGATATCTTCCTAGGTGGACTATAAGAGATCCTGTTTTAGGGCTGCCGGCCACTTGGCGACTATTTGTGACTTTTTGGTGCTGTTTAAATAACAGGAGCCATATTAACAATTAAGTACCGAAAATTCATCTCAAAAACTTTAACTCTTTCAAGCGTATATTTGTAAAACATTTATAGTTTTCTTAGTTTTATGATAACTTAAGTTAAGTTAGTAATCACTGACTATCATAAAGTTAATACTTTTGCTATTTTTGTTATTAAAACTTTTACATCATATGGATGGTAAATTTTTTACGTTTATGCAATTGATGAGCTCAGAATCTGAAGCTCATTTGGCATAGACACATTTCTTTTTCAAAAATCATGAGTGATATAGCATTTTTAAAGAACTGTTTTGAATAAAGAAGATATAAATCGTACAATGTTTTTATCAATTTCATACGCAAGATTTTATTTCAAGAACAGGCTATTAAAATATGGCGAAATGTATTTAAAATGTACGTATTTTAGATGTCTTTTTAAAATCAAAATGAGACCATTTTCTGCCATTTGCTTCCAGTTTACTAAATGAAACATGAAGTGTTTTACAAAACAGACGTGTAATTTCAATTCTTATAATCATTTTACATTAATATCTTAAGTTTTTTTTAATTAACTGTTCAAAATATTCACTTGATTTTAGCATAAATTTAACCATAACCTCCCCAAAAACATATATCAATTTTAGTACAAATAGCAATTAAAAAGTCTTTAATCAAATAGTAAAAGCTGAAAAAAAAACTAAATAAAATTTAAAGTTGACAGGCTTAATGCGACGAGGAAAAAGAGATTTACCGGCCGGATCTGATTTCATAACATCCTTTTTTTTTTAATGAAGTTTTCCTTCACTATAGTAAAAGCTGAAGCTTGAAATTTTCTACTGGTTTCGATTTGGTTATTTAAATTTGGCAAAACACACTAGAAGTGTTTGCCTGAGGGGAGGGATGCCGTCGGTGAGGACATTCTAACGAAAACTGGCTCGTATTCAAGTGACATATAGCGAAAACCCCCAAAAATTAGCCATGCAGCGAATCCGTTCTCCTGGGATTAAACCCAGGTCGAAACTTCGAGCTTTAGCAGTCTTGACCCCTCGGTTACTATTAAGCCTCTTTCCTTTCGGTAATCAAGGCAATGTCTATGATCTTGAATTAAAATGACTTCCAAATGATTTGCCAACTTGAAATTGTAGTGCTAAGCCAACTTTTTATAGTTCAAATAGTAAAAGCTATTTGAACGCTTTTACTATTTGAACTATAAAAGGCTATGTAGTATGAGTGAATTACTCTCATGTGTCAGTTCTTCGCCTAAATGAAGAATGTAGCTGTATAAAAACCTTGTGTGTGAAATAAATTAACAATTTAAATTTAGTAATGATAATCATCGCTGTATTTGTTAAGAAATAACGCAATTTTTTTCCAGGCATATTACAGAAATATCCAGAAAAGAAATGCCAGAGGTTACAGTAGAGAAAACATCTCTTTCGGGTATGAAAATTTGAATATACACATAAAAAATTTTGAAATTATATTCTAATGAATACTCTTGCGTAATCATAAATAAACTAATTAGTTGCTTTAAAAAAATAACGGCTTATTTTGAACTAAAATTAATTACAGATGAGGTGTTCATTATCGAAAGTATTTGATAAATATCATTACAGCTAATTTTGGAAATGTTGGCTTTTTATTTCAAACATAAGCTGTTAGAATATGATCTTTAAATATTATGCATTACCAATTTCTAGTTCCTTTCCGCTTAAAATGAAACTTTAAAAGATCTGACCTCGAGTGTTACGCTTTACGGGAAACACAGCTCCTTCAGTTACCAGATAGTTTATTTTGTGAAACACAAATAATAGTAAGTTAACATAAGGAAACTCATAACTCAGGTGGGGACTTTGGCGTCCATTATGTATTCATTTTGCACTTACTGATTGCCACTGGCTACCCATGACCACCGTTCCGGCCTCTGGACCTCCGCTCGAAGACTACTTATTTATCGCCTGTTAATCGTCTGCTGTAACCAAGGTTGGAAATAAGCATTATGTACTTTGGCTTTCGACATTCCTTAGAGAAAATATTTAATATGCAAATTTATATTGGTCAATATTTGACACAGGCGGTCATGACTTTTCATACTAAGTTACTCATAACTAAATTACATGCTTTTTCATGCCTTGACTAAAGTTACAGGAAGCTGTTGTTGTTCCAATTTCACTTGCTAGATAATGGTCAGCACAAGTACACGACATTCGTAGTGGCAAGACGTCAGATGCGCCTTTCGTTGGCAAGAGCGTTGAGTACATATAGGAGACAGCCCGACTTTAGCTCACTTCCGCTCCCAGTTTTGAGGGAGCAGCCCGGGGATGGGTCCGGAATCCGGACTTTTAGGTACGGCAATCAGAGTCACTAACCATTATCCCGGCTGTGAGGCAGAGTAAGCTGCCAGGTGTTATGAGAGCAATGCCAGTAGTGGTGAGGAGAGCTTCATTTCGTCTAACGTGTTTGAATCACATATTTAGCATGTTATATCTGTTTTTCGACATTTCCGTAAGAAAACAGTCCAAGACTTGAGGTCCGAGGAGAGAGGCAGCCAGAATATTTTGAACACTATCCTATTCCAAAGGAAGGACTTGATGGAGATTATTATAAATCTGTTACACTATATTTTAATACTATAAACTAAATTCTGCAGCACAAACAGCCCTTAGAGATCCATGGCCGGTAGTGCACCCTGATATCTGCTTTCTAGACGTGGGCACCCGGGGGGGGCTTGGGCATCTTTGCTTGGACAAGTAGTCAGCTTGCCGCAGGAGCCCCGGTGTTTAGTTCCCAAGCGAATTTGGTACTCATTTTATTGACCCACTTCAGGGATGAAAGGCTGAGTCAACCTTGCCCAACCCTGGGATCGAACCCTGGACCTGTGGTGCTGCTGCGCGACGCGTTAGGTTTAATACTATACTTGTACTATATTTTAAATTTTTGGAGCCCCCCAAGAAAGGGGTGTTCCTAAGCTATAGCTTGTGTAGCGTATACGTAAATCCTGCACTGAGCTTGTATTTGAGTTAGAGTAGACGATAATTTTACCATGTCGCTTACTGTGAAAAATGGGAGAAAGAAGAAATACTTTCCCTCGTACTTCAAAGACTTTCTTTAACAACGGTACATTTTCAATAAATAATAATAAATAAATAAAATATAAAAAAGCAGAGTCAAACTTCACAGATTTTAAACTTTTTTAAATAAAAGTTTTTTGTTTTGTTTTGTTTTGGTTCTGAATTTTGTTGTTTTCAATATATTACTAATTTGACATATTGCGTTTAAATTATTTAGAGGATATATTATGTGGATACTCAATATAGCTCCTTAACATTGAGTCTCTCATTAACACTGACATATCTTCATTGCTAAATCATTATGCTGAGTATCACTTCACAGTGGATTTCATAATAGGACTACGCACCTTTGGGCCCATGGAATTGAGTAAAAAATGCATTTTTATATATCTGTACGTATAGCATATGTGTTTTTGCACTGATGCAGAACTTCGTTTTATAATCGCCTTGAGAAGCCCCCAAATTAAATAATTTTACAAAAACATTATTAATGTAAATATATATCTCTATTCTTTGCATCCTCTTGGAAAGTTTTTCTGCTAACGCTTATGAGTAAACTGTTTGTGCAGATATTAGTTGTCAACATACTTTTATATTTCTAAATTGCGAAACAGGTGTTGTATTGAAAAAAATAAATAGTTCTGTCTATTGCTAAAATGCCACTCACTTATTGTGAATTTATGTAACTAATTTCAAAACCATAAAAATGGCATATAATAAATATAATTACTTATGTGAAGGTAAAACTCCTTTTATTTATAAATTAAAAAATAGTAATAAAATTAAGCAAATACGAAAAATAATGTTAATCAAAAATTAGCAATAGTAATATTTAACAGTTTTCTCAGAAAAATTGTTTGCAGTATTTAGTATCTAAATTCTGATATGCAGCATTAACCAGGGACACGTTCACTGCCTCCTCACGTAATGCCGAAAGGCCGTTCACAGCTGATGATGGGAGTTAAGTGCAGAAAACACCACCCCTAAGAGAGAAATTACAGGAGTGGAACTTTCGTTGCAGGAAAATCACCTTTTGCATCTTGGTATTAATTCATTTTGAGGAATCTTCATTGAGGTTTTTCAGAACGCTGCGGATTCTAACACAAGTCGCTTCTTTAGATTGTCTGGCTAAGTCCGTTATTTTCTTAAGGAAATTTTTTTTTTTCAGTTCATCTTAAGAAAAGGTTTACTGCCTGATATTTTAATGAACTTGCAATACATGTAAGGTTTGGCTGTATTTTGATATGTTGCTGATAAATTTTCTTTAAAGGATTTTACATAAAGCATTTATTTGACAATTAGCGTTGCCATTGGTGGTTACCTTTACTGACCAGCTATGCCAAGAACCAGAATTAACGGGAGGAAAAGGATCATCGTTGGGGAAACTGAGTCATTTAAGCAGAGATTTGCAAACGGTAAGTTTTCTTTAATATACGCTTGTATGTAAAATTAAATGATGACCATGTAGTTCCATTAAGCTTACTAAAGTATGAAACGTGAAAAATCAGCTGTTTCTAATAGAGACATAAACCGATGTTCCTATACGGTAGTGATTCGTGACTGAACTTCACTGACCATCTTGACTTTCCTAACGATTAATATTTCGAATGCAAAGAGGTTGTTTTAACATTTGTAAGATGATTTATGAAGTAATTAAGCCTTTGAAGAAGTCTGACTGGAACAAACTACTTTTCAGGCTATTAACCATTCGCTACTGCTGACATTACTCAAAATGAGTTTTTGAGATAAATGCTGAATAATTTATGAACTTATTTATAGAATATACTTACTGTCTACCAGAGTACACGGAATGAAATTAGACAAAAAAAAAAAAAAAAAAACGACGCACCGAGAAGATATAAAGCAAATTGGACACAAATTGATATGCATAGAGGTTTGGACGGAAAATGCAAAATTTTACATTTTGACCACCGATGTATGAAAGGTTGTCGCTACAGCGCATCTTATCTGCGCAACTGACAGAATATTTGAATATTTAAGAGGAGAAATTACGATTCCAGGTCATAAATTCTTCACGAATTTCATTCCGTGTACTCTGGTAGACAGTAAGTATGCCTCTCATACAGGTGCGCGAACGGTATGCGCAGATGTCAGAATTTGGGAGAGGTCGTGTAGTTGGGCTAAAAGAAGCCGGTTGGTCTTATCGGCGAATAGCTTGACATTTGAGCAGGAGCGATGCCACTATTAGACGATATTGGCAGGAACACAGCGTCAAGAAGGAAGTGGTAGGCCTAGAGGAACGACAGAACGTGAAGACCGAGCAATCGTCAGAGCGGCACTCGCAGCCCCAGATGCATCATTATTATTGATTGTACGTGCAACTAGTGCTTCAGTGACCGCAAGGACCATTCATAGACGGCTCATAGAAAGGTGGCTGAGGTCACGACGCCCCTTGCGCCAACTGCAATTGACCTCTGTACAACGTCAAGCCCGTTTGCTGTAGTGTTGGGTTCATTCGCACTGGAATGTCACTGACTGGAGTAGAATAGTCTTCAGTGACGAGTCCCGCTTTGAACTGAGCTCCGATGACCAGCGAAGGCGACTTTGGAGACGCCCCGGACAGCGGTGTGATACCAACCTGACTATCTTCCAGCAGACAGGCCGACAACCAGAAGTGATCGCCTGAGGTGCCATTTCATTTCATAGTAGGACAACTTTGGTTATCATCCGCCGGAACCTTATAGCACAGCGGTACGGCGACGAAGTTCTAAGGCCCGTTGTGTTGCCCTTCATGTCACGCCACCCTGGGTTTACATTTCAGCAAGATAATGCCCGCCCCCACACTGCACATGTTTCTACTGCTTGCCTTAGTGCTTGTCGAACATTACCTTGGCCAGCAAGGTCGCCGGATCTCTCTCCGATTGAGCACGCTTGGAGCGTTATGTGCAGGACCCTCCAACCAGCTCTGGATGTTGACGATTTAACGCGCCAGTGGGACAGAATATGGCACGATATCCCTCAGGAGAACATTCGCAACGTCTATCAATCGATGCCAAGCCGAATAGCTGCTTGCATAAGGGCCATAGGTGGACAAACGCGTTACTGACTTTTTCCCTTTGTACAGCTCTATCACTTCAATAAATCATCCAATTTTTCTCAAACTGTAATCATTTGTTTTCTGTACATGTACATCACTTCTACCGATTTTCGTCCCATTCGGATAACTCCTTCTTGGTGCGTCTTTTTTTTTTTTTTTTTTTTTTTCAAGAGTGTATAATACGAGAAGTCTAACACTCGTTCGATTGCTCGTTTTTTCTTTAATCACTTATTTTTCACGTTAATTCTTATTTTTATCTTATTCTTCTAATTAATCTCTACATATAATAAAAGAAAGAGTCTGTCTGTGTGTGTGTCTTTTGTTCGAGCTGCGCGTAAGCTAATAGACCCACGGCTATGAAATTTGGTACATAGGTGCATCTAGACAAGAGCCAGTGCACCTCGAAGCGATTTTTTTTGAAATTCGAATTCGAATTTTTTTTATTTTATGTTTTGCGACGAAATCGCGTCATTTTGAGACATAAAGCGAGATTTTACTCTACACAGTCCATTTTCCCATCGCCATGAAACATAGGCACTTAGCTATTTTACGAACTTAAAATAAATTTCGTGTTTCAATAAATCGATTAAATATGAATTTGTTTAACAAAGGAAGCTTAACACCTTTTCAACGGGATTTTCTAAAAAAGTTTATTTTTAAAAATGTACAGTTTATTTTTCATTGATTTTTGGACACGTTAAAATTTTATCCTTGCGACTGCTTTTACAAAAAGAATTTTGGAAAAATGATAATATTTTATATTTAAAAAAAAAATAAATGAAGCTTCCGAGTACACTTCTCACATCTCACATCTTTAAAAATCTGATTTTGGCAACAATTTTCCTGTCTTATTGTTGTTGATAGATTTTCGATGAAATCGCATCATTTTGAATAGTTTCATTCTTTTAGAAATATGGGTTTGGCAGCAATTTTTCATCGTATTTCTTATGTCAGTGTTTTAAGAGATGGCATATTTTTCATTGTCATTTATATATATATTAATACATTTTTATTGATTTTTTTTTGATAAAGTTGTTCTGCAGAGTAAACTTCTGCGCGGAATTTTATATTTTTTGAGTTGCTTTCATATTATTTTTTGCTTATTTCTCTGTTTGTAAGGTATTGAAGGTTTTGCATGATTTTTTGTTCTTCAACAGAAAGTTAGTTAATTGTTTATTAGGATAATTAATATTTGTATTAAGGGATATAGCTTATTTCATTGTAATTTTTTTCTCTTGAAAATATAGATAAAATATCATTAATTATACTTTGCTTTTCAGAATTTTTTTGCTTTTTGTATTCTTTTATGTTATTTATTGCTCATTTCACTGTTTTTAAGATATTGAAAAGTTTTGAGTGATTTTTTTTAGGAAAAAAAGTTCTTAACCTCTTTTATACCATTTGAGTTCTTAAGATTTTGCAAAGGGAAGTTTGTTAATTTATTTATTAGGATAATTAATATTTGCATTAAGGGATTTTGCTTATTTCATTGTAATTTTGGTATACGTAATAACCTTTTTTTTATGAAGTTGTTCTGCAGAGTAAATTCTACGCAGTTTTTAAATTTAACGTTTGGTGTTCCCTTCAGCCATTTTCTCGGTACATTTAAAAGCCAGACGAAGACTGGCAGCGAAGCTGCTAGTTAATAATGAAATAATTATTAATCAGTCACTAATAAATAATTTTTCTGATTACTTACTAACCTTCTTAATTCTTCTAATAATAAATAAATAATTATTAATCAGTCACTAATAAATAATTTTTCTGGTTACTTACTAACCTTCTTAATTCTTCTAATAATTTACTAATTCTTCTAGTCTTTTTAATTTCTTCTAATTCTTTTAATTTTTTTGTTTATCATTTCATCTTATATTTTTTTTATCTTATTCGGATTTTTATGTTATTATAATATTCTCATATCTCTTGTTTTTCACATATCTATATAATTCTGATTAACTCCATTAAATTGCACAGAATTTTGAACCGATAACATTACCGATAAGTCATATTTTAATTTGTGTATATTGTTGTAATAGAAATTCTGATTTTGGCTTCTTTGCCTGCATTACAAAGTTTTTGTGCTTATGAAATGAGAATATTTTTTTCCAGTTTGTAGTGCCAAAAGGAATAGTCGTGACTACTACAGCTTATCAACATTTCATTACCGAAGAAATTCTTGACAAAATAAAGCTGTTAGAAGATGTTCTATAGTAAGTAATTCAATATTTATACTGTTTGAATTCTTTTTTAAAATGTTTTCCAAATATTTGTATATTATTTACTTATAAATATTTATTTTCCTGTTCTATATGAGGTTTTTGTTCAGTTGTATAATGATTTAGATACATTTCAAACAAACTGAAATTGTATGTAATCAAAACATTTATTTTAAGCAATAAAATCTGTTGCTTGCTTTTTATCTCAAAATAAAAGATAAATTTGTGCATATTCGTTGCTTTCAATAATTTCAAAATTAAATTTCTATGTTGGTTAGTAGTCTATTATTGAATGTTTCATAAATTTTATCCGTAATAATACTGTTTTTTTAATCCTTCTCAATTACACATTCAGGTATCATTATTTCAATCCCACACATTTTTTAATTCAACGGACAAAATTATAATTATAATAAATATATGACATATAATATAAAACCTTACTTTTCCAGAGGAAGAAATACAGAAGGGATGAAAAGACTTCTATTACTATTTTAATTAATTATGCATTTTAAATAATTCTGTATTCCTATATATTCATGTGTATTACAAATTAATTATAAAAATGGCCTATAAGCAAGAAAGCCTTCTTGAAATATATGTGTTCAGTATAAGTAAAAAAGCCCTATTGAAATATAAATGTTCAGTATAAGCAAAAAAGCCCTATTGAAATATATATGCTCAATATTAGTCATTACGCTGATAAAGAATTGAATATAAATAATCAGTAGTTTCTTTTTAAGTTCAGAAATGTACCAAAATGAAAGTAATAACATTAAAATTATACACAAATAAAATTTAAATTAGGAGTTTTAAAATGTTCACATATTACTATCAATGGTACTTATTATTTAAAATTTCTGTTAAATTCTGTTTTTAATTTTAAATTCTTCGTGTTAAATCATTCCTTGAGATCTATAGTATTTAAATGTTTAATAATTTGCTTTATTTTTCTTTCAAACAGTGGGAACACAGAAGGAGATGTGAAAGATATGTGTAAAAGGTAATTAATCACAGTTTTAACGTATGTTTGAGATAGCAGTTTGTTTTATTGTGTAGCTGTTTAACTATTATAAAAACCTGTTTCTTTCTAATATTAGTTTGTGTGAAGAATTTGAGAAAACTGAATTTTCAGAGGAAACAAATAAAGCCATAGAAATGTGTTTGAGAAGAATGTTTGAAAATAATGTAGACTGCCTGAAATTCGCTGTTCGATCTTCAGCCACTGGTAATGCATGCTTATCTGTTTCTGACTTACTATGCATTGTTACTTCAGACGATAAAACTGTATTTTGTTTCTTATTAATTTTAGTTTCAATTTTCTTATTCAGGTGAAGATACTGAGCAAATGTCTGCCGCTGGTCAAATGGACACTTTCTTAGGCATCTCAGGGATAAATGAAGTAATTAATAATATTACTGATATTAATTTTTAATTATTTAACATCGATATTAATATTATTTATTTTATACATAAAATGTTGCAGCTTTATTATACTTCAATGATAATATAATCAAGAGTTTAAGAATCGTCTAGTACAGCGGTCGCCAACCAGTGGTCCATGATAACTTTTGCTGGTCCGCAGGAAAATTGAGACATTATTTATATTTTTTATGCAGAATCAGTTTAAAAATGATGACTAACAAAACCTGTTATAGAATATGGATTATACTTTTTTTTTTTTTTTTTTTTTTTAAATTTTAGCTACTACTTTTAGCGAATTCCTTGTGAATTTAGACACATTTTAGCTACTTTTGCAGGTGTATCTAGCGACATTTGAAAGTGAGAGTTAGCATCCATGGATATGCTGCTGGTATCAATGTTAGCGCGAACTGGAATTCTCTTTCCTTTTGAATTACAAACATATGCTATTGCAGTCGTTCATAACACAGTTTTTCTCCTTGTGAATAGGCAACTTGATGGATTTTTATGAGAACCATCTGCATTTCCATCACTGAAAGTTTCCGTTTTTGTTTTGTCTAAGTATTGATCGATGGCACCATTGCTGAGTAAACGATGGTTATTATGCTTATAATAATTAAAAATTGGCGGCATGACACTATCAGTTTATTGATATTGCTTTGCGTTTGCCGATTTTTTCTTGCTTTTCGTAAAGTTCCTTTTCAGTGATATGGAAATGTGAAGCTTTCTGTACAAGAAATTTTATTACAACTTGTCCCACCATATGGTATCGGACATTTTTGTTGCTTTGTAAAAATATTGCGATTATTTAAAAAATTACATTTTAAAACATAGTCAAAATAAATCAATAAAACCATTTTTAAAAAAAGATGAATTAGCTTACCTTAAGTAAAGTTTACGAAATATATTTTTTCTCATTAGCCAAGACGAAGCACATGCTCACAACCTTTCAGTACCCCTTTCTGTGTGATAATGACTTAATATTGTTACGTTTTTTTCTGACACCCGTTATTACGTTCTTTTCTTCCTTCACGTTCGTACGGGGCTCGTAGATTTCGAGTTAATAACGACGACACTTCATGAAGTATCGAAACACACTTTATTTACCAATATTAATCATATAGCTCCAAAATCACTTTTACAGTCGTCGAACTATTATAAACACGCTGACAAGTTCAGCGACACAGCCTTCACACTGTCAGGCAATAACGGTGGAGACAGCTTCACTGCAAAGCACCAGAGTACAGCTCCCGACTCTGCTTGGTCGTTCTCGAACACCACGTACTCTCGAGACTCTCCACGCTACAACTCGTGATGCACTCGACGATACACAAGAATAATATAGCTCTCTGCTCAGCACAATCTAAGACAAAACTCGACGATGCACTAATTCGCGATACACTAAAAGACTCTCTCGATGCCCTCGACGACCAACTCGGTGCTAGACTTCGAGACACTCGCTCAGTGACTATCAGCTCGCTAGACGAGGCACACACTAACTAACTGCGGGCCAGCAGGGTTTATATAGCTTTCGGCTTGTGTTCAAGAACATTCTGGGCTAAACCGGTAAGAATTTATTCCAGAAGGTTCTCCAACCGTCCATGGTATATCGCCAATTTTGTCGCCGAATGTCGCCAAATGTGGCAACCCTGCCGTCCCTTGCTATTTTATTTATTTTGTGGCAACCCTAAACCTGCTTTGCGGGAGAGCTATCCCACCGCGCTTGTATATTTCGTTACAATATTGACTTGATATTATTGTTGATCTGTGTTAACGTAATAGGGCCCTTTATAAGAGTTCTGTTGAATGAAAATTCTAATCAAAATTTTAAAAAACCAGCTCGTAAAGTTCTTATTTCTACCTGTTACAACTAGCCCCCTAGCTTTACTGAGCTAAAGTTCATTAAATGGAAATTATTTCTTAAATCAGGATAAAATATAATTAAATTGTAAATTAAATATATAAAACTGTATAGTGAAACACAAAAAGTATGCACTTAGCACAGGGTCTGCCAAATAAAAGTGTACTCGGACTGAAGTTCAATACAACAGCATTGCTTTTCTTAACGTATATGTAAGATGGACATAAGATATTACATACCACATTATAACCTTTTTTGAGAAAGCCTTGTCAAAAAGTCCGGAGCTTGTTGCTGGAAACTTGTTCCTGTAAATGAGGTAAAAGTTTTAAGAATTATTTTAACTAAGATGGTATTCTTATATTAAATATTTTCTGTCACTGCTTTACGAATTTAATCGACATGTAAATTAATTAGAGTTTAAATAGTAAGCAAAAGTATTGTGGCAACCATTTAGTATAGCTATAGGATCCGAATTTGTGTAATACCAATTTAATAGTACTTCAGACCCTACTAGATCGCCAACTGAGTTATCGTTGCGCCTTTAAACGTGCAAAAAAAGTCCTACGAAGGCTTTAAATAAATCTTTTTGTTTAAACTTAGCAGAAGGCGCAATTTGTGCGTATATGTATAGGTTGAAAAGAAAGACCGTTATTTGTGTATTTTTCTAGGTATAATATGTACCGAGAAATCTCGCTAAGTATTAAGCGTTGCCACAATTTTGAGGAAGATTATCTTGGAAGCAGTTTCAGGGTCTCCCAGCCCTTTTCGCCTGCCATTAACCTCTGAAGAGGATTTTAGGTTTGCCATGTATTTTAAGTGCCCTCTTGTCGAACAGATGCTATAAGCTTATAAACATTCATGCCTTTTCCGAGCTTTGAATTCTTGCTTAGTTAGGCAATCAGCGTCACTAACCACTATACCAGCTGCGCGGCAACTTGTGCGTATAAATGAAACTGCACCACTTGCGGGAGTTAAACAAAAATTTAAAAATAGATTCTAAAATAGATTTATAAACTGGGACTACACAAATAGCCCTAACTAAGCGTTGGCTCAAACTTGGAGCAATTCAGCTACCGCTAGCGAAATGGCTAATGCCATTATACTAACAGGCAGAGCCAGACCAGAAAAAATAAAGTTCCGAGAATCGTTTAAAGCTGTATTTCTAAAAAATTCAAAATCCTTGCCTTAAATAATTCTGAATAATTTGCATCCTGATGAGGGCTAACGGAAGGGAAACGTTCTAATAAAGATCCAAATAAAAATAGTTCAAGTTTGTTAAACATAAAATAATCTATATACTTATTTAGCCTTTGGCAAAGAACCGTCCATCTAAACGATTTGAGGATTTGGTGAGTGAATTACGTGTCTGTTAGAACGAAGTGTTCCTTCGTTACAATATTTATTTTCGTAGTCGAATTAATAGGCGAAAATTTAAGAGTTTGTGATTGAGTGCTTTAAATTCTTGAGTTTCTGAAATTCTACAAGTATCAGTGGCCGGTATTCTTGAATTTTAATTAAACGATTTATAATTACAAGACGTAATTTCAGCAGACCTTTTAATAAGATTTTACCACTTGGTTATGTTATTGAAATTTAGTTAGATTTCTGCGTCACAGCAAGAGAAAGTTAAAAAAGTGTGATTCGACAATTAATTAAGTTTAAACTTAGAAAGTGTAGTGACTGAAATATTTTCAAAATTTTCGGATCGCTTTCCTTGTAGTACTCGATTATTTATTCTTTGGATTTCTGTAACTTCTCATAATAAATGTTTTCACCTTCCTGTTCTTTCTCACACAGTTTTCGGATATGAACGAAATAAACCAACCTTATGAGTGTAGTATTCCTAATTCCAGCAGTTCATCATGGGAAGGGGGCAAGATTGTGGACAGCAAGACTTTGCTCAATTCTGCCACTAATTTTGAAGGAAAGTGCCCCTGGAGATGATTCGAGGGTCTCCACTCCTATTCCTATACCATCAGCCTCTCAAGAGGACTTTCGTTTCACCGCATATTTAGAGTGCCTCCCATGCCGCACAGACACTATCCATCTACAAGCATACATGCCTTCCCGGTATTCGAACCCGGCCCTTTGGTATGGCAGTCAGAGTGTTTAACCACTATTCTACTTGGACAGGGATATATATATATATATGTCATAATAGTAAGGAAAAGTCGGAGCACTGTCGATGCGTAATAGCTTTATAGGGTAGATCCATACTGAAGAGGAAGAATTCTGATTGCGTCGTAAGCTAATGTGTCGACTTCTTAAAGAAAAATTGGCAGTCGAGGCAATTTTAATTCCATTTTTATTTCCAATTGATATATGTGGCCACAGATCACTTGGCACTCTAGCCGTGCCTTTTTACAGAACATTTACATTTTTAATATTATTGCGCTAGGAAGCACGCCAGCGAGATTGCGTTCAATCAAGGCAGAGAGCGAAGCTAAAGTGCGTCGTTATGTAAGATGGAAGCACACGAAGAGAAAGGTTTTGGTTTGAGTTTAAAGTTTCAGTTCCAAATTATTACGCCGTCAGCGCTGCGCAGGAATGGAATGATGTAGAAATGACGCAATCGAGAGAAGTTATTACGATTTTTAGAACAGAGAAAGAGAATTAAAGTTTTACCGTTAATTTAAATTATAATTTTGATTTATATATTTCTTACATACATATATATATATTACATAAATGAGTTATATCATTATTAATGTATTATTATTAGTTGTTTCTCTTATTATTAATTTATTTTTGTTACCGTATTTACTTCCGTATTCACCCTTTTTAGCACAGATTCTCAATTTTTTTTGAACAGTTGCGCAATTTTCTCCTTTCTCAAGAAGCTCAAAAAGCAAGCTTCCCTAAATTAGTGGCGGAATTTTCCTAAATTTTGGATTCGTTTACGCACTGATTGTTTTCGTCTTACTGCCTGTTGATTTGTTTGTGAATTTTATCTGCATGGACTGAAGGATGAAGTGATGAAGGAATAATAGTAATAAGCTTCAAGAAAACGGAGGCTGTTAGTGGCTGTGAAGGTAAGTGCACGTGGGAGGACAAACTGAACGGTGAAGACGACGGTAACGATAACGACGACTTGGTTTGGTTGATTTGATTATGGCAGAGCATTCAAGGGCTATCTGCCTAACCAGCTCTATCTGCCACCAACTCTAAGGGGCGGGATGGCTTCCGTGAAGGACTTCCTAAGCGGAGCTGGCTCGTATGTAGGTTACATATGGGGAAAACCATGAAAACGTCCAAGCAGCCAGCCCATTTGTGGGATTCGAACCTCGGACCGAACTACCAGTGTTGAGCGACTTTACTGCTCGGGCGCTGGTGGGCAATGACGACTTGGAAGCGACGCAGAAAAACAACCGCTTCAGCAGCATTGAATGATTTGAAGCCTAGAAAGTTAAAGTGAACAACATTAAGATCGTCTAAGGTTCAAGATACAGGAAAGCAGAAATGAAGACATCTTTGTTAGATACTGTAATTTTAACATTACACTGTATTTTTATTAAACTGTTGGTTTCTTTTAAGTGAATAATATTGTTACCGGTATTTTAATTATATAGTTACCGGTTGTTTATCCGTAAATATAGTATTTATCATGCTCTTATTGTAAGGTCATTCTTCAGAAATGTAATTATTTGCATCAATTTTCCCTCTAGATTTCGTACAATAAAATTAATAAAAAGGGTGGAAATACGAGAATAAATACTGTGTATTTTCTCCACTATTTTAATATTGTAACTGAAACTAAAATTGCCTTTTTTTTCCCCTTTTTTCCTACTGATTCTACATGATTCAAGATTCTACATGCTGTGAAAAAATGTTGGGCTTCGCAGTTCGGGACCATAGCAATCCATTATAAAAGGTAATAAGAATCTTTAAAAATCTTAAAAGCTTATGTGAGTATAAACACTTTTTATAAATGACGACATCCAATATTATGTTAGATTTACACCATTAGTTTTTAAAAGATATCAGATACTTTTCGATTGAAAGCACTGCACTTTCTCATCAACAGGACTTTTTTAAAATCAGAATAGATCATTTAGCACTAATACCTAAGAATTAAATATCCAGCCAAACGGTGACAAATCACATTTTAAATTTTAGAAAGTTATAATTACTTTAAAAAGAACAAAAATCTTTAAGTCTTTTATTTCATTGGTTATATTATTAGTATTGATAAGAAGTATAAAGATTGAATTTTAAATTAGTGCACATACATTTAAGGTTATATAATTTGAATAAAACAAAGCCAAGAGGGCTATATGCTTAAGAAAAAAAATGGCTTCGTGGAAGAGTTTCTGAGGGAAACTGGCTGGTATTCAAGTGACACATAGAAAAAAACCACGGAAACCAATCATGCAGCCAGCCTATTCACCTGGAATTGAACCCAAATTAGGTTTAACTGCCAGTATTCAGGGATCTTAACCAGTCGACCGCTGGTAGACATGATGTATTTAAGAAATTAACTGACAACTTCTAATCATCTCTCAGAAATTCATCAATTAGGTATATAATTTTAGATATTCGTTATAAAAAACTAGAAAACAAGAAACCCACTACTATCTGTATGCAGACATAGACATTTTCAAAATCTAAAAACTGGAAACAAATCATGAAATTTCACATATTTATGTAATTTTGTCATTCCAATCATACAATGATTGTATGATACCATGAACAGAATTTTGATCAACTTAACAATAGAACGGTCAACTTTAGGTCAACTCCCTTACCTGTGTTTTTGAATGACACTATCATTTATTAAATGTTTTTAAAAAATGAAATATGAGATTAAATGTGAGAAAGATAAATATGATTTAAATATCAGAAATAACAATTACTTGAGTTTAAGCATTCACAAATTAAAATTTTATGAGTTGCTTTGTACAATAGCTCTGCATTTGTTAATTATTAGAAGATAGTTATCCTTTCTTGAACTAGCATAGCGAAGAGGAATTAGTGTAAGCTAAATTTCGCAATAATTATCTCAGATTTTGTACACTTTATGCATGCTAGGTAAAATGGCTCTTGAAAAATATTTTCCAATGTTTTTTCTATTCATATTGTTGTAAAAATAGTAGATTGTTTGCATTCTTTACTATCATTTTTTCATATAAGGCGTTATGGTCAGTGTTTGAATTCTCCCATGGCTGTTGTTATCCAAGAGATGATTGCATGTGATGTCGCTGGAGTGCTGTTCACTTGCGATCCTTTGACAGGAAAACCGACGATTATAACTATAACTGCCAATTACGGATTAGGAGAGGTATGTTGTTGACACTGAATTCTGGTCCTTCAATACTCATCTTTAATTTTGCTTAATTTATTAATTATTTTTATTTTAATTAATTTTAGTTATTCACTATTTATTTATTTAAAAAAAAAGCATAATAATGAAAATTTTCAGGAAGGGTATTTCAACAGAAATACCCATTTTAATCGTTTCCGAATCCATTTGGATGTTTTTATTTTCCATAACGTCTGTACGTACAGACATTGCCCCAGGGGTAGTGGAGAAAATCCTCTTGTGTGCTGGTTAGGACTGTATCTAGACCACTTGGACACCGGAGGGAAACATAATCAGACTTACCAGTTACTGCATAGTAGATATTAGTGATCTTTGGGGGTTTGATCCCTTTTGGTCTTCTAGAAGGGAACTGACAGCGTTGTTGATAATCACCTCCTTCGTCTTTTCGCGCGACCCGAGTGGTGATCGGTTGCAAGATGTCATAGCGTATAGTTTTTGACCATCATGGAGGTAGGAAGTAAGGACTTTCTTATCCATGTTGACCATACACTGTATAAAGCCCGGAATTGACTTCGAGGTTGCGCCAGCTTGGATCGCTCTGTAGGGTATGTGTGCTTTTCACGTTAAGAGCCTTCTGGCTTAGATAATGATGCCTCTTTCTGGGAGTTCTGCAGAATACATACGGTATAACGGACTGTTTTTTTTTTCCAAAACCGATAGTAAAATGGATTTAAAGTGGATTCAAAAGGGATTTTTCGTGACATCTGTGTGACCTATGTATGTATGGATGGATGGATTTGCCGCAGAATGTTTCAATTTTGTATGTGGGATTGCTATAACATTCAATTTTGCATGTCATCTTTTTTTATTCCAATCTACAGAACCAAACGTATGTATATGTTATATATATATATAAACACAGCACTTTAACCGGCTTAAAAGTGCTTGCCCGGCCTTTGTTGTCACAATCATTGAACTATAGTAATATATTTCTAGTTACAGAAGTCTTTTAAATGACGAAAATGTTCATGTTTTGGCAATTTCAAATTTAAAAAAATTAATTTCGACAAATAACGAAATTTAACTTTATGTGCGACCTCCTAGTTTGTGTACTTACATTTGACATAACTTTATACTCGTTATCAGGGCTTAATTTCTAAAATTAGAAGTACCGGAGCCCTATGGAAGGGTTACAGTAGAAAACATCGCGGACGAAAACGTCGCGGAGAAAACAACGCAAGGCGAAAACATCGTGCTACAAAACATCGTGGGAGAAAACATCGCAGTCCTAAAACATCGTTGTACAAAACATCGTCGTCGAAAATAAAGCGGTTGAAAAACTTCGCAATTTAAAAACATCGTCGTCGAAAATATCGTGGTAAAAAATAAAGTAGCTACAAATCATCTAATGCCGATAACATCGCAGACATGCTTTTTTCATAATGCTTTTCGGAAACATGCTTTAATAACTGTAAATGGATATTCCCATAATGATTTTTGAGCGCAAGGTGCAAAGAAGGATAATTTTTACTTTCACATTTTTTTATTAACTAAAAAATTTTTGCTGAAAAAAGTAAGAAGGAAACTTAAGCATAGCAAATTAATGTATCTTATAGCAATTAATAGAATTTTAAACCGACATAGTTAACTAACAAAGGCCATTAATAAATCCTTTTTTATAAAGTTTTTACTGGTAATTTTTCATGAAAAGTATAAGCTATAATTTGCATTTAATTTTCTATGCTTAAGTTTCCTTCTTACTTTTTCAGCAAAAATGTATTAGTTAATAAAAAAATGTGAAAGTAAAAATTATCCTTCTTTACATCTTGCGCTCACAAATCATTATGGGAATATCCATTTACAGTTATTAAAGCATGTTTGCGAAAAGCATGTATGAAAAAAGCATGTCTGCGATGCGTCATGCGATGATTTGTAGATACCACGATATTTTCGACGACGATGTTTTTAAACTGCGCAGTTTTTGGACCGCTTTATTTTCGACGACGATGTTTTGTACCACGATGTTTTAGAACTGCAATGTTTCTCCCACGATGTTTTGTAGCACGACGTTTTCGCCTTGGCTTGTTTTCTCCTCGACGTTTTCATCCGCGATGTTTTTGCCGCGATATTATCGGCGAACACCTTATGGAAGACCGTCAGCAAAGAGAAATAAAAGTAAATAAATAAATAAAATGACTAATAATTTAAAAATTAAATAGTTAATTATCATCAAAGTAATTATTAACTAGTTAATCAATATTAATAATTAATATTTATCGATTATTATTTTATTAATAATTATTATTTAATTAAATAAAACTAATAAATTATTATTTATTTAAATAATTAAAGATTTAAGTAATTAAATAATTAAAATTAAATAAAATGTAAAGAGATAAACTAAAATTTAATAAGCGATTTTTTATATAATTTTATTGCAAAGAGTAAAATTTTCGAAACCAAATTTCTCCTGAAGTTGTTGCTCAGTTACATAAAAAAAGTGCTGGAGCTTTCTTATTTAGGGCTCCGGTGCGCTCCGCCTACAATTATGATTTATCCCAAAAATTAAGAAGTACCGGAGCCGGGCTCCGGTGTGCTCCGACGCAATTTAAGCACTGCTCGTTATGAAAATTAAAACTAGAAGAAGTTTGACTCCCGCGCGACAAAAATTGACAGAGATATTTAATTTTGAAATTTCCAATTTTTAATATCATTTCCAACTTGTTTTGAGAGATCGATTAATTAAATTAGAATAATTCGAGGAAGTGGGTATAAATGACATGCAGCAAAAAATGCGTGTAATTAAATAGACCGTGTAAGAAAGTCATGTGGCATATACTTCAGATTTTTATTTTCTAGTAGCTTGAAAGATTAATTATACAAAAGAAAAAATTTATAATGATTTCAGTTAGTGTAATTTTATAAAAATATTTAATGTTTCTAATTAAACATCTTGTTATTCAAATGCATTTTTATTTAAATCAATCAGATTAAAAAAACAGAAAAAATGGTTCTTGCTTTTATTACTTTTAAATCGCTTGGTTTGCTAATCAATAACAGTCAGATTAAATTTGAAAATTAAATATAATATTTTCTGAATGGCAGCACTGTGACACTTGAAGATAAAAATATTTTGCTTGTAAATAGCCAAGTTTGTTGATTGAATGCGAGAGGTTAATGTCTTATATTTAGCTGAATGTAACATTTTGTCGGGATGGAGATAAAAATATTTTATTTCTAGCAGTGTTGCTATTGCTAGAGTTGGTCACTGAGTTTGTTTACCGAAAATTCCTTAAATTCGTACGAAATATTAAATAAATAAATAAAAAGGAAATTTGAAATTGAAACTTCGGGCTTCGAAGTGCACATATGTGGGGTGGAGAATTATGTATATTCAAATTTTTGTGCTCTAAGTACGGCCGATTTTCCACAGTGCGAAGAACTTGCATGCTTACATACAGATTCTTCATTATTTAATTTTACAGATAATTGTTTTGTTTATTTATTTTTGTTAATAAACAAAACAGTTATCTGTATAATTAAATATAGTAATTGTTTCCTGACCGCTTTCCGTATGTCTTCAGCCTGTGGAGCATTAGAAATTAATCTTGAAATCTGGAAATCTGTTATTACATAAGTAACTTTTGAGTGAAAATCTGGCCGAAATCCTGGGTGGTTTCATTTCAATTAATTAACTTCCATTTATATGGTTCAAAAAGTGCTTGAGTACTATTATTAAGCACCCGCAGGAAAACTTCAAATTAAATAATTTACGTTACGAAAGGAGTCGCTTTAACTCCGTAGGAACCCTACAGAGTTACTAAATGAACATTGAGGAACCTAATGAACTGTTAAGCGACGTATCGCTGAGTTCAAATAACTAAAGACGTAGACTCAAGAAGGGTTAACCACCTTTTATTTTAGCCAAAATAAAATGAACAGTTGGCTTTCCCGGGTTTACAACAAATCCTCCACTCGGGCTTGAACTCAAAATAAGAAATAAGGACTAAACTATAAGTAACTAAGAGAGACCTAACCGAAGCTAAACATAAAATATAACGTAGTTGGCCCTTAATTTAAACTAGCCGGCGAATATCAAAAGTTATGTAATATACAGGCAAGCGTAACAGCTTCAAGATAGATTTAGCCCGAAGGCAAACTCGTGTTACTTAGTATTCCTAGCTCTCTCTCATGAAGTAAGTTAAACCTTCCTTAAATACTATGTCTAACTCATTTGCATTCAACGCGATTCTAAAAACTCATTGTGGTAGGTAGTTGTAAACAAGAATTGATAGGAAAGCACTTTAAAATTAAAATAACTGTTATAAAATTAAAATATACCTTACAATTCTTTAAACTGCTTTTACTATATTAAAACTCGAATTTAAATAGTTGAAAATATTTGATTGTGTCGAAAGTTCTTTAGCAGTTCTTTTCCGATTGCAAAGGACGTAATGTATACTGCTCCCGGGCTCCGCTTGTGTTCAGGTATATGTATGTCAGATCAGTCATGAATCAATTCGGTATATTTTAAGCTATATTACTTATATGTGATTAATTGCACCAAGGATTAATGTTTAAAATGTAAGAAATTTTGATTTTTAAATGTTTAAAAAATTTTGGCTTATTTTAGTTTGTAAACAGAACTGTTAAATGTGATTAATCGGCAAATAACATTAGACTAAATAAAGAAGTTAACATAAATGCGGTTTCATTTTATGATCACTAATAGAAGAGTAAATAATACAGCATATAATGCATTATTTAGTATATAATGCATTATTTAGGATTGTAAATTATAAACATATGAAAGCAAAGTGTATACACGCGGGAATAAAATTTCTCTTTTTTCATTTATTTGTTTATTTTAGTCCGTTGTATCCGGCTCAGAAGAACCGGATACTATTGAATTGCAAAGAGATCCTGAAGATCATTTATGTGTGAAGAAGAAGGTTATTGGAGCGAAGAGTCGGAAAATAATTATAAAAGGTAAAATGCTGTGAAGTAGTTTCCTTTGAAAATTGCATTTCACGTTTTCTTAATACAACAAATTTTATTTTTATTTTCTTTATTTTCACATATGAAAAGCACTGAAATTAATTATGTAATACGTTAGGAAGGTCTAATCTTAAATGCCTAGGATTTGCAGAATGAAAATTCTGAAGCTCTCTGGGTAACATTAAAAGGAATTAATTTCTAGACCACTTAAAACTTATTTACCTGTTAGAATCTTTCCACAAACTCGAAATTTTATTATATATCTCCTATAAGTGAACTGTTTTTAATACTATTACATCTTTTAAATCTACGGCATTATTTTCATTGTTGTTTCAGGATTATGGGATTCACATTTCTAGGAATTTTATCTAGGCTTACGGATAACTGAAAGAATTGCATCAATTAATATATTCGACATTTGCAAAGAAGTCTTCTAGATATTTTTTTTCGAGAACACTGAGAATCAACTAGTGCAATTTATATTTTCCTTATTAAGATGCAAGTTATATTTTCCTAGTCCGCTTTTTTCTTTCACCATTGGGCACACTTTAGATTTTAGGTTATTTAATTGGTGAAGGGTTTTTTTTTTTTTTCAATCTTATGTACAAATATCTTACTTGTGGCTCAATTTTTAAGAAATGATGTGTGATACCAGCTATGAAGTTGCTTTTGTGGTTCCAAAAGGGGCCTTATAAGCTAGATAAGATTTTGAGGGCATATGCCCCTCTGAGTGCATATGATTTTGACGAGTTAGCAGGTAAGACTCCAAGCTCGGTCAAAAAAAAGTAACGTAATAGTGGGGAGATCATTGTTTTCCTGTACTTCAAGTGTGCCAGTCAGATGGAAAGCGAAGAGAGACAAATGTCACGTCGCTCAAGAAAACAAGTAAACATCGGCAATGAAAGCTAGGAAGTTGGGATCTGTAATTATGTGAGAAGAAAATGGTCTGATCAAATGATCTGGTAGCTAAGAACTGAAAAATTTGCAGCATCACGAAACGCTTATCAAGTTTAGTATAGAACAGTTTAGTATAGTAACTTTCAAGTTTAGTATAGTATATCATTTTAGAATCGATTTTCAAGACGTCACGGATCAGTTTGTATCTTATTAGATAATGAGTATTTACAATTCTTCTCAGAATCATATTCTGTACTACCTGAAGTTTGTGGAAACCTGCCTTTGATGCCCAGGCTGCATATGCGTAGCATAGAATTGGCCTTATAATGCATAGGTAGATCCTTCTCTTTTGGTTAAGAGACAATCCAGAGTAATTTCATAGGAATGCAGAAAGTTGGTTCGCGATACCATAGACTTTTCCCGTGACGTGCTTAATATGATAAACCTATGTGAGTCTTTGGTTACTAATAATCCCCAGATAACTTACATTATTTATATGGTTCACAATTTCCGCAAATAATTAGAGGTTGTTCAATGCTATTTTCAAAATCCTGCGCCTCCTACCAATAGCAACTTTTTGACCTTGAGGCATTTATAACGATTCTTCCTTTCCTGCACCAGTCCTCAATATCATAAACAAAATTCTGGAGTTAGGGGATGACGTTTTTGGGTTGCATAAAGATCATGGCAACCGCCGTATCATCGGCGTAGCAAGCTAACATAGATACATGATCAAGTTTATCTCTTGAAAAATCGATTATGTGAAAAAGGCAGAGAGTGGGCGCAAGACAGAAACCCTGGGGCACTCCTTCAGTGATACTTTTGAATACTTGAACAGGAATTTCTTTGACTGACAATAAAAGTTCGGTAGGTAAGGAAGACATTGAGAAGAAGAAGAATTTCACGATTAAAATTCATCTTGATCAATTAGAAGATTAACCTCTTACGCCACACGTGGTCGCTTCGTAGTGCCATACATTTTTTATGGTGCAGAGCTGTCGCGTTGAATTTCACCAACTTGACTAATTGCTTTGAAGTAAACAGATAATACTAGTTAAGTTCCGCATATGAAATAAGAAATTTTTTTTTAATGCTAAATAGTGATGAAAATTTTACATAAAAATCCCCAAAGATATTTAACATGTAGGAAAAATTTGCTTTTTATGTTTCAGGATGTTAATTCACTTAAGTAGAAATGAAATATAATTATGAAAATAGCCTCTCAATAAGCGCAGATGAAAATATGCTGATTGCAGTATAAGTCCTATAATCTTTCACGCTTCGGACTTTGGCAATTCCAAATATTATCAAGTATATCAGATCATCAGACGTTATAATCTGACGGGAAAGATTTCGAAAACATTACATAGCATATTATTAAAATGAAAATTAAAAAAAATATTTGTGCATTAACCGCTCCGATGTGTTTAAAAATTTAAAAACTCATAATTGTTTAACATTCTTAACTAACTTATGTTTCAGAATTATATCCGGGACTGATTTATTGCATTAAAGTCTTTTCGAACAGAATTCATATATTTGCTTGTATCATAAAATCAACATTCTTTATTTCTCATATACTGCCATGCTTATCTTATGCCCAAGTGACTTCTTTCGTTATATAAAACTCTGAGCAGTAGATTACTTGAAGAAAGATTCTGAACTGTATTCAGCATTTCAGAGTTTGTTGGTAATAAGAGGATCCGTAATTTCACATGCTTTGAAATAAATTTGCCTTCTAACATTCAGGAACAATTTTCATAAATTTCATATAAAATTATACACTTTACATACTTCCAAGCAGTAGCAGTCGCAAATATTATATTTATATAAACTGAGCGTGTGCTTTCTTAATACTGAAATCATAATTTAACGTATTTTGATCAACGCCTATATTTGCACTTGCGGCAGACTTCACGAAAGTAAGAATCCATGTGCTGTCTCCTCATATTTCACAATACAGAGGTCGACGTAAGCTGTTAGAAGTGAGACGACATATTCAGACGTTAAAGAAGCAATAACTTTATAAGGTACTTGCGAAGTAACCACTTGACAAAGCCTGCGGACTTTATAAGGTATTTTTTCCGCCTTCCTAGCGTGCCTTCGTGGTGTAGGGGTCTGCATGCTGGGCGCGTATTCCAAAGATCAGTGGTTCGATTCCCGGCAAAGGTGTTGCTCATTTTTCATCTCTCCTGTTCCCCAAAAAATCCTGATGTCTCTATAACTTGTTCAACAATGTCTATTTGAAATTACAAAAATTGTTATTTCTCTAACAGCATAAGATAAATTTAGCGATCCGCATTGTATTTGTCATTGAAAAGGCAATTCAGTTTGCCAACTATATTAGACAGAGCAAGTACAACGGAATTATGTTTCTATACAATAAAGACAAATGACTACAATTTTCTTCGAAAACTAAATAAATACTACTGCTGTGCCTTTACGTTTTCTATCATTAATATGTTGCTGATGTTGTTAGTAATATTACTACGGTAACAGAATTTTTACAGATTATTAATACATATATTAGAGTTCAATTTTGCAGTTGGACACGTAACCCAAATAACATGGAACCAAAATACTAGTCATGCCACACTTCTGAATCTGAATAACTCCTCGATTGTATTATATTTGCGGATGATAGATTGTAAAAAACGTGTTTAATGATTTCAAAAGAATGGCTTTACAGATATGCAAAAAGGGAAAATCTTTAGTGGAAAGCACAAGGAGCCTTTAAATGTTTTAAGAAGGGAAGAAAAACTATGCTTTTCAAATTATTTAATTTTTGTTCTATTATAAACAAGACTGATTAGAAGAAATGGCTGTAGAGCGAAACAGATGTTAAACATTTCTGGAAAGTAGGGCTGAATGACTCAATTATACCGCCTTGGGCTGCATACAAGTCAGGGATACGTGCGCAAGATAATCATGTGTACCAAAACATTGGACGCCAAATTATCGGAATTTTATTGTAATAGCTTCCAGTTAGCTGGCATGTGCTAGCAAAAGCTGCTTCATAGGTTTTCGGTGGGTAAAGTTTAAGATTCTCAAATTTTATAACAGGACTTTAAATATTTAAGTAAATCAAACTGTAACTATCATGCAGAGGAGTTAATTTCATTTTATTAGAAACTAGACGTAGATTTCATTTACAAATTTCAAGTTGGCATAAATTCATGCTTAAAGTATATGATTTATCTCCATTTGATATCATCTGACTTATCTTAAAAATATTTGAAAACAGTATTAGTGAGTATTTGTAGTATGTATCGCGGAAGAAAAGATGTAGTCTTAACTTCTAAAAGCTCTCGGAGGGTGGTTCTGTTTGAAAGGTGAAGAATTATGACCTTGTCACCTTTAAAATAACATCACAATTAATCCACGGCTTCTGATATTTCTGAAAGCCTCTTTTGGTATCTATCAAGGACGTCTCCGTATCCGCAACCTCGTTTTTTGGTGAACTGAATTGTCTAAAAAACCTTGACCCCGTATAGCTATTGTAAAACAAAGAACAAATGTAAGAAATCTAGCAAATATACTGGTTTTTGTATGACAATGATGTGGTTTTGTTCAAAGAAACTCACGTTTGTTTCCTTATAAACTCGATTTGCTCAAAGTACCACAACGCGCTGAATGTTCATAAGATGCTTAAAATCTGTTTGAACTGTAACATGAATTGTATTGTCTTAGGGATTGTTATATCTTACATTTTGCTTTTTAGCGCAAAGTACAATAATTACCTATAAGAGGTGAAATAATTGTTATACGTTTTCTGCAAGTGGCATGATTTTTCGCTAACCTTTTGAACAGTGAAATATTTTTCTACCATGATAATAGCCGCCCTGCCAGTATAGTGATTAGCGACGCTGATTGCCGTACCAAAAGGCCCGCGTTCGAATCCCGGAGAAACAATAGATGTTTGTAAACGTATAGTATCTGTGCGGCTAGTGGGGAACTCAAAATACATGGCAAGCCGAAAGTACTCTCGAGAGGTTGATGGACTCTCGGACCACTGTCCGGAGTACTCTCCGTCAAAACTGGGGCGGAATTGTTCATAATGCGACATCTCTATACCTACCTGGTTCTACCTAGTAACAAATTAACAGACATTTAAAAAAATTTTTGCTCCATTCAGGGCATTCAGTTGGGTTTCAGAAGAATTTATTTGACCATTTATTGAGTTCCAGATGTTGTCTAAAGCACTGCAGATACTACTGGCAAGGAATGATGCAAATATACTAATGTCAAGAAATGATACATGTGCAGAAAATTCAGCCAACGCAAAATAGATCAATTTGCATTGTAGAATAGTTAGGTTATTTTTTAGAAGCAGGAAGCTTGAAAAATAAGCAACGCTTGCCCCGAGAATCGAACCACGGACCTCTGGAATACGCTCACAGCGTGCAGACGACCACACCACGAAGGCATGCTAGGAAAGGGGGAGAAATACCTTATATACTGCCCCTTTTAAAGGGCGACTGGGGTTTTTAGTTGGAATCAGTTGGACCGAATCTCCAAATCCTGGGTGTGGAAAATCATCATCCAACGTCCTTTTAGTTCGGGCGCCACTTAGAGATACGTTAAGTAGTTTGGAAGCAGGAAAGATGAAAAATGAGCAGCACCTTCGCCAGGAATCAAACCACGGACCTCTGGAATACGCGCCCAGCGTGCAGACCAACACACAACGAAGGCATGCTGGGAAGGCGGGAGAAATACCTAATAGCATATTTAAACAATTTATTATTTTTTAACTTTATATTCGATGCTTCATTAATTTTAGTGAGCTTTTTCGTGAATTTTTTTGCATGAAGGAGAATTATATTGAAACTTTTAATTGAGATACTGAAAGGTCCAGTAGTGTTAAAGCATCTAATGAAAATAAATTTGTTTTTAAACGTTAAAAAACCAGTTCTTGGCCAAATTGGTGTCAATTTTGTTCCAAAATCAGTTTCTTGTAATTAAATAAGACGATAGACATCTATGTTTATCTTTATATGAAATTTGTACTGTTTTCTTTTCTATTAGAAGCAGAAGGTACAGTTTTAGAGGATGTTTCTGAAAATGAAAAAACAAGCTGTTGTTTGTCAGAGGATATGATTATGCAACTGGGGCACCTTGGAATCGAAGTAAGATTATTTTGAGCAAAACTTCCGTGTTTACATAAAATTGTTTTCCATTAGTAACCTGCCTTTTAATATTTAGGTAGAAAAGTATTACCATTCGCACAGAGATATCGAATGGGGTTTTTGGAACAACAGTTTATACCTATTTCAGGTAAGCGCAGAAACTTAATTTGCCAACACTTACAATTTTAAACTAAAAAATAAGGAATGTTTTGCATTCATTAGAAATCTATGTGATATGAGGGCAAAAATTATGACAGTTAATAGCTAATCCCGTGTTTCTATCGCAAAAAATAATGCAGTGATGATGTTACGATTCAAGTCATTTTATGTTTCAGTTCAGTTGGGAGAGCATCGTTAGTCAAAATTCACAGAACCCTTGGATTGGGAATGATTATTAATGTAGATTATAATCCAAGATTATTAATTTGACAGCATAAAACAACAATTTATTAACGAAACACAACATATTTATATAATTTCCTCATATAGTTGTGGGCATGAAAAGTCTTATCAAGTATTTTACACATGCTCATTCTACTAAATTCATGTTTCAAGGGAGTTCTACAGCATCAAGTTTTTTTTTTTCCTTTTCATTTCTCGGCGCTCGACGAGAGAGATACCTATCTGCCGCGAACACGTCTTTATTAGAATTTTTCTTTTCGCATTACTCGCCAGAATGGAAATTAATAGTGAAGATTAAAGTTGAGAGTTTTGGATTTGAGATCACTTTTTTGGGAATCGCGTGCGCGCTATGTAGTTAGTTTCTTGCCAGTTTTTTACCAGTTGTAATTATTCTACTTTAGGGTTTCTTTCTGCTGCCAATTTGATTTTGTCGCGCTGGCGGAATTTTGGATGCACCTTCTAGTATAGTATTATTTGTGTAGTCTTTGACTATTGTCCAGCGTTTAATTTCATTTGCATTATTCTATTTATTTGCATCAGCACAAGTTGTGGTTAATAAAGCAAAAGAGTGTGCATTTATGTTCCAGTTTCTATTTAAATAAAAATTTTAACTTTCTCAAGATATTGTCGTTGTTCTCAGACACAGCAATAACTCGCTTGAAGTTTATTAGGGCTATAGGACTATCAAATGAGACCTTATATCACCACAAACTTAGCCAAAGAATGGCTTGAAGATCATGAAAATGAGCTGAACATATATTATATACTGCACAGTTTCTTAACATTAATAGAACTCAATCTGTATAGAATAAAAATACTTTTACTGACTATACAAATTTTTATCGTCCATTTTTAAAAAGAAGTAGTGTAGTTATTAGTCTCCAAAAACGGCTTACAGGATGTTAATAGATTGATGATTGAGATGACTTGAAATGGATTGACCTTAAACGTTGAAGCCCTGTACTTGTTGTTTGTGATTTTATATCTTGAAAAAAGAAAGTTATTCCGCTTCTTCGAAATTTTAACTGCTTTCTTTTCTTTAATTTGTTTCCGTTTAGTCTCGTCCATTTACAAGTGGAATGAATGAGACGATATTTGAAATAGATCACGAATTCGATTGCCCTCTTAGAGTGGAGAAGGAGTTCTCTTCCACATGTAATATTGGGTAAGTAAAACGGCATTTGATATTCATATGGTAATATGTTTTGTGCTATAATACATTTTTCTTAACGCTTTGATCTTATAATCAAGATTTCTTAAGATGTCACTTGCTAGTTACATGCTTTTCAAAATATTAGTACGTGCTATGACTTTAATATGTTTTTAAATTTTACATATATGTCAAATATAAATTATACGCAAGAACATTTGTAGCACATATTGCTTAAATAAGAGAAGCTCTCAGAACTACTTATTTGGCACTCATTCGACCCATACTCGAGTTTGGGTTTCCCATTTATTGTTGTGCCTCTGATTCCAATCTGAAGATATTATAAAAAGTTCAATTAAGTGCAGCTGGTATTATTATTGGGTTGAATGACAGCTGCCTTACGGAGATACTCTTTTTTTAGGACGATCTGCAACCTCTGCAGACTAGAGGACTAGCTGGCCTTGTTTTAAATGCTTTAACAACTTCTCTAGTTAAGACCAATACAATAAAACTTCAGTGTATTTAAATAAGTGGAGAAACGGACAAAGCCTAAAGAAAAAAGCTCTTTTGGCTTAGTTGAATTTCAAAACTTACTTTCTTTCAATGTTGAGCCCCACTCACTACAGTGTTGTTTTAATCCATCGGAAGGACTCTCCAGGGTTCACTTTCGTTGTAACTTTACTACTCCTGTGAATAAGGATTTCATTATTGAATACCTTAGACATTTGGCTTTGGAGTAACAAGCACCATTCCCAAAAATGCTATTAAGATCTTCACGGATGGCAGCAAAATTGCTGACCATGCAGTTAGTGGCGTTGAGACCCCTCGGGGAAAAATGATTCTCTGTCATCGTAATCCAAACCCCTGTGAACTGATAGCAATGAATTTGGGGCTCAAGGCTATATATACTAATAGAAAAATTTTTTAATGATCTATGGATTTTAACTCATAGCCGTAGCTCATTATAACATCTTGATAATTGGATTCTTGTAGGCGCAAAAATCAGTATCTCTATCCTACAAAAACTACGGCTAAAAATTAGCACCATGATACCCATTTGCAGTGGATCCTTCATGTGATTCATTAGGGCAAATGGCGGAATTAGCGGACATATTTGCAAAGGAGGGCTGTGGTTTTTTAGCTGTCTCCTCTTCCGCCCTCACCTGTCTCTGAAAAAATCACAAATCATGGTGGAATGGCTTTGCCTCCACCCATCACTAGTACTTAGCTAACAGGCCTGTTTGTACTCTTAAAACTTGGGTGTGACAGGAACTCTCAGGCTGCGCTCTCATGTATTGCCAGCGGTCACATTAAATGCCTCTCATTCAATGAGGACATGAAAATCTTTTCCACATGCACCAAGTGCCCAGAACATTAGGCTTCTGCCGAACATATTTTGATCTGTTTGGATCTTTCTAGGGAGAATATTTATACGAATCGCCTCCTTGTGCTTGACTTTCTTAGAGGCAACGGTCTTTTGGACCTAGTCTGACTTCGTCAGATTTCAGCAACAGTAACAACAGAGAAAAGCAACAGCAGCAACAAGTATAGCATGAAAGTGGAGTATCCGGTCCTCACCTCAATGCCGAGGTATCATCGGAGTCCTTGGCGATTGTTAACTAATCACCCAGCAAAAGCTAGAGAGTAACATCAGAATTAAAATAAAATTTAGGATCCTAGCGATAAATTTTGAAGTCTTCTGACTAGAAGATGTGTTGTTCTCGCCAACATTTTTATTAAAAAATTACATACATCTTGTACATTGATCAAGTCTATAAAACATTGTTACACATTAAGTAATAAGTAAATTAATACAATCAGTAGTTGTAACAAACAATGATACGAATTAGATATGACATTACTCACAATGAATTCAATAAGTAGAAATGCAGAAATAATTTTCAAAGGTTACATGATTCAAACGCTTTTTAAACATAAGATGAATGCAAAACACAACGCTTTTTATACATATATTAAGTAGAAACATAAATAGAATGTTCTTTAACATAGATAAATTCCATGATTTTTGACAATTGAGAACGACCCTTTTCCAAAGATACAAGTTTGCAAAGAAAGTCGAGATTCAGTGGTTGAGGAAATAAGTCTCTGCGCCTACTGTCCAAGTTAGGGCAGTCTATAATCATATGGAATGTGTCAGCCGAGTCTAAACCACATGGACATCGACATTGTGATCCTTTGATCTTGAATCTATTGAAATAGCAAGGAAAGGCTCCATGATTAGAGAGGATTTGATTGATGAAAAAATCATTGAGATGTCTTTTTTCCGAGACTTTAGGAAGAAGCTAATAAGTTGATCTTCCAGTATCTTCTTCTTACCAGCGTAGTTGCCATAACGCTAGAGCTTTCTCCTTGGCTTTACGCACTATGCAGCTGATATAGCATAATCGGAAATTTCTCCAGTAAACCATTACCGTCAATTCCATCATTCTGGGCTGTTAACGCTTCTGAGAGTTCCTCTTTGGTGATATCCTTCGGGATATCGTAAATGATAATTTTTAGAGAACGTTTTAACGGTCTGACTATTTGGAGTTCCTCCTTTAAGTCTGGAACAGAACTGATTCCTTTTTCTAATATTTCTAAGTCATTTTCTTTATTAGTTTCAATCAAGAGTCCTCCTTTCGAAACTTGTTTTACTCTTTTGACTCCGATATGGAGTTTAGAAGCATCGATGATTTTAAGAATTTTCTTCTTCATTGAATCAGATTTATCCCCTTCTTTTGTTGGGTAGAGAATCGCAACATACTGTTTTTCTTGCTTTTTCCTCGTTTTGGATGGTTCTCGAAAAGGACGTTTTAAAACGTATGCATAAGAGTCCTTCTCTTTATCTGTTAATGCTCGAATTTGACCTTCTAAGTGGGCCATCTCTACACATTGTTCGGTAAGAAGATTGAGCATCAGTTGAAACTGATATCTGCGGCCACATTTCTATTAAGTCCACTGGCCTTGTTTGTGAGGATCGTTTCAAGGTTGTCTACGTGAGCCTGGCCTTCTTTAAGAACGTCTTTTGAGTCCATATTTATAAACTGATCGCGAATCATAAAATATACAAAATATGCAGGCCACTAGGGTGACTACTGACTTGGTACCCTAGAGTTCTCACCAAGTCAGTAAAGTAGTATGCTCTTAAAGCTCAGGGCTTCGAACCTCTTTTGTGAGGGAGCCCCCCCGATCACGCCAAGGTACCCGAGATCCTGGAAAAACACAAGAAACTAATAGCAAAATAAAACTAAACTCAAAATCGTTTATAGCACGATTTTAATCGCATATCATTCGCATAAAAAATCGCATTTCCAATCGCTCTCCCACGGGGGGAGCAACAAATATAGCAGCTGGATACAGATGGATTTACAACCGGTGGATAATGTTCAGGTAAATAAATATAAAGCAAATTAATTTTTCTTTACTCAAGCACGTGTGTGCTAAGAGTATACGTAGGCTGGCTGCTGTCGAATGTGCATACGAATATATACAAAAAACTGAACAAATATTACCTAGTATCGAAATAAGGGGTGCGGATAATTAGAAACTACTGAGCATTTAGTTGATTTAAGTTCATTGCTGATCTTTTATTATTTTCAACGCATCTTCGGAATGTATTTTTATTCTTTGTCTTGTCATTTTTGATTTTTAAGGCATAACAATAGTATTTTTCTATGCATTGTACATATTCACACGTTTATATAGTATATATAAACGTCAAACTGTACAGTCGATATCGGTGGGCAGGGACGGGACGAGGGTGAGGCAGGTGAGGAACTTGCCTCAGGTGAACAAATAGAAGGGGCGCCAAATTAGCTATTCAATCCAAAATTCAGAAATTTATTTTTAAAACTTTTGACTTTTATTTTCGGAATACATCAATGAATATTAAAAGAATTTTGTGTTATAAACAATCCAGGTATAAAAAGAAAAAGAAAAATTAATATCATTAATTTATTCTCAAAAGCCATGAGCGTTCACATTAGTGTATATAATATTTTCTAACATTAAAATTTGTTATTGAAAGTAGCTTTAAGAAATTAATTACACTTTATGTAATGAATTGCATAGGCGTAGACTAAACTTTCATTGAAAATATTATACTGCCGACATTAGTTGTTCTTTCTCTCAGTTTAGTTTGACTTAAGCTCTTTACTTAGTCATAAGAAACTTGCCAAAGTCCACTAACTGAACATAGACGGGGACATAATTGCAGAGTTTAGAAATTTCGTAAAGGTCTTCTGGTATAGCATCCGAAGCATAAACAAGGGTGATATAAAATGAAATGTACCCCATATTATTAGTTACTGCACTTTTTTGTTGTTGTATAAAATTTTCCAATAAACGAGACGCATGAATAGAAGTTTTTGCCTTGTATTTCACACTCGTGTTGCGCGGGAACACAAAAGCAGCTACAAGTTTTCTGGACACAAAAGCAGCTACATACTTTTTGTTTTATATTTTTTCAATTTTAACATTATGTAAATTTCATTCAACAATAAACTTTAATTAACTTTCGTGTGACTTAAGCTTAGAACTTTAAAAAATAATTCACGATTATAATTTAGTTCAGTCCTATCCGAATTTGGAAGCAACGTTAAGAATTCTTTTAACGTTGTCAGTTACTGTAGCTAGTGGCTAAAGAAGCTTTCGCAAACTTAAAATAACAAAGAACTGTATGAGATCGTCACTAGGCCAAGAAAAACTTTCGAACATGGCCATTCTCTCTAAAGAACATGAGTTAAGCAATCAAATGGATTTTGAAAAAAATATTGAGGATTTTGTTTTTTTAAAAGCAAGAAAAATTAAATTATAAATATGCTTGGAAGGTTTATGCTATAAATATTTGAGCAGATATTTTATTTATACTATTTAATATTATTTGCCATTTTTCAAAAAGCATAAATGTAATGTTTTCCGTTTTAAAATTGTTAATCATTACATATATGTTTCACTTTGTGGAACATACAAAGTTGCAATTAAATATTACTGTAAGAGTTATTATATTTTCACTTGAAATAGTTACTTTTAATGAGCATAAAATATATATATAAATAGTTAATTTGTTCTATATGTATGATTATATGTGTTTATGTTACTGTGAAAGACCTAAATTGGAGAATGTCAACACATACCAAATACGTTGGTGAATGACCGAATATTTGGTTGATGAATGACCGAATATTGGTGAATGACCGAATATATTCCTGTACATTCGGACCATCACCGGTGTATGCCGACAATCACAGATATATACTGTGGTGGAGGTGGAAAAGAGAAGTCGAGTTCAACAGAGAGGCGACTGCCTGTCGCCAAATACTTTGCTGTGCTGCGATTGAAGTTATGGTAGCATGTATTTGTTATACTCTGGAACGCTGTTTGTCAGTCTTATGCTAGGTTTGATGGTACGAGCAACGTTTTCTAATTTTTTTTTTTTAATCCTATACCCTAATTTATGTTGAATGGATTCCTTGAAAAGTTAAATGCATTAATTGCGAGTAAACGAGGAGACCATTGTTTTTATTTTTCAAACACAGCTTTCAAATACATCTCTCCTCACAGGGATGACTCCTTATAAAGCTACGTTTGGCATTAAACCAAGAAGAGGCATAGCATCGTCTTTTTGCCTGGCGAACAAATCGCAAATATTGAAATCGGAGAACAACTCTTAAGAAATTGCTAATACTTTTGAAACCGAAGAACAGCTTGAAGGAACTGTTCATACTTTTGAAGAAAATTTGAGCAGTGGCCATACCGAAAACCATATTCCAAAGAAAAATATTGAGGAGGTCTTGCACGTCTTCGTATCAAGCCTGGACTGAACAACACGAGTTAATTTCTATAAAAAGATCGGCTACGAAAGAGAATATTTTACTGCAAGCAACGAAAATTTTACGAACCAAAAAAAATTTCTCCTGCTTAGACTGGTGACACCGTACGAATACAAGTCCCTGATGTCGACCGCGATCGTACAAATGGGTCGAAATGTGTTGCCAGTTGTTGTTGGAATAAGCCTTCCGCTTTTATAAACTAGCAAATAAAAATGACACCTTCAAGCAGCTTTATGCCTGTAAACAGTTCGTAATTTGTAAAGAAAAGTTACTTTCCAAAGATGAGATTCCTTCTCAAGTAATGTCACTGAGAGAAGCAGCTGGAGCTAATTCGAGAAGTAAAGGGCAAGGCCATACACCTTGTCACTGCAAAAGGAAGTCTTCCACAACTAAATGCAGTTGTAAAAGCAAAGGACTTTTGTGCAATTCAAAATGTCATAAAAGTTAATGTTGTTGCAATAAATAAGATTTCAATCACATAATTAAATTTTTTGTATTATTTTCTTTTCTCATTTAGAATGTATTAAGTTCAAATGTTTATTTACATGCGCTGTTACATAAGCTTTTTCATATCTTGACATATATGGTACAAATGCAAAAGTAAAAAAAAGTTCTTTATTGACTAAATTTAAAAGTAACTGCTTAAAATTTATTCAAGCACGGCTGCTGTTATTATTAAAAAGTCAAGTAATATCGAATAACCCTTCTCGCGTTAGAATCAAAAGCTACAAGTCACGCAGAGAAAACGTCTCTATAGAGTTACGAACAACTCTTCTCACCAGGGATTGGTTACTCCTCTCAGCAAGACAGGCGAAAACGTTACGTTAGCCTTGAAGTTTTATGGCGCCTGAAATACGGAGAACAAAATGCAAATCTCCGACGTATGCAACATTCACCATTAGTGCATGGTGAATGTCGACATTTCCGGCGTAAGTCAGAAATAAGGATATTTGGCAAATATTTTGGACATGCACCAAGCGTCTATGTGAATGTTGACATTCTCCAAATCTCGTTTTTTTACAGTAATATATATATGCAATAATGCATATATATATTGCGCGAGTTTGTAGAATGTTAGGTTTTCAAACATCATTTAGTATTATTTATTTATCCCCCCCAACAAATAGGTAAATAAAAAATCTTGCATTATATACAGGGGCGCACATTTACTGCTTTGCCTCAGATGGAAAAATATGTATGCACGACTGTCGGCGGGCGAGAGAATTGATGCAGCTGACATCCAGACACTAATTTATTATTATTATTAATGCTTAATGTAGACATTTCTTACTCCATTTCTCAATTTTGAGGTAGTTTTGTAATTGTAATGAAGTTAATTACTGATTTTTCTTTTTGTATTTTTTTCATGCAACTTTGATGCATAGGGGTCAGTGATGTATAATCAAGTAAGTGCCTTTGCACTAAAAAACATATACTGTATTTAAAGAGGTGTATATATATTTATAAGTATTTAATTTTTTAATTAAGACTGATAGAATAAGTTTAACTATTATGAGTTTATTCTTAATGCTGTGCGAAGATGTTTTTTTTTATAAATTATATGGCTTAAAATCTACTTTATTATGTTAAAGACTTTCAATAGAATTTCAGTTTAATAGTTTTTTTTTATTAAAATAAATTTTATAAATTTTGCAGATATTTTTTTGGAAAATTGTGGTGATTTTTAAAGCTAATTTTTTTATTTTTTGACTTCTACAAAAAGTATATATTTAATAATTTTCTGAGTGGTTTTTCTAATTAATGATTTATTCTTGAATTAGGGAGGTCATGCCAGGGGCAATAACACCTTTCGGGCTGGAATACATGGCGAAGATGTTCAGCATTGCAATGCATGTACGTATGTAATTAGGTTTATTATATTAAACTTATTAACTATTACCATAATTATTCTATGTAATTAATGCTATTGTTTGAACAGCTGGAAAATAAGTAATGTTTTCAATGAGTAATTCATGGCCGATTTTAGTTAAAATAAACCAGACAAGATATATCTGTGAAAAGAAGGAGGCTTCCACGGAAGAACCTTTAAAAAAATTAATTCGCATTCGCTTCAACCATAGGGAGAATCATGCAATCTCATGCAACCAGAGTGTTTACTAGAAAGACGACCTTGAATGTACTACCAGTGTTTAGCGTCTTTCGCCATATAATTGTTGCTTAACCCTAGTATATTAATGTGGGAACTTTGTAATGCTATATTATATATTTACTATTTAACTGTTAACACAAATTTTGATCGATAAACCTTTTCTTTATTTTAAAAAAGGTGAAGATTAATTTTAGCATAAAATAAAAATTATATTTCTAAAGAGATATTCTGTTTTCTTTAAAAGTGTATACTTGTTACTTTTTAATTATAAAAAATAATTTAATTGGTACTTTTTTCCTGAATGTGCATACATTTTTATTTATTAAGTACACGCATTTCACGTTTAAAAATCAGTGATTGAAGCCAGAGTATAATTTAAGTACATTGATATGCAGGAAAATTCACGAAAATGAATTGAAAAAAATTCATAAAAAATGCACAATTGGACGCAGTAAAATAATAATTTGGTCTGTAGATATGATATATGGCGCAAAGTTTCTGCAGAAAATTTCGTGTTCAATGCGTAGTATTTATTTATGTTAATAATTTTTACTCAAATATTTTTTTGAATTATATTGAGAAAATAAGCATATAGCATAATAGCTTAACGTAAAATAAAGTAAAATGAATAGAAAATAAAGAGATGATTAGCAGCATTGTGTGACCCAAAGTAAAACGAGTACTAGGCTTTCAGAAATACAGAAGCACAGCCCCTGCAGCGTGGCTATTTGTTTCACCAGTAGTGAATCGTTTATGGTGGAAATCTTTATTGCAGTGAGGGGAAATGTTCATCTTTGCTGTGCAATATATATATTCGTGTCATAGTGCAAGGATAAATTCTAGAACTTTTTCGCCGAGACATACTACTTACTTCTCATTTTTATTGCCTGTACGTGGTCGATGTCTAGCGCCAACTTTTGTGTTAATGTTTAAATACTTAACCTCTTTCTAGATGCAATTTCCTTTTTTAAATCTTAAAAAACGTTTGGTTTTAAGTGTTAGCTGAAGTTTTGTGATGATTAGGCTTTTTCGATGATTTTCTGAAGGAGTCTAATGGGAATAAAATATCGCCATAATTCTAACAGCTTCGAATACGCTGTAAGGAGAAATTAATTCACAGCTACCAGGCGAAATGTAAATTTTGTAGAGTTTCATTTTGTCGTTGTGTATTCTGAATGAGAACATATTAAGCATATAAGATAAAAGCATACTTAATTAGACAATAGTGAACATTCAAGAAAGTGCAGACTGCATCACAGAACCTTGAAAAAAATGGAGCTTTGTAATCTAAAGGGAGAATTGTTTGTAAAACTCACATATTTCGATCATAAATATTATGGGCTTTTAAACAACCAGTAGAGAGTTAGCCTAAAAGAAACAGGTAAATTAGCTTATGCTGTGGCGTGTTGGCTTTCAGGGTATCCGAATTCAACACCATGTCACTTCTTTGCATAGGGATTCATCAAAGAGCAACTTTTTATTCTTCCCTTTCCTACGCGATCTTAAAACGTGATAACTATATCTCACAAAAGAAATTGTGATTGTTGACATGGACATGCTGAGACCTGTTCGGAAAGTACTTGATTATTGTATTTAATTGTATTAATATTGGTCACGTTACAGAAGTTTTGCTCTTAAAATATATGTAACTTAGCCATTTAAACTTCAGAGTATAATATTCTACGTGTGCAACTATTTCAGTAACGATATTAAAATTCTCGTTTCTGTAAAACTTTGGAAATGTCTGTTTGTCCTTGTATTATGTTGTATTATGTATTTCACACTGAAATATTTGAGGCTTCGAGATTTAAATATAGTGTACTGACATCATAACTACCAATATGTCATGAGTCCATATTTGTAATACAGGGTTTGTTCGGGAAGTAGTTGGAATGATTTTTTCCCGCCAAAACGTGGCGATAGGGAGGGGGAGGTTACTGCGATGGTTGGGTTGTGGGGAGTCATAGCTGTCAGCGCGCCAGTCGTCTCCAAGCCTTCACGGAGTGCAGATCGAGTTTGAGGTGAGATCCTTTCAAGGTGCCTTATCACCTCCACAATAAATCGTTTTTTAGAGCAGTGTTAAGCAGTGAAAATTTGCATCAAACTGAGTAAAAAACCACGAGCGAGACACAAGACATGATCAAGACAGCTTATGGGAGTAATGCCATGGGCATAAATTGTTTCGGAAAGGAAGAGAGCAAGTCGAAGATGAGCAACGGTCAGGACGCCCTTCAACGGCAAAACGTGACCAAAACGTAGTGCGAAATCTTTTGAACTCCTACCGCCTCAGACTCAGAAAATGAGTCGCCCTCGTCCGTCCAGCAGTCGCTGGACCATGGAGGCGACATCACGACAATGCGCTGAGCCAAATCGCCTTTGCTGCCATGGACTTACTGACTATTCATGGCATCACACAGCTTCCCAGCCATCCCGTAGCCCAGATGTCGCTTCATCAGACCTCTTCCTCTTTCCACGGTTTGATCCAGGCCATTCAAGAGGCCGTAACGAGAGAGCTGAAGAGCATTCCAGTTTCTGCGTTCTAGGGAGCCTTCAGTTATTTTTAGAGTCGCTGGGAACGCTGTGTTATTGCAGAAGGAATATATTTTGAAAACTATTAAGTCAATGTCTCAAAACTGTCAATAATGTTTTTCAAAAAAATTCAGCCCTACTGCTTTCCGAACAAACCCTGTATAATAATTGAATTGCAATAATAAGTACCTATGATTTGAGGTGATCTAATTGTTACTTTTATTTTAAAGGCTGAGAAAACAGCATGGGAGGCTCCAGTTTACAGCCGATACTTTTTTTTCGGTTGGATGATGGCTTACAATCATGCAATGTTCCTTGTTACAGACGTAAGACTCAACTTTCTTTCATTCAAATTTTCCTGTTCAAATGCATATCACAATGCAAATCCTGTAATAAAATTTCATAAATTAATCTACTAAGATTATATACACTGATGAAACAAATGAAGAGTATAAGCATATTTTATCGAATCGCATGAAAAGAACTGAAGAAAAAAACCACTGCTTGTAGATAAAAATGCAAATATTGTATAACAAATACTTAAGCGTACACGTGTGTGTAGGCGGAGCCAGCAGAAAATCAGGCTGTATAAGCGCGTGGAGGGTAAGAATAATTGCGTTCGCTAGCACACCTTGGCGAATTTCTTGGTGTTATCTCGCAGCAATAGGTTAAATTCACATCGGAGCAGTAAAAATAAGTAACCACCAACGTTTAGATGATGGAATGAGGTGGCGAACTGTGGGGAGGCTAGAGGCAGGCCAATCGCAAGTCCAGATATGCAGAGAGCTTAACGGCCAGCGTTGAGTGTAGCCTATGGAAACAGTTCCAGGATACTGGATCTATTGAGAGAAAGCCTGGGCAAGGTCGTCCAAAAGCCACGACTGCCAGAGAAAATCGCTATTTGTCCTATTTAGTGAGGCGTAACAGAGGGGCTATCGCTATTTAGCGAGGCGTAACAGGGGGGCTACGGCTTCTCAGCTCTCTCGGGACCTCTATGCAGCCACACGAACCCGTGTAACAAGGGAGACTGTTTCCAAAAGATTGAATGAGAGAGGGTTGTTTGCCAAAAGACCGGCTGTTTGCGTCCACTCACGTCTACGGACAGGAGAATACGATTAGCATGGTGCAGGCAGCATAGTGATTATAGTACGGAACAATGAGCGACCGTTCTGTTCAATAACGGGACCCGTTTTAGCCTAAACACTGATTCCCGCCGTACTTTCATATGGAAAGAGCCAGGGACCCGCTACCTACCCTCCAATGTCCGCGAAATCAACAATTATGGCGGTAGCGGTGTAATGGTCTAGCAGGCATTATGATGGAGAGCCGCACACCTCTCCACGTCTTTGACAGATCTGTGACTGGTGTGAGGTATTATAAGCCCTATGTTCGCATTTTCGGGAGGCAGTGGGTCCGAGTCATCTTACAGAATAAACGCGAGGCCACATAGAGCTCTTTGGTCGACGAATTTCTCGAGAGTGAGGATATTCGCCGGATGGATTGGCCAGATAGATACCTAGAGACCTCAATCCTATAGAGCATGTCTGAAACGCTCTGGGGGGGGCAATTCAACTCGAACCCTCCTCTGAAGAAGATACAAATTCATATAATAAACTTTCTTAGGAACTATTATGAAGTGTGATAAATTATGAATGTTAGCCTACTATTATTACCTATCTATAATTATATTAATAGATATGATACAATCGAAATATCGATATACTATTATACGTTAATTATGTGATATTTACTATGTACTATTTGAATATTAATTTTATAAATAAATCGAAGTAGGGGACTATACCTACATTACTTATGTAAATATTGGGTGTCCCACATTTCCACTGAAACCTGAACCTAAACCCTCCTCTGAGGAATGAATGAGAAACAGCGTTGCTGAAATGGGACCAATTGCAACATAACACTGATAAACTGCGTTATTTCCAGTATGAACACGCTGCGAGGCCTGTATGGCTGAAGAGGGACCATACCTCCTATTAACCCATTTCTTTTGTGTTTTCTGCAACCGCTGTTTCAGACCTTCAGACTCCCATGAGTATTACACACGAACATGTGTGTTTATTATAACTGCTGAATGTTTATTTTATTTGTATTATATCAGCCTATGTTCACACCAAATTTCATTAAAATCTGTCCAGTAGGTCTGGATATCGCAGATCAAATATGAAAATTCTCTTAATTTCTTAACCAGTGTATTTACTCATTCACGCAATTTAAAGGACTGCTAAAAACAGCATGTTGATAGCTAGTACATTTTGAATTCTTAAACTCATTTTAACAGTAGATTTCTCAAAGGTGTTTGCAAAAATTTGCTTTGTCATGCACGAGGAAGAAATACAGGGGTTGGACAAAAATATGGAAACACCTTTAAAAAAACATGTTTCTTTGCTTAATATGGTGTAGGAAACCCGTTGGCATCCAAAACAGCTTTCAGTCTTCTCGGAATGAATAAATACAGTTCCTGTATGTTTGCCAATGGAATATTATACCATTCTTCCTGCAAAACGATGGCAAGTTCAGATAACGATGTTGGCGGTGGATAACGAGAAAGCACTTTTGTTCCAATGTAGACCACAAAAGGTTCGATAATATTCAGGTCTGGTGACTGTGGTGGCCAGGGAGATGGGACACTCATCCTCGTGCTCAGAAAACCAGTCCTGGACAATGTGAGCTGTGTGAACAGGGGCCTTTGTCATCTTGGAAGACACCATCCATCACCATCGGGGAACAAAGTTTGTACCATGGATGAACTTGATCGGCCAAAATGTTCACATAAGTCTTGGCAGTCATGTGCCCTGACACAGTTATCATGGGGCTAGCAGAGAACCACGATATGCTGCCCAACCATAACAGAACCCCCCGCCATGTTTCACTCTTGGCAACAAGCAGTCCGTATTATAGGCTTGAGATGGGCGTTCTCCAGACGTAAACTCGGCCAGAGAAGTGGGAAACAATGTGAAAGAAGACTCGTCAGACCATATTACTCGCTTCCACTGCTCTATAGTCCAGGCTTTATGACTAAAACACCACCTTTTCCTGGTACGGGCTTTAGCATCACTGATGAGTGACTTCTCAATTGCAGCACGGCCAGCAATTCCCTGTTTATGAAGCTCCCTTTAATTGTTTTGGTACTCACAGGGTTCGGTTAACACAAGCATCATTTCAGCAGTAGTAACTTTTCAGCTATGGTGGTCTCTTATTTTTCGTCACAATTGCCGTTAATGATCGTCTGTCACGATCACTCAGGACACCTGTGATTTAGCCGTGATGTTTTTCCGCTGCGCGGAATTAAATATGCGTAAATCTTCGATACAGTACCTTTGAAACACTAAAAACACCTCGGCTACCTTGCTTACGGAAGCACCTACCATACGTGCTCCAACAATTTGCCCACGTTCGAAGTCTGTTAACTCTGACATAATGCAATGACAACCTCACATAACAGTACTCCGACAACAACTGAACTGTTTAGCACATTACGAAGTTGCAGGTGGCGTCAGTAGCAAAAACGCCAGCGCACCTACATATTTCATAAAATCAATTCTTTCAACATGCATTTCACAAGATGTTTCCATATTTTTGTCCATCCACTGTATATATTAATTTTAATGTTTGACTTTACAAACTTCTATGATGTACGATATAATGTCCCGATTTTTATAAGGTCGTATTTTTTATGGCTTGTTTGGCTCAGCGTTTCCTTTGAGTTTGTTGAGCCGTTCCCTTCTCTGCAACAAAGGTATATCCGGACCTTTTTTTGTTGTGATTACATTCTCAAAAGCCATGTAACTGTAAGTACTGACTTTAAAACACATAACAAGTTTTAGGTATCCTGCCTGGTTAGCGACCCTGACTGCCGTATCGAAGGGCCCGGATTTGAATCCCGGAAAGCGCATGGATGTTTCTAAATGTAGAGTGTCTGTGTGGCATGGGAGAACTCTAAATATGCGACCAGCCGAAAGTTCTCTCGAGAGCTTAGTGATAGGGAAAGTGGAGTGGGGGGTCTTTGACTCATGCCCCTGGGTGATCTCCTTCAAAATTTGGGTCGAAACTGAGCAAAGTCGTACTGTCACCTGTATGGTGTTCAAGGCTGTTGCCAAAGATAGGCGAAACCTTGCCTCCTTGCCGCGATGAATTTTGTGGGCTTTCTCTGATATCAAGCAAGCGAGTTTAATCCCAACACAACAATAGTTTTAGGTATTTATGACACCTGCATATTGTATCAAATTATTGATTAAAATATTCAGGCAATAGGAAACAGAATAGTATCCTTAAAGATTTTTCATAACATTTAGAATAGTGAGCGCAAAAAAATTGCACAGATTCCTACCACAGCATGTACATTCATTTATAGCTAAAAACATACAGGGTGTTTATAAAGTCCCGGACCCATTTTGATGTTTAATAACTCAAATAATGAAGATATAAACAAACTTATGGCATTTATTGATTGAATAACTTATATATTTTCCTTTTCAGGTTTGAGTATCTTTACTTTGTAAATATCGTCTGTGGTGGTTTTAATCTCAGATAATTTCATTTTCCATCTAAATATCTTACTTTCTAATATCGTCTGCTTATTAATTGCATTTTCTCTCTTTTGTTTTGACATCTTTCTGACATGTTAATCGCCATATGTGCGCATATGGGTATCTGAAAACCCCCAGAATATCGTAAGGCACAAAGGGATTCCCAAGGTTAATGTGTGGTGTGGACTAATGCACAACAACCGAGTCATTGGCCTTTTTTTTTTTTTTTTACAGAAAAGACAGTCTCATCAGTCGTATATATACATGTTGAAAAACTTTGTATTTCCACAACTAGAAGAGCTTCAGCCACATGTTTTTTGCAACAAGATTGTGCACCACCTCATTGGGGTAGCATCTTTCGTAATTATTTGAATAACCATTTTACAGGAAATGGATTGGGCGAGGAGGTCCAATTCCTTGGCCACCCAGATCATCTGATCACCTCACTTTTTCCTTTGGGGATTTGTAAAGAACAACATTTACAGGAGGAGACTGTCGAACATGGATGACCTAAAGCTAGAATTACAACCACAATAGCCTCTGTGGATGCTGACATGCTTGCCGGTCCTGGCGTGAAATTGAATATCAACTTGATATTCTCTGTGCGACGAAGAGGGCACACGTGGAAGTTCATTGACAAAGGTCATAAAACTTTTGGAGTCTATCTAGCCATTTATGTTATTAATTTTAATCTATCTTTATTATTTTATGAGTTATTAAACATCAAAATCGGTCCGGGACTTTATAAACACCCTGTACTTTTCGGCGTACTGGATATCACTGCAAATAAGGATTCGTGTTCATGTTTCTAGAATATTAGACTGATAATTCGTAAATTCTAATCTCTTGGATTAGGAAAATGAAATTACACGCAACTTGAACAAAGTTGCAAACGACTTCGTATATGATTCTTATAAAGATTTTTATCTTTAATTTTTCTACGATAAATTTAATGTTTAAATACTTATTAATTCAAAAGTGTTTGAGCAAATTTATCAAGGCTTACGGATAAATTTCTCAAAGGTCGTTTACTATCCGATGATCTGATAGGTCTTCTCAGCGCACTCTGGTGGGCATCAAGATCTGTGTTGGGAACCTGTGACTTACAATTTAGCCTTTCCATTTTTAGGAGTCCGCTAACATTTTGATAATCTTACGTTAAGCTAGAGAGTTCGCGCTAATTTCTAATTCTTATATGTATTATTACCAAGAAATAAGATGACGTGCAATTTAGCCTTTCCATTTTTAGGAATCCATTAACATTTCGGTAATCTTATGTTAAGCTAGAAAGTCCTTGCTAATTTCTATATCTTATCAAGTATGGAATAATATATTTAATTTATTTTTAAAACTGACATACTATATCACTCAAATAAGTAATTTAAGAGCAATATGCCTCTGTGTTAATAATTTAGGAAGTTATTTCTTATTAATGTCTGCTATTGGTTTAATTTCTAATCCCATATAATTCATAATATGCTTAAATTATAATCTTTAGCAATATTTGCACTATCAATGTAAGTAATATTCTTCCCCAATAAAGAAAAAAATAACCAGCACTTCTACTAACGATACCAGAAACATTCAAAATCTTGAGGGAGTTAAAAACCTTTTCCCCAATAATATTTGTATTATGAAAATCCATAATATAGAATTTGTCGAACTTGCAATTTTGCAAAAAGAGAGTATTCTCACCACTCATGCAGACCAATTCCAAGGTGTTTTGGCATTACGCAATTGTTATCTGAAACATATCTGTTTTGCTGTCACGAAAATTTTGAGAATGGTGTGATCACTCAGTATTAAATTAAAAAGAATTATTATCATTTACTAACAAAATTATGATAATTCATCTTTTGTTTTCAAACCTAATATTGATTGTTTTATGACAATTATATAGACATTTTTTTGTACTGTACAAACTTTAATTTTTAAAGATTTATGAAAATTCCTCGATATAGTGTTTTGAACTTTTTTAATTATGACTGTATTTTAATTATAGGTGGCTTATTGATATTAGGAAAATTTTTACGTTTACTTCTCTCTGTTATTTATTAAAATTTATTCTCCCTGTTTAGATGTTTCGTGGCCAGAAACCTGGAAATCTACATTATTTCGCTCAAGCTACTATGCTAGCTTTTTTTGGTAGAATAATAGATGAAGAAGAAATATTTCAAGTATGCGAAGATCGGTATGGAGATACAAAACCAAAATTTTCTCCATTTTCATTACTGAGGGTAAGAAAAATATGAATTATAATAAATTCTAGTGGGAACCTTAATTTTTTTAAATTCAACACTTGTTTGGCTTTAATTTCAAATAAGAGGGGACAAATGCATTGCAATAAAAATTTACTGAGTCTGACATTTTAATATAAGTGACATGTTTTGCAAATGTATTAAATTTGTCAATATAAGTATGACACAAAGGATAATTAGTGCTTTCTGTTGAGAAAAGTAAAATGCCAAATATTAGATGAAGGGTGTAAAAAATTTTTAAATTGAAAACTGGAATTAAAAGTTGTTACAAGTTCGTTATCATCCAACAGAGACATCAAGAAAAATTTAATGAATCAGCAAGGTAACTCAAGCTGTAACGGAAAAAATTTACAGGATAAGTTTGATTCTTCCACGTGCTAGCTGTGCACCCCATGTACCATTGAACTAAAAAATGATATTCGGCTTTGATAGTTTGAGGCCTTATCGCAAATTATGATATAAGAGATGTTCTTCTCATAAACCAAAAGACTTTAATAAGGTCTGTAACCAATCCGTGCAAACATTGTATCAGGCTGACTTGTAAAGAAGACGCTTGGTAACACCATTCATTATGCATCTTATCAATTTTTACAGTAGAACCGAAATTGTATACTGAAGGTGAGGCAAAAAGCATTTTTCTCCAGTTATCGACATTGTTTGCTCCGTAGAATATTTAGGGATAGTAGTGAAGGGAATACCAGAGTAATGTAATGTAATATGAATGTGCTGTAACCCTTCTGATTGATAATAATCGGTCTTATGGTTAACGTAGCACACCCAACACAAACAAAATACAATTAAAAGACTAAAACGCGGATTAAAATAGAAATACAGTCAAAAAGCATCAAATCCAGATTTCCCAGTATTGCTAAATTGCCATTTATAAAGTTCATCAAATCCTTTGCAAATCTAAACTCTTTATTGCAGCACTAGAATTCCTTTATGTTACCATGTTTTTCCCTAACATGCTGCAATAATACGCAATCTTCGACGTAATGTTGTGCATTGTCTTTAGCACTACAAAGACTATTATTTTGTAAATTAAATCTTTTCAGGTACGCCGGCAAGCGCCCGTGTGCAGTAATTATTTGACTGTAATCAAATTCACATATCATTCTCATATTTTTAGAAACTTCAAAGTTCAAATAATCTTTCCTTTTCTCGAAATGTTCCGTTTCTCTTCCCAGCAATCATAATAGAAATGCTTGATTTTACAAGTAACAATTCTTTTTGATGCTTGAATTTCTTTCATGTATTTATTAAAATTTTACAGGATCTTTTATGTATGAAACCAAAATATTGGTGTTATCAACATCTGTTAGTGCTTCCAAACCAGATAATGAGTCTATATATATATATATATATATATATATATATATATATATATATATATATATATATATAATTGTATGATCTTAAATTCACTTAATGCGAAATCGAGTTATTCTACTACTTGCTCAATTGCTGCAAAGTAAGTTATATGTATATGTATATATATTAATACATGTTTTTACAGTCAAGTTTTCATCAATCCATTTAAGAGGAAATATGATAGCAGCCAATTTGGCTTAAAATACCGAATCGTCCGAAATAAGGTTAATAAGGTTATTAAAATACCGAAATAAGGTTCAAGTCTAATTTTGCTGTAGTCTATTTCCGTACCAAACAAATAAATCACATATGCCGGATCAATTACATTGTCATAATCCGAACCGTTAGTAAATATATCCAGTTCTCCTACGCAAAAATTTATTCTCCGATAGTTCACTGATTTTATTATATATATTCCGATATTTTCTTAATTCAGGATGCATATTGTTAATATAATACAGAGAAACATGTATTATATGCTGTAAATCGTCCGTGAGTAATGAAATCAACATTTTGGTAAATGCCAGGAATGCCATGGTATGGTTGAAGACCAGAAATAGCAGATGAGGTGGCACTTACGTATATTAAGTAAATGCATTGCATGTAACATTAGACCTTAAAGAGACAATTGGATACCTGAGCTTTAAAGCTGTGAGCTATTAAACTTAAGGAAAAAATTTCTTTTGAATGCAAAACCAGTTTACGGATTCCGTTAATAGATATCTGTTGTCCGGTTTTGTTTTCATAGACATAGCAATATTTATGCTGTTACTAAATTACGCAACAGACTACGCAATGGACTTAAAAATTTACGAATATTATTCGTACAGATTTACTTGTAAAGTTAAAAATTATAATCAACTGATTACGTTCACATTACATGAATACTCGCATTTATGTTTATAAAGTTATAAAGTTAAATTTGCTTGGTGGACATAAACTAGCTTGTTTGGGAAATTTTATTAAATCAACGCTTTTATTAAAAGCACCATTTGTGCTTGACAAGTTGTTTAGAGGTAACTTAAAGTAACGGTCAGTTTCAAAAGTTAAACTAAATCTACACAAACTGATTTAACGTAAAGTTGGCTCAAACTTGTCACGGCGTGACGATTTAAATATCGGCAGTTATAACGCAACTGCGAAGAACTGCAATCTTTTCAGAGCTAGCAAAAGCTAGTAACGTGTCCTCGGGACGTAGAAACATGCTTTGTCTTAAAATATGGAAACCTCAGTTTAGTACTCTCAAATAGTTTTCATGCTGGTAGGGAAACGGAAAAGAGAAGTGAAAGTAAAGGCTGTAATTATAAATAACTGGTTATGCAAAATAGTAATAATAATCTTACAAAGTGAACACGTAGGCAGATCACATTTCATTTACTTCAGGCAGGCTCGACAGAGGACAAATCCTGTTAGAGGGCAGACCATGGAACTGTCTGCACATAACATAAGCAAAGCGTGAACAACTCCTGGACAACCTATGTAGAATGCAGCCGCGCTTCATCTTGCTGTAGTAATACTCCAGACTTCCGGCAAGGAATATAAACACATGTAACCGTACTGTTTCACACGTATGAGCTGTCATAACTGTCAGTATGCCGCGAAATACTATTATAGTGGTTCGCTTATTGTCGGATGTCGCTTTCCCGGCCTTTAACGCCTAGTCAACTGCAAGAATTGTCATCTCTGATATAGACGTTATCTTCCTTCTTCCTTCGAGATAAATGCACTAGCGGTGCTTTTAATACTCAATCGGAGTCGAGAAGTTGCCATTATCTAAAATTGCTGTTTTACGATTGTAGTGTCATGCAGGGTGTAAAACCATGCATGATCGCACTAGATTTTGACCATTTACATACTTATTCCCACCCTAATCATCTGCACAGCTTCCCTATCTTGGCACGGTTAACTTCTATGTGCGCTAATTTCAATGGACTTGAGCGTATTTATTATTTTGATCATCGCAGCTTCAATACGCCCATAACTGATGATGGTGATCTCGACATGAATGAATTTTACAAGGCATGAAATATAAAATTCGCAATTAAAAATTTTCGGGTGGAGGACTACGTTATTCAGAATTTGATGACGCTAGGTAACGTCGAGTTTACAAGGTGTATACGTACATGCAGATTCTTCATTATGAGCCCGAAGGGGTCATAATGAAGAGAATCTCCAGAAGAGCTATTAATTTCGTTTTGGCATTTTGTGTTGATTCTTTATAAACGGCGAATCACTATAAACGAAAATCGCCCTGTATTATATTTAAAAAAAATAAATAATGAAGAATCTGCATAAATGTATGTATATTTCTCGCATTGTGATAAAACAACTGTACCTAGAGGCATCACATTTTGAATAACGTAATCTTCCACCGAATATGGGCGTCTGGAAGCCGTAATTTGAAATTTGAAATCTGTTTTATTATCGATTTCATATTTTGTTTTTGATTAACAAACTCAATGACTTCAAAACGAACAATGGCAGCACTACCGAAAAAAGAATTATCTCCAGCGCTTGAGACTGTGTATCGGAAATTCTTAAGATATGCTCATTTTAAAATTATTTTGCGATATTGCTGTAACATTGAATTTTATAGTTTAAGTGCAAAGAACATGATATTTAATAAATAAAGGTAACACGCAAAACGTTAAAAAATGTATCTTTAGGCGTAATTTAAAATCCGAAAATTTTCAGATTTTTTATAATTTTTTTTTTAATTCAAAGGGGCAATTTGTCCAGGACTATTAATTTCTTTTTGGAATTTTGCATTGATTCACTATAAACATTGATTCACTTTAAAATTGTTTCCACCAAATATTAGAGCCCTGTATTATAATTAAAGAAATAAAATAATGAAGAATCTGCATAAATATAAGTATGTTTCTTGCCTTGGGAACATACTTACCTTTATGCAAAATATAAAGCAACGGTACCCAGAGCCATCGAATTTTGAATAACGTACGTCTCCACCCGAATATGGGCATCTGGAAGCCCACCTTTGCGATTTTTTTTATTATCTATTTCATATTTTGTAAAACTTTAACGAATTTTTGATTAACATACTCAATAATTTCAAAGCGAGCAATGGAAACACTGTATGGGAAAAAAAAAAAAAAAAAAAAGTTTTTTTTTTATCTCCAGCGCCCGAAACTGTGTATTGGAAGTTCTAAAGATATGCTCATTTCTAAAATTATTTTGCGATATTGCTGTTAAGCTGAATTTTATGGTTTAAGTGCGAAGAACATGATATTTAATAAATAAAGGTGACACACAAAACGTTAAAAAAAGTCCCTCTGGGCCTAATGTAAAATCTGGAAGCTTTCAGATTTTATTTTATTTTGAATTAGTTTTGTTATCAATATTTTGTTCTTTATTTCTTTTTTTGCGTATTTTGTTTTTAGGATACTTTACTTGTATAATATATTTTTTAATGTTTTCATATTTGTTGATGGATGTCTAATATGGTAATGCTTTGTCAGATTGCAAATGATCAGAGTCGTGCTCTTCCCCACAAATGCACATTTCTGTGTTGGAAATTTATCTGGCATGAAAATATGGAGGGGGGGAAGGGACAGTGCCATGTTAGACTGTAGTTGATATACGGGTTACTGAAACTTGCTACTTCACTTATTTTTGTAATTATTTTAGAAAAGCTTCTGCCTTGATAAGAGTCTCCCACTCTTCTTGCCATATTTTATTTTCCTGTTCTTGAATTTTTTAAGGAAGGTTTTGATAATTTCACTTATTGGATTAGTAAATTAATCTTTAGTAAGACGATGGGCTGTTTCGTTTTTTGCAATGCCATTATGGGTTTTGAGTCATTTGAATTTGAATTTTTTTGAAAAAGCTTGGACAACTCCATTGTTTCCTGCCACATTTCCTTGCCACGTTTCTAATTCAGTGCTGTTATTTGGAATCATAATCCAGCGACGCCCTCCTTTTATTCCCTTTTTGGACCGTCGGTACATATTATTGGATAGATATAATTCGCTTTTCCATTATATTTCAGTTGAATAATTACATTAGGATCTAATGCAAGATGTCTTCTATATGGCAGTTCTGGAGGAATTCCTGCAGGTATGCATAAAGTTTGGTTAGAAGTCGTTCTGTATGTTTTTGTGATTTGCAAAAGAAACGATCTGTGGATGGTAAATAGAATTCTCTTTTTCCTTTCGTTCAGCTTTGATGTCCATATTGTTGCCCCTTAGCTAACAATACTAGTGATTGCTATTCTATAGAGAATCCTATGAGTATGTGATTTCATTCCACAGCTTTGGACTGAAATTCAAAGCTCCGTTCTGAAATTTGATGCTGTTTTAATTTTTAGTTTTAGTTCTCGTAAATGCGTTGCCATTTTAAATTTATTGTGTAAAGTAACGCTTCGAAATTTTCTCTCTTTGTTTATTTTTATTCTTTGCTTCTACTGATATGTTTAGAATTAACTGCATGAAATATCGAGCTGATAGAATTGAATTTTAGGTCTTAGAATGGAAAGAAGGAAATGAAATTTATTCTTGCAAACAAACGTATTGCCATATCATTATAGAATAATATTATTTTTATATTTTGATAAGCTAATTTATAACTCATCCTAAACGTCTGATGATATCAGGAAAAGGTAGAGAATGTTACGCTTACCAAAATATCGAATATAATAGGTTTTTTTTTTGTTTGTTTGTTTTATAGGTTTTATGGATAAATCAAAAACGACTTCGAAAGGAACAAAAAGCTTATGCGAAGTATCGTATTCAAGTGGAAAAATTTAAAACTTCCAAAGATCTTTTTGATCATCTCCTGCAAAATTGCTGCAGTATACTCAATGTAAGTTCCACAAAAATTTAACGCTTTGTTTCAACTGATACAGACAGTTTGATTATTTACAAATCTGGATAATTAATTTCATTATAGGCTTATGTACCTAACATGCTAACTTCTCAAGCATCGATGGTATGGAATTTGTTTGTTTTCACCATTCTTGGCAAGGCTAGAGGAGGTAAAGTATAAATGCCGTTTCATCATATAACAACAGTTTATAACCAAATGGATAACTACATATCAGATAGCTTTGGAAATACAGTAGAATCTCTTTTAACAGGCAGCAACGGTACCTCACTGATTATGAATGAGAGATTTTTAAGGATTATTGAATCTATATTTCTAGAATTTGCCATCGTTTGATCTACTGGCCACAATTAAATAAATAATATCGTAAAACATACAGGTTATTTAAAATTAAAACACACAGGTATGATTTTGTAATTCAGAAAAATAAAATTTAAAATTTTAAAATTACTATATATTTTGTCGCATGAAAATTACAGATTTCTTAGTATGATATATAACTTAAAATATCTGCTTCCTTACGAGATTCTCGCCGGTATTTTAAAAATTCTCTGAGTATACAATAAAACTTCATAACATTATATACTGACGTAGATGGATATTGCTCAGCAGATCTTATGAAAGTCTGTAGTCATTTAGCTTCCTTCCATATAACTCTCTTATTCTCCATGTCGTCTTCTTCTCCCTCCTCCTAATCATCATCTTTCTCCTTTCTCAGTACACGTCCGATTATTTTTGCCGTCTTCTTAAGAACAATTTAATGAAACAGACTCATCCATCCAAGACTACACTTCCTTTTTACTAACACTTATATTCTCAGAAAATATGACTAAATCTAAGATGTTAAATACGGACGAGCGCTGGATGAGTTTTAAATAAAAAATAAATCTTAGTCCCTAGACACGTGAATCTAGGAACATGGTCGTAGACTGCAATTTATACCGACGGCGAGGTAAAGTAATATTCTTTACATCTTTCCAAGCAAGAGCCAAAGTTAATATGACGTCTTTCAATATGATTTGTTTCTGAAAGGCATCGAAACTCTTTCGAAAATTCACACATCGACGCATAAAAAGATATCGGTAGCTTCATCTTCATATTCTAGATAATTCATTAGTTAAATAAAGCTAGTGTAGGTAGTTGGCAGAAGTATAATGCAAATGTTTTCAACTGGTAGATAAGATTATTAGCCCATTTCATTCTTATTTTTGTCATAGCCCTAAGTTTTATATTTGAATTAGAACTTCAAACGTGCCTTTATTTTAAAACTGCCGTTAACCTGGTGCCGATTAAAGGGATTTTTCTGTATTAGAAGACTAGTTTAAACTATAGTCATAAAATTACTTCAACATGATATATTGTTCCCCCTTAAATTTGTTATCAAATATACCCGTGTCGAAACATAGCTCGATAATACATGTTGTCGCCCAAATCTAAAGCGATATTACATACGAACAGAACTGCCTACGTAAAATTTGTTAATTACCAGCAAAATTTTGACTCTGTATGCGTGAGGATAATATTAACTCTGGGGAGGATGTAAGTATAAAATGAAATAGGTATTTTAAAATTTTACACATTTGAAAAGACTATGAATATTCACAACTAAAATCAACCGTCAGTATGTTCACTTTGAGCAGCAGTACAGAGGCAACATGGTAAGAAATGCTCTTGATTGATTGGTGGATTTCATCTTCAGAGCTGTGCAATTATATTTCGGCATCTTTGCTCTAAATTCATCAGTTGCTCTAGGATGTTATTAAGAAACGGAACATATTTTACCAAATGATATTTTACACATTTTTAGTGTCGGGAAAGAGTTTTTATTTCATTGAAATGCTGTAGAAAGGTTAAAAGGTAGAATGGTATTAGCATTGCCTTGTATAAAGCTAGATGTTTTCAAATCCTCGAAAAATTATCTACTGAGGTTACAATAATTTCAAGCGTAAATTATTGCTGTCAAAATGCAACTAATAATAATTAAACGTAACCTACAATTAAAGACTTTTCATATTATGGCATTAAGAATAATTTCAGCATGTATCGTCAAGGATGCATATTGAATTATTTCTCTCGTAAGCCTGCCTTCGAATGTGAACACTTTGCAGAAATTGAATCGTCACTGAAGACGACACATTTTTTTACCATATCCCTTAATGATATGACATATTTTGTCGAAAAGTACTCAATGGACGGTAAATGCTCAAATCCTTTCCATGCACTGGTTCTTGAATAATGGTAGCAAATAGAAGCAGACAGGTTGTAATCTGCAGGACTATGAGAGTTCTGCCTTAAATAGGTGCTAATATGATATGACAATATTCTCTTGGAGTTGTTTTCTTGGTTACTGAGCTATCTAATTCTTTACTTCTGCTGTTCGTAACGCGTATTGCTTTATAAATGTCGCTGATGCCATCCGTGAATGGTGATCATCGTGAATGGTGATGTAAAGGTTACACTTATTTCTTGCATTAAAACTTGTTATCATCATAACTTGTAGTTTCCACGTCTGTGCTTCAGCTGTTAAGCAATGTAGGCTTTCTAGATTTCTGAAAATGTGATGCAACGAAGTCGTTAACATGGACCTTATAAGAGATAGACTAACCCAGTGGGCGGGGCGCGCGTCACCAACATGTCGGCAAGAAAGAGTAGGGACGATCTGGTTTACTTTAGCACTGAAACTTATGGCGTTTGTATCATATAACTCTTTTTAATTATTAAATGTGATACTTTGTATAGTGATGAGATTATGAAAGCCACAGTTTTTTTCCAAATAGGATTTAATGTATCTCATTAAAGCACTTTTTACTGCATTTCGCGCAATTTTTTCAGGCGTAATTCTTGTACAAAACATCTTTTACTTTGGTAAAATTTAAAACGGTAAAAACTCTAAGCACAAAATTTATGAACTTAATTTTGCGTACAAAATATACGTAAAATTAAATAAGATTGATAGTAACGTGATGCTTTCAAATAAAATAAGGTGAAAATTTAAACAAGATATGATATTTTTTTAATTTAATGACCATTTTCAGGCAGTGAATTTTCAAAACTATAATACAACATTACAAAACAATCATATTTATTTGATTATATGACCATTAACTTATTAACATTAAAGTGGAATATGTTATTTTAATAATTTATAAAATTCGGAGCATAAAATTTTCTGAGTGTAATGAAGGGGGAAAAAAGATAAAATAAAATCTAGAAGCACTCAGATTTTATATTACGCCCCAAAGGAACCTTTTTTTAATGTTTTGTGTGTTACCTATATTTATTGAACATCATCTTCTTTGCCCGTAAATCACATACATTTTAAAACAGAATTAGAATTTCCGCACTGGAGATAAAACTGTTATTTTCTGTAGAGTGCTCGCTCTGAACGCGTTGAGTTTGTTAATCAAAAATTCGTTAAAGTTTTACAAAATATGAAATAGATTAAAACAAATTCGAAATTCGGCCGTCCAGATGCCCATGTTCGGGTGGAGGGTTACATTATTCAAAATTTTATGGCTCTAGATTCTGTCTTTTTTTGTCAGAGTGCGAGAAACATAAATAATGAAGAATCTGCATGAATACATGTAATTTCTTTAAATATAACACAGGGCGATAATATTTGGTAACAACAATTTGCAAGGAGACACGGACATTTATAGTAAAACAGCGCAAAATGCCGCTTCAAAACTAACAGCCTTTCTAGGCTACCGCCCCTTTAAGCTAATAAATTAAATTAACAGTAAATAAAAAAAAATCTTATGCAGCACTAAAAATAAATTAACAACATAATCATTATAAAATACAAGCAAAATTTAATTATTACGGTTAAATACAACTTTAATATTAGAATTAAATGTATAAAAATTATTAAGGAGTCAAAAGTGTTTATCACTATGATGTATTACGAAATATAATTGAAATAAAATTCCTTTATATAAATTGTGCTATAATACTCATCTATAATCTTAAAAAAGCAGAACAATTTAGAATTTTAAACAAAGCTTTCAAAAATTCGTTTTTAAATATTTTATATTTTTTTACTTACTTACACCAATAAAAAGCATAAAAATCGCAAGAGAAAATTGCTTGTTTGAAATTTTCTATTAGTTCAGATTTAAAATATTATTTTCTAAAAGTAGTAGTTGCAAATTTCCTTACAGCATCAGAAAAGCTAAAAAAAAATCATCCAGCCCTGAAAGCATGCAATAGCTTTATAATTATTTGGAACGTTAACTATGCTTGATAAATATGCTAAATTTTCAAAAATAAAAATATGTAGAAATTGTAATTTGTGAAATGAGGCACTACAACCAAGTTTTTCTTAACAATTATACACGCTGCAATAGGCAACCACTGTTAAATTTCTGAAAGTCGTCCCTACTCCTCCGGATGTGATCAAGGTAACAGCCGAGAACGCCTCAGATGAGGGAGAAAACCCATTTGGGTTAGTCTATTTCTTATAAGGTCCATGGTCGTTAACTGCTAATTAGAACTGCTATCATCATATTTAAAATCCTTAGCAATTCCGCCGTCATATGGATAAGGATCTTCAAACTGCATTTTTCCATGCAGTAATTACATACAATTGTGATCAAATTTCCAGCTCCTATTGCACTTTGTTACGCACAATAGAGGAAATGTATAAAACTGAGATGTTATTAGATCAAGTTTTATGGAAGAATGTCATTTTTTCAAACATGAAATACAAACTTAATACCACAGCAACTAAATTGAGAAGAAAAATGATGTTTAAATATTTTCTATGGGTATCGTTTTTTAAAACAGCGTTCAATATTCCTTTTTTTGCATTGCAGGATTTAGCAACGAAGTTTACAGTGATCTCGCGTATCTTCTAAAAACGAGCTGTGATGTAGAAAGTGCAGACGTACCTTCAGCTATGCAAGTAGGTAAAAATCATGAAAATTATTTTCTTGCATATGTCAACTCCCTTCGCATATTATATAATAACTATTCTGACAATTAATTAAAGTTTAATGCAATTATTTTGAAAAGGCATATAGCGTATTTATTTATTCCACAGAGTCTGGCTTTCCAGATTTCTGAAGCAATTAATGTAGAAGAATTCAAACGCATGAGTGTTGAGGTAATTAACCATTATATTTTTCTGGAACTTTATGATATACTAGACTACTTTTTTATGAACATAAAATACTTAATCTCCAAACTTTCTCAGGTACTGGAACCTTCTCAAAATTCTAACTGAGGACTCTAGATTTTAAATATTCATGTTTATACTATATTACTGCATTTCTCGTGCATCATCCCAGGCAATAAACGAGTAGATTTACTGTGCCTGTGCAATTCATTTCAAAGACGTTTTACAATATTAATGCAAAAACCTTTTGTTCACCTTCAAAACTTTCAAAAGACTTTGAGGACTTTGGAAGTCTAAAACAGAAAATTAATGCTACAAAACCATTGCAGGCCCAAACTCAAAAACTTCGAAATTGGATGTCTGCTTGTTTCTATAGATTTAACATGGTTAGATAATTTGATATTTCAAATGTTTTAATTTCAAAGTCTCTAGAAATTAAAAGAAATCAAATAACTCAATAGTAACAGCGTATTGCTGTTGAAAATCAAACAAGGCAATACGCACAGCATGGTAATTCAGCATTACTAGAGTGATTGAAAATGCATTGATAGTGTGCAATATTTCTTGCTCAGATAATGAAGCTTGGCTCAAACGCAGGTAAGGAATTGCTTCAACGAGAATCCTAAATAATATTCAAATGATAATTTATACTTGCGGGAAGTCTTTTATATGGCTAGTCATTGATGTGCCTAAAATATTAGTATAATCTTAACCTTTCTCTATAAATCGGGTAAATTTTTCAAAAAAAAAAAAAAAAAAATCAACCATAAATAGTAACCTAGATATGAGCTTAACTGAGCTTCCTTTATACGGATCCGACCTGTTTGCGTATAATCCTTTATGCAGTCGAAGTTTGACTGGCTTCTCTGTCCAAGAATACCCAACAATTAGTATGTTGCAAATTTCTGACAAAGCGGAAACGACTGCAGTGCATATTGATCCTTTTGTTTCAGACACTGTTATGTCATCTGTTTCACTTCAGATTTCGAGAACTTTGGCTGAAGCACCGGGCATTAGCTCTGTTGAGATGAAGGTTATTCACATCTCTGCGATTACATGGGAGTTTCTTTCACCACTCATAAGGCTGGTATTATTTTGTTCCTGTATAGTTAATGGTAGGCTGAGTTATCTAGAATGAAAATATAATAGGTCATGAACAATCCATTTAAGTCAACCTAATAAATTTTTCTGTTTAAGTAAAAAATAGCGCTATCAGGTCTTTGAAAAGTACTAGTTTAAATTTAAGTACCACTTGTTCGTTTTTCTGCTTACAAACTTTGCGCAGGATAGGCACCTCCACGATTGCAATCATAATGCTCATACACTTCAACAAGTATCTCTTTCGATTCCTTATTCACACTTAACTATTCAGCTGGAATTCAGTAGTAGTTTACGAAGCAAATAATTCTTTCTCTAATTTTGATTCACTTTATAGTTCGGCCTTACTGTTTCAGAACTGTATGTTTCACTCAAGTGGCTTCCACTGTAGTGCGATATGTCAATTCAATTGAAACTCTGGACGAGTAGAACATATGCTAATCTAATATCAATGTAGTTAACCACTACACATAGATTAAAATAACGCATTAACACGGCTGCGTTCAGATTTCCAGTGAAAGCGTTTTGGATCGATTATACAGGGTTAGGATATTTTCTTTTCCGGAAAGGCGGACACGTCGAAAATCTATAAGGTGTGTGATAAGCCTTTTTACAGTACATTTAGTTATGTTATACTTTTCAGTATATTATAGAGGCACACTGAAATTCAGTAGATAATTGTGATCCATCTTGTCTGTGCATAACAAATTAAAAAAGAAATACTTACGAAGAAGTAATAGCATACATTGTTCTCAAAATCAGGCATTACTTTTACCGGAAACTGTTGCTTATGCATATTACATTCCGATGCTAGTATTTGATTAAAACTTGTGAAGGGGATGAAAGTTATTCATTGGAATATTTTGATGCAGAATATTTGTAAAAAAGTAGTTTTTCTACTACTATGCGGTTTGAAATTATACCACTTGCTATATATATTTAATAGATTTATAAGGTATTTCTCCCACTTCCCTAGCGTGCCTTCGTGGTGTAACGGTAGCACGATGGGCCGGTATTCCAGAGGTCCGTGGTTCGATTCCCGGTGAAGGCGGTTGCATATTTTTCATCTTTTCTGCTTCCAATTAATCTAATGACTCTACAAATTTATCCAGAATTATGTGAATTAGACTAGTATAAATATGCATTTTTGCAAATAATATTAGGGAGATTATTTTATAGTTCATCTCAACTGAAATGCTTACATTCAGAATAATTTTGTGAAACCTTTTCTACGCAATTCTGAGTCGGATTTTACATGAAAAGAAACATTTTTATTTATCCTGTTTCTCCTAATTATTGCATATAGGAAATGTAATTTCAATAAATAACGTTTAATTTCGAATGACAATTCAAAACTATAGCTGAAGTATTATTTATATAGCTTTTCTCTAAAAATTATATATTTACGTAATCATTCATGGACATCTCTTATAGGAAGCACTACATTGGCTTCAAAACACACCGTCTGCAGCTGGAAAGAAATTTCGAGAGTTTTTGGAGAAACATGGACATAGATGTTTGAAAGAAGTAAGTTATTAAAATTATTTTCAAAACGTACTCCTAAAACTCTGTCATCCAATGCAAACGAAGTTTATTTCTTTTTTCTCTATTTGTTGCTTGCCTATTACACGAGCTCTGAAAAGAATATACACAAATATTTTTTTTTTTCACTATCGTTTCTGAAACTCGCAAAAAAAAAAGTGTACCCTCAAACATTTTTTTTTTAAATTTTTAATTGCATACTGGCCAGCCAACATATTAAAACATGGGAAAGAATTACATGAAGTATCTTCTTTTTCATCTATATCTCTGTTTATACACATTTATGCACTTACAATATCGAGATTGAAGCTTTTTCAGTCAATACTGTTTCATTTCAACTAAGCAAAATCAAAAGATCAGTATCTTAACAAAGGCATTAACTTTAGCAAAACGATTGCTTAAGAGCATTTACTAAGTAATAAAGCTGATGACTTTTGCACAGTATGCATAGTGAATAGCTGCAGAAGAAGACTAATAGAAGAAGATTGGTGATACTTGGAACAACCTATAAGGTGTGGGCCGGGCATGCCGTATTTAGTAAAGGACCTCAGTATTGCTATATGTGGTATAAGTCAGGAGCTGCAAGAGGGATACTTCTGCTAACGTTGAACGTTATTTCAATTACGGTGATAAACTCAGCTTTTGTAGCATGCGCAAGTCATGGTAATCTTTACACACTATATAGTGTCGAAATCCGTAGACTGATTCACGTGCCTGTATTCTTTATCATGAACATTTTTGGTGGCACGCAGTTATCGATGCTGGATTCTTTATGACAGGATTTCTCAGATAAATCCATTTATTTCATCATCAAATAGACTAAAAAACTCTTTTATTGTACCTATCTAGCGATTTCTTTGCATTTGCATGGCTTATGGGACTCATGCAGGCGGAATTTTATGATCTTGGCAATATTTCCTTGTGAAGCACTTGTATCAATTGTAAGGTATTTTTTCCCTCGTTACCGTGTACTTTCATGGTGTAATTGGATGCACATCTAGCAAAAGTTCAAATCCCGGGAAGGGCATTGCTAATCCTTCAAGATTCTCTATTTAAAAAAAAACCTAATGACTAAACGTGGCACCTGAAACTAAAATGCTGAGAACGATAATTCATCATTTTGAGCATGACTCAGCTCCCCTTTAAGTGGGAATAGTGTAGCGCATTTTTTCCCTCTTTTTGTAGTCCTTAGCAGTAGTGATGTAATTGGAAGGACGTTCGGCTAGTACTGGAAGGTTCGGAGTTCGAATCTCGACGAGGCCACTGCTAATTCTTCGTCATTCCCTGCTACAAAAATATTCCACAGATCCTATACAGCCATCCTTGTGAACCTCTAATATATGGTGTCCGCCGACAACATCGCGGCAAAAACATCGAGGATGAAAACGTCGCGGAGAAAACAACGCAAGGCGAAAACGTCGGGCTACAAAACATCGTGGGAGAAAACATCGCTAAGAGAAAACATCGCGTTTCTAAAATATCGTGGTACAAACATTGTCGTCGAAAATAAAGCGGTTCTAAAACTTCACAGTTTAAAAACAACGACGTCGAAACTATCGTGGTAAAAAAATAAAGTATCTACAAGTCATCGCATGACGATAACATCGCAGACATGCTTTTTTCAGTTTTTAATAATTGTAAATGGATATTCCCATAATGAATTGTGAGCGCGAGATGTAAAGAAGGATAATTTTTACTTTCACATTTTTTTTAACTAATAAATTTTTGCTGAAAAAGTAAAAAGGAAACTTATGCATAGAAAATTAAATGAAACTTATAGATTATACTTTTCATGAAATATTACCAGTAAGAACTTTATAAAAATGATTTATTAATGACCTTTGTTAGTTAAGTATGTCGGTTTAAAATTCTATTAAGTGCTATAAGTTGCATTAATTTTCTATGCTTAAGTTTCCTTCTTATTTTCTCAGAAAAAATTTATTAGTTAATAAAAATAAGAAAGTAAAATTTATACTTCTTTCCATCTTGCGCTCACAAATCATTATGGGAAGACCCATTTACAGTTATTAAAGCCTGAAAAAAAGCATGTCTGCGATGTTATCGTCATGCGATGACTTGTAGATACTTTATTTTTTTACCACGATATTTTCGACGACGATATTTTTAAACTGCGAAGTTTTTGAATCGCTTTATTTTCGACGACGATGTTTTGCACCACGATGTTTCCTCCCACGATGTTTTGTAACCCGACGTTTTCGCCTTGCGTTGTTTTCTCCGCGATGTTTTTGTCGCGATGTTTTCGGCTGTTACCTCTTCTTAACTTCCTTTTCAGTGGGTATAGTAGTGACATCATCACATCTGTAATGACACATCTTTAATGGAAATTGCATGTTCCTGGTGGAAATGATATATTAAGAATGCCATCTCCATGAATCCCACAGAAGGAAGTATTTAATCAGCCAAGACATTCACGTAAGACGGATATATTAGGGTTACAGCCGAAAACATCGCGACAAAAACATCGCGGATTTCCATTAAAGATGTCCTACTCCAAACGTGATGATGTGCCAGTATATCCCATTGAAAAGGGAGTTAAGAAGCTATTCCAACTACATAAAAGGAAACTTTTTTGCCACTGTTCCAGAGGTTTACTACTTGAATCCATCGCTTTTGCAGTAAACAAGCCAAATGAAAGAAGCATGAAAAAGTTAGGAGCCAGAAAGAGCTTAAAAGGTTCCCTGCAAGACCGTTTTTTGAAGACTTCCCGTTCAGGCCGCGTGGGGCGTATGCGCCCCACGCTTTACATTTGTATTATTTTGTTTCTGGCGATCAAACGAAAATTGCCCATCACGCCGCATGGGGCGTATACGCCCCACGATTAACATCAGCAGTAGTATTAATATGCCCATAATTGACTGCGTAATGAATTTTTAAAAAATTCTTCATTTTACAATGATAATACCAAATGGCTTGAACGGAAAGTTACTGCCGCGTGGGGCGCATACGTCCCATGCGGCAGGGAACGTGTTAAAAATAAATAAAGAGCTTGGAATCTAAATAACCGGCTCGGTATATTAACCATTGCACTACAAGAAAACATGGGAGGAATACTTCTAATTTTTTACAACATTACTCTGTATCAGTTAAAATGACGTTAGAAATGTATGATAGTTAAGAGATGAAAGAGATGCTCGTCAGTTTAAAAACTGGAAAAACCCTGAGCTTATGCTCGCTACTTATTTAGAAGAAGTAAATAAATCTCATCAGAACAAACAAATCATTTATGTTCATCAGTTATTAAAAATGACAGATTTGATTTGTATGTACTGTGTCCAAATCACTAGATGCATAACATTTTTAGATTGTTTTAATAGCACATGTTTTGAAAGAATGCTAGAGGTAGACGGTAATATGTAACTGTTAAATGTTCTGAACTTGTGTATTAAACTGAACTAAAATTTTCAACATTCTTTAATTTCCATTTTATATATCCATTTTATATTCCATTATCCATTATTATAACTCTGACTACCTTTCTCGAAACTATTTCACCAACCGAACTTGTTGCTTGGCATTAATAGAGTAATCTCAAAACCTTAAAAGTAAAAAGAAATTTATAAAGTCGGAAATTAAAATTTATTGATATGATACTTTGGATTTTAGCGAGTTTAAGTAAAATTTAACTATAGAGCTTACAAAAGTTCACAATATACCCGCTTAGCTATTATACTGACCATTAACATGCAGTGACGTGACTTGCTGCTCTTTTCTCGATATTGTGGCATTTTATGTTTGATGACATATATAAACATTTCAAACGTCTAATTAAAATGCAGCAATAATTTTTTTTTTTTTTTAAATTTGGCAGGAATTCTTTATGCACCACTTCCTGTACTGTTGTTGATGAAAATGGTGGTGTATTAGTGGTGTATTAGATTACGGCAAAGCACTCGAGGGCTATCTGCCTTCTGCCTTAAGGGAGGGATGCCTTCGTGGAGGACGTTTTAAGGGAAACTAGCTCGTATACACGTTACACATTGGGAAAACCACGAAAACACCCATGCAGCCAGCCTGTTCGCGGGATTCGAACCTCGAACAGAACTACCAGTGTTCAGCGACGTTACCGCTCGGCCGCTGGTGGGCTGTTGATGAAAATGAGTGCAGTTTTAATCTTTGATTTCAACCGATAAATGTTTCCACTTTCGTCGAAGGCCCACCAGCGGCCGAGCGGTAAAGTCGCTGAACACTGGTAGTTCGGTCCGAGGTTCGAATCGCGCCAACGGGCTGGCTGCTTGGGCATTTTCATGGTTTTCCCCAATCTCCCCTTAGGCAGATTAGCCCTCGAGACTTTGCCATAATCACACACAATTCCACTTTCGTCGACTTTATTCCAAAGTCATTTTGTAATTAAATATCGAGTTGACTTTAAGGATATTAGCCAAGAACTTTGCGTTTCTTTTAATATATGCATTTATACCATTTAATGTAATAACGTAACACTTGTCCATTAAATTCTAAAACAGATGAGCAGAGATATAGTGTTATGGTAAAAAGTCATGCAAAAATATGTTTAATTTGCATTTCTTAATTAATACACAGGAATGTTATATTTCATCTTACTTTCACATAAGTTTTGTTCTCGAACTTTTACAACATATTTTATCTCTAAATTTGAATCGGCTACCCTGCTATAGTAATGCACATGGCGCATGTGTAGCATATTTGCATCTGTGAAGTGATAGGAGTTAGGTATTTACTGTACTATGGCCATTGGCCGGTTTAGTTGCGTATTGTGGAAGTAAAAGGCTTCACTAGAATATGCTTTATCCCACGCTTAGCGGGTGTTGCGGCTGAAGACTGCAGATAGTCGGATTGTTGGTAAGACAGTTGGATGATGTAAAAAGATCATCGCAAAGCCAAGCACGAATAATGGATATACTTCGACACTGTTCCACATGTCAAATTCAGAATGTGTTATGTAAGCCTTTCTACATCTTCGAACTGAGTATGCAGGCCGTAACTGGATTAAACATTACGTGAAATAAGCAAATGCTTCAGGAGGAAAAAACTCAAATCACAAAAAGGTCCTTAGGAACTCAACAACTTGGGAACTAAAAAAAAATCTCATTTCAGTTTTACCGTAGAAATGATGCTGGTAAACCAATAATTATAGAGAAGAAAGGGGAAAAAGCAGACGTAAATGTATATGGAAGCACCAAATTCTTTTAATTACTTAGGACCTCTAAAGGCCTTAATCGGACCTTGATCCTAGCAGAAAAAATTATTTTCAAGGTATTATAATGTCTATATTTTCCGTATAATACTCTATATTAAATGACCATGTATACATGGTTATTTCAGCTTACATAAAGTTACTACAAGTGCAAAGTACTTACAGTCTTTATCTTGTATTTGTTTAAAGATGGTAGATATAATATGCCGCAATTTATATAACAATGTAAATTTAAATATTATCTCATAACATTTTAATTTAATATTATAATTTTTCTTTTAGTTTGATGTTTACTCAATTCCATGGGGTTCTGATCCAAAGCCGTTAGTTAACCTGCTACAGGTAAGTTTAAATTAGTATACGATTTACGAATTTTTATTAAAAATTTCACAAATGATTTTGTGAAACAAACAGATATTTTTAGTGTTTGGCATACGTATCATATTAGTTATTACTTCATTTTATATAAACATGTGTCACAAAAGTGTCTGCAATTTTCGTGGGTCAGTAACACAGTTAGTTATATTCCAAAAAGAGGATGAAGAAAACAATTGTAAATTTTGCTATGAATTATATTGCTATGAAGATAATGAAGTTCTTATTATTTTTAAAAGAATTGATCATGAACTTTCTTCAGAATATATATAAAGATGAATGAAATATTCAGTATTATGCTTCATCACAGCCTAACCCATTTCACAGAAAATCATACACATAACGTGATATTTAATGCACTTTCGTTATCGATGTACTTCAGTGGTCTCAAACTCTAACTATCCTTTTAATTTAATTATTAATTTAAAAATTAGGGCGAAATGCGTGCGATGTGAAAACAGCTAACGGGCCAGATTCTTTTTAAATAAATCAAAAGATTTATTAATTATATACATACATACTATATATATATAATAAATTTTAAATTTCTCTTAATAAATATTTACTAAAGCATACATTATTATAATATCGAAATGAAAAAATTTTTAAATATATATTTATTTTCTATCTAAAACAAAATTTGGTATATCTATGGTATTTTTGTTGGTTACAGTTTATAATTCAAATGTGCTGATAGTTAAATATTAAATTATTAGCATAGGGAACAGTTCTTTTAAACAATTCCGACATGTTAATTAATCATTACATAACTTAATTTATTTAAACTAAAAATAAACAAATTATGAAAACATTTTAAGTTTTCAGAAAAAATTACCAATTGGGACAAAAATTCAGAATAATTATTTATTCTAAATCTATCTCTTTCTTTTACAATATAGTCTCTTTCTATTATTCATTACATTTTTCTTCGATGCATAAATAAAAATGTGCATGTTTGTATATAAATAAATATAAACTTATTTATTTCTTGATATGACTGATTACTTGATGGAGTTTCAATTCTGCTAAAATTTGCAGCTTTTGAAAGAAATTACTAGACATTATCTTCATCGCGGATTGTAAATGCTCATATGTCAATCTGGTTTTTTTCTTATTCATTTTCAAATGTAAAAGAAAAAGTTGTTTACTTAAGAATGTATCCGCAAACAAAGCGATTGTTAATTAAAATTCGTAACTGAGCGTACTTATTTTTTGGGAAGTACGAGTAATTGTCTATAAAATCTGTAGCTTCAAATCCTTGAATAAGATTTATATTACATTGTAAATGAATTACCTCCATTTACAGATATTCTTGTACGCAATTCATGTTCGTTTTCAATGGAAATGAAAATATTGTAAACTTGGATTTGAAATAACTAAAATCTTGAAATCTTTGCCACACCGTACTTGAAACAAATATTAATTAAAATGTTGTCGCGGAACGCATAAAATTTCTTTGGAGGCCCGCATGCAGGTCGCCAGTTTCAAACCACTAGTATAATAAAACTGCATTTTCTAATTATGATTGTCAATAGTTTTAATGAATAGGTCTGTTGGTGAATACTTTGGTCATAGTAATATCAGTTTATAGATTTTAGAAATTCTTGCCTTATATGCGTGATCTTGATGATATTATTTTTTCAGAATATGGCTGGAAATGTTTCGAAAGACTCCACGAAAGCTGGGTCGAAAACTTTCAATGAAATTTTATCAAATCTTTCTCTGCCTTTAGGGTTCTTTTCCAGGTAATTATCATACTTCTCCAAGTAATTGTACTAGGAAGTATTAAGAGGATGTTTTTGTATGAAATGTGTTCAATTTAGTTAAGAGCATTAGTGTACCTTGTAGAGACATTAGGCTAATTGGAAAAGCCGGAGAGATGAAAAATGAACAATCGCCTTCTGGGAATCGAACCACGGACCTCTGGAATACCGGCCCAGCGTGCAAAACCACTACACCACGAAAGCACGCTAGGAAAGCGGGAGAAATACCTTATAACCTAAATGCTGAAATGTGCCATCTGCAGCGTTAAATGCAAAAAAGCTGGACCTCAATGACTGACTTTCGTAAAAATAGGATCTCTCTTTTGTCCGCTTAATCTGACTACCCGATGACAATCGACACAAAGCTTTGAGAGGTGATCAAGTATATAAATCAACAAACAGGTTCAAAATGATCAGAAAGAGAGAAAAAGTGCACATACTTAAAGAGTACAGAACTGTATTCGTTTGAATCAATGAGGGCAGGCCAGTCAGTAACTGTATGATAATCATGCTAATCTAATAATGTATAATTATCAGTTGGTACACTCTCCTGTTTTTCTCGTGTGCTAACCGACTATCTCATCAAATTCAGAAGTTCAGAAAAATTTTAGTTACATAGATGTGAGGTTCAAATAGCGTCATTATTCTTAACTGCACCTCATGAGCTTCAGATTGTTATGTCTTTAGATAACTGGTCATCTCTTTGCATTTCTCCATGCTGCGCTGCAGCTGTCTGTAAATTTCTAACCCTTTGACAAGAGAGACAAAACCTGAAATTCTACAGTTAGAACTATACTAAAATACTATATTAAAATGTTTTTTGTAGCATTAACTTGTTAATATTAACTGCTTTACGCCAGCTTTTCGTAATTGTACTCAAGCTAGAGCTATTCAGCTTCTCTTTGAAATTTATTTTTCAAACGTAAACATCAAGTAGTGGCAAAGAATAAAATTTTTGCTTTTTCCGTAAAACTTCTTAAAACTTGCATTGTTAACGCCTTGTTCGTTTGCTGGTGGTAGCTCGCCGTCATAATGAATGCACCCTAAGTTAGAGCATTCAGTATAGCTCAAGCTGATAAGTAGTATTTTAATTTACAGTTTCAACTTCTGCAATTTTTCTGTTCCTAACTGCTCGGATGTCAACTTTCAAGGTGTGTCATGGGCTCTAGTTAAAGCATAAAATTCGAAGTACTATAGTTGGTGCAACCGCTGAGTTTATGCATTCTTCTGGCATTCATTGTCTTCGTCTCATAGCATCTTGTGAATTTTTCTCCCAAACTCAATTTCCTTTTCGGAATTGATATCCTGCTGTAGAGATTGTTAGGATTTTCCCAGCAAGAAACGTTCCCAGGAAAAAATATAATGTACCTCACCGAGAACCTTCAGCTGCTGGCTAGATATGTTAATCACTTATATACTTACAAACGTAAGAGCGCAAACGCGAATTTAGGATTATACATTACCGCACTTGTCCACTGTTATTGCAAAAAGAAAGTTTTTAAACAATTTTTTCCCGTTTCGTAGAAGCGAAAATCCTCTGTGAATTTCAACTAAAAAAGTAATTATATAAATTATTTGGAGAAGCGAAATGCCATAAAGCAAAGTTATTGAACAGTTGTAAAATATACATATATGCATGGGGCACTTGTATTTATGTTTATATCTGACAAATGACACTCTGTAAGACTATCTGTTGACTATCTGTTCCCCCAATTTTGAAACATGCTTGTTTATTTTCAGTTATATAAGGATATATAAGTACCTTATTTAAACAAAAAAGCTTTATTTATTTATTTTATATGCCAAAAATAAAAATATATTTAAATGTAATAATGATTACTGGAATAAGTTGCTAAGATTTGATTTCAGATGTCGCACACTATATGGAATTGTTTTTATGTTTTACTTTGTTTTCAGAATTTATTACATATGTATATAGGCTTAATGTTTAATAAATATATATATTAATTTTTCAGATTGATGCTAAAATTTGTATTGCCTCTTAGTCATCGAGCTGTCCGAAATCGGGAAGCTTCAAAGGTAATCTCAACGATATCTCGTGAACTGAAATTTATTAAAAGTTTTTTCATCCAGCTATTAATTAAACCTATTACTATAACATAATTGTCCTTCTTCGGAGGAAGTATTTGCTCTCACAGTCGAACTCTACTGTAAATAACCCGGCTTATGACAATGCCGTGGGTATAATGAGTGAATCTTTTGATCTCGTTCAATTTCCTGTTCACTAAAATCTTATTCTATACTGCTATAGGGAACATTCAATGGTATGAAAATAAGATAATACATGTATTATTATAAGGATATAAAGAACTATATTGATATCTTCGTTTGAATTTTGTTTTCTGTTTTTTGTATTTTTCCAAGTTTGAACAACAAAATCCTTAGCTCGGCAATTATGTGGATTTAAGATGTTAGAATCCACATCTCATATTCCATCCATAAAGGAAAACATTTTTACATTACTTTTCTTTCATGTTCACCTCTTATAGCGGGTTTCGATTGCACATACTTGATTATGAAGGCCAATGTAATTTACAGCAGCTTTCGAATCATGCCACTTATACTATTTGTGTCTATTATGCATAATTTGTCCAAAAAATTATATTTAGCTTAGTGAAAAGTTCAAAACTAATTATTACGCTATTTTAATGCATTCTAACATTGCATTGAAGTACCTTTATGTTATGCTGCAGTCTCTTATGGTAAAAGGATTTGACGAATGGAGGAAAGCGTTTAAACATCTCGCAAAACTGATGGTGTCGGAAGGACGCATTCCTGAGGAAGACCTCCTGTTCTTCATGACTCTTGATGAGGTTAAAGAGTTGTTGAATACAAGGTCACCCAAAATAATAGCCAGGTACTGCTTTTGGATCTTATTTCTTAATAGAATAATTTTAATCCTTAGGCTTGCTTTTTCCCATATTATAGTATTTTTAAATTTTCTGGACGAAAATTTTATTGCAGCATTTGAGTATTTTCTTTTGTTTTAGGTCATTACTTTTGCTCTTACAGATGCTTAAATGACTAGTAACAATTAAATATATATTCCAGTTTAATGCATTTAAATTAATTATTTTAAAAATTGGAAATAAATGTTATCTTACTTAAGTTCACCAAATTAGTAGCAAACTTGAAAGAAGGAGACCCTTGCATTACAGTGAACTCATAATTAACTGGGAGCGGGTTAGCACGTTACTGTTTAACCGAGTTCTGTTTAAAATATGAAAAATTTCTTTATTGTGATACGATGGAAAAACTACCGTCAAAAACTATCAGCATAAAATAAAACTGTAGAAGAAAAATTCAAAAGAAAATTTTAAACAAAAATAAGTGGTTTAGTAGCAATGTTAGTGGATGGTATAATTATTTATAACATTCCAATGATGTGTATTTTTCTGGTGTGTTCCTTATGTGTTTGAAAAGGGATTTGATTTGCGAAGTCAAACCAGCTTTTTCATCTTTAAACTGCTTGAAAAATGCAGGTAAATTGCTAATAGTATTTTTCTATTAATTATAATATGGATTATTCCTCTTTCTTGTGTCTTTCAACTGCCCTCCGATTAACTAGGATTTTGAGTTAGCCGTGGGCTTTGTCCTCCGTATTACCTTTGTAATTCGGAAGTTAACTGTATTTTTTAAAAAAGTTAATAAACAATAAACCTGTGAACAATAATTTATTAGCGCTGTATTAGTAATCTACAGAAGGCTTTAATTTGTCACTTTTATTAAGAAAAATTCAATGTTATATTGATTGCGCGTCTACGATCTGCAAATTGTGACAGAGTTTCTAGATAAAATATTTGTATCACGTATTCAAGTTTTTGTATATCTATTTAGAGGCAACTGAATGCATTAAACGGGCTCCTTCTTAAATGCATTGTTCTAAAATTCTTAGAAACTCTTAATGTTATAATAACTTATGTATTCTGTTATCGCTGTGTTTCAGTTTCTTGCTTATTTAATCCTGTTTTACTCTTCAACAACTAATTTTTAGACGATAAAAACCTTATGAGTGGCTTGTAAACCAATTCAACAAATTGTTCTAAGGAATTTGTTTAATTAAATAGAAATTATAATGCTCTGCATTTCTTATACTTTATCTTCGAATTCATTTCCTTCGTGGTTTTCTCAAAGGTTGGCTGCTTCATTTTACAAAAATATCAACCCTCTTAGCAGATTACGATCCTACTGTGGATGACAGATATAAAAGATCAAAAACTCTTTTCATGATGTTTACTGGTAACCTACTTGATTTACGTCATTATTAGTTGACATGCATTCACTAACGCATACAGATCATGTATGCATCAGCTAAAAATGACGACAACTGAAAACGGCGATTACGTTCCAGATGACGCAACATATGACGTTTACAGATATCGCAACCAATGCCATCCTGAGAGAACTTGCCTGACTGAGCAATTGTGAACTGTTTATATTTTCACTCTGCCGGAGTTTTGATGCTCCTTTCGATGATGTTTTATTATTTAAAGTATCGTATTTACTACAGTGCCTAAATGAGTAATATCAAATATGAAGAAAGATAATACAATGATCTATGATTTGCGTATCATTAATTCTGTAAATATTTTTCTCAAGCTTTGGAATAATTAAGAAGTAATTTCATCATCTATGTTATCTGCAGCAATAATGGCAATAGGAATTATTTCCTAATTGAAGAACAATGAGCGAATTAAACCAATAAAATGCAACTAACATACTTAATTAGTAGTTTTATGTACAAAAATTAATAAAATTATAATGCTATATTATTGAAGAAAGTTTTTATCATAAATGATAACCTATTGGAAAGAATTTATGTCAGGGATCAAATCATAAGAATTTTGTTAAATGATGAAAACTGATTCTAGTGATATTCAATAACTAAGAATTTATGTCAATGACCAATAGTCTTCTAATCCATTTTTGCTGCAGAACTCTGCGGTTAAATGAACTCTTCTAGATGCTCCGCAGATCAGATCAAAATAAATAAATAAATACATAAGCTGTCTGAGCCTCAAAACTGAGGATCTAAAATCATTAATATTCTTTTCCTATTTTTAATGTTACTTAAAGTAATTATGAAGATCTATATTTATTATTAAAATTTTCATGATGATAATGATTTCTTTTCATTTTCCACATAAAATGTACCCAATACTGATACATTTTAAATACTTATTTAACGTATAAGGTCACATTTAATTTTCTAACCAGTTAATTTACCCTGTCTCCTTCATTTCTATTTCCCTGCCGGAATGTGAATTTCTAGCGCGCGCGATATTCAAATTTTGGTAGAAAGAAGAAACTATTTAAAGGAAGGTTGTCCATGGCACGAGCTTCCACAAAAAATATAAATGTTAGAGGTTCTGTGTTTAAAAACGAAAAAGTATGAAAACTGCTAATAAAAGCTGTATAAATCTTCAACTTAATGTGGTGAATTACTTTTACATTATTATCTTTATCGAAAACTGCCTCATCTATTCGAAAAATAGGCCAGAAAAGATCATTTTGGCGTTTAAAAAAGTGTTGCATCAGTTATGCTATAGACAAAGATGACATTTTCCTTAATTCAGACGGCAGTCATGATAATAGTGCAATGAAAGACAATTACATTCACTTCAACTTGCTTGCAGTAAAAAACGATTTTCAACAATCGTTACCAAAATGTTCAATTCAATACCAATTAGCTGTGTGCCGCTCGGAAACTATGCCTCGGCAGCGAATTATAAGCCGAGCGAAAGATTCATTACTAGCAATTACAACTAGCTATATCTATGTGGAGAGGCTGCTATTGTCCTGGAAGTTTTTACTTTGGGTTGCACGGTGTGCTAACTCCCTTTGTATTCTGTTTTGTTAATGAATGTTCTTTTTATTTTGTAATCTTACGTTTATGATTTTATAATGATCAGCGTTACTGAATAATTAGGTGCATTAATATTAAAAAAATAAAAATAAATTTTTTCGCTTCTCTAAAATCCTTTTTTTTTTTTTTTTTTTTTTTTTTTTTTCGGCAGAATTATATGTAAATCATTCTGAACTCGTATATAAGCCAAATGCCATATTTCAGGAGCATAACGGCTGCTAAACGTTATTGGCTTATACACTGAAATATGCGATAATTTATGCATTATAGCAGATACATTACTATATATTAATTTTGATAATTATTTAAGAATAAACATATTTACGCAATTTAACAATGATAAAGAACAAAATATTCTCCTTCTCCTCCCAATGGGAGGCACTAGCCATTAATGGCATTGGCCACTAGTAAGGCTGGAAGCGGTGGTCACTTTATTATGGAGGCGCCTAATAAGCGGGCAATCGTTGCTTCCTATGAAGGGACTGACAATTTACATCCATGCCTTCTCTGGGACACAAAACCGGGCCCTTCGGTACGGTAATCACGTGTCATTAAGCCCTTTCCGGTCTGGGTATAAAATATTGAAAATAGAACAACTTAATGAAATTCATGATCTGTAGAACTTAAAATACTATGGTTAACTGTTATTAGAAATATCCAATATTTTTATATATTTTATTTCATAAGATATATCTTACGACAAATGTTTTGAAGTATATTTCTTCTCCAGGGCGACTCAGAGGCAAAGGCGACATCCGGTAATAAACAAGTATATTTTCCCAGAAATTATGAAAGGTATACCCAAGCCTGTAAGTTCAATTTTCCCTCTTTTTTTAAATAAATCAATTTCTGTTAATAATTTCTTTCAAATCAGGGACTGAAATTAGAACTTAATGAAATCATTAGATAAAGCATTCATAAGCGATAATCATTATATTTACATAATAAGACCTGTGAGAATGAATGAATATTAAAACCTTGATAATCGATTATCCGCTGCAAAGTGATTTTAACTCATCGATAAAATTTATTTATTTTTTTGTTTTCATACATTTTATTTCTCAAATTTGCAATGGTCTCAAAATTTTTATACATTTGTAATTTGGATAGTGAAATTAGCGCTCTCTTTTTTTTTTGTAATAGCAGAAAATGATCATGATTCGATATAACATTGTATTTACCTTTTTCAAGTAACTTAAACACTGCAGATGTATTGCGAGAGAGAACTTAAAACACTATAGATGTATTCCGAGAGCGGACTTAAACACTATAGATATCTTGGGAGAGAGTAATTATCTGAATCCGATAATCTAAAAATAAATTTTCGAAAACGTAGTTAATAAACATCAGCACGGTGTTGCTAGACTTTCACATCAGCTGCAAGTACGTGCTTTTGTTGATAGAAGACAAAGACATCCTTTTTGATTTTAAGGAAAATTTTATAATCTAATTCTCTTTTCTGGGTTATAGGTTAAGTTAATTTTTTTTAATTTTAAAAATACTTCATGGACTAGAATATTGCATGAGGTTAAGGTTTTTCCTTAAAATGTTCTTCTCATTGCTATAGCTTTAAACCCCTCGTGGGCTTATATCCCCATCACAATCAGAGCTCACGTGCAGACACCCACGTGTACGCTATGTATTCGACTCTGAATATTTGTACAATTCTTCGGCGGCACAATTTACACACGAGTATATGTAGATGTAAGGTACAGAGCTTAGTCTCAGTCTTTAAAAGCTTTTGGAGGAGCGAATACCACCCATCGAGATTATGGTGGCTGCATATACTGTGAAGCAGAACAGATATGCATTAACGCATACACTGCCAATAACATTTTTACTTTTTTAGCTTTTGAAGCTTGCTGTGTTGTTAACATGAAACTTGATGTGTTAGCCCACAGTCTATGGACACTTGATTAGGTAAAAATTCTGGATCTTCTTTCCCACATACACTTTCACTACTATTTGCAGTTATTGGTTTTTGGAAAGTGGTGGGGGAGAACCGTTTCTCCTAGCATGAACTTCTTATGCATCGTATAGGTATAAATCACGTTATACATTTGGTATATATTCGTGGGAGAATTTCATTTGTATGTCTACGTACTTCGGCTTAGTATGGAATATTTTTATAGTTGTTATGTGGTATGAAATAAAACTAGGAGCTGATTGTTGTTCACTGTCCAATGTGCTATTGAAGGGGATAGAGCACAGATCTTCTCTCTTAGATCGTTGTTTTTGCCAATCGTGTAACAACTAGAGTTCTTTTAGGTGCCATGTAATGCCAATGTCGTTTATGACAAGAGATGCTGTAATTGGTGAAATAAATCGAACAATCGAAGGGGAAGTTTTTTTTACTGACATAGAGTAGCCTATTGACAAAAAATATTTGATCCAAATATTCTCAAAATGATACGAAATATTATCGTTTTTTGGCCGATAGACTAAAATATTATTTTTATTGTGATCACTACTGTCCTTATGGTATGCTATCTTTTGCAATTGCAATGCCAGTTAAATAATTGACCTTATTCGGAAGCATTATCCTCCTTTCCATTCCTTTATTTAAATCACATTCTTTTTTTCTATTTATTTGAATTATATATATATATATATATTATAATATTTAAGCTCTTTTGGATTGGATTTGATTGTACAATTTAGGCTAAGTACAAGAAACTCCATCCCAGTTTTGATGGAGAGTATCGCAGTTGTGAGCTTTCGGACCTTCTTTAGTGTATTATTTGTTTTATTTTACTTGTACAAAATAACAAAAATTCATTCGGCTTTCCTTTTCAACTTAAGGAAATGGAAATGAAATATTTTGCTCAAACCAAACTAGTTTAATTACTTTATTTAGACGTTCCTGCTTAGAAACGTAAACGGAATTGAGATGTGAATGTTTATAATTAATTGTCTTTGTAACTCTAAATTTCTTAAAATATTTAATTATTTAAATTTACTTACTTTTAGGTTAACTTGATAGATGAACCCATCATCCCTACAAGTGAAGATTTTACCATGACAGGTAACATGATATGACACGTAATGTAAATATTAAATGATATATATGTATTTAAAAATAATAAATAATTAATATAAATTTAAATGATCCAGGCACATTTAAAACATGATTATATATAAAATTTTTCAGGGGTTCCAGTCAGTCAGGGCGTTGCTGAAGGAGCCGTTCGGGTTGCTCTGAATCTTGAAGAAGCCTCTCATTTAAAGGTTAGAAAATTTTATTAATTTATAGGCATACAATGATTTATAGCCATGAAAGAACAAAAAGTATATGCTTGAAGATTATCAGCACTAGCAATAATTTGATAACATATGGCCCATATATGCCAAACGCTCGCTCAGATCTAAATTAGCTACTTGCAAAAATTACATCGTAGGCGTAATAAGGTAAGAAGTGCAGTCTATTGATGGGTAAAATAATTCAAATCTAGCATAAATATTGGAATCCTCACTAGCATTCCTTGCTAAGGGACTAAACATTAGATGTCTTAAGTAAGAGTTATGGTAAAGAAAATAATAATAATACTCTAATATTAGAGAATCCGTATCGAATAAGGTAAAATCCACTCAGCTTACATAATGTGAAGGTTGTGAACAGCGACCATGCCTGAGGTACATAGCCATCCAGCTATAAAGAAGCATGTCGTTGCAGTGGTGATACTATCTATTAGACGAATATCATCCGCTTTTCGAAACGCAGAATGTATCAGCTAAGGTAAAAAACTTTCGTTTGTTTATCCCATTCCCCATAACTGGGATCGAAATAGCACTGGTGTTTCGAGGCCAAGCCGAGGTATGCCTTCACAACAATGCCTTATCATAAAAACGACGGAACCTTTATGAAACTTAGTCTACTTTTGAAAAGACAGAAATTTTCATACAAGATAAAAGTATCCGCACTCCTCTTCAGATCAGATTTTAACATGAAACAATTAACCTCCATAAAGATGCTACATTGTATGCAAACAGATATTCCATTTGCGTCTCTGATCGGAATAGCTAATAGACACTGGAATAACCTGGAACTATATTCTGGTGTACCGGAATATAGTTTTTCGTACCCTTATGCAGGATGTTTTTTTTTTTAAATTAGATCTTGCCATACATAAAGGTGCCTTTATGTCGGGGCATCCATCTGAAGGTTTCTGTCTTTTCGAAAAGTAGCTGACTTGCATAAGCCATGTAATGATCATAGTAATGTATAGGTCAGCACCTTTACATCACTATGAAATGTTCTTCTAGCTACAAGTCTGTTTCCTCTATTTAGTATGCCGATGCAATAATTTTTACTTAATTCGCAAGCCCATTATGCATGATATAGCACTATAACTATAGGTGAAAATATACTGAGGCCATATGTTCCTGCCTTGATGTATGGGTAGGTAAATATATGTTATATTCTTCGGCTGCGCTAAAGGAGGTTTGTGCGTGCCCCATTGTATGGAGGGACATATGAGGATGAACTAAAGCTTCGAAAGATAGAATAATTCATCTCTCTACACATAAAACTATGAGAGATGAAGAGAAATAAGTCGTTGCGGTGTTCGAGCAATCTTATGATGGCGAATATCATCGACGTTTGAAACGCCAAATTAGTTTCGTTAGAAACTGGGAACTGTAGCTATCTAACCTGATGCTTAAACGGTACGCGAAATGTTTGCTCTCAGTGCAAGGCCAAATGCTTCTTGTCTATAACGTTCTGGTTCGAGCTCGCACTTTAAAATTATGAAAAAGAGATTAAAGTTTTTACTAAAGCGCCATTCTAAAAAAACAAAAAGAAACATGAAGGAATTTGCTGTATGGTGCAACTATGAAGTATCCTATACATGCCTTTTTGCATAAATATGCATATATACATACCTTTTTGCATACATATGCATATATACATACCTTTTTGTATAGAATAAAGTATCTTAACTGCATTATGCTCAAAATAAAATTCTTAGCGCGAAACATTTTATATATATATATATATATATACTACTTTTCAAAACCTGTTGTACCGAAAAAACAGATGGTATTCGTGGCAAAACGAAACCCGGGTATTCTGTTACCATAATGTAATCTATATTTCTCTCATTGCCTAAAAGTAAATTGTTTCTTTCATTGTAGCCTGGAGAAATTCTTCTCACATACGGCACAGATATTGGTTGGACCCCTTACTTTCCCACACTGGCTGGAGTTGTTACGGAATTGGGAGGACTAATATCACATGGTATATTGCACAATAACTTAAATAATAACTGTATTCAAGAAATAATAATGAAATGTTATCATAACACAATTCTAATACATAATTTATATGTACTCGGTCTAAGTGCTATCATAAAAATTTTTCATGTGTTACATTATTCAGAATATTTATTCTTTATTATTACATTATGTAATTCTATAATCTATTTGATAACTTTCGTAGGAGCTGTTGTCAGTCGAGAATATGGTATACCTTGCATTGCAGGATTACAAGGAGCGACAAGAAAATTTCAGACAGGTGATGTATTGCTTACGTATCTGAATTCATTTGGGAATTTATTAGTTCTGAGTTTTTCGAGATCTTTTGAGCAAGTGATATTTGAAGAAAGAGTAAACACACCATATATAAATGTAATAATTTGGTGGTACGATGAGAGAACTTAGTAGAGAAGACACCAATAACTTTTCAGTCATCGCCAGAGGATAATGAAATTAAAACTGGCTGGGTCGTAGACTGGAATTCTGAAATATTTTATTTCTGGACAGAAACAATTCTTTAGAAACATATTCTGTAGCAATTACTCAGCACAATGTGTTCAGTCTGGACCCCACAATTTTATATACGATACGATTACAATTTTAGAATGATAAGTGAAATTGCAGGGCGGCGAACATATGCTAGCTAAGCGAAAGAAGAGGAAAAAAGGGATGCGTATTAAGCAGCTGGAGTTATTTATAAGTTCGGAATGCTTTGTTTGAATCCCGAACAGCGACTGAGTAAAAGTTTACAGCATTGCCTATTACTGCAGGATACTAATGACGTCAGTGACCCAGTACAGAGATGCTGTGAAGGGGTTGTGTATAAGTTAAAATTAGGAATTAAAACGTCTGTTGTCAATTAAGTTAGTAATTTTGTTAGTACTTATCTTTCATATTTTATAGCTTACATATATATGCTCTCTCTATATATATAATCTTGAAAAACCAAATATATAACTTTAAGAATAAATAAAATATAGAAAAAATAATTTATTAATTTCTACACTTGAGCTGCAAAGGATTAATTTTTTAATAAATTATTATAAGAAATTTTTTTGAAAAAAATTTCATTTCAAAGATTATCCCATCGGAGAAATAAATGTTTAGCGTATTAATAATGCCTATCTTGATGGGGAAAACTTTTATTACTTATTCCCATTTACCCCTTCGACAAAAACAAAATGTACAGCTAGCTTTAATATTTAATCTAAATAATATAATATTTTCACATTTCCTTCCCAATTGACATTGGCAATATTAAAAACAAACCTTAAACAATTTTTCCTAGCATAGGATAACCTTTTTAATAAAAAAATTGGTAAAGTTTCTTACAATAATTTCTTGAATGCGTCTGTGTGAGATGTAATACAAAAAGAATTTTTCAGAACTTTTTCGATTTACCAAAAATTACCTTGACACCGACACTCGAGGACCTGTGTCTTGAAAATCTATTAAACTATATGCGCTTTGATAAACAGTAGCAGAATATCATCCAGTGCTAGTGAATATCCTGAAATCAGTATAGTATTTATATTTCAATAATCAATATGAGCTTAAGTGGTTGGACGAAGTTCTTAATTATACGTGATTTTGCATATTAAATATTTGTGATAATTGTGTCTTGAGAGTGTTATATTAAATTAAATCAACACTGTTAAAATGCATCTTATTTTAATTTTTCTATTATAGGAGATTATGTACGACTTGATGGCTACAAAGGCATATTACAAAAGATACCACGTCCGGAGAACACGTAATTTGGATTTGCAAAACGGATATTTTCATGCATAATCATTACAGGAACTGCACTGCATGAACGTTCTTCAAATGATTCTTTGAATGTAAATGCAGTTAGATCATATTAAATATAAATTTTGTCATTATTTGATTCACATGATATAAATTTTGTATTATAACACAATAATTAAAAATTCATAATTTATGGAACATTTCCACCTTGATAAGAAAATAATTCATCTTTTATCATTTTAGTGAAAATAATAACTATATTATTCTAGCATTTACCATAGTAAATACTACATTTCTATTGAACAGAATACATTCTCATGTACTGCAACGAAGTAGTCCATGCTTGTGTACAATCATCATAGAAATTATACTTCATGACATTTTTTTTTCACTTTCGCTTAAATACAGTTAAATTACATAAAAATAATTATATTAAATAATTGATTCTCATGAATATCAATTTCATATCAGAATATAACTATTAAACTATTTTACAATTTATAAAATATTTCTGTCATTCTGGAAAAATGAATAGCATAGTTCATTTTATGAAAATAATTGTAACTGTTGTTAACTTACAGATTATATAACAATAAAACTTTAAGTAACTATCGTTTGTGACAAAATTGCATTTTAATAAATTTTAAACATGGATTGAAACTTCAAAATTAATTTTCAGTTTAGTTTAATTATGGAAATTAACCACATGTAGAGACGAAAATTAAATAAGGAAAAAATATATGCCTACAAGAAATTAGAAAATATAGATCTAATTTGTGAAACCATTTTTATTCTTCCATTAACTGAGCAGAGATTTTTTCTTAAAAGATTCGAAATTAAACACGAGACTTGATGTGGCAAGTACTATATGATTATTGATATGATTGAAATTTAATGATAAGTGTAAAAAAGAAGTCAAAAAGTAAGCAAATACTACAATAACACGTTTATCTTCTTTCTCTGTATACGAAAGGAAATATATTCATTACTAGAAAATAATTTAAATATATCAGAACAAAACTGTACTGATTAGTTTAAAAAAGATGAACTGCTGAAAAAGCACAGTGAAACTAGTAGAACAAAACTACAAATAAGATTTTGTGATAAGTTGAAGCAAATGAAATAAAGTATAAAAATAAAAAATTAGAAAGGTAGTTTTAACCTGTTGTTTGCATTTAAGTTCCAGTTTAACATCTGAAACGAGTAAATAAATTTTAAACAATTTGGATTCATAACTCACATATCATAGGTAAAGGTGCACTTAAAATCATTGTTATATAAATAAGGAAGGGAAACACAACATAAACAAGTCACAGTAAAGATAGTTGTTATCTATACCAAAAAAAAAAAAAAAGTAAAGGGGAAACTAGATTCAAAAAGGACAGTTTTTGCCGCTGAAAGTTGCCAATAGAATATTAAGAAGAACGAATGCTTCTTAAATTACATTGCACTTATTATTTTTTCTTAGACTTCTATCATCTAATATAAAGAACAATTCATCAGCGATCCTGCAAACCATGTTCAAAGAACATACTTTTTAATTTGTCGCTGGTTAGCCGAGAAACAGCTGTTTGATCTGGTCTTTCAGTCTCAGACTCCAAGTCCCCCTCAGTGCGTTTTCGGTTATATCAGTAACGAATTCATATCAGACGAAAAATTTCGAAAAGTTTCTACTACAGTGACATTTTGTCTACTGAAAGGAAATGGAACACAGAAAAAAAAATGAACACAAAGATTAAAACAAATCAAAACTTAATGTGTCTATTGACATGAAATAAATAAGAATTAGAATTTAAATCTTTAATTAACTGAAATAGAAAGGATTTTTTTTTATTTAAAAAGGAGTTTCCCAAGGATAATTTTGGCAGATGCAAAATGGAGCATAATATTTAAAGACTAACAATATTGCGCAACTTTTTTTTTCTTCCAGCACTAGATTCATATTATTTTTAAACGTGTCTGGATTGATAAATTTGGATTAAGCCTCACTGGCAAGGATTTTTATGCGGTTAAAGCCATATTTATTACACAATGGATAACACACGAGGAGAAAATAGTTGAAATTAAGGCTCGTACCAGCTTTCGAAATATGAAGAAATCATTGTGGCATGTAGCCATCAGTGGTGGAAATAGCTGAAGCTGCATATCATGGATTAAAGAATTTAGACTTATTTCCACCACTGATACGCATGGAGTAATATTTAGAATTTCATCTGACCTAGACCATGTTATAAGGGACAATAGATTCCAAGACCTCATAAAGGAAAATTTAGCTACAGTGGTAGCAAAAATACGTACTAGGGGCGCGTAGGTTTGAAATCTAATAGTATCCTGTATCATAATGTCACATATATTGAAATATTTTGCAGTGGCAGACGCATACGATATATAACCAAAAGACAGCCGTAGCAATCGCCTTACTCAAACACTGTTGATGTTGCAGACGAAATAAAACTGTATGTGATGGGACTGGTTATTATGAAAAATGTCTAATTACCGAGTTAGGATACATGCTGTGGTTTAACGGTCAGAAATGCCATGCGCATAAATGACAATATTCGTTTTCCTGGAGTGAAGGGTCATTGTGTATTCTTCATTCGAAGGGTTCGTTCAGTCTCTTCATATTGATTTCATATTTCACTGTAAGTTTGCTCAAATTTAAATTTTAAGTTGCTGAGGTGAAACAAGTCATTAGTATTAAGCATCAAGTCTCTAAAACACTATGAAATAATTTCATTCTGTATTAAATGTCGTAAAATGGATATTAAATACGCAATAAATAGTCAAATGAGAATAAAAATAAATAAATAAATATGTTAAATTTGTATGTGAATAAAATTAAATTGGATAAAATTGGTAATACGGACTAAAATTTGGTAAGTGTTTCAATTAACATTACTCAGTCGTGAAATGGATGTAATCAGTACGAATCCTCTTAAGCTATACACCTCTGTCGGCCTTGTAGATTGCAAAACTGACGAGGATAACACTTTGTGCTCTGTAGGAGTTGTTATTCTGGATCAGCTGCATCGGAAAACTATACTCCATTTACCTCTTTAGAAAGATCTGGTGTCTCGTATTCTTAGTCCTCTGTTGTCTTGATATCCTATTTATGTCGCTGTGACCATGTTTGAACCAACAACCCTTAGACTCACTCACCCTAACATGCCCTACCATGTATCTAAGGGTGTTGGTTCGAACACAGGCATCCATTTCTTGGAAGAACATTGCAGTCTCGCTTTCCCACAATTTTTCCTTGACCGAAAACTGAAGTCTTGTTGGCAATACAAGTTGAATGTCATTCCATTCTACAAGGCCATAAGTCAAGGTGCAGGTAAAGACATTAACATGAATGTCGCCTGCTGTGTACTATTGTTTGTCAGGCGAAATCCCTACATGTTCACTGCGATATATAGCAGCCAGAGATGATGTTACTGACGATGATTCATGACTACTGGCTTCCAAAAACAAGGCAAAGCAGATTTTGAAGTCAGTGTTGTAGATGCTACCGGTAATGTAACATTCTTTGGAGTGAAACAATAAGAACAATCAGATGTTGAAAAAAATATATGTTTTCTATTGCTAAAATGTAGTACCACTCTATTGGGGTGCAGGGAAAAAAAATCTCTTGGTTTGACATGAAGCGATACTCCAGTATGGGTCAGTAGGTGAAAACAGCTACAAAATGTGATTGGAGATAAGTATAAAAATAATTAGAGATAATTGTGTAGTTGGAAATAACTATGAGAATAGTTGTAAATGATTATGAAACCCGTTAGCAATAACCATCAGAACAGTTAGAAATAACTTCGAAATGGATATTTTCATACGAATAATGTACGTAACAACAGATTTGAAAACCCAAGCCGTGATGAAATCAAGGTAATTATTCTAAGGTAACGATTTTATAGTGCATTTTTATTCGTATATTATTTGTTCAGGTCAGAAACAGAGCATCATCTTTCGAAAAAACTAAAAATTGTTGAGCAGTGTTCGAACGAATTAAATTATAACCAACGAAACTCATGTAAATAATGACGATATGAATAATAAAATTAGTGTGTTATAATCTGAAGTCGATAGAAAAAACTTAGTTTTTCTCACTTTAAAAAAGGTAAAAATATAAAATTATGAATTTACCGCAAATATGCCGGGACATTTTTGCAAAAACCGTAAGTCCCAAAGACACAGTTACTATTTATGCATTTAAGTAGACTAGGTACAGGTATGATTTCGATAATACAGCATACTATATAAATTAATACTGAAGCTCAATAAAAAATAAATACATTTTTAAATACAAATATTATTTACTCTTTCGAAGCAAACTTTAATAGCTTCAAAAAGTAACTTTTCATTCAGAATTTTTTCAGGTATTAAGAAATTAAATGCAAAGTCATCACCTGATACAACTTTCGAACAAAACGTTTTGATTAGTTTGATACCTTATCAAGTGCCCGCCTATTTCTAACCTTGACCTAACTTGGAGTTTTATCAAGCAATGCTGGATATTCGAGACCTTTGTGAGATAGCATTTTCCACTGAAATTAACAAAATTGAAATTTATCTTATTATGTTTCAAACCCTTTTAACGTATCTACAAGATAATATCCTTAATGTATCCCTTGCAAAAACAATAAATTAGATTGAAAAATTGAAAGTATTTTCTAATAGGGTACTAATGTATAATTCACTAAATTTCTGCACTCTCATTTTTTAAGAATCTCCATTAGATCTGAAACAGCTTTATAAGATTTTTTGATTATAAAGATATTTATTTATTTTATTTTGAACATCAACTTTACTCCCCATAGGTACAATGTAGACGAGTTACGATACAATAGAGGCTTGCAAAGACAAATAAGTCACACAGATAAAATATATGAGCATGAATTATACATTGGTACTGCAATATAAAAGGGTGAAATTTAAATAATAATATTTAACAAAATTTAATATAAAGAGATTTAAATGCCATAAGCAAATTTCCATAACAGAAAAAACACATCATGGTTTTCCATAAATATGAAAGTTTACAAACAAAAACGTCGCTATTAGTTATAGTTATGTAGTAGTTATGTGTAATAACAATTACCAAAAATCAAACACATAAAAAGAAAATTTCAGAGAAAGTTAAGCATTTAAAGCAGCCTTAGTGTATATTTCGGATAAAATTCTAGCTATTTCAAGTATGATCAATCTTCTTCAAGAGTAAGAATGTTTTTGCAAAGGTGGAAGAAGTGATATTCATTTTATATGTATAGAAATTCTTTCTTAGTTCTGAAGAATAGGGGCCTATATCTGATTGCCTTTGAAATCGGTGAGTTTTATTACATATTTTTACTATTCTAAAATTGCAATTTTGCGTTTAATTTTCAATTAAATTATAAAGAAATAGAAGCTGTCAAGGCTTTCAGATTGAAATAAGTCAAAGATGTTTTAAGCCAGTGACTTTTACAGTCAATTTACAAAAACTATGCAGAGTTTCAGAGTGTTTTATATAGCTTGTTAAAAAGAAAATAAATTTGGTTTTAATTTTAAAACTTTAGATTCTTATTGTAAATTAAAATAAGCACTGATCTATAAGCTAAAGATTTCGCACCCCGTGTTGTTTGTCAAGAATAAAAACAATTAATTTAAAAATTTCTTAACAACAATTTGGCATCTTCTGAATGCTGCGCTCGGGAACCGATGCCCCCCATGCTCTGCCCTAGTTATGCCACTTAGGAGTTTCATCACGTTATGTCACTATAAAATCAGCTGCAATTTAAAGCTTTTATTGTAAAATATTGAAAATGCGAAGATTTTCTTAAAACTCATGCCAGATATTAATATATTATTAAAATATAAAAATATGTACTATAAAATAAAAGCTCATATCAATAGAAGTTTTCTTGCAATGACCTCTAGCTGAGAGAGCAAAATACATACAGATAAGTGAATATTATCGATACGTGTATGTAATCTCTCGTGTAACATAATGAGTAAATATTCTTCAGATATACATACAAACGTGTTGTCGAATATGATATAACCCTGAAATGTCACGAAGACTTGCGTTAATATATGTTGGAGGTGTTTGCACAATACGTGTACTCACTTACTAAGATAGAATCTTATCTTTACATTGTTTCTTTTGTACTCTTATTTCTGAGTCAAGATATAAAACTCCGGAATCCTTTCAAATTATCTGTGTGCCAGATACACTTTGAAGATCTGTTTTCAAAGGGTTGATTCGCTATGGGGTCGGTCATAACAATTCCATTCACGTTTGCTTTGGGATTAATTTCAGTGACCCCGTCAGGTAAGATATTGACTTTATTAGGAGTAATTTGCAATTTTATGATTTTATTCAGCTCAAAGATGACAGTGTTTTAATTGGAATTCTTAAATGGTTTATATGATACATCTTAAATGGTACATTTTAACTGAATTTATAAGGAATTATTGCATTCGCCCGTGCGTGCTCTCGTCATCTAAGTGGTAACAAGCTAGGCTCTCAATTGGAAGACCTGTGGTTCACGGGGAGAGCACAGATGGTTTTTCGTGCTTACTACTACTACGGAAAAAAACTGATCTTTCTCTCTTATATATATAATATTCAAATATAAAGGGTATTCCAATAAGAATGAAATGAATTTTAAAACGAAATTACAACAATGCTTAAAATATAGTTGTCACTAACACTAATTTTTATTAGTGTACTTTGTACGTTTTTACAATTCATCACGATTAAATACAAATAAATACAAATAATACTATAAATTACATTATTAAATACAAAATACGTTAACAAGCAAAGTAGTCGCTTTTGGGTGTGAAAACAATCCACAAAACATGCACGAGAAGCCTTTACATTTGCAGAGGTAATTAATTGTATATATTAATATTAGCATCGTTGGATATTTTTTTCAAAACAAGCAGCAGGAGATTTATTCTGCTACAGAGACTAGCGAACGATAGCTCTTGATGGTATTATATTGTTTTGCGGTCAAATTAGGAGGATGTTTATTTTAACAAGCAGCAGGAGATTTATTCTGCTACAGAGACAAGCGAACGATAGCTCTTGATGGTATTATATTGTTTTGCGGTCAAATTAGGAGGATGTTTATTTGTGGACAAGTGGTTGGGGAACAATGCCATCTGTCACTCTACTAACTCTACTATCGACATATTACAAAAAAATTTTCAAAAGAATAATTTCGGGAAATACAACTGTTACTTTGCCTCCCAAAAGTTGTGATTTAAATTTCTTTAGATTTCCCTTTTTGTGAAGTTATTTGAAATCATTGGTCTATGTGATCTATGCGAACAAACCACAAGCCCTTGAAGCACTAAGAATAAACATCGGATTCTGCATTCGTTACATTAAGCCCGAGGTATTGCATAGAGTTATCGAAAATTTGATTCATTAAATTCACTCGTGACACTAAGTCGGAGTGGACACATAACTGATATTTTGTTCCAATCATAATGTACATAAACCTAATACATTAATTAACTTTTTCTATGATTTCTATTGTAACTTAAACAAAATACACCAACATTTTGTACTTTTTTAAACTTTGGTTTTATAGAAAATAGAACTAGAAGCACAGTAGTTTTGTTTCTCCTGAATTTCTATAAAAGTCAGAGACTGGGCTTCTGTCCCTTACTTTCATTGGCTAACGATATCATTTAGCAAAACATCGATTCAAAAGATCTGCTACACTAACTTGTAAAGCCAACCACAACTGTTTTATGCAAGCGTTATGTAGGGGGAGAGGGATGTAAAAACAGCTTCTCGCTCAGTTTTATATACGTTAAATAGGATCTTACTAAAATGTTATATAAACTGATAGAATTGAACCTCGCTTTTTGTTGAGAACGAACCCCGGGTAAAATTAACAAATCCTTTGGTCATTTCCAATTTTCTCTGCACTTCCTGTTATTTTACACTACTATAGCAAACTTCAAAACTATAAAAATTGGATATAATGAACTGTACGGATATCATGTATTGAAATCTTTTCCTGTTTTCGCATTTTTTTGAAGAATTTATGTAACCTTTAATGAAGAAGTATTAGCATTTAAAATCATCTATGTTTTTGAAGTTAGGGTTCCGCATTCCATCCATAGAAAACGCCTTTATATTGTTTTTCTTCATGTTCAACCCTTCTTTTCTCTGTATTGTAAGCAAAAGGCTATGAGAAACAGGCACCAATAAACTAAGGAACATATGTGGATTCTTCGATTCCATTCAAATTCTTTGAATGAGTTGTCAGACAGACTTCTTTTCAAGGCTAATAGTGTAATGGAAATTTTGAAATTTTCGCTATTCAGGGAAAGAAGACGTAGTGAGTCATACGAGTCTGGGTTATACAATAGATTCTTCTTTTAGAAAATGAAAATTTTTTTATCCTGATGGCTCTCTAAATTTTCTCCCCTTGCTTGAGCATAAATTCTGTCCAAACTCTGTTCTTCGAATGGGGGTTTTATATTTTTTAGATCTTTTGAAAGGCATAAGATAGAAAGCAAAAAGGATCTTTATTAGCATCTAATTGATAAATGTTACTGTTGCCTACCGCTCAGTGTCTATTTCCTGTCAAGTTTCATGACATTTAGAAATAACCTTGAAGCCAGAAGCTTTATATGACATACTTCTTCTTTAATGAATTTATTTTATAAAATATAATTTAACTGAGGGAAAATTGTGATATTTATTGCAGCAGTTCAATAACAATGAAAACGAAATTCCTTTTTCCGTAGTTAGAAGGTTTGATCACAACTGCATAAATTTTGTACGCCGATTTTTATCGTCTGCAGATTTTAAAATATTGTCTTGTAGAGGATCAAACTCGTTATTAGTTACATTTTGTGGTCTCTTACATCAGGTTGCAGCGGACTACAAAAAGATTAGAAATTCATGTGTGCATTCTCCTAAAGACACAATTTTCAAGCTGTTATGAAGTGTGAGATGACATGGTCTGACATTGCAGAATCAATAACTTGTTCAGTAATGACTCCACTTGACATGAGAAAAGTATAATTTCACAACGAATGTAAATTTTAGCAATATGTACTGTGTTTGTCAGGAAAGTCCCTCCAGTTTAAGAGGCTGACCAACCAATGATTCTACAACTCCTCCGATATCGTCTTCAACTATAACGAATCAGAGGACGTAGAGTACAACCAAAAAATTAAAAGGGCACAACGAATTCAATCTGCAAAATGTTCTAGAGAGAGCAAGTGCTCAGAATGCTCTAAGACTAGAGAGACACTTGCCACTAGCAAGATTCTGACATAATGAGGAGAATAACTCACTTTATGAATAATTGCTTCTATGCATTCAATATTAATAGTAAATTATCCATATTATATTGCTGACAAAGCTTCTGGTAGATTTATAATAAATGACCTTTTAGTTCAATGTACAGTTTAATACGCAACCTAAGCACAAAACATTCAGCTACTAATATGTACATGCAGCTACCCAAAATTAGGTATACCTAGGTACTAAAGTTTTGAGTTCATATTCAAATATCACACATAAACTGAAGAGCAAAATGGTTGCATCTTTGCATAACTTCAAAATGAAATATTAATTCAGAAATAGGTTTCAAAGTTTATTGACTAAATGACTAGCATTGCTATGTAAACTGTCGTAAAAAATATTGATCAATGTAATTTTTTTTTTCAAAAAAGAAATCTTATTGTAAGAAATTTATCGAATTCATATTTTAGAAAACATTCTATTGGTGTCTTTCTATTGGCATTTAGCCAAACATTAACATTTTGTGCATGAATTAAAAATATTTTTAGTTTAAAGAATTTTTCGTAAAATTAACAAGTTATGTTTTTAAAGTAATAAAACCGCATAAAAATATTGATAATATAGTTTAACATTTAAAAGCTTATAACATGTTTGTGGTAAAATGCTTTGTCATATCATATATAAAAAATAACTTATGTGTTGCTCCCTAAATTAAAGAAGAATGTTGCTCTTTACAATTAAAAAATACAATCAATGACATTTGAAAGGAAAAATCAGCTTTAAATTATTCTAATTCATTTCTTAATCAACATATATGGTGTTGATTAAGAAATGAAACGAAGCCCACAAATTTTTATAAATTTTAAAATTAAATACCTCGATTAATTTTTGTCACACGAGAATCAAATGGTTCGTATTTTATTTTACATAATGAGTGTAAACTTTTGCTAACTGTGTCATAGGTTGTGTGAGAACGGTATGAAAATTTAGACTTACAAAATTGATTTTTGTAAAATTTTAAATACGCCCAAGCATGAATATTTGCATCATTTAAAAATTTTTTGTAACTGGAAATCAATATCTACGACCCAAATTGAGACCACGTAAAGACATTTACGGACGCGGTGTATACGATAACAAGCACTGGAGAATTATTATCAATAAACTACAAATATGTGACACCTACGTCAAAGAAATGCATTTATTGAAGTTTGGTTAGTATGTGTGTGGATGTTTTTATATCAATTTCAGATTTCTTCTATTGGTGCAAATGGATCCTCTCCTACATTTATATTGAAGTCAACAAAAGATTTACAACCAGGAGATTTGATCTTTATGATAAAGATGCACTGGACGATGCAGCGAAGCTGGGATTTATTGTGCCAGCAGAGGAATACGTTTATGAAGCTCCTTACGATGAAGCTCATCTACGAAAAGTGAGAAACATTGCTTTTGATTATCCTTTGACATATAATATAATAAAACAATTAATTATAGAAAATGTATTTCAGCAGTTATACCTTCTAAAACATTCTTTCGAACAAAACATTATACTCTATAGCAAAGCGATGTTTTAGTTTTCATTAATATTTGACATGGAACATATTTATGGTCTTGTTTTAAAATAAAATTAAAAAGTTCATAATTCTATATTCTTGTAATACAAAAAATTTCAATCGCGGAAATTACATGCAATCTTAATTTATTTTAATACCGATGTTCTGCGTTCTTTGTAAAAATAAACATTTAGGCCTAAAAGATCTAATGATTTCTAAAAGAGAATGTTTTAGTTTTAATTTCTGAAATTTTTCCCATGCTAGTAATCAAAGAACCGGTTAACAGAGCCCTAAAATTACTATCAATGCTACATTTGGAATTTATTCTTCTGCAATTTCTTTTGTTTATAGCATTAACGATGATCTGTATTACACATACCATTATATGAACAACTTCCCTCGTTTAGTCTGCAATTAGATCAGTTACGGAGAAGCAGTCATTTTCCCCCTTTTGCATATATATATTATTTGGAAAATTAAAGGAAGATAAATATGTGAAATTCCCTAATGTCTTTTATTATAATTCAATAACAAATAAGAGAATCTAAACTTCTTTATTAAGGAGAAACCTCGTAATGCTTTAAATGATGAAAAGAGTAATCTGTTTTTAAACTTAAGGTATTTTTTCATAGAAACTTATTGAAAATTTTCTGATGATTAAATTTAAGAGTTTGAATTATTTATGTTTAAGTTATATTATCGATGTTATTGCAAATGAAGAGAAAAGCATTCCAACAATCTTCAGCTGGAACCTGAACCTTTTTAAAACACTGAATATTTCTAACATTTATCAGCTCATAAAACCGTGAGTAAGTGAGAAAAACGGATTAAAAATGTGTTAATTGACAAAACATTTATTTGACCAAAAGCACGTTCAGGGATTGAATACTTTGTCCTTCATTAGCTACAATTAAATGGAAGACAGCTAACACAAACTAAAAACTGCTTTCCATTCAATTGCAGCTGACGAAGGCGATAGCATTCAATCGCTGAAAGCGCTTCTGAAAGCGCTTAAAAATAAAATCTACCACAATTCACGTTGGCTTTCTTGCAATCAGTAATAAAACTTTCTTTTACTACGACGATCTGTTCAGATATCCTATACGTCTCCAGATCCGATCTGATTGTGTATGAAAACAGCTTATGAAATGCATCTTAAATTAAATAAATTTCCGGTTTGATTCTTTTTATTAAAAGACACTTGAAAATTCCTTAATGCAAATTACGAAATGAAATAGATTTTCTGTCTCTCTGTTTAATATTTTCAACCTACCGATTCAGCCCATTTCAAGCAGAAAACAAGCTGGCTAACTGTTTTTATTTCGATTACTTTTCTCTTTGTTTGGATGTCATTTTATGAACATATAGTTTATTCTTAGAATTCTTCTATAACCTAATATTTTATTACATACCTCCTAGGCAGAAGACGAAATAATTTGCTATGGAGTGAACTCTAAACCGGAGCGTCTTCTGGTCAATATTTCAAGGCGCAGCGATCAGAAAGCAGATGCTTGCGTTTACCTGAAATTAGAATCTGGCAAAACGTACCGTTTGCAAAAGACTGGACATTTTCAACAGTCTTCAACTGATAAGACTGTCTTTTCCTGTGGAGATCTCCAAATATCCTATACGTGTCCCATGAGGCGATGGCGAATATTTTACAGCGGGTATTTGAGGTATGGAGACAAAAATATTTTTTTCCTGCAAGATCTGTTAATTATACCCTTGATAAAAATTTAGATATACAGTTTGTGGATAGTTAGTTATGATAACTCATAGGTTACTGATTCTTGTTGCCGAACTTGGTAGACAATAGTTTTTAGATATGGCCTTACAATGTTGGGTTTCAGAACTTTTTTATCTATTCTACAAGAAACAGTGTAATTAAACAAATTAAATTTACAATCCTACCAGTATAAACTTTTAAATAAATTTTGGCTTGGGAGAACTGGCACAAACATGCTAAATTCTCCCAATGGAAAATTAAAAATTTTCGAGAACAGATAACAAAACTAATTTTAAAGAAAACTAAGCGGAACTATGTTTATGTTTCCACTTCTGTTTATATTTCCACACTTTAAAAACAATTTTCTTCTGTACTTATACTGTTTCATTGACATCAAATATAGTAGACTTATTTAAACAGTGCATAAAACTGCTAAAAAAATCGAGATTCACACATTTTGGAGGTAGTGAATTTGCACAGACTGTTCTTAATCATTATCAATATTAAAAGCATAATCACCAGTTTAAAGATGGGGAAAATTTGCCAAAAACTGGAAAATATGCTAATACTCTTACCTCTGTAACGTCAGTACACCCGTGTCGAGTGAAAGAAAGACAGGTTGTCTTTTAAATTATTTATTTGATAAACTAAAATAGATTTCTTGATTAAAACATAAAAATAAACTGATCATTACAGCCCTAAATCATACAATATCCGCTAACGCAGATTGGACGCAAAAAAGCGTCCTTTTTACTGTAGTTTACAGCATAAAAAAAAACTATTGTTTTACAGAAACCACTGGCGTGGCTTAGAACGCAAACGATGCGTCCTGTCCATGGAGGTAGGAAGTAAGAAGGAGTCGCCCTAAACAAGTTTCTCCGTACCCTGCTCTGAAGCACCGGCGATCCCTACGTGGTGACCAAAACATTGGGTCATTTACCATTGAGTTCTATGGGATTTGACGCGTTCGGGTGTAAATATTTTGTAATTACGTCGCAAATATACATATAATGTATATATTTTCTTTTTTTTCTACAACACTTCAGAGTCCTAAGTATGTGAAAACAACATATTTTTAAACAACATTTCATTCTGAACGGAATTAAATGCTATACTTTTCTCAGAATGGTTTAATTTAAATGAATATTTTTCACAAGTTTTCGTTAATTACATTAGAAAAAAAATTAAGGTAGTTCGATTTTATTCGGTTAAGGTACAAAAATTAAGACCAAAGTTTATTGTTATTAATATTAAAATTATGCATTATTTCTTTTCTATTTATAGAGCTTCTTCCTAAAATACTTCCTTAAATATGACATGATTTTTTGGCTTCTTTTAAATCGAAAAATGTAAGTCAATTTATAATTAATGCTCTATTCGGTTCATTTTAAATTAGAGAATTATTAGGAAAATAGTATTTGACTTTCTCTGAACATTTCTGAAAGGGAATAAAATAATTTTTTTTTTTTTTTTTTTTTTTAAACTTGTAACTGAGTTATTATAAAATGTAAAGGGAATAATTCTTTTAATTATACTTATCAGATTTTTTTCTTTTTACCCTTCATTTGAACAATACATATTCCAAAACTCTCTATTACGTTCTTAAGTGCGCATCTCATAGCATTTGCTTTACAATACCTTTTAACAGATTGCTTTCCAATACGAACAATTCTTGCTTAAATAGTTTTATAACTTATTTGTCAACAGGATTTCAATTTATGTTTACAATTCAATATTAAGGTTATTATATATTTAGATAACATTTATAATCATTATAAATTAGATACATTTAATCATTAGATTTCTTCACAGTACTATCACAGTTGTTTATAAGTGAATAATTCTTCATTTCAAATACATTTATAAATAATTTAATGAATATTTAAGTATTTTGTCAAAGGCAGATACATGCTTTTTGCAAGCACATGCATAAATACCCATACATATTTCCTATTTATCATTTCCGGCATGTGCAAATCTTTAATTTCTGTGCATTCACTATATTTTTCGTGTAAAGTAATTTACACTAATTTAGCATACACCCGAAAGTTTTACATAAAAAATATATATGAATATAATTTGAATGAAAATTATGAGTATTATTTTTAATACCCACTCAAAGGTCAGTTTTTCTTCAAAATTCCCCCACGATGGCATCTCTCTCTTTAGGCATGCGTTAGGCCCTTGCATGCGTTACTCTATTTAATAAAAACTTAATCTGACCTATGTGCCTAATTACAAATATTTTAACACACATAATTTTATATTTACATTTAGCCATCAAGTTTCAAACTTTTCAAATCTTCTAGAAAATAAATTTTGGCAGATCTCTTTTAGCAATTTTCTTAAAATCTATATTTTTGTAGTGCAACAGCTTAGAATTTTATAAAACAAATTCATAATCAAAATCGCTGTTGTTAGTTATCGAAAAATAACCAAGATGTGATTTTTGCGTAAATGTCACTAAAGTATACAAATTGCTATTATCCATCCCACTATGAATGTTTCTTTCATGCGAAACTCTTTATTACGTTCATTAATCCTTTATTACGTTCCCTTTTTCGATTTCTATGGAACTGTCGTGTGTCGAAATACTATCAGAATTTTGTCAAGGGAGCTTCTGAATGTAAACAAAAAACACCCCGTCTGGTGACCCAAGCTTCAAAGCAGTGCTTCACTTCTAGCGCGGAATGGCCCCTCCTCCCTTTCCTACCTCCATGGTCCTGTCACCTCAAAATCACATGAAGAACTCTTACACAAAGATTTCACTCGTTTTGTTATCTGCGAAGAGAAACATAATTAGTTCCTTGTGTCCGGAAACTCCCAGGGGGTTTTATCTGCAGTCTTGCTTTTTGCAGGTATGGTCCATTTCGTCCGCGAACAAACAGAAAGTTATAATTCAGCACCTGTGCCCTCGGGGGGGGGTGCTAGTAGCTGTAACGTCACACCTCTTTCTTGGAGTAGTGATTTCGTTTAAGGGAGAGAATGTCAATTCGGAGGTATAAACTTTAAATGCTATTCATGATTTTCCACAAAACTTAGCTTTGAATTCGCTCCTTTCTTCACTTAAGCAACTGCACCACTAGTGGGCGACCGTTGAACAGTGTTGATTGTGGGCGGTAGCACCGTCTATTAACAATACCCCCTAGACTTAATGATGCATTTAGGGAGTGCCGCTATTCAGTGCTAATCAGTTTGTCCCACGTCCGCCACTGTGGAGTGGGAGATCGCCCAGCACGGAGGCAAGGATATGCAGTAGCCAAGCAAAGAGTGCTGCATATCTATAAGTGTATTTCTATTGTTCGTCTGGTAGCAGACTGCTTTAACGTTTTAGGTTACATGCTTACACTGAATGGTACTAAGATTTAATCTATAACAATTTATGAAATAATACAATAACAAACAACGGGATACAATAATGTAAATTTGGCAATAAAATGCAATATAATTCCCACAATAGAACACAATATGTTGAGAGAATGGCGTATAGGAGGGAATTAAAAAATTCGATTCTTGATTAAGTGTTAAGTGCTGATAATGAGTGAAATTGGATACTAAATGTGAGATGGTGCTAATAATAATATTGTTATATTCCTAAGGATGAAAATGCACACAGCTGAGTATGGGACGAGTTCGACCCGGCTTTCGATCGCCGTCGAACGAATTCGCTGCAGAGTTATTTTTTGTGGTTTCCCTACTGAAATGTGAATGCTAGCCAGAATAATAGAATATTAGCTAGAATATTCCAATCCAGGTGAACGGTCTGGCTACATGGTTGGTTTTCTTTCTTTCTCTTATGTGTAAGATGGTTACGAGCCAGTTTCCTTTAAAACGTCCTCCACGAAGACATACCTCCCAATAGGCAGATGGTTTTCGACTTGTTTTGCGTTAACTAATTATCCAATCACTTATTTAGAAAATCCTTAACCTAACCTAATCAAATTAGCAAATTAATCATTTTTAGAAATTTAAATATATGCAATTTAATTATTTATGGTGTAAGGTTATATAACATTTATTCAAGTGTTCCCTGAAAGCTGAAAAAATGTTGAAAAAAGATCATTTAAATTATAACTATGCATAATTTGTTAAACTTTATCCACTTCAGATATGTCATACATATTGACACCAACACCAGACGTCTCATACAAAATTCGTAAATTCATAATGTTGTCATTTTTAGTTGTTTTCGCCTTGTATTAGATGTATTAAACTTAAGTTCCTAAATAACAATATTTTCGGGTTAATTTGATCTTTAAAACGTCTTTTTTAGAAAAGTACTCTCTCTCTGTTTATGTTTTTCGGTCTGAGAAGGATTCATCTGGAAAACAAACTCCTATGTTCCAACCCTATGAAGATTCGGGCTGAAACCAAGAGCTTAAAGTTTGAATAGAAGAGAGGTTATTGTTTTCAGGTTTCATAGTCTGAGCATTGTTTTTAAGTACTGTTTTATAATTCATGAGGTCGAAAAAACATCGAAGAGACAATTAAATATAATTTATTCGAAAGCAAAAGGAACGTTTATTTAAATTATAAGTTTTTGATTTTCGCTTACTAACTTATAAGGTACTTCTCCCGCCTTCTTAACATGCCTTCGTAGTGTAGTGGTTAGCAGGCTCGGCGCGTATCCGAGAGGTCCGTGGTTCGAGTCCCGGAGAGGTCATTGCTCATTTTTCATCTCTCATCCTGCTTCGAAATAACTTAATGTCTCTACAAACTCTTAGCTCGAATCTTTGCTTTCGCAGTTAATGTCTGAAACAGCAACAAACAAGCTTTCGAAAAGCAAATTATACTTAGTTTTAATAAAAACTGGATTTTCTGAATTACAGGAAACTAAAATTAATACAATTTGCAATCATGCACACACATATAATAAGATAGTAATTTAACTGAACACAAGAGATGAATGCTGGTTTCCTGTTCTGTTAACTTCTAACAAAAGTAATATAAGCTTAATTTCTCCATTCTTCTCTTATTAAACTATTAAAATTTTTCAGCATATCTCGTCAGAATTCAGTTACTCATATTCAAATTCACTTCTTAGTTATTATTTTGCTGATAATTGTGTTTAGTTAAAGTTAGCTAGCTAGCTGTTAAAGTTAGTTAGCTAGCTGCGTTAATTAAAGTTGCTTTTAATTTGCTGATAGGAAAGCAAATTAAAAGATTTAAATGTTAAAAAAAGCATTAACAAAGCAATATGTATTCTCGAACTATAAATTATTATCATTTACTTACTTTTTCTTGCCTCATTTCAGGGAGACGACCGAAAATGATGAAAAGGGACGTATGGTATACGTAAAATTTGCATTAAGGTAAGTTACAAATTCTTATACCGAATACTAATTTCGTAATATTTAAACTTCTAATTAAAAATTAAAGAATTATGCTAATGTTGGAATTATCTTATACGGCTTAACTAAATTTCACAACCCGTTAATTATTTAATAACCTGTGCAATTGTAGTTTTTAAAATTATTTCTAATTTTTCTTCCTTAGTACAGTGACGATATTTTTCCTTGCGCCATTTTAGACAGATGCAATAATTACCCTGAGTCTCGGAAACCTATATTGATATATTTTTAATCTATGTTATGTATTTATTAAAAGCCTTCTCCTACAACATTCTTGCATGCTGTCTTCAGTCTTAAACTCTTCCCTTTTGAAATATCCATCTACGTTTCGTGATCACCGTGGCTCAATGTGTAAAGCTTATTTAGCTACTACTAAGTTATTTTATGTTAATTCTTTTATGTTGTCCTTCAGGCGAATGCGTATTATATTAAATTCAAATTGCGAGGAAGATAAAATTTCAAAGAATGTACTTTGGAAACTCCAGCCAGCTGTTATCCCAAATTTAGCTTTACAGGTGAAAGCTATCCGAGGCTTGTGAAGCAAAATTTACGTTGTATTCTTATCACTTGTTTTGGTTTGAAAACCTCGCAGATTGCTGTGGATAGCTTTGTTTACTTTAAGCGTTAGTTTGTAAATACAAAAGAACACGTCGCAAATGAATCCTTAAGCGCTTTACTCTGATGCATTACAGAATTTATGTTATACATGAGTAAGCACATTTACAAAGGCGGTAATTCATTGGAGTAAGGATGCAGTTAGGTTTATTTAGCAAAGGTACATAGCCAGAATTTTATTAGTTATTAATCTATTTATCTGTTTACGTGCTTTTGCTTCAAAATGTTTCTAATGTGGTCAAATTTCTTGATATGAATTCAGAACTTTTTACTCCATGTAGGATGCTTAATTTGAATTTGAGATTTTTTAACTGATCTGAGATTTTTTTTTTTTTTTAATGGTTGTTTTGATAATTTGAGCTTCTGTATAAATATCCATAAGTTGCGACTAGACCACAACTGAACGTTTTATTTTCTTCTATAGCAACAATTTGTTTTCTGGTGTTGTATTCGGTGCATATTCCATTCGGAACAAACTATATGCAAAAAATGGATACCTAGAAGCACAGTGGCAAACTGCATAAAAGGCCCAAAAATTTAAAAAAAACAAAAAGGATAAAATTAATTTATGTCTTTCGCTACATCGTCATCAGATGTTGATGCAACAAAAGAAGTTGTTGTAGTTACCAATCTCACTTATCTGAGCACAAGCCCACGACATTCCTCGAGGCAAGAAGTCATATGCACCTGTCTTTGGCAAGGTCCTTGAGCAGCACACAGGTGACAGCTCGACTTTGCTCAGTTCCGCCCCAGCTTTGATGGACAGCACCTCGGGGGGGGGACAGGTCCGAGGATCTGCCATCCCTCTTCCCCGACCCAAACCCCACTAAAAGACTTTCGGCTAGCCACATATTTAGAGTGCCCCCACGCCGCACAGACACTATACATTTACAAACATCTATGTCTCCTCCGAAATTCGAATCCGAGCCCTTCAGTATGGCATTCAGAGTCACTAACCACTTATTCCGGTCGGCCGCGCAAAAGAAGTAACTACATCAGTCTGTTTTTAAATTAAATACATCAATTAAAATTTTAAATACAGTAGACTCCCGATTATCCGCGCGTGCCGCACACAGCTTTTTTTTTTTTTTTTTTTTTTTTTTTTTTTTTTTTTTTTTTTTTTTTTTTACAAGAGTAAAGCAAAAATAAAAATGTTCACAAAACTGAGCGAAAAGTTAAATTTGCTAACATCGTGCTTATTTATGGCAAAAATATCCCAAGCCTTCTCGGAACCTTCCCCTCTGATGAGTAAGTGATTTCTTACTCACCCTTGCAGTGCCTGCTCCACCGCCCTCTCTCGTCTTAATCTTACTGACACTTTCACTTCCTCCCACTGTTAGTTTAAGCCTGATAGTGTTTGCGAACCGGTCGGAGTTAATTTCTTATCTTTTATTATGTTCAATGCTTGTGCTTTTTGGTTTTGTGTTTTTCGTTACCCATTTAAAATGCCAGGAAAACGAAAGAAGGTTGTGTTGACGATTGCGCAAAAACTAGAATTACTTTCCAAAGTAGCAAACGGCCATACATGGCAGCAGACGGAATTGGATTACGAAATAGCGGAAACAACAGGGCATGGCATTCTAAAGCGAAAAGACAAACTGGTGAACTTTGCATCAATGTCGGACAGTGTTTCCGCAATGAAAACGCGAAAAACTATGAAGGGCTAGATGAGCTAGACACGGCATTGACAGAGTGGTTAGCTCAAGTTTGAAAAAGGTTATGATCTGAAAGAGTTTCGGAAATACTACACAATCTTGGACAGCATCTACGATATTGCATCGGCATGGGACTCAGTGAAACCGTCAACCCTCATAAAATCATGGAGAAAACTCATGCTTAATGTTGAAGCCAACAACAACCTAATCCCTTTGAGTTGTGAAGAAGAGAATGAAGATGTAGACACGCCCACGGCAACTCTTGCCGATATGGTGAAAGCAGTTCCGTGTGGTGAGAACGTCGATGCTGAAAACATTAATGAGTGGTTGGAGTGTGACGTCAACGAACCTGGCTTCGAACGCTTGACAGATGACGAAATTGTGAAGAAAGGAAGGGGAGAGACCAAGAATAAAGGAAAGCGAAGTGAAGGCGAAGAAGAGCCCACTGTGCAGACTCACGAAGACTCACGGAGCGGCTTTGCAACAAGTCGACGGACTGCTGAGCTATTTCAAAGAACAAGACCACGCGGAGTTGGCCGAGAAACTTATGCTACGAAAATTGCAATCTTGGATCAAGAGAAAATGCTTCCAAAGCAAGAAGCAAATACAAATGATTGATTTCTACAAAAAGGTGTAGTTTTACAGTTATGCTATTGTAATTACATAATATATTACAGTATCAAAACAGTACATATGTATTAATTTTTCTGTGCATCCTTGACGCCCCTCGTAAGTACAAAGCACTTTCCTGTTTTCATTAACAAAATGCACTTTAGGTTAGTTTTGAGCGATATAAAACATTTCCTGCTATTATTTTACGTTTTATTGTACATAAAACGATTTTTCAAAGTTGGAATGACTGTTTTCTCTTTTGCTATACCCGTTTTTAGCTTTTTTCGAATTATCCGCGATTTTTGTTGTCCGTGGCGGCCGCGCCACACAATTCCCCGGATAATCGGGAGTGTACTGGATTAAATCATATTATTTAAAGTATTAAAGTAATATTTAGTAATTTTTAAATATTAAATCACTTTTCATTGTTAAAGTTTAGTTTGTGTCTTTGTTGATTCAGAAACCAAACTAATATATTTACTTCAGAAACATGTCTTCAGGTCTTTCGTTGCACCAAACCTCTGACCGACGGTGCACTCAAAGAAGTAAATTTCATTTCTCCTTTTTCAGTTTTGGTTTTGTCATTTTTTGCGCTTTTCATGCAGTTTGCCACTGCGCTGCTATTTTCTTTTTCGTAGACTTTGTTCCGAATTGAATATGGGATGGGTTTTAAAATATTATTTTAATTTGTTTTGCATTACTATCACCACTTGTTTCTGCTTTCAGCACTCAGTTGAATCAGGTTTTGAAATAGTTATAGATGTAGAAAGCTTAGTTTTCAGAATTTAATATTGAGTTAATGTTAATTTAATGTTTAAAAATTCATTCGAAGTTGTTATTTATTATTTTGGCCTCATCTCTACTTCTTTTACTCTTTTTTTTTTACTTTTAGCTAATCACGTTTTCTCGTTGTGATAAATTAAGTCTCTCGATGGTTCGCAATATCAATATCTTTTGATTTTTACAGAAATTTAATTTTACTGTGGTGTAAGAAATATTGCTATAGTGTGAGTAACGATCATGTGACGCTTTTAAAAATGAAGGTTGCGCAATTCGACAACAGATTGCGAAACGGAAACATTTTCACTCCAAATAAAACTGAGTATAAGGAAAACAATAGTGAATATATTTTTTTAGAAGTGCTTCCAGCGTTTCAACATAAATATTTTCTTCAGCTGGAATAATGGAAAACTAGATGCCACAAAAAGAAAGAAAGATTGACAAATTTTCAGAAACTTGCTTGTAACTAAGCCATGACGCTTTGTATAATGAAAAGGAAGACGAAAGTAAGGAAAGGAAACAAAGCAAAGGTGCCCTCTAGGTAACGGAAAGTGGAATTAGAAATGATTTGCATATGGATGGGCGAAAACAGATGCAAAGAGCAATGAAAAATTTCAAAAAAAAAAAATCTTATTCATTAAGGACGGGTTTTGTTTGAAGTTTTGGATACAGCTAAAGAAGAGAAGTTAAATCAGTTACCAACAGAATGTCTGCTAAAACTGCCTCAATCAACATTGCGTTTTTTACACTCAAGACAGCAAGCAGACTGCTGGCTATTTTGTTATACACACGGCTATTCATTACAATATAAAATTATAAAATACTGCATTTACTTTCAGGTTATTTCTCAGTACATCTGACATTCTGAAATGATTCAAATTATTTTATTTAGTGTGTAGTGTTGGATAAGCAAAGCTTAAAATATTTTCTTTTTTTCAGGTGGCGGGCTTCTTCGGATGTCTTTGACGCCACATCGGATTTAAACTCATACGCACTTGCTGATGCTGTTGCTAAAGCCAACTGGAAATCAGCGTATCCTCCGCTAGACAAGTAATAAAAACTTGTACTATTTTCTACAAACTCTTTGAACCTTATGAAACGCTATAAAATATATCGTACATAAACTAATAGAAATTTATAAAAAAGTTGAAGAATATACGCATGTTGAGTACATATTTGAAAATGTTATGTTAAACGTTAGATATCATGAAATTAAAGATCCTTTAAATTCAAAAAAAAAAGCCCCGCAGGATAAATATATTTATATTTTGTTAAAAAAAAGTGTGTGTGCCCCTTTATTTGTATATTCAATAGAAACAGTGCCCAGAGGAAGAATTTAATATTCACGCAGTTTGTTTCTAGAAGTTTAACTCTTTGTATTACTATATTTTGATGTTCCCCCAACATACGTTTGTAAAACCCTGTAATGTTTGTAAAGTGTATTTGTAATGTGTACTGTTCTAAGTGAACTACTGTAACGTAATTTGAGTGTCTGGAATAATATAATAATTATCTAAATTATGTAATTATGTCTTGAACAACACCAGCAACAATATTTTACAATGTTATTTGATGTATTTCTTAATGCTAAATATGTAGGCACGCGATAGAATATCACCTAACGTCTTCATGGAATAACGATGTTTCTGTCTCTCTTAATCGTCAACTATCAACTTTTAGTTATACTAACGTTTACATCTGACGTTCCGCATTGTTAAGATTTAAAACCTGAAGGCAAAGAATATATTATTTAGTTGACAAAATTAACTGATCTTCTGTGATATTTCTTATTAGCTTAAAACTTTGGCTTCAAATCAATGTTGTAAAAATGGCTTCGCTAACTATATCTTGTAATTGATCTTATAACTACAATTCATATAAATAAAGATCTAGAAATCGTGAACGTTTCGCAAAATTTTTCTCCTTATTCTTGAAACAAATTAACTTGCTATTCCGCTTATTATACTAGCTATAAAGAAGTCTGAAGAAAAATATTTTTAATTATGATAATTACATTCGTATCAAGAGATCTGTGGAACTGTAGATTTTGGAAATACATAAATTAAGCGGAAGTTTATTAGAAATAATTTCAGAAACCTTTATCCAGTATCATGGAACAACTCAGTTCTGTTACCGTAATTATAGCCAAGATATGTTTTACAATCCTCATACCATTTGCTAGGTTTTTTCCCCCACGTAATAAAAAATAATTTGAAATTACAATAACAGAATTCAGCAATGCATAACTAAACGTTATTATTATTCATTCAACTACAAAAAGTTCAATTTATTATTCGTTTTAATATGAATGCAGGAGTTAGGAGTAAAAAGAATTCCTCTGCCATTGCAGGATTAAAAAGGGAAAAGGGTGCTTTTCTGTTATTGGGACCGGATTCAGAAATGTATATACGTGTGCATGTATGTATCCATGTATATATGTATGTTTTTACACACACAAAACATATACGCACATACGTACGTACACACGTGCATACATTTCTGAATCCGATCCGGATAACAGAAGAGAACCAAAAGAAAAATTCACATTTTTATTGCATTATCTATTTTCCGATTATTGTAATAAATAGAATTAATTTTTTTCAGGCTCAAAAATGCATTGAATTTTTACATACAGTCAGGTGTTATACACGGAACTGTAGAAGTGGAAGGAGAACCAGAACATGAGATCTATTTATTTGGCCAGAGACTCAGAAATTTAGGTATGCATATATTCATTGCAAGTTATTTGCCGTTTTATAAATACTATCTCCTTCATCCTCTCTAAGTTAAGTTTTGCATTTTACTAATTTTATTTTATCCTGGAGACGTATTTTACGAGTTATGCATGCTAGACCGAGAGTTGGGTTGCAAGCGGTTATTTTAAATATATAGAATTGCTAGCGTTAGTATTTCAGTATATTTGAGTGAACTTTTCCTTACTTGCCGAGGATAGTGAATATGTTAACTAATGGCATAAATATCAATATGCAATTTCACATTTCTTATCCTACTATTTAGGTGATGTTTCAAGCATAAAAGAGGCTGAAATTGAACATATGATGGGCTACGTCTATCAGGTACGCCAGATACTTTTTCATTAACGGGTTAGATAATATTATAAAAAATTCTATTATATAATACAGTTATTCTATAAAATATAATATTAATAAATTTATAATGTTTTCAGCATGGAGCTTTCGTTTATATGGGCAAAGCTACGATAAAAAACGTTGTAAAAGAGTAAGTTTCTTATAAAATTTCTGTTTTTCTATAATCCACAATTCGGAACCATTTCTGTTCAGATATTATCCAAGGAAAGCAAACGCAAAACGTTATATGTACTTTCAAACTGCGCTATCAATCATAAACATAGTAATTAGCATACTTTGAAATTAAGGGCAAATATGATTTACTATTAAAACTGTGCACTCATTTAACATACCTTTGCTGCACACGATTTATATTCCTCGAATTTAAGAGTTTGGAGCACTAGAGACTACGTCAGCAGTAAAAACAAACAAAAACTTTATTTACTATATGAATTTTAACTGGAACTAATGACAATTTAATCAACATTCGTTGAAGGATCTGTAAATACAAGTTTAAATGTACGCAACAGAAATAGTAAATAAAATATCTCTCAGACAGGCTCCTAATTTTGCGTAAAACATGATAAAAGCCAGTTCCGCTTGAAAAGTCCTCTACGAAGGCATGCCTAACCTTCGGCAGGTAGCCGTCGTGATCTTTGCCATATTTCGATAACTAGTCAAGATAATTATGCCCGATTTCATTAAGCATAAATCCTAGTAAAACCCATAAAACTGTCACCGGAAGCAACTTGGACTGCAAGTGGGTGGGTAGAAACCTTAGATAAGTCTCGTTTCTAGCCGCGTTGCTAAATTCGCTCTCAATTTATATTTTTGTAGCAGTTTAAAATCCACTAATTTACATGCTTTTTGAGAGTGGAGGCAAAAAACAGAAGTACGGGATAGATTTAGCACAAGTATAAGGTGCTAGTTAAAAATAACTTTCCAGATGTGCATATCTAAAGAATCAAAAATAAGGTGCAGAATTTTACGAAAACACTCGAGCACTGGGGATCGAAGGGCTGAATATTTTTATTGATTCTCATACGGCAAAAACATTTCAGTTAGTAAGATGTTCATTAGGTTCTGAACGTTTCATTAATTTTAATAATTGCATACAAAAGCTTACTTATTACTTGCATTACTTATTCTTAATGATTACTTAAATTCCATAGCTTTAAGTGCACAGTTCGTAGAGATACACTTAGTAATTATTTTCATAGATTCAGCTACATGTAAATCTAACAAAAATGCTGCTTTACCAAATACGGAACTGTTAACAACACAAAAAAATTTGATCTGCCACCACTTTATAAATCTGGTGAATATAATTTTGAATTTCGTCATTAATAGGAGTAAACAAAATTCACTAAATCATTCATTCTTTCGCGAATATTTTCCCACATTTCACATAAATCATTCATTCTTTCCCGCAATATCTTCCCAAATTTCACATAAAAACGTTATGCGGATTTACGTTTTTAACTCTTCAAAGCATAATGACTATTTTTCCAATTGAAATTCGGGCATTTTGAAGATCATAAAAGAGTTAAATGTTATGCTTGCTGTACAGCCAAAATTTTCAGCGCTCTGTTGAGATATTTTGTGAAGTACTTACTTTGCATCAATATCTAAGAAAAAAATGTACCCACCTTTTTTTGACTACTTTCTTTAAGCCGTACCTTATGATCTTATTTATAAGGAAAGTGGTACCTTCTTTTAGGCGTATGTTTCAACTTTTAGAGAACAATGCACTTGCACTCTGCATTAATAAATTTTGCACTCTCGTTAAATAATTTTCACTCACTTACACATACTCACATACTTGCTTTTATTTCCATGAGATTGTATGTTTTTCATTTACTTATTTTCTATTTTAACATAAAATTAAATTCTGGAAGAAAATATTAACCCATGTTAATTGTACACATAAAATTGCTCGCACAGAGGGAGGGACCAGAAGTAAGTTATTTCCGGTTTCAATATATTTAAGTTTAATTAGAATTGATGCCCATTTCATTCTGTCACTAATAAGATTAAATTAGTTTTTCTTTCTAGTTTATGCTTTGGATTCGCCATTCAAGCGGATACAGCTCTTAAAATACTGGAAAAGATAACTATAACAATTATAGATTCAAAAGATTTGAAATTTATGCTTTCTACATTTTGGAAGGGTAAGTCTTTTCCTTTAAGATAAACGATGCGTAGATATTTATTTTTTTTTGCTACCTTTCTTATGTAATACTTTTTTAATATTTTTCGGTTATATTTAAGCATTATTTGACTTTATTAAACTTGTAGAGTTGCGCGCCTCCAACCTGCACGCAACCAAGAGGTGACTGTTGAAACTGGAAAATAGACAGAGTCTTGCTAAGGGTTTAAGTCCCTTTTCATTCAACTTAAGAAGTTACAATTTGCGTGCTCTTGACGCTCACAAACTACGCCGACCCGGCGGTAAAATAAAAATAAGACTCTGAAAAAGAAATAATAACAAGACTCTAACTACGAGGCTCTCTAAAAGTAAGTAACCTCACCGCGTTTTACAATACCGCTGATAATTCAGCAAACTTTGAATATCACGTTGAACAATTAACAATTCTCCGAGGCAAGCACACAGGCCGAAACGCGGGTTCTTCAATTTCTGTCTAACTACCTCCGCGCTAGTGAGGTACGAACAGCACATCTTGAACTCGTTTCCATTCTATTTAACTCAGAATACTTCCGCTGATAATTTGAATCCTTGCGCGTTCTACTAAAATTTACATACTCTGGCATTGGCAGTTCCAGGGGAAAGTAAAGCTTCACAGGAAAGATAGTTTAAACTTAAAAATAAATGTTAGTTAAAATAAATATAAACCTTACAAACTGATGTTAAGTTACTAGAAATCTTTTGATTTTCTAGGTTTATTTTTAAAGAAATGTTTACTTTTGTGGGCAATTTTCAAATGAAAATACGGCTGGCGAGTTGTTAGTGACATATGTGCAATGTATAATGATTTCCGTATGCTAGTTTAAAATGATGACTCAGAGAAACATAATAATTAAAACAAGTGACATATGTCCCACACACATAATCAAACATCAGGCTATAATGTATGCGAGAGAGAATTTGCTGTGTCTGCAAGCAACTTTGTAGACAAGAAATTTACATGTTCTTTACTGGATTCCTTTTCCTTTGCTGCTTATTTGTTTCATTTTGGACTGAGGAACGACAACTGGTGTTTCCGGAGATCCGGATCATGATACCTTTGATTGTAAATTAACTCACTTAAAAAAATCGAGTGACTATGACCCTAGAGTGGGCAGTAAATACCATTAAAAGCGTGCCATGTTTGAAAGTAATCCCTCTGGTCTGAAATTCCTCTTTGACTGCAGTCTGGAAGTTGTTTCATTCTTTCTTAAAACAGGCTATATATCTTTTCTCGGAATAGCTGTGATGACTCAATAATAAGGGACTAAGTCTGAAATACAAATCTGGAACACAAAGAGCTAAATGTGGATTTCAATGGGGGATATGGTATTATGTGTAACCCTCCTTTTCATAACAGATGTTATTTCTCCGTAATTTCTGTGAAGTCTTGTTAAAGCTTTAGACAGTCGCCAGCAAGACGGTACAGTGGTTAGGGAAGCCTGACTGCAATACCGAAGGGGCCGGGGTCGAATCACGGAGAAGGCACGGATGTAAAAATTGTCTGTCCCTTCATAGGAGGCAAAGGTGGCTCACCTGTTAGGTGCCTTCATAATAAAGAGATCACCCCATCTGGCCTTAGGAGTGGCCAATGCGGGCATAGGCAAGTGTCCACGATTGGAAAAAAAAGTTTTAGACAGTCAGATCCTTTTCTACGCTATCACTTGGTTTTCTTCAACTGGATCTCGTTATGCATAGTTCAAGTTGCGACAAATAGCATAGTTAACTTTTTATATTCCTTCTTCCAAAAAAAAATAATTATTATGAACATTATGGAATCATGCTTTATTTCAGAGAATGCTCTGTTTTCTTAGGCAAACTAAAAGTGATATCTCTATCTAGACCTATATCTATATTTATATACATATATCTTTTACAGGTCGGAATTATAAGCTCAGCGGATCACTGACTAGTCCTTTGTTGCAATATAGTAATAAAGGAGGAGAAATAGGAACTTCAGTTAGGAAATACGGTTTTTATGTAAATGGCAAGAGAGGAAGTGGTTTCTACTTAGGAAGGTTTGTATTCACCTTAGTTATGAAGCGAAGCTAAATCACTTTACTTACATTCACCAGTAACCTAAGTTCTACTTTCCCTTCAACGTGAAGCTTTGAAAACCTAAATTGAAGCTCTAACAGCTTAAAGAAAAATTGTTGTAAGGTTTTCTTTTCAAAAATTTTACAAAATGACTCCGAACTAAAAATAAGCGAACGATAATTCGTCACCGGTAGGATTTGGAGATTGGGTGTCCACCTCCGTAGTCGTCCTTCTGCTGCGAAATAAAATGCCTAATGGCCTCTACACATTTAGGTTTAATTTAAAACCACAAGTGCGTTTTATGTGTGTATACGTATGTAAAACAGTGTTTTTGAGTATACTATAAAAATTTTTAATGTTTTGATATTGAATACTGTTATAATGACTATAAAAATTCCAATTATTTTAGAATTGGATAAAGCTCACAGTTCTTTGCCTTCTGGATGTTTTACCCATAATTATTTTTTTTTCGGTCGAAGTGTATTAAACTGATGTTTTTTTCAGTAAAACAAAACTGATGCTGGTACAGGGAGTTTTATATTTTCGTGAAAGGTTTTAATTAAGATTTTTGCAATTTGATTTTATTGTTTTGAGAAAACACAGTGTTTAAAGAATGAAAACACAAATATTTTGATATTTTCTTTTAATGGTTTCTGTTAATATTTCTGATGTATTTTATTTTATATTTTTTGCTAATAAAGTAAGTTTAAATTTTTTCATAACCCCAGTTTAATAATCCTCTCTGGAAGAAAATATGATAACTCTTTATTTAATTAATTCAAAAATAGAAATTTAAAATTGTATTTCTAATGCCATAAAGTTTTTAATCTTCTATTTTCATAAAACAATGCTGTGCTTTTAATCCAGTGCATGAAGAAAGAGTATTACGTGTTTAAATTTAAAATTAACGTTAATTAATTAATACATTATTTAGTTAATTTCTATCAAAATATTTAAACGTATCCTATTAGCAAAAAATATAAAACAAAATGCACCATAAAATCAATAAATGCGAAGCCATTAAATGAAAATATTTTAATGCTTGAGTTTTCCTTTGTAGTAATTTATTATTACAAATGTATAAAAAATTACATTCTATCATAAGATGAGAACCTTCAACATTATTTTATATGAGGAGAGCAAAAAGAAAAATTATACAGGGGTAATAACAGACTTCTGTTTCTGAACTAGTGCTTCCGTCAACATTTAATTTGATTGGATAATTAATAATACTGTAAAATTATTGTTAGCTGTTTGAGTTTTAGCTCCATTGATTTCAGCAGCGTTATGTAAAAGAAATATGACTTAATAATCCAAACGTTTGTTTCTTACTTTTAGATTCTTATCAACATAAATGCATTGAAAACCGAAACTAACTCATTCTGAATTAAGATTTAGCTGCTTGCTGACTCATTTTACCGCAAAGCTATCCAAAATATAAATGTTCTTGAAACGGCACACATAATGTCTGTAAAACATTTTTATTTTTAAATGTATTACGATTGCGTTAATTTTCTAATGTCTTGTCAAATTCATTACACCAAAAAAATTTCAAAAGAATTTTAGTTTGAAAACTTAAATATTTTTTGAAGATGTAATTTAAATACGAAATCCGCTTTCTTTGGTATGATTATCATAAATAAGGGTTAAATAGGTTTGAAAATATTTCGGTTTGATTCTTATTCTTATAAATTTTGTTCGATAATAACTGAGGCATTTTCATTTCATATCTGAAGATTTTGCTTCGAATAGCAGAACAATTAGAAACTTTCACAATAAAAAATTTATTTATCATGCTATAACAGAAATAAAATATTTTAAGAGCTATATAACTTATCTGTACTATATATTATATTTCATGAACAACCGAATAAGCCTTTTTTCTACTTTATTTTTAGGAAACTTTCAGATTCTCTGAAGCACAAAACTCCAAAAATTATAGCACCCGAAGCTCCAATACCAGGTATGGAAAAAATAAATTAATAAAATTTCTCAAATCAAAGTTTTCTATGTGAACTAATTTGCCAAGAAAAATCACTGAATATTTGTTAAAAGATTGCTTTGTGCAATAATAACAACAATTTGTTTATTTAGAAATCATATTCTAATATTCAAGTTTTGTGAACATTCTTGGGCAACGGCAGCCACATGTTCTTCTTTGAAAACTCGGTAAAAATCGTCAGCCTTAGAAACAGGAGTCTGGAATAGCTTGTCCCAAGCACGTTTACATCACAAGAGTATTTATACCATATTCTGTATATAACTGCTGAACTATACGTTGCAAATTCATTAGTATGACTACTGTAACGAGAAAGTGGTGGCGCAGGATTATTCAATATTCTAAATGTATATCATAATATGACAGTGGTTGAAAATGATCTGTTGAACTATTATTTTTGCGGAATAGAGTATACAATTTAAAAATGTATTGCATATATAAAGTCATGTAATTCATTGTGCATATTTTATTTGCTACGATTTTCCGATTCATATATTATACGAAAAAGTTGATGAATTAGTTTGTAAGGTTGGGTACAGAATGAATTTTTCGAAAGCAAAAAAGAGGTTTGATTTTCTTTTCTTGGGAGCATGTGTTGAACATAATCTGTGTCGTGTTTCCGACCATTTGTTTTGTAGAACCTTTGTTTTTATGGTGACATTTTCGTTTCAGATCAAATGTTTTTCACAGATGAGGCATGATTTCGTAGAGATGGTTATCTCCGCGGGTATAATTACGGAACACGGAGCTCTGGAAACAGGTATTTGTTTAGCGAATCGCTTTTGCATCTCGTGAAACTTTGTGTGTCATATAAAAAGGAAGAATTAGCTGTTCTCGTTTGCTGAAACGTGTATGAAAGCTGAGATTTGTGATGCATTTTCTGATAATTCATGCCTGATTGAAAGGACACCACTTCTTATAGCAGGATGATGCGAGGTGTCCTGAAGCAGATTCCTCTGTGAACATGCTGAAGGGATGACATTTTTTATGGCAACAAGATAGCTAAAGAATACAGTCGCCGAGATATCCCTCCCTTTTCGATCCAAACCGTTATTCATGGGACGCTTAAACAGTATCCTTAAACAGTGCATCCATTAAAAAAAATGACACTGCTGCCAAGAAGTGAATAGATATGACTTAGCTTATAATGCTATTGAAACACGTTGAACGACTAGACAAAAGCACTGAGTTAGAGAAACTTCATTTCCAATAAGTACCGAAAGTACAATATGTCTCATATAATGTAAAATAATTTTATCTGCAAAAAGGAGAATTTTAAACTTACCACCCTGCGTAATCCTATTCTGGAGAGAAAATATATGAAATATTCAGTTCAGATGCAATAATGCCATTTGCCATTTCAAAAATCATTTCCACAATGAAGTCATGTGTAGTTTTCCTGTTTCTTACCTGATCCAACAGAACCCTGATTTTACACTCTTATCACTTAATCTCACTTTCTCTTACCAAGATACCATCAAAATCTACACTCGGTATTGTAGTACCAGTATTCTTGAGTATACAGAAAATGACTGTAACATTTCTTCGCCTTGAGCGATCAGTACAGCTAGTGCCATGTAAATTAATCATGTTAATAATTAACAGGAAAACGTACTTTTATTTAGTTGCCGTTTGCGAAAATAATTAATCTGGATCTTCCAAAAATTAGAAGCATAGGTGCCTGCTTATATCACCTGCGCTTTAAACTAACTCTGTGTCGTATTGAATACATATGAATACATATGATTCAACAAAATGTCTTGAATAAGCTTGTACTTTGTCTGCGATTGATTTTATAGTGACCATCTGAAATCGGATTTTTTAAACTTGATTTCTTGGCATGGAAAGATAACAAAAGGTACTTTTATTTATATTTCTTCATTCTGAACAGCATATTTTTATGATAAGTCACACTACACTTTTCTTAAAGAAACTCAAATCAGAGCTCAAAGCAGAAAACCACCACTTTAATTCAAAGATTTAAATCTATAAAACGGAGGAATCACAAATAAAAATTTATTCAATATAATGATAATTATTTGAAACGTTACTATCAAATTTGAGTTGTACTGTTTATTTCTTTAGTGTCGCCATTAGCGGTCCCCTTTACGAATGAAATATGTCAACTGTCAGATGTGACGGGAGGGAAAGGATCCTCACTAGGAAAACTGACAAAGTTAAGCAAGAATCTCCGGACAGTGAGTCACTTTTGCACCTGTTTCTATTCAAAGAAAACTATACACTTCTTTCTGTATTTAATTACAATTACGTTACTGTTTCTAAGTTTGTATATAATTCCAGTTTATCGTGCCTAGTGGAATAGTTGTCACTACTTCAGCTTACAAAAATTTCGTCACCAAAGGAATTCTTGCAAAGATAAAACTTTTGGAAGACGTTGTGTAGTAAGTAAATGTATTTTATGGAGGATTTTCAAATGATCATTTCTGAATTTAAAAATTATTGCTAAGTAACTTTATCTACTATTCCATTCTGATAAAACACTAATTTTAATATTACTGTTACTGTCTAAACATGGTGGAATTACAAATATTGCATGCTACAGTTATTTAGCTTCACAAATCAAGAGGAAAAGATAAATGAATGGGAATTACTTTTCGCTCTCCGTAATTTAGTTGATCAAATAGATTTAGACTCCGCAAATTCGAACTAATTTGTTTTATATTATTAATGTAGTATAGTTTATACCTTTTATTATAACGTATGTTCTATGTAGCATATATTTATACTTTTAATTTGTAATTAAAGTTCATGAATCGCACTGTACGTATCTAAACCAAAACGATTTTGCTTGTTTTGAAGCCGTAATTAAAATGACAAAAAATGTACCGCTTTTAAATTTTTATCGTAAACTTCCAAAACTAGAATAAAATTTATTATTCGTTTTCAGTTGTGTTAAATGTTATCACAAAGGGGTTTTTACAAAGGTAAGACAACTTTCTAAAAATTAAAAAAATTAAAGTCCTTAAAAATGTTTAAGAGAAGAATGACGTATTTTGCAAAGTTCTGAAGTTTTGCAAATTCTGGGGAAGGATGAATCATAAAAAGCAAAAAAAAAAAAAAAAAAAAAAGAGAAAACAGGAAGGCCTTAAACTCGATGAATGTTTTGCAGATTTTGTTTTCTAAAACTAATTTTCCCTTTGTGATGGAAAATTTGTGAAATCTTCCATCCCACTACGTCAGAAGGTGATTATCGAATGACCCTACATAGAACGACCATACATATTATTTACGACCCTACATAGAACGACTATACATATTATTTACGACCCTACATAGAACAACTGACAGAAGTGAATAACAAATAGAACAACAGATACAAATGAAGCTGGCTAATGCGCATAAAATTTTTTTTTAGTTTAATTCCAATATTCTATTACTCAGTTGTTTTTTGTTCTGGGTCTTGAATTGTCTTATTTTTGATATCTCTTTAATTGAAAGCCTGCAAGATTTAAAAATTATCACAAATTCGCGGTTTTTAAACCATTTTAGTTAATTTACGTATCATAATATTAATGCCAATGCTTGACTTTTATATTTTATTTCTTATTCAAAGCAGTGGAAATTCAGCAGAAGATGTCAAAGAAGTATGTCAAAAGTAATTAATCCTCTTTCTTAATAATGTATTTTTAAATTGTACTTATGTAATTATGTTTGCATATGTATACTGTAATGTGCCATTTTATATTTAAAACTTAGTGTCTGCGAAGAAGTTGAAAGAACAGTATTTCCCAAAGGAATACGAGAAGCCATAGAAATATCGCTGAGAAAAACCTTTGGAGGACAATATCAGTCTAAAAAATTTGCCGTTCGATCTTCAGCCACTGGTACTAATATTTTGAATACATTTTAATACATGTCTGCATTTGATTTCGATTTGATGTGAAGCAAGCTTACATTATTTAGGAAACTAATTATAATTATTATTGATGAATCCAGGTGAAGATACTGAACAGATGTCTGCCGCTGGTCAGATGGACACATTATTAGGCATCTCAGGAATGAATGAAGTATGTAATAATCTCGCTGGCATTGATTCAATACCTTCATTAGTTTTTATTTCAAATAGGAAATATATTATACTGAAGATACCTAACACTAAACAAGTATTCAATAACGTGTAGTAACAGTAAGTAATGAATAATATGTAGTATCAGTAAATAACTATTGAATTACGTGTTATATTTCATTCAATTAATAGCCGCATTGCGGTAGGATGTGAATTCTGTTTCGGGGCTAAACCATACCAATGTTTGTTTGATTCGTCTAGTATCCAACGAATGGGATGTATAGTTTCAGTTCTCAAAGTTAAATGATAATAATAATGATGTCTCAAAGTTAAATAAATAAAGTATAATTGTATCCAGTATGCGGGGGGGGGATTAGTGAATGTGTCTGTTCAATTGAAATAAACTTTCCTCTCTGACCTAAAATCATTTTCATGAAAGGAAAAATATTCTCAGAGAGTAATACCATGCATCTTTTACTTGTTCATCAGTAACTAAATATATTGAGACAACAAATATACGAACCTGAAAGAATTTGAAACAGAAATGTGAAAGCTTTATCTAGTACCTCTAGCAAACAGTATCCACTACAGGATCATTTAGCAGATTGTGAAAAGAAAATGCATTTTAAGAGTTTTTTTGTTGATATGAGGTTTATTGATATGGGAGCATACAGTCCATTCTATATCAAACAGAATAACTATAACACGCTGCATTATGTGCTCTTTTTTTTTCAGTTTTTTTTTCTTTTTCTTTTTTTTTTTTTTTTTTTTCAAAATTTATGTGTCTAGATTACGTGATATCATGCACGTAATTGTTATCGAAGATATATACATAGCTAAGTTACTATAACTTAAAATAACAAGACTTAAAATATATAAAAACGATCCTCTGTATGTGATATCATGCATTTAACTACCATCGAAGATGTATGCATAGCTAAGTAGTTATGAATTTAAAATAACAGAATTACCGATATAGTTATAAAGATCCATAGCTTGAATCCAAGCTATGGATTAATGCGCTCTGGATTAATTAAGCTATGAATTAATGCTCCCAGCTTAATGCATTAATAACAGATTACTTTAAATAGTAGATTACATTCATTCAAAAGACCTGGAACACATTACTAGCGATAATTCCAGTAAAAGTATGACATCATATGTATGAGTATCAGTATGAATATCAGAAACCTACAACAGTGACGCAGTTGAAGTACATACACGCAGAGGATTTGCTCTAGCAATCTGTGGATACTCGCCTGTCAGAATCCCTCGGATGTCTATTGCCTGCTCCTTGCTGCAATCTTCCTTGAAACTCCCATTCTTTCTTGTCAGCATCATCTTACGGCTTCGGTTCATGTACGTAACGATAAGTAGGTACATTTGACTTCATGAAATTCGAGGCTATTTTTTTAAACTCGAAATTAATTTATTACTGATCAATTTGTGATGATGACGATTAATACCAGCCGAAAGAGTGAGACTTTTGAGGAAAATGTCGTCAGCCCCATTATTGGGATTGCCCACATTTTCCGCTTAAGTGTTCAGGGGTGTAAAATTCAGAAGACTAATTTTTTTGGTAATTCTCCCTAGAATTTCGCGTTTATAAATCGACCGTAGAAGGACATTGCTTTCTTGCTGTATCAATACACAGGACTGCGTGGCAGTAGTATTAGGCGAAGTTAAATCATTTAAGCTGTGAAATTAGCTTCTCCATTTCATGTTGATTACTGGGATCTCTTTTACGCTGCTTATTGGCAAAGTAGCCCTATGAAAGTCGTTTCAATATTCTGAGTAACTTACTTTAAACTGAGACTGTAATAATTTGAAAATATTACTTTTTATACTATCATGTAATTATCGAAAAAGGAAATAAGAAAAATCGCCACTGTCCAACTCGGATTCGAAATCCAGAACTCCCGACTGCTAGTTGGACTTGCTTCCAACTGCACCAGAAAGGCATCCGGTAAGAAAGGAGAAAATACTTTAAAGTATTTCAACACTTACAGGACGACGGGAGAGGCGGAGGTCTTTGAAACTTTTTTGAAGCCAAGAAACTGAAGAAATGCATAATACCTTAAATTAACCTGCAGACCGCTACCCGGACGTGCTTCTAGTTACACAGGAAATAAAAAATTTCTTGTGAACTCAACACTAAAACATTTAACAAAATAGGCTTCCAATATTTCGGGAAAGAAATAGGTGTCACAATACGTTTTTGCTGTCATCCGGCTTCATGAAGTTTGGAAGCATCTCCATTCTACCAAATGTGCTCTTAATTTGCTTTCTTGACAGCCTTATATTGTCTGTGTGACTCTGCAAATTTTTCTCCAGCTTTACACCCATTGCTAATATTATATGCGTCTGCTCGTTACGAAGTGTTATATATTTTTCAACGTCTAAATCTCATTGAGTTTATGGTTTATCGCATTAGAAAAACTAAATTTCTCTAAAATAGAACTTTTTTTTTTAGATTTTGCAAGCCGTAAAGAAGTGCTGGGCTTCCCAATTTGGATTCGTTGCAATACAGTATAAAAGGTCTGCATTTATTTTGAAATTCTAAATTTTTTTTTAAGTGTAGTTGTTTTTTATGGAACTACACTTTATAGTATGTATGTATATAAATAAATTGTGTTTAAAAAGGTACAGACTTTTGTTTAATTATTTTGTTACAAAAGAGACTATTAGTTAAACAAATTTCTAAGTATATATTCTAATCACAACATTTCTTTATATTTATAAATGGTTTGTTTTTTCATCGTTCACTTTGAAAATTTTAGATAGCTTATATTTTTTTTTGGGGGGGGGAGGAGGAGAGGTCCCTTTTTGGTTATTTGGTTCTTTTCTATTTATTCGATTTTTTTCGTTATGCAGTTAGGCCTAAATTTTTAAAAAAAGTCCTTATTTAATAATTTTTACTTTTTATATTTATTTTATGAGAAAGTTGGTATTAGAACCGTTGCTTCCTTTGTTGTTATTGCTCTACACCGACGACCCTAATCGTTATGACCATCCCCGCATTTTTTAATGAACTCGTCTGGATGATGCGAAGGGCGCATGAATAAGTAGGTATGCTATTTAACTGCTGCTGGAGAAGGTAAGGAGTCACTTTGCATTTATTTTTGCGATTGATGGGAAAGGCTGCTGCTCTAAGTGAATACGAGAATGCAGAGTGCAATGGCTAGAAGACTCAGAACGAGTATATCCTATAATACACGATTGGTAGGTTGTTAACGATCTGCCGTTGTTAGTATTTATGTGAACTGGGTAAATGACGGTGAAACCAACATTAGACGCCAAGCTGTTGGACGTCCGAGCGTCATCAATAAAAAAGGACGTCGGAGACTGTCCCACTTGGTACAAAAAAAAAAAAAAAAAAAAAAAAAAAAATCAGCGCAAGGCAGTGTGTGAGTTGGCAATCCAATACACTGCTAGTCCAACTGCAAGTGTTTCGGAACATACAGTTCAGCGGACACTGTCGGACTGCGCAGCATACGTCCCACTCGTGTGCCCCTGTTGACCAAGTGTCATTGTCGACTACGTCTACAGTGGGCCGGAAACATCGAAATACGACCATGGGTAAGTAGCAGACTGTTGCTTGGTCGGATGAATTATGATTTTTCATTCGTCACGTCGATGATCGTGTCAGGGTGCGCCATCTACAAGCGAACAATTGTTCTACCCTGTACAGCAGATCATACACAGGCTGGTTGTGGCGGTATTAGACTTTGGGGGACGTTCTGAAGGGCGGCTGTGGGACCTTTAGTTGTGGTAGAACAGACTGTGAAAGCTGTGGACTATATGAACATAACTGAGCATAATTGGACATACATGAACTGATCAGTTGCACCCTTACATGGTGTCTGTCTTCCCAACTGGAAATGGAATCTTTCCGCAGGCCAACGCTCGATGTCACAAGGCTCGAATCGTGCTGGAGTGGTTCGAAGAACGATGGTGTTCTGTCTACCTAAATCTTTGGATCTTAGCTCGATAGATCACATTTGTGATGCTAAGGAGCTTTAGCTCAAAGCTCAAAACACCACCATGTCGGAGTATCTCGGCTTTGCTTGACTGTTGCTTAGACATTTGATACAACCTGTCCCCAGTCATCTACCAAGAGCTTGTAGCATAAATGCCAATGCGAGTTGCAGCTGTTTTGAAGGCCAAAGGTCCCAAAACGCGTTATTGATCAGGTGGTCATAATGTTTTGGCTCTTCAGTGTATTTCATTTCATCATTTATGTGTTGCATTTCTGCAAAAGGCACGAAACACGTTTAATTCTTATTGAAATGGTCTCTTTGAAATTTCCTTAGAAATACGGGGAATTTTTCTGTTAAATCAACGTCAGTTTAAGATTAAATCAGCTTTATTGTTTTGTATTATGGACAGAAATTCGCTTAACTTTACTAGAATAAAGCTAACGTATAAGCGCTTAACATTTATCAAAAACATCGATTTTGAGATATTTTTACCAGTCATTCTATCTTATCATTCAATTTTTAATGTAGTTATGTGTAAATTAACCAATATTAGAGAAGTCCCAAGTATGTTTATGAGGCGCATTATGGTTGAAACAGATCAAAAGTAAAAGAAAATTATTACGTACTTTTTGATTTTTTGCTTTATGTTTCTTTGTGAAATACTTTGTATTTAATGTATTATTCATACACTTTTGGTGCTGCGTTACCTAGGTCGTTTCCAGCTTGTCGTATAAATGACGAATTCCTAATAAAAATTTATTTATTGTTTACCTAAAATTTTCTAGCTTTTGGCATTACTTGGCTTGCCTCCCAATACGTTTCGGTTATAGAACCGAAATCATTAAATGTAAAGCATATATTTGAATGTTCTTTGTTTACGGGTTGTCCAGAATCACAAACAGGAATCACCCTGGAGAAATACTGAGATTACGTAAGACAGTTGAGAGTTAAGAAAATCATGTCCAATTAAAAATCGGGAAAACATAATTATAACTAAGCCATAACTATAGTCCGAGGAGAATCCAGAGTATTATATCCCTGGCCCAGTGAACTTCGCAAAACCTTCCCGTAGTTTTGCTCGTAAATTAATTAACATCAAATCTTGCTAAATTTCACATTAACCAATCTCATAACAGGATGATTTATATTAACAGTCATTAAATATCTAGGTTCTATATATCTAGGTTTGGAAGCACTTGTTCCTTTCTTCGCAGTAAATCTGCACTCTTACATTACATAATATAAATATTTATTTATTTTCATTTATATCTTTAGTATTATGGCATTCATTTTGCCGCAGAATATCAGGTTGCTAATATGTTGCATTTATATTTTCCATTTATTTATGAATAGGCGTTATGGTCAGTGTTTGAATTCCCCCATGGCTGTGGTCATTCAGGAGATGGTGCCTTGTGATGTTGCTGGTGTGCTATTTACCTGCGATCCTGTGACAGGAAATCCAACAGTCATGACTATAACTGCCAACTATGGTTTAGGAGAGGTATTCTTTATAAGAAATATATTACATCGATATTTTTAGGTTAAAAATTAATGTTCAGAATTATACTAGTCTGTTCACATTATTCATTGTATCAAAATTATGGCATATAAGTCTTTGAGTTTCCTTACGACTTTAAAGTATTCATTCTAATACTTACGGTCTGTAAAAAATGAAAAAAATCATTGCTTGGTAATTATGCCCGGTAACGTTATGGTTTATGGAAATAAGTTTAGCAAGCATTTCTACACGGCAAGCAACCATTTTCATAATTGATGCCGTTTGTAAAAGGTGAAACCACAAATCATCAAACAAACAGCTTTGATTTGGTTGCTGTTCTTAAGATTCGTTCTCAGAAGTTCTGAATTTAAGTAATTAATAAACATGAAGAAAAAAAGTGTTAATTCTCTCTTGAGTATCTTCTCCAGCTTGCACCTAAAATACCTTTAAGAATGCTTTGTTCTCATGCATATAAAGCCTGATAAATAGTGAAACTGTTGCAATTTTTTAGACTAGAAAAGAGAGTATATGAACAGTCCATTTTGCCTTACAGAACCCTTCTACTGAGAATATGAAAATTCTTTTCGTTAAATTCTATTGAAAATGGTTATGAAGAAATTGTGGGAAGGGGGATTATACGCTTAATATTCTAGAACATTTTACGTTAATTACCCAACTATTGCGATTTAAATGTTTACTCTAACTTCCCCTCTCCGTACCCCTCACAAGGATGCAAATTAGTTTAAAACGTATTTAAGTCGAGGGTTTTGAGTGCTTTAGATTTCAAGCTTTTAGTAGCTATACCTGCAGTTTATGTTCTATCGCACACTTTTGCCAGTGAATATTTCAGCTTTCGCCATTCTGCTAGCCGACGTTAAAATGCATCATTAAACTAAATGTTAAAATACATTATTAAAAGGACTACTTAAGCTAGTAAGCTAGTAGTACTAGCTTAAGTAGTTCGTTTGAGAAGTCTTCGACTACGATACCTTGAATTCGAATTTCAATTTATGTTTATTTTAAATACTGGCAAATGGCGGTGTTGACTGTAAGCACGAGTTGTGAATTCTATTTAAATTCATAATTAAATAAAAAGGTCATTTAAACCTTCTTATGATTATTTGTTATGATATTTCAAACGTAGCGATTTAGTCTAATAGGGTCAGAATTAAATAAAATTCTGCACGATAAGGATACTGTGAAATCCATATTTAAAGATATAAAGTGTACACATTCATTTCCATTGCTCTGTCTTCTATATGATGGGTTTGGGTTCGAGTCTCTACGAAGATATGATTGGTTTTAATGTGTACAGTATTTAAGGTGCAGGGTCACTTAAAAATCGATCTAACCAAAAGTTCCCTCTAAAGAGGTTTCTCAAAAACAGAGGGGTAAGAAAAGAAATGTTTGGCTTTCGTTCTCCAGGGTACACTCGATGAAAACTGGTATGGAATTGCGCAATGTGTTACTACTATCTATAAATTGGCCATGATCTTAGCCAACACGGGAACTTTCTTCTTCACGCCTATGGACAATTCGTAGGCCTTATTTAAGGCCAACAACACAAGTAACCATGCATAAATAAATAATGATAGTGCTTATATCTTTACCAAAGAAAATCTGTACTTCTTGGACAGCAATACAAGTTAATTGTGCAAAATATGAAACAGGCTATGTATTTGCTTAAATTTAGTGTATTACAAAACAGGAAATGACTTAAAAATGGTATCCTTAAGACTTTTCATCAATTGGCTGCCTATTCCCAATGGCAGCATAAATTTCATTGCCGATGAAATATTCTTTTTGAACAGACTGCGAGTTTCATCATTCAAAATGGTTTTACACATGAAAGAATAAATTACAAAAAGCAAAAGATGCAAATATATAAATATTCTTTGAATCAAAATGATTTTATGAAGATTTTCAAATACCATTTTTTTCAGAGTGTCGTGTCAGGATCAGAAGAGCCAGATACAATTGAACTACAAAGGGATCCCGAAGATCAACTTACTCTAAAGAGTACAACAATCGGAGCGAAAAGCAGGAAGATCATTGCGAAAGGTTATAATGCATTTCATTACACTTTTTCTTGACTTTTTTCTTGAATACTTATTTAAAAGAAGCTGATGTTGACACCACTCGATTTCATTGTAAGGTCTAATAAACTAGACACATTTTTTTTCTGCACTTCATTAAAACTTATTTCCTCGAATTATTCTAACCGATCCTTCAAGGCAAGTTGAAAGTGATATCAAAAATTGCAAATTTTGAGATTAAATATCCCGGTCAATTTTTGTCGTAGCAAAGTCAAACTTCTTAGAATTTTATTTAATCATCATGAAATAAAACTTTCCCAAATATAAATATGGGAACCGGAAATAATCATTCAAAATTAGATTTCATTATTCGTCTAAAATTAACATTTTTGAAATTTGATATTGACAAAATACGAATTTTTTCGTCATTTTAAGTTCTTCTTTAATTGGAAACATATAACTGCTACCAATGATTGCGAAAATAAAGGCTGGGTAAGGGGCTGGTTATATATAGAGAGAAAGAGATAGAAGATATTATCACAAATGTTTTTAAAACAAATTGATCCCAATATTATTTCCGCGCAAAATGCTGCTGAAAACTATACTATATATAGCAATTTGATTCTGGCGATTTCAATAAAATCGAAGATGCACAACTAGATGTTATAGCTGACCCATATACAAGATTTCAACGTTCTACGGCTAATTGTTTTTGAGTTATGCAAGCTACATATATGCATACGTACACTGCGGAAGAAAAAGGGGGGCAGTTTTAAATCTTTCGTTCTACTGGGCCGATTGACGAAATTCTACTTGCGTTTTTCATGTCTCGAAAGCGCGACTTCTTTTTATCCCTCTGATTTCTCTTTTAGTGAGTGTTGCTTACATTACTCATGTCCTTACGTATTGGGGATCTTACGGTATTAAATGTGTTGATTTGGAAAGCTTTTGTACAAAGTTATATTGAAAAAACCGTCTCGTCCTTAATTTTTGCACACCAGTGTATTTTTCCTATTCGATAGTCCAATGACTTCTGCATGTCTTCATTTCTTTATTGATATTAATTGCTGCAAGGTATTATTTTTCACATTTCACTTCTTATAATGATATGATCTTTTTTAAATAATGAGTAGAAAGAAAAGAAATAAGAATTCATTTAAAATTTGCGCAAGGAAAAAAACATAACATGTGCAGATCTTTTACTTAAAATACATGACTTTTAAGCCAACGCTACATTGTTGAAAACTTTCATTTTCCAGTCATCCGTCTAATCAAAATTTTTAAACCACAGTGCATCAGATCCATAAATGGAAAGAGTCTTTATCAAATTGACTACTAATAATTTTTATAGCTTTTATTCCCTTTCCTCTGAGAGACAAAGAAAAAGCTTTTCCTAGCAATCATCACGCTTCAATCAATTAAACACCTTCAGCTTCCAAAGTGTTAACCGCGACAACAACAATTCGATAAATGTTGGTCAGAGTTCCAACAACGCTGCAGTGACCAGTAGATTTCATTCTTACTTGTGATAGCTTTTATATTAAGTTTCTTTATTTATTTACTACTACACTACACAAAATAATTTGCTACATAATAATGTCTTTCACTTTATTTTAACGTGTTCTGTAATGTGTCGTTTGGGGTATTTTTCGTCTTTTAAACTTTTTATTGATGTAATTGTTGTTGTGTATTTTGTTTACCTTATTATAATGATCATAGTACTCTTTTTTTTATCTCAGATGTAGAAGGTATTACATTGGAAGAAGTTCCGGAAAATGAGAAAGGAAATTGTTGTTTATCAGTAGAAATGATAATGCGACTGGGCCAGCTTGGGATTGAAGTATGAAAAATTTCCTTATGACTTGCATTGTTCAGTTTTTTCCATTTGATATTTCTTAAAATGAAGTGCATGATCTTCTCGTTATTTAAATAACAATGATTTTTTTTTAGGTTGAAAACTATTATCGCTCCCACAGGGACATTGAATGGGGCTTCTGGAACAACAACCTTTACCTCTTTCAGGTGAACAGAATTTTCTGTTTGAAATTAATTGAACGCAAATACTTTTCATCAATGAAATTAAAACTTTCCGAAGAAATAATCCACATAGTAATTGTAAAGAGAATGGTATTGCTGCATTGGTATATAAATTTGCTAATTAAACTATACAGATTTGCTAAGAAAACTAATGTCCTTTGTACTCCTTTTTTATTTAGTTAATGCATAAATATGCATTTACTGTTTTGCAAAATGCATTCATCTGCTCCTTTAATGAGGTATTCTCCCGCCTTCTTAGCATGCCTTCGTAGCGTAGTGGTCTGCACCCTGGGCGCGTATTCCAGAGATCCGTGGTTCCATTCGCGGCGAGGGCGTTGCTTGTTTCTCATCTCTCCTACTTCCAATTAACCTAATGTCTCTACAACTTGATGCCTCTTATTTCATTCAGAATAAACGTACAAAATACCTTCAGTTTCTTCTGCATATTCGTATCCTCCTGACCAACTGAATGCTGTCATTCTAATAAGCTCTCTTCGATAATGTGTTAGTTAACAAAATAAATGTCTCCAAATTAAATAAAATACAAATTAAACCAGCTTAAAATTGTAAAAAAAAAGGAGTTAATTAAGTAGAAAAAAGAATACAAAAATAAAAAACCAACAAATACAAATATTTACATAAATTTACAACAGCCTAGTTTCAAGAACAGTCGCTTAATTTAATTAATTGTACTAGCAGAAGGTCCAGTTATAACGCTAAGACATAATGCAGTTCCGACTCTATAAAAGAAGTTATTATTTGCTAGTTTGTAGAATCTATGCAAGTATAAGTAGGTTTCTTTCCTTAATTTTAATATCTAATAATAATAAGATAGAAATTAATGTGCAGAGCTTAAGACCCCGTCCGAATAAAAATTAAGTGTTTAGTTTCTGTGTAGCTGGAATAAGTTGATAAAGGTCAATTAAGTTGATAAAGGTCAATTAAGTTGAATGATAAAGGTTAAATTAAATAAATAAATAAAGGATAATCGTATATAACTAATTGATAAATGTCGTATCAAAATAAATAAACAAAAAAATAATTTTACAACTAAATTTTATCAAAAAACTGTGTTTTGCCTTTACTTACTGAAATACACTTTTTAGTTTCATAATCTTTGTTAAAATAATAATAATATTATTATCAAAGGGAGAAATACAATTTAACAACATTCGGATAATTAAGAAAATCGGATTTTGCTAATATTTGAATGGATTGCATTTGGATGGACTGTATTTGGATGGACTGCATATTTGGATGGACTGTATTTGGATGAACTGTATTTTGTATGGGATTTATGAAACTTTTCTATATTATTAATTGCTTCTTGTGTTACCCATCCTGTATGTGCTTTGCCTACCAAAAATTTCGTACAAGTATTCATCTGTTTACCATTTCAAAAGCTTATAAATTTCAATTATTTTCAGTCCCGTCCAGTTACTAGTGGCACAAATGAAACAATATTCGAAATAGAGCATGAACTGGATGGTCCTCTTAGACTAGAAAATGATTATTTAACAGTCTCACACATAGCGTAAGTATTAACACTGCTTGATTGTTAACGTGCATTTATATATCGCATTATGTGAGACATCATTTTACGAAGCAGGTAATTTGGGTGTTTTTTTCGTGATGTTATTTTGCGATAACGAACTTATCTCGTAGAAAATGGAATAACAAGACATATGTCTGAAACAAGAACTGAAACTAAAAATGCATTATAAACGTAGAGCAAAATCGTGTCAAAAATAACAAATACAAAACTAGTTGAATTAATACCGCACAGAATAATCCATATTTTAAATCATTGCGTTGTAAAAGAGTATTAGAAAATCTTTACAAAAGTACAAATTTTCTGAGTTTTACTTGTTAGCATATTAGATACCCGTTTACTTTTGTGAGATTACTTTGTGCTCAGATATATATAATTATGCTGTTTTTATTCAACTTGCACTCTATTATTTTAGGAAATGTATTTATCCATAAACAACTTAAAAATTAGAAGTCCAAAAAAGGTTAAAAAATACTTGTACTATATTTCTATAATTCTAGACTAAATGAGCGGACTAAAGAGAACAACACTAACAGCTTTATTAAAGGTAATTACTTTATTCAGCACTATGTTTCCTGAGCCGAAACTACTGCACATTATAGAAAGTATAGAGTATATGAGAGTTTCTTTCTGTCTACAATAGGTGGAGCTGTATTCTAACTTAATAACGTAATTTGATCCTTTCTAGGAAAGACATCTAGATCAGATTTCTTCTGTGAGATAATATGTATTCATTTTAAACATATTTCAAATGTCTCTATATGATTTTGATTTTAATAGCATGTACCTAACTTTATTGGATAAGATTTGTAAAATGTTTTTAAATTTGTATCTCTTGATATTAGTGGTTACCTGTCAACTTAAATGTTGAAATATTAAGTATTTTTTTATCTTTTCTAATTTGGGTAAACTTTTTTAAAGCTTGGAATTCGTTTTTCGTTAAGTAAAGAACTTGAAAGAATGTACCTTCTTTCTAAATGCAATTTGAAATATGCAAATTTTTGTCTGCATAATTCTTCAAAATATTTTTGATTTCTATATGTCAGTTTGTAAAATGTTTGATGGTATGTGTAGCTTGGTGTATGCTTTTGTAATTATATTAAAATTTTAATCTGGTTTCGTTTTTGTCTCGTCATTAGGGAGGTAATGCCAGGAGCAACTACGCCTTTAGGAATGGAGACCTTTTTCAAGATATTTGATATTGGATTTCTGGTTAGTGTACTATTGTTAGAATTTTATTATCTAAGTTTTTCGATGATAATGTTATGTGTTATAGCTCTTCAAGATCTCTTTATATAACCAGGCCTCATGAAAAAACAAAAATCTTTATTTTAGCTTGAGCCTATAGCAGTATTTCTGGATAAGAAAAATGACTAGATAATTTTATAACTGCAATAAGAAAAACACCTAAAACAAGCAAAAGACAGCAAATTTCCCGTAACATAAGGCGAATGTCGCAGATTTCAAAATCGCCCAAAGAGCAAATGCCAAATAAATGAACAACAAATTTCAATCACAGATTAAGTCTCAATTCCGGCTGATTTAACAGTTCTTCCCAGGCTACTTGCACTACTTCAAAAATGGGAAAAGGCACTATCAAAATATATTGTTCTGTTCTACTTTTTAAAATCCAGGCTTCTTATAAAATATGAGAATATTTACACTACTTACAAGTAGGTTCCTCATTAGTTCTTTACCATAGTCGTTGCTTTTCTAATCATTTTTCCGAGCGTTTTTGATTTTATACTTGTAGAAAATAAAGTATGGAAATAAATGAAGAAGAAATCATTTGCCTGTATGAGAGTTATGCTGTTACTGAAGTATGTTTGGTAACGCACTCAGAAATCTAATATAAATTTACAGAGTTTAACCAAATTTTTTTGTTGTGTCAGCATATCATAGCATTTTCTGTTAAAACAGAAAATTTAAAATAAAATAAAATAAAATAAAAGTTTAAACAGAAAAAATATAGCATTTCTTTTTAAAATGGTAAAAAAAAACAATAGTAGCATAGAATTTCTGTTAAAACGGAAAATGCTATATATATATAAACGGCTTTGATAAGCTAGAAAAAAATATTATGCAACTATTATATCATCAGAGGCTTGATAAGCCAGAAATATGCCTTATTTACTCGCATATCTCTCACCTTTCATTTTTTTAATTTATTTTCTTCTCCAAAACTCGAGAGGGGAAAACTATGCGAATGATTTTGAAGGACGTAGTTACAGTAAGAAAATACAAAATAAACTGTAATCATGCATAAACTACCTTTAACTATTACAATATTATTTATTTGAAAGGAGCCCATATTCCATTAAGAATATATAGCAATATTGAAAACTGTATAAAACGATAGCTTCATTTCTTTTCTTCGTCCTTGAATCCGCCTGCTCGTACTGTTGTATACTGCTATACCGCACTCCTCAAATCATTTAATGTTGCTGGAATTGCTATATGTGTTTTAAGCTCTAGAGCTTACAGATAGTCACCATTATCATCGTTCAGTCTGTCTTCACACATGCCTTGATCTTCAGAGTGATCAAAGGTATTAGTTATTTCAGTTTTCTGTAATCTTTTAACTGTTATTGCTTCGTTAGTCACAGCCCATTAACTCAAAATCCACAAACGAATAAATCAGTTAGTAGGACGATAATTATCACTACTCAGACGAATCATTTTAATATCTGGGAACTTCCTTGTTCTAAGGAAAGCGAAAATTACGCAATTTTAAAAATTTTTATAAACTTGAGCTCAAAACCTAGAGAGGAAAATACGCAAAGGGAAAAACATATGAGTAAATATGGCAGTATTAAATATGTTGACTAACTTATTTCGGCGCGAAATTTGATGCAAAGATCCATTTAACAATTTAAGTTTCTAGAATTTTTAAAATTTAGTTGATTTCAATTTCGTGGGACTGATGTCTGAGAATTATTAAATCCTGTAACTAAACCTTTTTAATGATTTATTAATTTAATAGTGCGTTCCTTCGTAATATAAGTGGTTAACACTAGCAACTGAAAGTTTCCCGGATGGAGTCGGGTCAGGGTTTCTATTTCTGAAATACCCAATGTTATCAACAGTAGCTACGAACTGAAATGCGGGAAACGGTAATTCGAATAATCGCTACCAGAATCACCGCCACTGCAATTGGGTCTCGTGACTCTTCACATTTGCCTTTTAAGTGGGGAAGAATGTAAGAAATTATTGCACTTTCCTGTGCATAGCCTCGCGGTGTCACTAAGTAATCATTGGATAAACATTCATTAAATTATTATTTAGCTAGAAAGTGGAAGATTAAGGTTCCTGTGACAACACAGTTTTTTTCTTCCATTTCCTGACACCAAGAAACTTAATACTCTCCACATCTTGTGTCATTAATCTATTATAGTCGGAGGATTGGGAGCCACACAGACATCATTCAGTCTTTAGTGCATTTACATAAAGACATATTTTTAGCGCCTTCAGCGATTTTTGAGTGCAGTATTAACTTTCTCTTTGTAGCTAGAGTATTTTAAAGTTTAAAAAAAAAGGGGGGAACGAACATACCATCTTTTAAACACTAGAAGAAGTGAGGTTCAAAATATCAATGAGGTTTAATATCAATGAGGTTTAAGATTATCAATGAGGTTTAAGTTAAATTTGTGACTAGTAGCACTGTATCTGTATCAATATTATGTCCGCTTTTCAAATGTTGCCACCTAATACTACTTAATGTATTATTTAAAAAAATAATATAGCGAATTTAAAAAAATGGCAATACAAATAAAATGATATTACCGCCAAATGTCTGTTAGTAGGATAAAAAATAAAAGAATTTTGCCATCAAATGTTATCGCCATGAATTATTTTTAAAGAAATAAAATAAAGAATATAAAAAAATGCATGAAAGCATTTAACACTTTATCCGGAATTCTAAAGATATCCCATATAAAATCTTTTCATGCTAGCTGGATTTCTTAAAAGCATTACTTTTTTTTTTTTTTTTTTTTTTTTGTAGTAAGTATTTTAGGCAGTTGGCCACGCCTAAAATACCTACTGCAAAAAAAAAAAAAAAAAAAAAAAAAGTCTAGTTATTTGAAAAGTGAATCAAACAAAAAAAGTTATTCCAAGTAAAAGTGGTTTGAGAATGTTAGCCTTTTGGGGCTAAAAATGTATGACAATACTTAGTACTATATCAGGAATTCTAAAGATATTTTTAAAAAATTGTGATTTTGCTGCTGAATTTCATTTTGCTTAAATGCGATGAAAGTAATGTTTAGTAATGACGTCAAAAGGACAAAAATAAACTTTCTGTCATCAGGAGGAAGAACAAGAACAGATATATAAACTGCGAGCTCAGGGGAGGCATAAAAAAATTTAGCAAACTTACGGTGTAACGTTAAAATCTGTCTCCTTTCAGATTTTGTTTCTTTCTTATATAAACTGCGAGCTCAGCGAGGACATAAATAAACCTTAACAAACCTTATGGTGCGACGTAAAAATTTCAGATTTTCTTTCTTTCTTTTCTTCTTTCTTCTTTTTTAATACATTACAGCCATACCCTTATTATATTAGAACTGTTCTGCGTTCTGTTAAGCAAATCATCGCAAAAATTTGTAACATTGCTACAATTAAGGTTCACTTCGATAAATTGCTTCATTTATTAGTGGTATAGAAGTGTTCCAAAGCACCATGACTTAATTTGTGTCACTTTTGTGTTTTCAGGAAGAACAAACAGAGTGGCTGTTTCCTTCTGGGTGCCCGTATTTCCGTTGCTCTTGGGAGACTTTCTATAATCACTTCATGTTTAGAATGACAGATGTAAGATTAAATTTTATTTGTATGTTATCACTCTTTCTTACAACAGATCTTTTTCTACTAAGTAATCATTGGATAAACAGCATGGATTCATTAAATTATTATTTTACAGTAACATGTATATATGCGCAAGGTTAAGAATGAATCAGTTTCAAGGTTTGAATCCTGACGAGGACATTGCGCATTTTTCACGTCTACTGTTCCAATGAAAAACCTAATGACTCTATAAAGAGACCTTCAAACATTTAATCAGGCAAAAAATATTACAAGCAAAATTCATAGAGTTAATAGCTAAATTTGCACAAGTTTTCGACAGCCCGCAGAAGCGGCGGTTCTAATGCTCAGGAAAGTATTAAATATACTTTCTTCTCATTGTTATTGACTACACTCGTTCGCCATATACAAGTTTCCGTTTGCATATTATGTGCGTCTTTCATTTTATATAAATTACCTCAATGTTCAAACTCAGATGCATGTTCTGAAATCAGCTGACGCATCAGAATTATTTTTTTAAAAAATAAAAACATTTTTATTACTAAAATAAAAATATTTTGAATTTCGCTTACTACGTATCTTTCGAAACGTACCTATACAATAATAATAATAATAATATCTAAAAGGGAAAAAAACTTCAAAAACTTATGTTTATTTTCTGTCTGAAATCTAAAGATTGGTAACTGCAAGACATTTTTGTCAGTTACACTTCATAATATTGAGAGCTAAATATTAAATTTTCAGACTGAAATTTACTTAAAATAGTTCGAACAAATTTTATTAATTATTAAATAATAACTTACTTTAATTTAAACTGAAAGAAATTGTGAAAACTTACTTAAATTTTCAAATAAAAGTTTACAAGTATATAACCAAACTTGAGAATAAGTAATGACAATTTAGTCATTTCCTCTTATTTATTAATTTCTTTCCGACGCATAAATGCTTGTATGTAAACAAATATAAATTTATTTTATTTCTTATTACAGCTTGACACTTAAACGCGCTTCGCTTTTGATAAAATTTGTAGCCTTGGACAGAAATTGCTAGAAACTACCTTCATCACGGGCTGTAGATGCTCAACCGTCCGTCTTTTTTTTTTTTTTTTTTTTTTTTTTTCCCTCCCTTATTAATTTTTAATTGTGGGAAAAGAGCTGTTCGCGTGCAAATATATTCTCAAACAAAACGATTGTTCTTAGTGCAAAATTTCGTAACTGAAATTGAGTATATTTTTTGGTAAGTACGAATAAAAGTTAATCAAATCTGTGTCTTCAAAATCTTTGAATAAAATTTATATCATATTTTCAACTAGTTAGCTCCATTTATAGATTTTATGATGCATTATTTACGTTAATTTTTAATGGTAATACAAATAATGTAAATTTGGACTTCAAAAAACAAAACCTTGAAATCTTTGTAGTATTATATTTTCAACAAATTCATAATTGAAATGTCTTCGCTAGCCGCATAAAATTGCTTCGGGGGGTCGTATGCGACCCAATTCTGTTCTCTGATATTCATTCTATTCTCTGATATTCAGGTTTTCCGTGGGCAACATTCGGATAACATCGATTACTTCTCTCAAGCAACTATGATAGCATTTTTCGGCAGAATACTCAGCGATGAAGAATTATTTCAAGTGTGCAGAGACCGGTTCAGAGACTTCAAAAAAGAAGCTTCTCTGACTGAAATGGCGAAAGTAAGCAAAATGATCATGACATTCTTATAAATAACACAAATATTTCTATTGAAATAAATGTGCTTAGATAATTTTTCTCTACAAATTGCTGCATACGGATTTTTTCTAAATCTTCCCATTCCCCCTCCCCTCAGCTAACTAGACGAAACATTACAAAAAACATAGCTATTTTTATTTAGTATTGCGTGCATATATGAAATTTACTGTAAACTTTTCCTAAATATTTATAGCAGAAGCAGAAAAGGGCTTTTTAAGGTGCATGCATCGTAGGTATGGCAAAATACAAGTTGCGTTTAATCAAGAACTTTTGTCAAAAAAAGGTGTTTTAATGAGGTCGCTGATAATATTGCCTATGCTTCCTTTAAAAATGTGGAGTAACTTTTGCATCATGGCATTTAGAGACCAATAATTATGTTGGATGAGTAACACTTATATAGGATTGACACAGAATAGGACGAAAACTGCAGAGATTCGACAAAGTCATAGGTTTGGCTCCGTCAGATTGAAACCGGCATCAATGTGAGACCGATATCAGTCGAAATCGGTTTTTGAGTTGCTGTGTCGAGCCTATAACGGCGAAGGGATTGTCCGTTCTGCACTATATTCCCATACCGCATTACGTGAGAAATCAGTGAATGTGTCGTATCGTTTAAAAGAGACGTACAAATTGAAATCTCGGGCAGTGGTTGTATTTTGTGAGCAAGAAACTTACTCTCATTTGAGAGTCATCGTCAGTTGCTTTAAGTGTGTGACGATAAAGTAATTTAGTGCGAGGAGATCGCAAGATGACATGCAATGTTTAAAAATGGATGTACGGATATACATACTGAGGACGATTTTCTGCAAATAAGAAGGTCAGTTTGACAATAAGAAAGAATGTTGAAGGTGTTGTTAAAAATGATTCATAAAAATTTGCCAATATAGGTGTCTTACATCAACGCAGTGTCTGAAGTTTCTGAAAGTGTGACAAAGTGTTTGGTTTCTTGGTAACTTAAACTAAAACACCATGCAGATGCAAAGCAAATGCGAGGAATACAGTCTGAAAAGAACTGTAAAATCTTAAGAAGGTTAAATAATTTTTTTATTAAATCAGAAGCGGAACAAAAATGCAGGTCTCAAGTTTGACAAAATCAACCAATCACTTTTGGCGATGTAACTTAAAGTAACAAGTTCAGGTAGAAGCTAGGCTAGCACCTCCGTTGTACCACAGGTAATTGAGGTATTGCTGAACCTAGCTAACTGTTAAGCTTTCCACCCCCAATATTGAGGGAGGACACACCAGGGAGTCAGTTTTGAGATTTAAAACTAAGTGTAGTAGCCAAAAGCTACACAATTGATTTAAATCGAAGTTGGCTCAAACTTCTCACCGGCACAAGAATTTAAATTTCGTGAAATACAATATAATGCAAAGCCGAGGAATACAATCTTATTTGAGCTAACAAGAAACTTTGTGTTCTCGAGAGGCAAAAACACGCTTTTTTTTACAATCCGAAAATCTCACTTTTTATACTCTCAAAAGGGAAACGGAAAGGGGAAGTGATAGTAAAAATCTAATTTATAATAACTGATTAGATTAACATAATAGAACCTTACGTTGTATGTATATATGATAAAATTGAGAAAGCAATTTGTACCTTTAAATATGGTCAGCTTAATTAGAAGATAACCCGTTCGATCACCTAGAAATTCTTTTTGAATTATAACAAAAATAATAATAGCGAAATAATAAAAGCTGGCACTTTTTAAATAAAGAATTAATATTATTGTGAACTTTGGGCTCGTGAGTATTTCTGAATACGTGGGTTTTCTTTAATCTCAGTTTTGCATTGTAATTACTTAAGCATTAAGGTAAATTTGTTCTATTTTCTCAGAGCCAAAGAAATTTTATTGCCAATATATCCACGATCTCAATCAGCTGTGATCTTATTTATAAAAATTTTGAAAAACAAATAATTTTGTTAATTTGAATGATAATTAGAGAGACAGTCGATAAAGAATTGAGATATCATTGTCAACTCAGCGATCTTCAGTTACTGTGATTCTATTTGTAACAGATCTTATACAACAGAAAATCATTCTCGCTGCTGACCTGAATGATCATTTATAAGATCAATAAACATCCTGCTTTCTCAAAAATCGACAAAAAGAAAGATGATGGGACGGTTTTTAGCACTATCTCACGTATTTCTCTTTTATGGAAGATACTGTTAAAAATGTGTTGTTCTCTGGCTGATATCCAAGTTTAATTTTCTTTAGCTACATAACTTAAGTACTGTCGAAAGAACACACGAAAATTTTCTTCAAAGGGTAATTCCACAAGTAGGAGAATGAATATGGACACTTAATGTGGATTGCTTGCTTATTTTTTACCCGAACTTGCTTATTTTTTACCCCCGAATTTGAACATGGCAAAGCACACAAGAGCTATCTGCCTAGGGCGAAAGCTACATTTATGGGGGATATTTTAAAGCAAAGTGCATATTTGTGGTTACATATGGAAAAATCTTTAAACAAAAGGCATCATTTGTCATGATAGGGACCTACCAGTCTATGACCCGGTTGACCTACCAGTGTTCAGTCGTTTCAGATGTTCAGTAACTGGTGGGGGCATTGAATAGTTTTTTCCTAATCTAGCTCCCGATAGCCTCTTTAGATTTTAGTGGTTTCTCCATATGAAATGTAAATATGAGTCTGAAATTGTATAGGAAGGTATTCAGTCTTAAATCAAGTAATCATTAAGTATTTTACCATTATAAATAACTTAACATTTATAGAATAATAACTCGTTTTTTTTTTCTTTTCGTTAAAGCTCGTGTTGAATGCTGGTAAAAGAATTCGGAAGATGGAGAAAACTTATGCTAACTACCGAATTCCATACGAGAAACATAAAACATCGAAAGAACTCTATGATTACCTCATGCGCTCTTGCTCCCAGCTGTGCGATGTAAGTTCATTTTGAAACTTAATATTTTATTTCAGTTAACAATCATATTTATTTTAATTACTATTTTTTATTAATATGAATACCTAATGTACTATTAGGTTTTCGTCGGGCACGTGAAGGTTTCTCAAGCATCGACGTTGTGGAATATGTTCATTTTTACGGTCCTCGGGAAAGCAAAAAAAGGTAAAATGCATATAAGATTGCTTTATTCTGTTCTTCCTGTGACAAACACTTCCTTTTTTTACTCATATTTATACTATAGCCCTAACTTAAAATATATTTTGCCAGTTTGATTCGAAACTAATTAAAAAAGTAATTATCGTTCTCCTTCGAACGTGCTGACATGATGTAACTGGCAACAGGTCCAACTATCGATTTCAAGATCTGAGGTTCGAATTTCGGTGACGCAATTGATGATTTTTCATGTGTTTTAATCCTGAAAAAACAAATACCAACATACCTTTATTTAAAATGCTACAGAATATACCTTATCTATAATGCCCTGGAAATGCGTTATGCTTAAAAATTAGCTAATATTTCTAAAGTGAACTTGGATTGTGAAAAAGATTTTTTCTCAGATCGTTTTCAAAATTGCAGGCCTATATTTTGTCATATTTCACATCAGGCTTCAGTAATCAAAAACAATTAACAGATTGTGTAATATTGTACCTAACAGAAACAGTTCTTATGAAAATACAAGATTATTTACAGAATAGAAACCAAGGTCTTCGTATACATCAGTAATTGAATAAACCGAAACTGGCGACAGTGCTTAGAAAGTTAACTTTGTATTACGTGAAAAGAGAAACACAATTTATATTCGGAATATCTTTCATCTTTTGAACCTTGTCGCGAGAGTACAAAAACATTATAACAGCCACCAAGAATTCAAGAGTCTTTAGCAAGCCCATTCGCCTTACCTTTAGGGCTTTGGAAGGGCACCTGATCCACTACTCTCTCAGCCATTCAAACCCTGTTGTAAGATTTATATATCTCAAAACCGTTTCAATACTTATGTAGCGAGACACATTGTTAAAGCGAAAGAAGATCCAAAGTCATTAAATAACTGACAATGGGATAATATGCAGTGTTAGTTGCGACAAGCAAATGAAGTCAAAAAGAGGAACCCGGAATCTATATGCAAACACGATGCTGGTGGTATGTTAAAAATTCGAACGCAGAAGGAAGTAATGCAGATTATTGCTAGAAGTTCTCATTACTTTACTTGTGCACTCCTATAAGCATATATTGATACCTTCAACAATTATTTGTGCATGCATGCGTATTCTTCTCATATGACCACTTTAGATTTTGTTTTATATTACCTATTTTTTAAAAAAGTAGTTTTTTATAATAAAGCAATAAGCTGGGGGGAAGAATATCACGCCAAGTAAATTAAGTGCAAAATTATCTATCCAAAAATCACAACATCGTATTTTTCACAACTCCATATTTTCCTCTCGTAACAAATGCATCATTATGCATAAAGGAATTTTTTTATTCATGATTTAAAAAACGTGATCTAAAAATGACTTATCTGTTAAAAATAATTTTTGTAAGCACTAAATGCTTCTCTATTAGAAATGTCTATTATCTGAAGGTGAAGCATATTAATGTCTTTTTTCAAGGTTCCGGTGTACCAGAAAGTGTTAGTTAACTAAGAGTATCTGTCGATTGGCTTGTAACGGAAGTTCAATTGTACGTTTAAAACCTGTTTTAAATTAAAAATTGTTTGAAATATTCATTGAACACTCATGTCCATAAATTAAGGATAATGCGGAGTCACGCGAAAATCGAACTCTAAAATATAGATAGATATATCACCTGTAAAATCACTATACACATCTTCAAGAATCACATGCAAATTTGAGGAAGTAGCCAGATGACACTGATAGTACGTCACAATGACGAGAGTGTAAGAGAGTGATATATAAGGAATACAGGCAAAGAAGTAAAATTCTTCGCAGGCGCTTTATAAGCATTTCAGTGTAATAACCGAATAGTTATGACACAAAGGACGCATTTAGATAATTTTTTACGTGGTAGAATTATCGGCCGTCTGGAATGTGGGCGTACCCAACTGGAAGTATCAGACGAACTTGGAATTGCCCACAGTGTCATCTCCAGGCTTTGGCAACGATTCCAAGATGATGGTAATGTGAGTAGACGTTACAGCACAGGTCGCCCCAGAGTTACAACGCCGAATAAGGACCGGTATTTGGCAGTTACTGCCAAAAGAAACAGGTGGAGCACAGCCTGAGACCTGCCTCGTCAGCTCTCTTCAGCCACTGGTACGACAATTTCAAGGCAGACCGTGTACAGACGCTTAGGGCAGATTGGTTTATATGTTCGTAGACCTGTCAGATGCGTTCCACTTACTGCAACTCACTGTCGCCTGCGGTTAGCCTGGAGTAGAGAGCATGCACTGTGGACACCGCAACAGTGGGCTTGTGTGATGTTTTCCGACGAGTCCAGGTTTAGCTTGCAGTCTGATTCTCGCCGGACTTTCATATGGAGAGCTCCAGGTATTCGTTACCACCAAGAAAGCATCATTGAACGACACCGTTACGGTGGTGTAGGAGTGCTCGTTTGGGGTGGAATTATTCTGGGTTCCAGAACTGACCTTCATGTTCAAATTGGAATCATGACAAGCCATATCTATCGGGACGTCATTCTGGAACAACATGTACATTTGTTTCGGGGTGCCATGGGCACACAATTTGTGTTTATGGATGACAACGCCAGTCCTCACCGTGCAAACATCGTAAGCGAATGCCTTCAATCGGAGGATATCACCCGTACAGACTGGCCAGCATTCTCACCAGACTTGAACCAGTAGAACACGTGTGGGACATGCTTGGCCGACGAGTTGCAGCCCGTCAACCTCCTTCTACATGTCTACCGGAACTTCGGAGTGCATTGCTTTTTGAGTGATGTAATATCCCCCAAGATCAGATCGATAATTTGATACTCAGCATGCCTAGGCGTTGTACGGACTGTATTGCATCGTCTGGGAGACATACAATGTATTAACAATCATACCAACCATGTAATATTGGTTTTTTGTAAATAGGTTTTTTTTTTGTAATTTGCTCCAGGAAGAAAAAAATCGCTAATTTTTTTAATAATATCAAACATATAGCATCGTTTTTTGCTCTTTACCTTTTGTTTAATAAACAAGCTTTACATATAAGTCAAATTTGTTTTGCTTCTAACTCTTCCTTTGCCTGATTTTGCATTATCCTTAATTTATGGACATGAGTGTACAAACGTGTGTTAAATATTTAAAATTTAAAACTTGCACCAATGATAAATTTAAAATTTGCTTTAAATATTCGTTGCACAAACTAAGTTCAAAATAATGATTATTTTCTACCATTTTCATGAGCAGAATATAACAGAAATAATGATTTTGCATTTCAGGATTTGACGATGATGTTTACAGAGATTTTTCTTCTCTCATGACCACCAGCAGCGATGTGATAAGTGCTGATGTACCCGCAGCTATTCAGGTAAGCTCGGAGTTGTCATTATTAAATAAATATTGAAACTCTTATATAGTTTTCTATTTCTTTGTGCCTGGACGTGAAAATCGTTTGTTCAATTAACTTGTTTAAAATCTGTGTAATTAAATTGTTTCAATGAAATAATTTTAATATTAAGAGCTCCAATTAAAAGTAATATTTTTTTCCCTAGAGCCTTGCTTACTACCTCTCCGAGGCTATCAGTGCAGAAGAATTCAAGAAAATGAGCGTTGAAGTAAGTATTTGTAGGGTTGCTATTCAGGGTTAAAGAGTCTAAGTCCTGGTTGCTATTGATCTGGAAATTAATTTCAAGCAAATAAGCATTGAAGTAAATATCTGTAGGGTTGGTATTCAGAGTTTCTAAGTCCTGGTTTCTATTGATTCGGAAACTAAATTTAAGTCCTGCGAAACCAACTAGAGAAAACAGCAAGTTATCGCTAAAACTAAAACTTGATAATAGAGGAGAAGCTTTTAAACAGCACTTTTATTTAGTCTGAACCTTTTAACATAAATGGCACGACTTGTGATACAGACAAACAAAAAATTTTGGAGATGTAAATTAAGCAATAACAGTCACTTAAATTCAAATGCGGGTGACAGGGTATAAGACTACACATTCAATAACATAAACTATAGGCTGGTTCAATGTTTTACTTCGGCATCGGCTAGTTGCTTCGGCTAGTGAAGAAATGGGAAAGCCGGGATATCAATTTCAGCACGTTGAACGCCGCAGCAAAATCGGGTAAAATACTCTGTTGGGCCCTTTTTTAAATTCTAGAGTTTTCTTGTCCAATTTATCCTGAAAATACAGTCAGCATATAACCACGTAAATAATAATTATTTGAAAGTTACTGCAGCAAAATATATATTAAAATCATATAACAATTTATGGAAGAATGCTTCCAGAAAGCTGAATACCAAGAAAACGGAGCAACTTTCTGATGCCGTAGTAATAATTTTTAACTGTATAAATCTGCATGTTTGTGAAGCACCGGTGGCTCACACGGCTTTAAACAATACAAAACCTGTGAATAATTTCGAAGCACACGGCTCCAAAATAAGTCCGCTGTGACTCATCAGTAATGCACGTGGCAGTCAAGGTGTTAAACATAGTTGATGTGGAATTCTAACAGTCCAGTGGGAATTCCAGTACTTCTCTTTCTATATATAAGTTTCAAATCCTGTGCTAAAATACTCTCAAAACTAATCAGCATTCTGATGAGGAATGCTAAAAGAAGAAATTAAAGATTAAAATCGCAATAACTGGTTATTAATTTGCAAAAGTTTTTAACCTAAAATAGCGGCACTAAAATGTATGAAATAAAATAAATGACTTCTTCAACACAACACTCAAAAATTTCAATTGTTATTAATATTTTTATATTTATTTTATTGCAGTTTTGTGCTCAAGAAATCCTATAATTATTTTATTTTATACTTTCTAGTGAGAATCAAGCTAAAAGAAAAAGCCTTTAGATTAAATTTTTTTGTATACTTTATTTTAAACTTTTTTGTTGTTTGACTTCTGAATTAGTATCGTTTTCTGTATTTATGTTTCTTATTAGATGTTTTTATTAAGTTTCATCAGATGTTAATTAAGCAATGAGATACATTCCGCAAGAGAAAACGAAGAAGAATGACCGTGTTTTGCCAGTATCGGTACTGGTTTTTGCTTACATTAGCTATACATATGCCACGTGATCTTTGAGATAATCTACACTGTTTATTTACATTAGAGTAAAATATGCTTTTTTTTTTTGTGTGTGTTTTGTTTTCATTTTTGTTTACGTTTGCTTACATTAGTCACGTGATCTCTGAGGTCACCGGAATGTAATTCATTATAATTTCACTCAGTTTTAATTATATTTTGCGTAATCAATTATTTTTGGAAATTCTTAACGTTCTGTTTATATGTAACATCTCATTATAATCGTAATCAATTATTTTTGGAAATTCATAATATTTTGTTTATAGTACTTAACATGTGATTCAGCAAGCAGTTTTCAGCTTTGCCATTATATTTTATTAGCTAGTAGCGCTCGCCATTTATTTATGAGACGCAACCCGAATTCTTTTGCATGCTTTCGCACGCAAACGGTTTACATTTCGCCCAAAAGGGCATATTTTTAATGTTTTGTGTGTTACCTTTATTTATTAAATACCATATTCTTTGCACTTAAAACATAAAATTCAATTCAACAGCAATATCGCAAAATAATTTTAAAATGAGCATATCTTAAGAATTTCCGATACACAGTGTCGCGCGCTGGAAAGAAAAATGCTTTCTTTCTATACAATTTTGCCATTGCTCGCTTTGAAATCAATGAGTTTGTTAGTCAAAAATTCGTTGAAGTGTTACAAAATATGAAATCGATAATAAAACAAATCTCAAATTCCAAATTAGGGCATCCAGATGCCCATATCTGGTGAAAGATTATGTTATTCAAAATTTGATGGCTCTAGGACCGTTGGTTTATCACAATGCGAGAAATGTACATACATTTATGCAGATTCTTCATTATTTAATTTTTTTAAATGTAACATAATATTTGGTGGCAACAATTTGAAAAGTGAACCGAAATTTAAAGTTTTCATCGCAAAATGCCAAAACGAAATTAATAGCCCTTCTGAGCTAATTCTCCCAAATTCTTTGGGCTAACAATACTGCAAAACAAAACAAAAAGAAAGAAAGAAAGAAAGAAAAGAAAAACAGGTGAAACGAAATTGTTTGAAAGAATGACTTTTTGTTAGACTTGAAAAAATAATTTTTGAATATCACGGTGTTGTACTTTCAGTAATTTTGACTTTTTATAACCTACAGGAGGCGTTAAATTGGCTACAAAGAACGCCAGCAACAGTTGGTAAAAAATTTAAGCAGTTTACGGAGACACATGGACATAGATGCTTGCGAGAAGTAAGTCAACAAGGCTGACCTTTAATACAACTGCCAACTACACAGTATAAGTAAAGTAGCTGTTACTATAATCATTATTCGTTTAGCTTTTAATAGCATAAAGTGTGAAAATATTGCAGCCATAAAACATTGACCAAGATTTCTTTATTTGTGACACTGAAAACAAAATCCCCAAAATTCATTTTGACTGCATTTGTAGCAAAGATATTTGCTGCTCTAACTGAAATACCGTATTTTTTGAGTTACAAAACGAACTCTTTCTCATACAAACGTTGTTTCCAGAAATAAAGCTGTGACTTAGAACACCAGATTATTCCGAATTTCTTTTTATTCCAAAGTAATAACTTAGCTCAAATTATGAATTAAAAAAAATATACTCTTGTTGTTACTGCATCAAAGTCAGTTTTTTAAAAAATATTCAATTCGTCTGTTTCTGTGTTTTATTTCATGTATTTCATTTATTTAGTATCAAAGTTTCTTTTCTGTTTGTGGCTCTGAAGTTAAACGGCGTATTTTAGAATTAATGACATCTTAAGTTTGACGAAAGAGTGAAATGTCTATAGAGTTTGACTTCCTTTGGGAGAATAAACTAGATCCAAACTCGTAACAGACGTAGAGAGACACTTCTTGTGCTTAATAAAACAACCACTACTTGCGGCAATTAAACTAAACTAATAGGTGAAAGCTGGTCCGGACACCCGGTCAGCTTACATAGACTATTTGGTAGAATAATCAGGTAATTAAAGTAATAGTCAAATTTAAAGCGTAGGCTAGTAGTCAAAGACTGCATGATTGTATTTAAATCGAAGTTTGCTCAGAACCTTTCACCGGAGTAACAATTTTAAATGACGGCAGCTATAACGCAAAGCCAAATAATTACAATCATATCAGAGCTCGCAGAACCTACTAGCGTGGCCTGGAGAGGCAGAACACGCTCTGTCTTGTAATCCAAAATCCTCAGCTTAAATACTCTCTAAACTCATTTACATTTCTGATGAGGAAACGGAAAGGAAAAGTTATACCAGAGATTGAAATTATAAATAACTGGTTAATGCAAAGTAACAGGAACTCTACATCTCAAGGATTTTCATTAAAGCAGAATTTATTCGAATGTCATATAATAAAACTCAAATTTAAGACGAATTCTAAACGGTTCTTATTTATTTTGTACTTTTTACAAATGATTTTAAGAGAAAACATACTTTCTGAGTATGATTTCAAGGAGGAAAATGTTTTCTCAAACCATATTTTAATAATTCCAGTCTTTCAAATTTTGAATTATGTGCTTAAAAACATTTTATATATTATTTTCTATATTATCTATCTGCTACTAAAAAGATATTACTATTTTTAAACTTTTTACAACCAATTATTACTGCATGTTTTTTTTTCTTTTTGTTTTGTTTAGACGTTTAAAAAACATATTTTTTATTCTCTACTAAAACAATGTTATGGAATAACTCATTGTGCTTCAGACAACCTCGAACTCTTGTTATAAATTTTATTTTCTGTAACAGTGGAAAGCATTTGCAAGTTCAATTAAACCTCAGTTCATGGATGTATTTGTTCCTGAAAGCCCTTTGTCACTTAAAATGTTTATAAGCCAAAAGCGTTTTTCCGCTAGGAATGAATGCAAAGTGAATATATTCTTTACCTTAACCACAGATGACTGCTTATTTAAACTTTACAGCAGTACATGTAATTTTTAATGTTTATTTATACATGTAACCTTTAATGTTCTAATTAACTTACTTCTGTAAGCCCCGTGTTGTACATATGTGGTGCACGGGGAGTCTGTATGTTCTCAAAGGAAAAAAAAATTACTGTATGCATAAGTTTATACCGTAAAATCAGTGGAAATGATTAAATGTATAAAATACTAAACAGAATAAGTAAACGAAATTTAACTCTTTCGCAATCGCATTTTGCTTCTCTTTCTTAAACTATTCCATTTTTTTCCACGATGATCTCAGTTTTGTGATTCTCTAGTAAATACTCCACGTCTTCACCGTTAATTTCAGATACCATGGCTTATCCTGAGAGCCTATCATAGAAAATATTCCTAAGTGTCCAAGTCCTCAGATTTTGTGCTTACAACATTATCCGGCCATAATTTTGTCCAGACCGAACTCATGGTCCTCTATGCTTTCTGCCAGGATTTGGCAATCACATTTACGGAGAGCATTAATGATCCTTCCAGAAGTTTCTGTACATTAATTTAACAGCCCAGCCTGGATGATGGTTAGTGACTCGACTACTGTTTCGATGAGCCTGGTTCAAATCTCGGAGAAGGCATGGATGATGTTAAGTGTATAGTGTCTGTGCGGCATGGAGGCTCTCAAAAGACACGCCGATCCGTAATTTTTGTCTTGAGGCTGATGCTAGGAGAAAAGAGGGAGCTCCCTGGACCGCACACTGGTTCTCCCTCGGAATTTCATCCTGGATGGAAACTTAACAATTAGTTAGCAAGGCCAGCCGTTATCTGATGTGTCTGCATGTATCTTGCTTCAACCTGTACCTGTATATTAAATTTGTATTAAAGGTTATTTCTAAATAACCTTGAAATTCATTTTGTTGCTAACTCGCGCATTCATTACTCGAGACACTGTTCATCACTCGAGGAGATATGTTCAAAACTTTGTTTGTGAACTGAGTGCTTCGAGATAAGGGACATTCATAACATGAGGTTCCGCTGTTTGTGGTAACGTGACTTTTGACGAAGCCCTCACCTGCGTTACAAGAAGGACTACTAAACACAGCGATCAATAAGCAGGAAGAAAAGCCTGTCAGTGTGGCGCGAGTCTATGTAAGAACAGAGATTTATTCTGTTAGAAATGCTTTTGAAGCTGAAGTGCCAGTGAAACATTATCAACAGTCATACAGGATATCCCAGTCAGAATTGTGAACAAAATGGCAAGAAATATATGACACAGTGTAGATTTGCTTATTCAAGAATATTGTGGTCATTTCCAGCTTTCCAGCATGTTCATTAAAAGGGCACGTCTTATTCACCCTTGTTATAATTTAACAATCCTGAAATTAATATTGTATACCTAAAACATAATAAATCAATAGTGGAATAAAAGTTTGATTATTTTATGTTAGAGTTCAGAACTTTTTAATTACGTTATGTCACCCCATAGCTCTTCAACTTGATTTTCTTTCTTTCAGTTCGATGTATATTCATTACCATGGGGGACTGATCCAAAGCCATTAATTAAATTGCTACAGGTAATTATTATTTATTCAGTTGTACGTTTAAATATTTATTTTTAATTCTTTTTACTTTTATTTTTTTTTTTTTTTAAATTGACGAATGTAAAGAAAAAATTGAATCTTTACTTAGACAAAATGTAACTTTAGATTTTTAAACCGAATGCTTTTCAAATAAGTCTGATCCTGAACTTTCTTCTTTGAAATGCAAATTTATCCTTCATTGCTTTGTCAAAATTGAGTTGCGCGAATAAACAAATAAAAAGCTATATATGTAACTAAAAAGCGTCTGTCGTCATAGAATGAGAAACATTTAGAATTTAATCCATTTTGGCAAAAACAAAAAAGCTACTTATGTTGCCCTTCAACAGCTCCACACTCAGAAGATAAATTTCCAAAAATCTCTGATTTCATCTTTCAAAAACTTGAAGTCTACTCTTCAATTTTTTGAAAAAAAAATGGCTTATGGCTTGCAGTCCTATTTTCGAAACTCAGAATCGTGAAGTCTATCTTTGACTAAGTGAAATTCAATGAATTCTGCCTCTCCTGAAATCTCTGGAAACGAAATGGCTGATTCCGAGGAAAAAAATCACTGCTAACCAAAAGCTTTTGGACTTTGTTCGTCCATTCATCGAAACTACTTGCGAATAGTGAACGAAAACTGAAGGTCCACTGCTGAAGGTGATATATGTAATTTCTAGTGTTGCGAATGGAAGGAATTTTTGGAATAAAAATTTAGTCCCTGTTTCTCTAAAGCAGAGTTCTCAATCAAGGGTAAATTCCACCCTGGGCGCAATCTCTTGGTTGCAAGGAAGGAGGGGAAATGCACTCAGCTTTTATTTACCGGTTAAGTATTTATAGTTTATAAATATCAATACTTCTTTTACTGAAGTTTTGATATTTATAAACATTTTTGTGCTTTTTCTCGTTTAATTTATACAATACATAAAAAATATGTAAGTTTAAATAAATGTATATGCATTTTTCTGATTTGGAAAATGGGAGATAAGCTTCTAGCAATGGTAAAAGGGATGCACAAGGCAAAAGAGATGCGAAACAATGTTCTAAAGTCTGGAGTTGTTACATTTTAGAGTCTCGTTCTTTTTGATGACTGTAAAAGAACTGTTAAGACTGAAACGAATTATTGTTATGTCTTTTAAGTACCACAGAGACAGGGAAAGAGCGTAAAGAACCCTTTTATTTGACTAAGATAAAATTTAACAGATGGCAGCATTCTTGCTTATAGAAACCAACATTTATGGTTTAAATCAAAGATAATGGATAAACTGAAACTAAGACAAGTAAGTTAGCCTAACGTTTGCACAAATAGAACAACGCGCAAGCTGACTCTGGCCTAAGATTGACGTAAGAAGCCTAAGGCAAGAATAACACAGCGCCGAGAATACTAGCAAATGAATCAAAGTAGCAACGTGGCCTTCAGGAAGACAGAACACGCTCTAATTCTACCCGCTAAAACCTTCTTTTAAATTGTGTCTTCTTTCTACCTCATTTGAATATCACACGTGCTATAAATTTATATTCTGACAGGAAAATGGAAATGAGGGAGATATGAAGGTTCATTAATATAAAATAACTTGTTAGAAACTAAATGAAAACTCTACAATCCGTTTTTAAAATTTTACCAGATCATAAACTGCTGCTAATCTTCCTTCATAGGATGCGATTTGGTGGACTCTCCTTTTTTGTTCTTTGTATGATCTTTGACGTAAGTAAGAATTTGTTTCTGATTCTTTAAAATTTGAAGATGTGCACTACATTTAGAAAACGTAACAGTGAACTTTTGAGAAAACTATTGTAAAGTTTGTGAGAGCCCAGTGTGAGCTCACTTTATTGCCGCTGTCTGTTTGGACCATTCTTATTAATGCGTCCCTAACCAGCATCTGCGGGACAAAAATCGTACCGCCAAGGCAAAAGTGCGCTTCGGCCTCCACTGTCGATATTTGGATTTATCTTCTGGTGTGAGTGCTGTTGAATCACACCGTGCTAATGAACCCGAATAATTTCCAGCAAAATCATATTGTCAGCATCATGTCAAAACTAAGAGTCTTATTCATTGCTGCTTTTACTTATTTGCGTTTTCTTAACCGTTTTTCAATGTTTACGAATGTAGAGACAGAAATCTTTTCAAATGTACACATATAAACAAAATATCATGTCGAATTCTAATTCTATTATTTCAAAGCCAAGGCTTTGAAACCAGTATTTTTTGTAGGAAGGATTTTACAGATCAGGTGCTTTGGAGTTATACTATCTAGTGATATCCTTCTTTTTATTTGTCTTGAATGTTTTTGCGAGTTATTGGTTCGTACAAATCACTTTAATAGTATCACCGATATCACTCTGAAACACTAATTACATAGTTCTGAACTGATTCTTCAACTAACTCTGAAACAAACTCACTCTTTAGGACGTATATATAGGGTTGTCGGCCTTTCTGGAAGTTTCGGTTTCTGGAAGCTAGAAAAGGCAATTTTCATGCAAACTGAGCAAGGAAGAAAAAAAAACCACTCTTAGAGCTTCTAAAATGCATTTCTCGGAAAATTACAGATTATCGCCAAGTTGCGATAAATGGCCAGATATCATTAACTTAACGGTAAAAATCGTCACCATGTCTCGTCAGGAGAATTCTTCTCCATATCTCAGTTTCTAATTGAGCTTCTTTCCCAATTTAAGCATGTCTTGATTAAGAATTGAAAGATTTACAACGCAATACACGAAATAAGCTTTAAAATTATAAAATGAAGCCATAAATTTGATTAAACACAAATGCGTGCTAAAATAATTACGTAGGAAGCCCCAAATAAATAAATGTATTATTTCATAAAACTATTGAAAGGCACAAAAACAAAGTAATGAGCAAATAAATAAAAGGTGTTGCATAAATTTACTCCAATATTAATGGAATTCCTTTACAGAATCTGGCTGGAAGTGTATCTCAGGACGCCGCGAAGAATTTGGATAATTCTAACGAAAGATTGTCTAAACTGTCTGTGTCTCTTGGATTGTTTTCCAGGTATTTATAACTATGGCTAATTAGCGAGACAACGTCTATCTTGAAATAAAACTCAGATGTGACATTATACTAATCATTAACGTGAGCAAAATTCATTTAAAGATGGTTATTATGTTAACTTTTAAGGCAGCTTTTCATTTCTGAATGAGAACTCGATGTGCAACCTATTGCTAAGTTCTTGGATGATTTCACAATTGGATCTAATTCAAACGTTTGCTAGAATGATCTGGAAAAGAATAAGACAGTTGTACTTGTTAAGTATTAGTTAATCAAGATAAATATGTAAAATTCTCGAATTGCCATGGCAGCAACGATCATCTTCCTTCAAAATTACCCACCTTTTATTTAAACACTAGAACCGTTTATAGAATGGTAAACGCATTTGACGAAAACTATAAAGAACGGTGCAATAATAAGTTGTTGTAATCGCGATGCCAAAAATAGCAAAACTACTATGATTGATCGCTACAAAAATAATCAGGTATGTCTTATTCAAAACAGTGCAAAGAGTATAGATATGTTGATATTAAAAAATGGGAAACGTTAATTAAATACTAGCTGCACACACCTTTTATTGAAACTGGTAACTCCATAAAGCTTCGTGATAAACTGTCACATTTATGCTCATAAATGATGATCCTAAAATTGCTCAGTAAATACATCAAGCTAAAGAAATAAATTATTGATATGAATGGAGAGGGAATAATATTTAGATTTATGCTTAGAGATTTAAAATTTAAATATAATTTATTCATTCACTAACCTTAAGGTAATCATTTAGTATGAGATATACGGCTTTTATTTATTCAGCATTTCTTTTTTACTGTCATATTGCACGAATATCAAAGGTATTGAATTTTTTATTTTATGAAGCAATTTTTATTGAATTATGAAACCACTGAAATTCAAATTGGCTGTAGTGAGGAATAAGGGGCATGAAAACTTTGGCGATTTCAGTGTTAGGTAATAATTTTATATTAATAACACTGCTTTTTCGTTAGTTCTTAATGATTTTATTTGGGCAACCTTAATCCCCCCTTTTTTTTGTATTTTATTTTGGAACATTAAAACAACAGTAAATGTGTCATATAATCTGTATAATGTTCAACATTCGCAATGCCGAGATTTTGCGTGACGCTGAGTTTGAGCACAGATCTCTATGTATATGGGGAGAAAAAATAATGCATATACTAATATTACATACATAATGTTTAAAGCCGAATTTCTTAAGCGAAAATAGATCGCGGGTTGCATGAGAAAAAAGCAGTAATCTTTCGTGTGTAAAGTGTAATGTGCATTTTTTATATTTTTAATTTGCATTATTGTATTAATTGTAAATTTTGTTTCTAATAATCATAAATTATACTTTTAATTGTTTTTTTTCAATATGTTGATAATGCTTGCCGATTTCGATAATATCGATGACTTGGCGATATTTTTGAAAACAATCGACAAAATCATCAACTCTAATGTTTAACTTAAGTTAGTGGAATTAAGCATTTAATGGAATTATTTTAATTTATGTATTAGTATTTATTTCCGTATTTAGAAACAGCCTACCGTATAAACCAATTTTCTTTTCCTTTTTCTAGATTAATTTTAAAGTTTTTGTTGCCATACAGTCGGCAAGGTGTGCAAAGACGGGAAAAGACTAAGGTAAATTTAGCTTAATTTTTATTTAGTGCTATCTTTCCATGTTTATTATTGGTGTCCTGCCCATGATTTCGACATTTTTCTGCTTAAGCTATCCAAAAATGTAATATAATATTTTCTTATTCATTTATAATAACAGCACGTAATTTTGGATTTCGAATATGCAGAAGCTCATAGATATAGGGCATGTGCCCAATAATTTGTTAGCGTTTAATGAATTCGGCATATTTAAATACAAAAATGAAAATCACATAAACTGTAGTAGGAATGCTTTTAACTTATTAACAATACTTTCGTTTTTTAGATTTATTGTATTTTTCTCATTTCATCCCTGAAAATGCTCATAATTATAACATTTATCTATCCTAGATAGAGACTCAAGAAAAGTCAGATATTTTTCATAAAATTTAAGTATTTAAAATATGTTTAAGCGGGATCAAAATATAAAAGGGGATTTTCAGTTGTCTTCGAAAGTATTTTTTACATCGATATGTTTTTATCTGATGTATGATATTATTTTTACGGGACAGTCAATGATGATAAAAGGACTCGACGAATGGAGGAAAGGGCTTAGATACCTTGCAAGACTTATGGTTTCCGAAGGACGCATTCCGGAAGAAGATCTTTTATTTTTCATGACTTATGAAGAAATTCAAGAATTACTGAACACGAGATCACCGAAAATAATAGCCAGGTACAGATTCATATTCATAGTTGCTTTCATATCTTTCTTTGAAATTATAATTTATACTATGAGTTGTTAATATTCTAACGCGACAACTTCGCACAGATAAGTCGCTCTACTTCATAAAATATTTTATTCATCTGAGAAGGTAGAAATTAAATAGTTGTTCACATTTGGTTCCATTTCGTTTGGCAACGAAACAATAGAACAATACTATTATTTCGGCAAGGGACTTTCCTGCAGCATTGGAGTGCTGGTTTTTGAAGTAGGGACGATCTTTGTCATTCTTAGTACAAGCATTGAGACAACTAACAATAACAAATCTTCGATTCGAGTTCATTGTTGACCCAAGAGCTCTTCTGTCTCAGAAACTGTGTGATTAACCTTCATTCTCTTTTTCATAGGCCTAAATCATTTTTAATTTAAAAATGAGAAAGGGAGGAAGGGCACAGCAGTTAAATGGTCTAAAAATAACTGAGACTTGTTTCTAAAATAATTATAATATTTTGGGTAAAAGAAGAATTTTATAAAAATTTTGCTTTGAATATTAAATTTCCCAATGCTAAGTTAATTTAACAAATTAAAAGATTAACAAATTAGATACTTAAACAACACCAGCAACAAAACAAATTCATGATTATAAAAATAACTATATAAAAATTTTCTTATGTAAAGTAGCAAACATTTAATCCACTTTTAAAAAGCGTAAGTAAACGGTAATGAACAGTAATAGAGTATAAAAACAAATCTAATAAAAATAAAAAATAGGCATGATTTTAAAAATAAAAATTTAGTAGATTTCTTACTTATTGTAATGTTTTTAAATTTTACAATATATGATTGTACTAAATTACCAATATCCTTTCCTTTTAGGGCAGTTCAAAGACAAAGACGTTACCCAATCATGGACAAGTACATATTTCCTGAAATTATAAAAGGTGTACCAAAGCCAGTAAGTGAATGTTTGGTTCATAGTAAAAGATAAAGTTTAAATTTTATTATTTGTTTAAGATTATAAATAAAACGTTAAAAAAATGAGGTAAGATTTTCAATTAATGTAAGCGAAGAATGCTAACATGATTAAGCCAAACTGGCCTTGTAATTGCCAGTTATAGTGTTCATAAGGGTCTTCATGTGGCCCTTCTTTTTCCAAACATACATGTACTTCAATTCAGAAAAATGTTTTAAATAAAGCCAATATTCATGTTGAAGCATTTTTAGTTTAAAAATTCGGCTTTGTAAAAATTATAAAATGTATTACTTGCTTCTGTTTTATATCACAGAATGTTTTATAAAAATTGGAGCACAATAAACTAGTTTTTGTTTTAACCAGTGCCATATTTGTGTTATGCGAATAATTTCATTGAAGTTAATATTCGCTGACGTTTGGACATTGTACACTTAAATATCTTTATATTTAACTGCTGTTTTATTTTTGCATTTATTTGCTATTCTTAAGTTGTATTGTCATTCATACTCAAGCTGCATTCTCTGAAAATATACTCTGCATTCACCAACATGTAATTTTCTGACGTCACTTATAATATATTTTTCAGTATGCATTATATAGTTTTCTTAAAAGCAAAAACATCCAATTCCTGTCTATTCCCTGTTTTCAGTGAGTGAAAACAAAGCATAACTATTTTTTCTTAAAACAGTAACAAAAAAAAAGTATTTCCTTGAAACGTTATTTTTAAAGTTTCGCACGCAGAAACATTTGCATGAAACTGGAAGGGGGAAGATAAATAAAAAAAAAATTGTTTACTTTGTTTTAATTGTTTTAGTTTATTTTTGTGCTGTTAGATTTAATTTTTGACGCTTGCTATGAGATTATGTATCTCGTTCACAGATTAATTTAATTGACACTCCCATTGTTGCTACTGATGAAAGTATTATGATGAAAGGTAAGGTACTGAAGACCAAATGCGTATGTTTTATAATTTAAAAACTCCCGTGTATTTTTTAACATTTTTTTTATGATAAGTTCTATTATTTTTCAGGTATTCCCATTTGTCAAGGCATAGCGGAAGGTTTCGTTCGTGTTGCTCTTATATTAGAAGAAGCAGCGCAGTTAAAGGTTTGTGAGACCTCCCGTTTTATCCTTTCCAGTTTCAGGTTTTCTGGAGGATGTAAAGAAATCGTGATACTTCAGGCATTTTTTGTTTCTTTCGTAATTTTTTGGAGAGCAAAATCATATTCGTCCCATTTCAGCATTTCTTTCTATTCTTTCCTTTCGAGGGAGTAAGACCTTTTCTATAGCAAAAAGCGCGAACATTTTCATTATTAATAACATTATTATTGTATTAAACTCACTACAGATTTAAAATATTTTATTATTATTATAATTATTTTATTAAAGCAAAATTTTCTCAACATTATATTTTTATTGAAGTATCTTGACAGGTCCTTGAAATGATAGATTTCAGATACATGTTCGTACTCATATACACATACAAATTTTTTTAGAATTTGCATTCAGTTTTGAAGATAGGTTCAGAAATTTGAGTGAACCTATTCTTATTCTGAAAAACATTTGAAAAAAAATTAATTCAATTCTTAAAAAATGTAGCATATTTTAAGCGAAATCGGGTTTTCAATAAATCATTTCTTCCTGGATTTAAATAGGTTCACTCAATACATTTAGGGAAGACTATGAAATAAAATTTCAGATTTGTTTCGTGGATAGAATTTTTAGAAAAATGTACCTAAGTATTCAAAAAACTCATTTTCAGGAAAACATACAAAAAAAAATATCTTTCTTTCAATTTGTTAACCTTTTGCGCCATAATCATGTTATAATGGCGACTATGTAGCTTCACGTTTCCTTTTATTTTGTCTTTTAAAGATTCTAGTTTCCTGAATAATTTTATAACTCCCTATTTCAAATTTAAAGAATGGGTTTTGTGAATCTTTCGAATTCCGTTATACGTATTATTGTACATCTGCATTAATCTCTGAACTTTTTAACACTTTACTTCAAAAATATGAGTTCTTCAGACTTCTACATAACTATAGCTTCCTCTGGAATTTTCAAGGATTTTACGCCAACAAACCTTAAAAGCTTCCCTCCTTTCATGGATAGGCTCAAGTTAATAACTGTTAGAACTCAAATCTATAAAAGGTATTTTTTGCTACCAGATGTAATTCTGAATACAAATATTTATGCCTAATACGGTTGACATGAAGGGATAATAATGCTAAAAATTATTGATAAATCTCAGGAAAACTATTTAAGAGACACTTCTGTTATCTTAATCTACAAGTGTCTAATACTTCAAACCTAGACATGTTATATATTTTAATAATCAGAAAAGTTCAATCTATATTTTTAAAATTAAAATTGAAAAATCGATTTTTTGAAGCTGAAAAAACGGTCGTGCTCACTTTCAGTCGAGTTTATGGAGACGTGTTTAGAATCAAGCAAGTGTTCAAAGAAAAACAAATGAGACGGAATGATAACACGTGCTTAGCTAAGTATTATTATTTCATAAAACAATTTCATGTTTACAGTATTAGATATCAATTTCACTGATATTAATATTAAACATAGCAATGTCTGAACACAAAATTTAATGGGTGAAGCACTGTTGTTATATCACTTCCTACATACTTTACAGTCCATCCCATCGTGTGTTTACTGGTGTGGATCTTGAGCTGAAAGTTTGAAATGGGAACCCTTCTTACTTAGAAACCGATGTTACTGGGGCTTGGCGAAAGAAGTGGAATTATAGCCTCAAAATTTCGTGTTTGCTAATATAATATATAGTTGATGAAAAACGATCTTTAATCTATCATGAATCACCCTTAATAACTACTTTAATCAGCATGTCTTATTTTGGGTTTAAAAAGCTCTTCTAGGTATGTCGATAGCTTACAAAAATGTATGGTGTTTAAGTTGGAAATAAAAAATATAATTTTGTTAATTATTATATAATATTTCTATATGTATATAAATGATGGTACCAGTATATTTTACTGGCACCCCTTGTAGTGAATTGGCCTATCTTTGATCACGGATGATATTTTTCTGGACATGGATATCATTTGCTGATATCAATCCTGAGAAATATTAGCCTGTGTTGACATAACAGGTGCTGTAAATTCCATCAGAACGGACGATACATTTGCTGAATGGGATTAAAGTTAGAGAACTCAGCTGGTCATGGAAATAATCTGAACTTTATATCCTGCTCTCAAACCAGCTTTAAACCAGTCGTATCCGTTGACGAGGTACATTGTCTTTTTAAGTGTGATCGTGTATATGAGAAAACATTGCAACCAAAATGGGTGCATGTAATCGATAACGAAATTGAGATAATCTGTGGTGTGAGAGCTGTTTTTATACATATCAAATGACTTATTGTCCTTCAAAAACATAAAACGCAGGTCATAATTTTGAAGCCACCAGCTTGACAAATTTACATCAAACACGAGGGATTGACCAGTTCGTTACAGAAAAGGAGAATTTTTCATATTAAAAATTAATAGAAAACATTATTATTAAACATTTACTCTGTATTTTTAAGCTTTTTAATCTGGAGAATATATTCATTTGGTTAAGTAAATAAACAAATATTTAAAAACAAAAATAATCATTTGTAAATAACAGAAGAACAAATATTATAAACAAAGAAACTAAATAATACCATTAAAGAATAATATTTGCAAGAGAACGTGAATAATACAATTGAATTCCAAACTCGTGATAGAACTTCTCGTGCTTTGGCAGAGTTCATCTGGTAGACATTAACTGCTATCGCTACTATTAAATCAGACATTTTTCTTTTTTGGATTTTCCATAGACAGTTCTTTTTCACGCTAATGACCTTTATAACAATTTTCCCATTGTTCTTCAATGAACAGTCTTAATTTTTTAAACAAGATCTAGTTAATCCACGTTCTGCTTAATGCATTCCCTGTTGATAGACAATTAACACAGATATAAAAGAGGATTTCAAATGAAAGTGGAACTGCGATTGTAGCGACATTATTCCACGTGGTAGAACTCTCAGATTTCTCCAATCGATGTGTGTGTATATCTGAGAAATCTGGTTTAAAACACTCAGTGGTGTCTGTTTGAATGGAGCAGTAGCGACATAACAAATAATGCCTCGCCATGGATTCCACTAAACAGGTTCAGCGCATAGTAATCCAGTTTTAACTGCTCAAGGAGTTGAAGGATTTACAATCGAATAAAGAAAGCGTGTGGGGCTGCGCATATATCACGTAGCGTAGTTTTCTGACGGCGCAGTGATTTTGAGCATGGATGCATAAGTGACATGCCCTGACGAGGTGACACAGCCATTATTTGAAAGATGAAGAATTGCTATAGTGAACTCTTTTGTGAATTAATCCTCGAATAATCACATAGGAAATTGCAGACAAACTGTGTCTGAGCAAGGGAAGTGTTAAACACTGTTGTACATGAAAATATGCATTACAGTTAGGTTTGGGCAAAATGGGTTCCCAAATATCCTTACTCACGGCCAAAAATCTTTCGGAATGAGTGTTTGCTTCCAGTCTGCTTCTTTGCCACATAGATGAAAATAACTTTCTTTTCCGTTTTGTGGCTTGTGACGAAATCTGCTGCCGTTTGGTTTGATTTGGCCTTCACCTATAAAGCTTGACGCCATTTTTTGTTTTGGTAACGAAGCAAATGATTCTGAAATGGTGACATGCCAAATTTGCTGGCAGAAAAAACTCATTCTTTAATTCGAGCTGAAAAAATTATGTTCACTTGAGTTTTTGACGAGAATGGCTCCTTCATGTTAGATTGGTTGAAAATGGAAAATACAATTGATGCAAACAGATACTGCTATATCTCATGCAAAGAGAAAGCAACGATCAGGAGTCGTAGCGTGGCATGCTGTCAAAAGGGATTATTCAGTTTAGGACAACGCCAGTATTCACTGGCAACAGTTCGCTAAGATCTAAAGCAGCGTTTCCCAATGGTAAGTTTTCTACCTTAGAGCCCCTACCTGTCGCCCAGCGATATATTCGTCTCATAAAAAAGTACTGAAGAGACGCTGCTTCGCAGACGACGATATGTATATAAGATAAAAATTTTCAAGCGAACTTCCTATTTTAACTAGCACAAGTCTCTTTTATTCTTCATTTTAATTTGAATAGTTTCCATTTCCATCCTTTGCATGACGATGGTGACGTAGCTAAGTCGCAACTTAAAATTTCCAAATTAAAACTTTTCTCCTTTCAAACTAAGCCTTCACACTGGATAACTACTCACTTTCTCGCCAGCCAACTTGCCGCTGGCCGCTCGCTTCTCTACTGTTTTATGATATGCTAAGCTTAGAAACTTATGGGGTGCATATTGTGGCCATAATGATGTGAATCAGGTATTGCGTCTTCAGAACTTTACCGTCAAATACAATATGCTGAATCGACGGCTACGTCTGTCTGCAAGTATCACCATTCTAAGTTTTTTACAATGAAGTAAATCATCATCAATCGATTACAGCTATCTGCATATTTGTTTTTTATAAATAAAAATAAGAAAAAATTTGAACTTCAAATTTTGATGAATTTTAATTTTCCTGTGAAACAGACTGTAATTTATTCTTACGAATTCAGAGTGTAACACTCTATCTTCTTCTCTGAATGAAATACGTTTTGATACCCAAGAATCTTAGAATCTATTGTTTTCATTGCAGCCGAAAGAAATTATGTTGACATACAGTACGGATATAGGCTGGACGCCTTACTTCCCAACGCTGGCTGGAGTTGTTACGGAATTGGGAGGACTCATTTCTCACGGTATTTTTTTTTTTTTTTATTTATTTTTATTTTCCATTACGGGAATAATGAAGACAAATTAAATCGTAATAAATGTTTTTTACAAAACTCTATAAAAAAGGTCCTATTTTCGAAAACACTTATTACTGTAACAAATTCTATACCCTTTAACTATGTTATATAAATTATAAAAAATTATTTTACAATATCCAACCGCATTATATTCTGTAATCTTTCCAGGTGCCGTCGTCAGTAGAGAATATGGCATACCTTGCATAGCAGGAATGCACGGGGCAACGAGAAAATTTCAGACAGGTAAGAAATTTCAGACAGAATTGCTTCCATGATATTCGTTTCTGAAGAATAAAATTTGACATTTTTTAGTTAAATATATCACTGGATACAGTATTACAGTTACTTTGATATATCCGAAATTAACGTTTTCAAATTTACTAACATGTTACTTTAATAAATTTCCGAAAAACATAATAACCCCTCTAACAGGGTTTTTTTTTTTTTTTCAACAAATAAAAGCTCTTGTCATTCTATTATAAAACTGCGTAATGAATAAAAAAAAACCTGAAAGCTTTCAGATTTTATATTACGCCCAAAGGGGCGTTTTTTTCATTTACACATACATACACATTTCGAGAGAATTCGGGTTAACATCCCTTTTCGCTAAAAATATTTAAAAACAGCATATCTTTAGAATTTCTGATTTTCAGCAGAGTTTGGCGCGCTGGAGATTAAAATATTTTATTCTGTAGTGTATTTCCGCTGCTCGCTTTGAAATCGTTTAGTTTCTTAATTAACAATTCGTTAAAGTTTAAAATATGCGACATGGATAATAAACCAAATTCGAAATTCAAGATTCGGGCTTCCAGGTTCCCATATTCGGGTGGAGGAGTACGTTATTCAAAATTTGAGGTCTCTATGTATCGTTGTTTTTTCACAACGCGAGAAACATACATACACTGATGCAGATTTTTCCTTATTTAATTAAGTTCATACTTCAATTCATATAACATTGTTGTAAAAATCATACGCCATGACAATTAATAACTTTGCTTTTTAAAATCTCAAATAAATGATATAATTTAGGGCTACATTACATTAAAAATCGTAACAAAAATAAATTTAGATTGTTATTGCTTATATAAGTATTGTTATTGCTATTATTATGGAACAATTTTTTGATTATTTTATTACAGGAGATTATGTGAGACTAGATGGTAATACCGGTGTATTGCAGAAAATACCACCTCCAAAAGATATAGTATTCTAGTGAACAGAAGTATTACTTCCCATAAGAAGACAAGGATTCTAGCAGGAGTTCATTTAATTATATATGTAATCAACTTATAACAGAAAACTATAGATGTTTAAAATGTGTAGTGTTCACTTTACAGTACAAAAAGGAGTTGAAAATAAGGGCTTTTGAGGAAAGGAATATTGCAAGAAATCGTTTCACGAAACGTGCGAAAACACAAATTTAAAACAAATACGTCCTTATTCCACATTTGTGAAAAATGAAAATTTATCACTTGTGTAATTATTTATATATGTAATTATGCATTATTTGTGAAAAAAATACTAGTATGATTATTGATCTTTTTTCTTCAGTTTTAGGAAGTTCAAAAAATATTATTTATGAAATAAAATATCATATTTATTTACTTTATTAAAAAAACGCCATGTATATTAATTTTGGAGAATATCAATACACCATCCTTTATCTTTCCAAAATTTATTCCATTCGTTAATGCAACAAAGGTTCAAAAAATAACATCTTTTAAATTATGTAAATTGATTCATTATGTCACCTTCCATTTTAACATACAAAAAGTGAAGCATATTATAAGAGTACAATTACTTGTAAGCTATTTCTACAGCCTTCTTAGCATGCTTTCGTGGTGTAAAGCCTTCGTGGTCAGCACACTCGGCGCGTATTCGAGAGGTCCGAGTTTCGAGTCCCGGGGTGGGCATTGCACATTTTTCATATATCCTGTTTCAAAATAACCTAATGTCTGTACAGTAGCGCCTGAATTAAAAATGAGGTGGACGAAGATTCTCCACCACCAGGCAATTGGGCCCCCTAATCCTCAGTCGCCCTTTACACGGGGTAAGTATATAAGGTATTTCTCCCGCTTTCTTAGCATACCTTAGTGGTGTAATGTCAGCACGCTTAGCACGTGTTCGAGAGGTCCGTGGTTCGAGTCCCGGTGAGGGCATTGCGCACTTTTTATCTCTCCTGCTTTCAAAAAATACCTAATGTCTCTATAACCTAATAGAAGTACAAATTTAAAGTATGAATAAGAACAAAAAAATTGAGAAATATCTAATGTTTTCAAAATAATTTACCTGTTGTGTAATTTGAAATGAAAGAGGCAATACGTCACTCTGAGATCGTATGAAAGGGAATCCAGATTAAGTCGCACGAATTGTAATATTGGTCTACGCGGAAATATTTGTTTATAGATTCTTCGGAAAGTTCAAAATTTTAAGATTTTTAAATGCATATAAACAGTTAATATCCCAAACAAGTATTCAAATAAGCAAAAAATAGACATTCAAGCAAGCGAAAATAAATATTTAAATAAGCATAATTTCTTTGCAGTAGACAAAATGTGCATCAGGGGAGTTCACAATAAATTTCATTAAATATAGTATGCCACAGCATCTCATCGTTAAAACGAAACTCCTATATTCCGAATAGAAATACAGCGATGAGATTTATAGTGTTACAGAGTTAAGTTCTATCACATTCAAATAATTAAAAAATTGCAAGCTCTTAATTTACAATATTCAGAACTGTTTATTAAAATAATTCTGTGTTTAGCAAACTTTTAATTCTTACTTTTGATGAAAAACGCAAAATGCACATAAAATAAATAAACTAAATAATAAATATAAACTAAATAACCTTAAAATAAATCTGTACGTCAACAATACATAATTCATCTCCTCAAAGATAAAACTATGCAAAATAATTGGAATTAATTGTATTTTAAAATCTCAAAATGATACCATGTAGCGTAGTATTCAGTAATAGTTGAATAAGTAAACAGGAACCAATTTACTGAATAAAATAATTCATAATTTATAAATCCAAACATATAATTGCGCATAATTTTTATGAAATAATTAATAGTGATACCAGTATAATTAATGTCTCATTAGCCAGCGATCGGAAATAGTGGTAAAAACTGGTAGTTCGACTCGGGTTTGAGTCCCGTCGATAGGGGCTAGGTGCGTGGGATTTTTCATAATTTTCTCCATGTGTTAGGCTCGTACTAATTACCGGTTTTCTTCTTAAAAAATTCTCTACAGTGGCATTCCTCCTTTCAGGCAAGTAGTTCTGCATGCTTTGCCGGAATTCAAATAAATTTTGATACTAAGTCATTAAAAGAAACGACAGCTCTAAAGATATTCATAAAATCTAGAGTAAAATTTATGTAAACTGGCTATTGTTTCAGTATATGATATTAATAAGAATTATTATTGAATCCCAAGTACATACCATTCAATGATTCGCCTTTAAAATGTAGCTCATTATTTAATATATTTCAAAATGTTTTGTTCTTAGAAACAGCTAAACACTTTAAAGCAAATTCAGTTAAATAAATTCAAACCTTTTATTTTTACGGGTAGTCAAAAAACATGCTGTCATATGATCGCTGACACATCCAATACAATGAACATAAGATAGCAATTATGATACTTGGCATTTTTAGCAGTTTGCATATTACTGCAAATTGTGCATTTATTTAAATACTATGTATTCAAATTTTGTCAGTTTTATTAACTAATTTGCTGAAGCAATACTTCTATCTGCTAATAGCTGTGGTATTCATGTACAAATAATACATGAAATACGTACAGAATTTCTTATAAATGATAGTTAGTTCTGGTATACTTACTTTTATTTTGGTCCTCTGTCTTTAACCAAAGGATTAAATAAAAAGTCCATATTATTGTACTATTTTTAATTTCATGTTTACTTATTTTAAATTTACGTTCACAATGAATTAATTAAATAACCGGATGCTTTCCGTTAGTTCACCACAAACTGTTTAAAAAAATTAACAAATCATACACCAGTTTGCAACAGCACTTGAAAAGAACTCCATTGGTGCATATCACATAATGGTGTGAAAAAACAAACATATATATAATGGAGTGAAATCGGATATCAGATGGTGTTAACAAGCACACAGCCAGTAAACTACCTGTATTAGCGTACCTTGTTATTCCTTGAAGACTGTAATTAAAGAAGATTGTAGAATTGCTGAAAACGGTTTACCACTTCATAATATGTGAATAGTCGAAGGTTCTTAAGAAGATTTTTTATACGTGAACTCATAGTCTTCTATAGTAGTTATTAGCTCTTGCAACTATGCTAAAATTTCGCAACAGGGGTAAGACTTTCCTAGTCAAAAGGCTTGATATTTAGATCTTTGTGACAGTGTCTCTAACAAATCAAGAAGGATTCAGAATATCCTATCAAATCTTATTTTACAATATCTGAAGTGGAAATCTATTAATTGTGACAATACTTCCCAAGCATATGAAGCACACGATAAAACGTTTGAATCATCTAGATTCAACAGTTAATCGATAATTCTGTCGAGTTATAAAACGAGTACTTAGAAGTGCCTTTTGTGGCTTATCTCTTACATAAACAATATTATTACTGAAAGTTATTTTTTTACCAAGACTAACACCTCGGTATTTTACCCGCACTTCCTTCAGTACTATGTGCGATTTGAAATAATGACTTTGATCCCAAGCATATGAAATATTTTAAGTGCACAAAGAAGAAACCATGGATAAATTCAAATTCATGGGATTAAGTTTCTTTCCCGAAAGGAAGTTATCCTGTAGAATTTAAATTATTATTCCAAACAACTTCGCAGTCGACGGTAACAGGTTAATCAGCAAAAAATTTACAGTACTTTACCTTTGGTTTATGGAATTATTTCAGTACAAACATGAGAGCATGTTTCTCTGAACTTCAGATGATAGTTAATAGTAGATAAGAACTGATTATATTAACAATTAGCTTGATAACATTACGTAGAAGTGCTTTCAAACTTCAAGTCAATATTACCTGGTAGCTTGAGGCTTTCTCATTACTAATGAAAACAAAAGGGTTGCACTCTCTCGAGTTGCTAAGTAGACTTATTCAGAATGATTTTAGAGCAATAAAATTATTTTCATTTTTTAAAACGTTTTGCTTGTTTTCCAAACGTAATGTCATTAATTTCATTTATTTTAAACTAACACTTATGGTAGTCCGCGAAAGCATTAAATACATCAACAGGTGCATAAATTTTTCTATCAGTAAATATTGCAACAACGGAGAGTTTTTACTTATGATGTGTGATAGCGGTTTTCCTATCGTTTCTCAATAAACTAAGTTAACTTCTCTTTACATAAGTACCAGTTTCACCCTCAGTTAATTGGGGGAAACAGTTATATCTGTTATAACGTTTACCCCCGATTAACTGGAACAAAAGTTATATCTATTATATTATCAATACATGGCCTTAATACTAATTTACATCTGTGTCATAATAAAGAAATCCAATATATATGTCAAAAACCGTAATATTTTAAGGGATATAATTACACAATAAGTCTAAATCTGATTATACTATTCAGATTCATAAAATTTAATTAAAGCTCATCACAAATGTGCTAAATTATGTCATAAATTAAGTAATTGTTTGCAGAGTTTTTAACTTGCAAAGAAACTTAACTTTTTAAGATTGAATACTAAAAATAAGCATTACGTATGTGAATATTGTTCCTACGGTTGTTAAAATTAAACTTCTGTTAATCGGAACTATCTTCCACACAGTTAATAAAATTTCTTTTTTCATACTTTCGCAAAATTTCTGTTCTGTTCTAGATGATCTTTTACTGTTCTCCAGAATATTTTGCGCTGCAGATCCGACTTCAAGAGATGTTTCAAATACCATTGAGCCAGATATGGTTATTATAAAGAAAGATATAAAGCTCGATGCAAAATTCACCGAATACATGAGAGTCTCTTCCGTCTTGTTTTCACTTTTTGAAAGCAAAACATTTGATATTACCATAAACATCATTCCAGCGTTATATAATACTACCAGAAACGTGTTTAACGACAGCTCATTATCCATGTTTTCAGCCAATTCTTTCAGTGAATTATAGCACCTCCTCGACCAATCATTTGAAACTTTCTGTTCTTTCACTAAATGCGCCACTTTCTGAATTGCTCTCCTCATCTCATAACAAAGTATGCCATAAAATATTGCGAATGTGTCTATCGGCATATATGAGCAAAGCTGCATTGTACCCATATAAAGTACTTTCATTACTTTAATGGAGAAGTCTTCGACCGGTAATTCGAATAAGGTAGCTAAAGTACGACTGAAGAACTGGAAGCCACGAAATGATCCAATAACTGCCGCTATTCTCGTTACGATAATTAGAGTAGCCCAGATATTTGTACTGTATTTAAGTTTGTAATTAGGACTTGAATTTAATCTCGATATTGTATTCATCAAGTCTCGTAAGCGATTTAGTTTCCCAAACAAAACTGCTTTATGGACGGTTATCACAATAAACAAGAATAAATAAATTACTCCCCATAAAGCTGTTTCAAAGTTCGGTACAAATATGATAACAATAACACTGTGGATTACACTAATGACGAATGAATTCAGTAGTAGCAGATATCTTGGAATGTAGTTGTCATTTTGATCTTTGGAACCAGATTTTGTGCTAATAATTCCACTGATAGCAAATAGCACAAAAGGGTCGCTGTACGGCGATTTCAGATTCATGATGTTCTAATTAGTTTTTAATAATTTCAAACGTTACTATCCGTTTGAAAAGTAACTGCCATATTCGTGTTTTCAGATATCTTCAAGTGCTTCAAGGTATCCTCTTCTATATTTAGCCGAGAGTGTTCAAACGTTTACATTTCAGTATGGTCTGGTTTCGTAATAAAGTTTTAACTTTTAAACAGAAAGTAACTTTTAAAAAGGAAAAATATATCAGAAGAATATTTTCTTAATTATTAAATTCGTAAAATGTAATATTTAAAGAGCATAATTAATAATCCAAGAAAACAAAATTTTGTCCAAAATTGCTATTCCTTTAAATTCCGGATACCTCATCAAAATAACTAGGGCAGGGTTCAAGTTAATTTTATATCAGTTCATAAGCGAGTATCTAAAACCTTTATTAAAATTCTAGTAAGCATCGTGAACCTGTCATCTCAAGATCACCCTCAAGAAAACTCATATATTTTCCATTATCTAAATTATTCACCTCGAGTGTAAAAATAGTATTGATTGATTTATCGATTTATAGAAGACATAGTGTATCGTTTGCTTGTTTTCTGGTATGAGGGAGCTATTACAGTAATTAGATTACATGCGCAAATTTAAACCGTTATTACAATAATTATATTATCCATTCTTATAGAAATTAGGAAAAGGGTTACAGATGTGTTGTTCAGAACTACTCAGAAAGTTATACTGATTCAATATATTAAATTAATGACGTCGGTATATAACAACAGTACATGATATAAAATTAAAATGAGTGGGATGATCGCTTTTATATGGTCACGAGATTTTTTGTCACTTGTATATATTACTTATAATTTAAAGTATTGTGCGTTCTTACTTTCTTTAATTATGTAAATATCATCTTAATAAATTGAAGTTTGTGAAAACAAAGATTAAAATAAGTTAATAAAAAATTTAGCTTGATAAAATCTGTTTAAATATAGATCTTTATGAACAGATTCACAAAATCATGCCACTCAGAGGATTTACTCCGTATGACTATATTCATAGATTGCGCCAAGCTCCGCACTGCTATTTTAGGATGATTACTGAACGTTTTCTAACATCAAAATTAATCATTTTTTCTCTAGGTGTTTCTCGTGTGGTGCAAATGCTTCATAAAAACTGCAGACAGGTTCTGTAATTTTTCCGTTAATTTAAAATAACCGGGTGTTGATGACTTGAATGTTTATTTCTGCAGCATTTTTTAAGAGACAAAATAACTTTTATGAGTTATTTAGAAATTTATTTTGAACATCATGGAGAGAACTGCGGAAATCTCTTACAACCAATTCATTCTCAGGAAAAGGAATCCAGGGTAAACTACTGGTGTTCAATTGTCTTATCCATTAGCTTTTTAAGAAAAAGTAACCCATATTTACCTCGAACTTTAAAATCCACTGAAATCCATGCAGCGAATGCGTTAAATCGCAGGGGAAAATGAATTTTTCAGCAATGTGATATTTACTACTCTTTGAAAGAACTTTCGGACAGCCTAGGATATATGACTTTTTTCTAGTTTGTTGATTTGTCAACAAACTTATCAGCCGATTTCTCGCGGATTCATCTGCTCATTCAAACTTACTTTTGCCGATTTTGTGGATAAGCTTTTAGGCAGACATGAAATTTTGCTTGATTTGTTACTCTACTAGATTATCTGCCAGCCGCTGATTTATCTGCAGTTATACCAATTTATTTGCCGACTTAAAATTTATCTATACTTTTTGGGGGAGCGAGGTTGATGCATCTTGCTTTTTCCGTTTTAATGAATGCATTTTTAGCCTCTGATTTTATTGACCGATTTATCTGAAAATGGCTCTCTGCCGATTTCGCTACTGTTGACTGTTGTATTTATCTGCCGATTGGTAGGTTACTTCATCGGTAAAGTTGTCACCGATTTACTTACCGATACACAGACGAACTTTTTATCAACTTATCTGTCACATTTTATCAGCAGTAGGTTTTAATTTTTATTTCTTTATTCCTTCAATGTGCTGGGTACAAATGCCACCTTAATATTTCAGTTCGTTAAGAATTTTCAAATTTTGTCTTTAATTTTATTCCTGGATCCTGGTTGTTTGAAGGACTGGATTGGGTAGTGATGCTTTTTTTTAATTCGTTTCTATTTTCCTTCTTGCA